TTTTTTTTTGGGTGATTCTGCGGGGGGTTCCCCTTTTTCCCTTTGTCTCAGGCGAGCTTGGCTGGTGGATGACCTACCCAAGCCCTAAATCCACGATGCCCGACCAGACGTTGATCCTTTCGCACTCGGTGTTCCCCCATCTTTCAGTCTATGCTATCTATGCTACCGGAGGCCCTCAGATCAAAAACCGAGTCGCCAACGCTTGGATGCCAAATGTACCAGGGGGACTGATACGGCAAGCTTGTGGATGACATCATGAACATGAACGGCGTCCCCCTTTTGTTTCCATCATTACTACAGCGTCAGATACCGGAAATTTCAACCCAGTACTGTTTCCTCCTGGTACCGGACTTACCGCTTCTTTCCCTTCTTCCTTTCTTCCATTGATCAGTAGTTGACCTAATCTTTATTCGTTGATTTTTTCTCTATTGATCTGTACTGTTTTTAATCTTACCCGAGTATTAATGTTCAAGGGATGGGGGGAAAATTAAATCAACCTTCCTTCCTCTGATGGGTCAGATCTTCAGGAGAGAAGGGGCTTATCATCTCCATTCCAGTGAGACTTTCCACCTCCTTAGGCAAAGGACGGAATGGACGATACCAGCCTGCCGGATCAGAGGATTCGACCTACATACGGGGAACTGACTCCTGACTAAGTTAGTCGTCTCCTTATGTACTAACTGCGAACTAAAGACGTTAGGTTACAGCGTTACCTGACACCGGATCCCAGCCGGGTGGAACATTGGCGCCTCGTTGTGCCGGGGTCAGCGTCATCGATTCCGTACCGTGTATAGCGCAAAAAAACAAATCGTGGACGAATCTCCAAGGCATGAAAAAGCCGGTTTCTGCATGTTCCGCTGTCACCATTCAACTGCAGCCACAAATCCGCTTGCATGTTTCGATGCGTCTTCGATACTTTTCTAGCTTTGCAATTCCGCCTGCCGACCATGTGACCAATATTTCGCAGACAGTAGTGTCAGCATTAATATTTCTGCTTGGTCTGGTTTCAAAGCACAGCGGAAGCCCAAGGCTGTCTTCTTTTTCCATATCTGGACGGCCTCTGTTTGCACTGGGACTCCTAAAAATGCGATACGATGATGACGGCATGAAGCACGCCTTACACATTTACCGGGACGCCCGTTAGAGTAGAGTAGGCCAGACGAGCACACGGTCTGATGCGCAACATTGTACTACGACGGATACCCTAACACTACCACGGGCCGCCCACAGCGGTGTAGGAGAATTCGTCTGAGACATGGACGGGTTGTGAGTGTCTATTTTCGCATACACGCTGTCGCACCGATCCCATGTCCCACTATGACCGAATCACTCCGCCAGCGACGCAATATCGTCGATATTTTGACAAGTGTTAGGAGGCTTCTGCCCTTTCTACGCCAGGGGAATTAGCCTGAACCCAACTCCTGTCTCCACGAGGCTCTTTCGGTTCCGCGTTGTCCGTGGACTTTAACGCACGATTCGCAAGCGTTGTGATGCGGCCAGCATCACCGTCTGAAGTTAGTGGCCGCTCTACTTTTAGCCCTTATCTTATGCGGGCCACAACCTTCCTAAATTCGAAGGTACCGTTTTGCTCGTATTACATGTTTACGCTGTCAGTTTCGAGTCTGGCGCGTTTCACCGTGACCCGCTCGTCTCAATTGTTTTGTTTGAAGTACGACAAGAACGACAGCCACCTTTCGTTATGGGGACATTCCCAAATACAACATTTCGGGCTGTACCGCACTGCGATAGCCCCAAAATATCGCGGGCCCCAATATACCGCGGGGGCCACTGGTGCCAATCTGGTGGGATTCGCGATTTACAGTGGATCTGAGGCTAAAAATATTTTCCTGGTCCACCTCCGTCCATAATATAGCTGTGACCAACGTGGCTTCTAGAGACCTTGTCGAAAGGTTTCACTTTCTTTGCATCAACAGCCGCATCCTGCGGGCAAATGAAAAAAGGGGCGGGTATCCCTTGTGGCTGTTTTGCATTGCCAACGCTTTTGATCTAAAAACAGTGCCTACTACAAGATGGGCCGGCCCATTGTCGTCCAACAGGCTATTGGCGCTCCTGGCTCCGTGCTTGGGACAGCTCTAATAGTATCAAACAGCACGATGGATTTACTGGCCCCCGGTAACGCATTTTCTGGCAGATGCTTCACACTTCCCGCGCATACGAAGAACAGCCAGGATTCGTACACAACTACGACGAACCGCATACTGCATCTAACACGCTCCACGCTTCTATTCTTGGTATCTGCCAAGATGTTGGACATCCTTCAACTAACACTCCAACGTGCCGGTCCATACAAGTAGTAAATAAAGAATCTATTAACAATAGAAACTAAGTCGAGATTGGTTTTAAAAAAAAGAAAAAAAAGCTATGCCAAAGATACAAAATTTTCTCCTGGGTTGAGTAGCTCCACTTTTCCTAAGTCCCTTAATACCGAGATCCCGCGAGAGTGGGCAATTTATGCGAAACCGGGGAACTTGGGAAAGCCCGTAGATAGAGCTGATTGATGAGCTATGCCGTGCCAATGACCCCTGATTATCTCGAGATCATATCGAGGGTTGCTAGGAAACCAACCAAAGCTTTTTGGAAGCATTAGATTTTAGACATACCCCGCGTTTGTAATAAGCAAAGGTTACGGACAATTCATAGGGCTCTAACTTGGCGGGGAAATGGTGCTGTCATCGCCAACTACACTACTAAGGGGTAAAAGGTCATATTCTTGTTAGGACAGGCACGAGATCACCTGCTTGATAGCGTAACTCAATTGTCTCCACAATAATGGGCTTCAGTGCAGTCGATCACGACTTCACAAAGGCCCTTCCCAAGATCGAGGTATGGTCTGTGAGAGAGCTGACGCTGCTTATACTGACGCTACTCAGCTCCATGCACACCTCAGCGGCAGCATCAGTCGCCAGTGCCTGCAGGAAATATGGCAACGCAAGAAAGATCGCGACCCAGCCTTCTTGGTAGAGGATCCCTTGATCCTAATGCCACCAGGAAAGGTCGACTATACTCTGCAAACGTAGGTCATATCCCGATACTTTCGGTAGAGACATAACAGCCATTATCATAGGTTTTTCGGCGTCTTTGGTAGATCTATCTATCAGCTTTGCACCGACACTGAGAGCCTGGCATACGCCACCAACTCCGTTCTTGAAGACTTTCTCCACGATGGAGTACGCTACCTGGAACTGCGCACGATTCCTCGAGCATCTCCAGACGGTTCTGTCACAAGAGATGCATACATCACCACAGTGCTAGACATAGTGGAGAAGTTCCGAGCACGAAACCAGGACATGTCTGTCTTTCTGATTCTTGCCCTTGACCGAGGCAACACCACTGCCGCGGAAGCCATGGAGATAGTTGACTTGGCAATCCATAACAAGTCGCGCGGGGTTGTTGGCGTTGATCTCTGCGGAAATACGACGCGCGGAGACTTCGCCATCTACGGGGATGCCTTTGCCTGCGCCAAAGCCAATGATCTGGGACTCACGCTGCACTTTGCCGAGACCACGGCTTCGGCCTCGCCGGCAGAACTGGCTGCCCTGCTTTCTTTCTGTCCGGATCGTTTAGGCCATGTCATCCATGTTCCTGAAGATATCAGGAGGGAAATCGCGAGGCGGAAGCTTGGTCTGGAACTTTGCATGTCGTGTAATGTCCATGCACAAATGATCAATGGTGGGTTTCTGGATCATCATTTTGGATATTGGCGGCATGAGGACTGCCCGATTGCGCTTTGTGTAAGTTTTTCTACGCTTGCGTCTAGACATGGTGTTAACCTCATGGTACACGCAGACTGACGATGTGGGTTTCTTCTGCAGCCCCGTCTCCAACGAGTATCTTTTGGCGGCAGAACATTTCGGTCTCAGTCGTCTAGAGCTGTGGGAGATGTGCTTTAAGTCGGTAGAGGCGATCTTCGGGGGAGAATCCGAGCAGCAAAGGCTCAAAACTATTCTTCTGCAGTTCAAGGAGAGCAGCTACTTCAAGAAGCTCACAGATGATGATCAATAAATTAGCCTTGAGGGTATATACCTAGGTCTTTGCGACTAGCTTAGTTCTGCACGACCATGGCTTATCTCTTTCTCTGTCTTGTGATTCATTGGCCATGACGTACTGGATGCCTCAACTCGGTTTTTGACCCCTGCTTTCTGGAAGACAAAATAAGACAAAATACACATGATTCATACCTCACATTGATGAATTGAATGAGACCAACTGTCTGCATCAGACTGACTAAGGGTATCCAGGTGGACCTGCCTGGTCTGCTCCAAGCCGGGAACAAAGAGAAGTCTGAGAAAGACGCAAAACTGGTTAGAGGCTGGTGATGGGCTAGACGAAGCGTTCAAGGTGCATCATCTTGGCTGTTGTTTTCGCCAAAAGCGACTTCTCTTTGCAGGAGATTAATGCGCTTGCTCGACAAGCCGATCTCCATGGCGACTGAATCATGGGCCTAATCACTGAGGGTGAGACGGTGGACGTCTGGTGCGAGCACGTTTATCTGGAACTGGCCCAGTCAATGAACAGGCAGACCAGATCATATGTATGTTTCTCCCGAGGGAAACTTGGCAATCTAGCTCCATGCTGCTCAGCGGGTTATGTTAAAGAAAAAACAATGGGATAAGCATCGGAGCAGGTGAAGGACAAGAGGTACGATGAGAAATAATGGGGCTAGTTGAGGTTGGCCACCGGGTGAGTGCTGAGGTTGCTGAGCGAGCAGCTTAGGTGCCGCTCAGAGCCAGCTCCGAGTGCTCAGGGAGCGGCCCGGCAGGTTTACCGTGACCGATATTGCGATTAGTAGTATAGGGTTAACGTATTTCTACATCGCTATAATGAGTTTCATCTACTTTTCGAATAGGAATCGTAGGTGCGATGAATTATGAATCATAGAATGCACAAATCCACTTTAGAGATCGTAACCCCTTTCCATGTCTTCAGGAGCACGTTCTACTGGTCCGAGATCTGCAGCAGGCAAACTATATACTATTCCTTCACACATCGAACAAGGCCTTGTTTGTCTCGGCCCACTGCTCCAAGCTCGTCGCCCATCCGGCATACTTAGGAACATTAGCAGAGGCCTTCTCAAATATCTCCCCCTGAAACAGGTCCCCTTCGCCTTTAGATGATGCCCCTAGTGCGGTTACAAGGGGTCCTGCCACAAACTCCGGTACTCCATACTTCAGCATAATCTTCACACCTTCCTGTTCATCCAGCTCGGTGACCTTGACATCCTTGCCAATTGCCCTACCAAATATCCCTATAGCGTCCCTTTGAGATACTAGCTTCGGCCCGCATAGGGGGATGGAGTTGTGGGGCTCCGCACCCTCTATGGCCTGTATTCCTTGCACAAGTAGCTTTCCGGCCACTCTTCCAATGTCATCTGGCGAGATCCAGTCTAATTTGGCGTCCGGATATGCAATCTTAACCTCCCCTTCACGAATCATTTTCGCCCACCAGCTCGCGTTGGTGTTGAAGTACGCCGGTCGAATTGCGATATAGCCTTTAGGGCCAAAGAGCTCGTCAAGGCCGATCTCGACCTGTGCATGAGCATACGCTAAGAACGATGCGGGGGTGATCTCCCTAATGTCGCCCTGAATATTGATGCTGCTTAGGAAAACAACGAACTCAATGCCGGCATCCTTAAGTGCCTTGATAGTAGACCTCATAAAGTCCGTCGCACCGAACGCAAGGTATATGAAGGCATGCTTGGCTCCAGTGGTGCGCACGGCAGCTTCGATGCTTTTAGGCTTAGTGAGGTCAGCCTGGACGCGATCGAAGTCACCCGCTTTCTCCTGATCGGGACTAAGGCCGGGGATGGGCTTATGAGGATCGCGGAGGGCAAGAACCACCCTTGCGCCTAATTGTTGAGCGTGGCAGGCAGCGGCAGAACCGACGTGGCCTGTAGGACCAAAGACGATGACAGTGGGCGACGCCATGGTGGATAACTGAAGACAAGATAAGGTCAGGATTTCTGAGTTTGCGCTGCAAATGTCGCCTGTTTAACGGCGATCATAAGCGTTACTTAATGGGCAATATATCTGATCCGTGCTCCCACGATGTCGGAAATCGGAGACAGCCACCACCGGCTTGCCCGCGATCAATGAATTAGTGGATTTATAAGCGAGCGTCAATATAACTCAAAAGTTAACTATAAGCTCGTATTCGAGAGATCAATTTTTCATTAGGTTTTCAGCCTGTCATGGCGAGCAAAGTTCCAGAGTCGGGGCGGAGTATTGGAATCGAGCCCGAGCACCTAGTCTATCATTATTATCAATCACGCGACGTCATTTGGCAGCTTCGGTGTGTCTCGACTAGACCTCTTTCACCTTTCGCTTCCAGATATCGACTAGACCGTTTGTCACTGGTGCAAATGTCTGGGTTTGATGAGGCAACCGCCGGAGCCGAGCACGTGGTTGGCGCATCTGTTAATCAGTTCGGCTTGTCGGAGTCCCGATGTCCGATCGCATAAAGACTCGATATTCTTTGCTCGACTATCGATGCAGTTCGTCAGGCAGCAGATTGTCCGCTGAAGCTTGGTTCTCCTATCTTTGTGATGTGTGACGTCAATCGCGTCCAAGATGGAACTAAGTGGATTTGTGAGGCGCATGGTACACCCGACATTCCAGCGTTCTCTATTTCCCCCAGGTCTTCGTCGGAATGATTGCATGACCATAATGCCGGGAATCACCACAATACATAGGGATACTTTAGGTAGCTTAGAACCTAGACATTTCGTGACCTCCAAATTTCTCTCTTCCGACAGGAATCACTACACGTTTTAGATCAAGACGGACTATAATTCTTTGACCCACGTCATCTCCATTTCCCTTCTTGTGCCTGGTCCTACCATTAGCATCTTCGCTCTGTATATCCGTCCCTCAACATCAACGTAAATGCACTCTGTTGCTCATTTACACGCCCGACAAAGATCATGGCATCGTCCTTCCCAGGATTGAGCTCTTTCAACTTCTTCTTAAGAATCTCTTCAGTTTGCAAAACCATGCACATTAAAACCATTGGGTTTCTAAACCATCAACAGAAAAGCGAGGAAATGTCGAGGTGAGGTTGTGGTTTCCTGAATAGAGACGTTCGCGGCAGCTTTTTGAAATGCGCTAAATCCAAAGTCACGCCCGGTTAATACTAAAAAACCATATTTATTGCTGCCGTAAATATTCAATTCATATTTTCCCCCGTCAGATTCCAATTTTCGAGCTTTACGACCATTTTGACATCTTTTGGATCGACGAGGCGAACATGGGTTTCCTATTCGGGACCCCTGCCCCAGATCTAGGACCAATGCGTTGTCCGCTTCACCAAAACAGAGTTACACTGTGGAAATCTGCGTCATACTGGAACTAAAAGTTCATTACTGTCAAAACACATGAGTCAACTAATTTTGGTGCCTGGTTTTGGCGTGTCGAGGCACTTTGTTGGCCACAATATTTAAACGACAGCATTGCCACTACAAACAAGTCCGGCAGGCGCAACCTTATCCCCATAATAAGGCCGCAATCAAATCTTTTAGGTCTTATTATCCCTGTCAATTAATCACCAAAATGGCGTACAACGGAGCCCTGCCCCAGACTCTCAAGTCCATTACGGCCACCAAGATTACCGAGCTGGCCAAGCAGCGTGCACTGTTCGACGAGCGCAAAAATGAGATCCTCTCCGCCGCCAATGCTGCGTCAGATTTGCGAACTCGCGCCCATGCTCTCCTAGACGGCCTTTCGGGCCTGAAAGGCTATCCAAAGGACGCCCTCGACAAAGATGACATGGACCTGGATGTCGACTCGTCGGATGATGATTCCGATTCCGAGACCGGGGATGTTTACTCCCCCGGAATGGGCCAGCTGCATCATGCCGATCACACCAATATTAGGCGCTTCCTCTTGCAGGGCCTCTACGATGCGTCAATCTCGGAAGCAACAATCCGCGAATGGATTGCTCAACTTGAAAACGAGCTACGGTACCTGGAGCTCAAGCATGAGCATGCCGATTTTTACAGCAAGTTGGTCACCGAATGGCTGGTGCATCTGGATCAACGCACGACTTTGCAAACAGCGGACGATACAGACGAGGCCGCATCGAACAAGTCAGCAACAAGCTTTGAGAACATCGGTCGCGCAGAAATGCATGAACAGCGAGCTACATGGGAGTCTCTAGTCTTTTCGCCTGCCACATCTGTCAACTATGTCAAAATCCGCGACTATCTTGATAACCTCTTCACCAAGACCAAGTTGTCGCGGGAGGCTCTCAAGCTGTTGAGAGAGAGCATCCAAAAGTTTGGGACAGAGCTGGCCGCTAAGCAAGAGTGGCTCGATGTTAACGAGCTTACATGGGTTTCCAAGGCGTTGATGAAGACCGACCTGCTCAGCAACGAGAAGACTACCCTCCTAAAGGAGTTCATGCGGAATAAGGAAGTCCTGCAGGAGGTGGCGGATGTGCTCAATATGCGCCTCGCGTCTCTTGAAAGCTGGAAATGGGACGAAGAAGGCATTCCCGTTGAAATGCGCCGCCAGCTCAACGGCAAGTATCGTGTTTTCATGGACGAAGATCTTCTCGACAGTCTTCTGCTGCAGTATCTGGGGACTACCTGGGCTGTCAAGCTGCGACAGGTCTTTGAGAACTTCCTGCACTCTCATGCGTGGCTGGAAATGCGAGAGGACATTCCTGCCGAGTACACAAAGAGGCGCAAGTATTTCCTGGGGCCCCGAGCTGCCCCGGGCCTGCAGACTGTAAATGAACTCCGCAAGCAGACGTATGAAAAGGAGTATTTTATGAGCCAGCTTCCTACATCTACAGGCGAGGGTGCCAGAAAGTACGATGACGATGGACCCCAGACTAAAAACGCTCTCCAGACAAAACACTCCCTTCTTCATCTCCTCATCACCGAGTCCGTTATTCACAAAACTCAGCGCGGCGAGTTCACAGCTGTTCGTTCTGATTTCCAGTGGTTCGGACCTTCAATGCCTCATTCAACAATCCTCACAGTGATGGATTACTTTGGCGTCCCAGAGATGTGGCTGAATTTCTTCGGGACTTTCCTTGAGGCTCCTCTACGCTTCGTCCAGGATGGTCCAGATGCGCCGGTTCAAATCCGTAGACGCGGCCTCCCGATGAGCCATACACTCTCCGACTGCTTCGGAGAGTCTGTTCTGTTCTGCATGGACTATGCGGTAAACCAAGCCACCAATGGAGCATTCCTCTACCGACTTCACGACGACTTCTGGTTCTGGGGCACAGAGCATGGCTGTGTCAAAGCATGGAACTCCATGTCAGAGTTTGCCAGCGTTATGGGGCTCTCTTTCAACCAGGAAAAGACTGGGACTGTGCGCATGACTAACTCTGAGCCAACAGAGGTACAAGCCGTGGCACTCCCTGTCGGTGACATCCGATGGGGTTTCTTGGTTCTTGATGCGAAGCAGGAAAGGTTCATCATCGACCAGAAGCAAGTGGATCAGCATATAGAGGAACTGTCGCGACAACTCGCGTCTTGCAAGAGTGTTTTCGCTTGGGTTCAAGCGTGGAACGGCTACTTTGGGCGCTTCTTCGCCAACAACTTCGCCCGGCCGGCCATGTGCTTTGGACGAGACCACATTGACATGGCAATATCGACATTGAGCCGTATTGAACGAACACTCTTTGGGAAAGATTCAAGCGACACGTCCCAAACCAGTGGCGTCGTGGACTATCTACGATCGGTGATTGCAGACCGATTCACTATCCATGACCTTCCAGAGGGATTCTTCTACTACCCTGCCGAACTGGGGGGCCTGGGCCTTCTCAATCCGTATATCCGGCTCCTGTCTATGCGCGAAAACATTAAACAAACCCCTCATCGACGACTCCAAAAGGCTTCGCTGAGCGATGAGGGATCTTACAGGGGTGCCAAAAAGAACTTCGAGAAGAACGGGCCCGAGTATGGCACCACCGCCTGGCGCAATGAGCAAGGCGAGCCGCTTCCTTTCATGTCGCTTCGCGAGTACACTCAGTACCCAGAGACATACAGCTCGGCCCTCCACGAGGCATACAAGGATCTTACAAAGGTGCCGGAAGAGAAGAATGTAGCTGCGACGGCCGGGTTCGTCAAAAGCCAAGCGGGGTTGAGAAACTCCTCTGGCAAGTTGAGCAGGAAGAGTGCCATTTCTGCAAATTCGAGAAACATGACGCCTTACTGGCGCTGGGTGGGAGAGCTGTATCATGGCGAGATGGTGCGTACCTATGGCAGTCTAGCAGCGGTTAGTCGGGAGTTCATGCCGCTGGGGGTGGTCAAGACGCTTCAAGAGGGCAAATTTCGGTGGCAGGGCTGAGATTTTCTCTTTGTTGGCTACATATTTTTAATGACTTGAATGATTGTCTTTTTCTATCTGTTTTCCGATACTAGCTGAGTGTAAAGCAAGATTAATTCTTTCGTACGATCAAAAGCTAGTCGCCTGTCTATTCGTGATAAGTGTTCATCCTATATATACCCTCTCAAATGTATTGTTCAAGGTACCGGCTTGATTAAGGTGGTGCAGTAAAATGACTTGCTACATTGGTGCTGCTCCATCGGGCAGTTGCTTGCTCCTTCAGTCCCTGTACGAGCGGATTTCTATCTTTTGGCATGGCAGAAGTTCAGATCCCACCGTTTCTTTTTTGTCTTTAATTTAGTAGGTATTTATCTACCTTAATTGGACTCTGCTGTCATCTGAGCCCCACATATAATTTTCAGGTACTAGAAACCAGAAGAAGCCGCAGACCCTTCTGTGGGATAATCTCATTTCACCATTTATCTTAGATTTTCCGACACACAGGTTAATTCTAGAGTTCCCTGTCCAGATTCAACGTCGGCAATAGAGATGAAAAGGCAGTATTAAATGGGCATGGTTGTCGACACAAACCCAAACCCCGGCAGCTCCAAAGTCAATCCCAGGAACCGGCGATGGAACTATTCCCCATTTGCAATGATTCCTGCCTTGATTTGTTGTAGTTCGTGTCGTTCCTTCTTAACTTAACCTGTTTGAGTAAAACAAAATCCCAAGCAGGGAAAGTACCACCCAGCCGCTTCTCAAGCAGGCATAGTGCTTGCGGTTTGCCTGGCCTACATTAACACTATTTTCATTCCCCGAGGATGTGAGTCAACTATTCTTCTTACAAGTCTCCATCTGCGACCTACTATACATTTATATCGTCAAATATTTCCTGTAGAAACGCAGCAAAAGCAAAATCAAGCTCCTAGCAATCATTTATCCCAACACACACTCAACAAATTCAAAGTGTTAGATGACACTAGTGTCATGGGTATCAAGCGAACTCTGACGCCCTACAGGTCTCGAGGCAGCACGAGCTGGCTCGATGCAATGTCTAGAGACAAAGCGCGCATCGACCCAAGGTTAGTGTTCCCCCTTTTTTCCTGCCATATATCATTCTGACAACGACCGTAGAACTTGGGAAGCGCATCAAGTGACCCTCACGGAGTTTAGACCCCAGACCAGGTCATTCAACAAAATGGGTCCGTACTTGCGCAACATGAACATCATCTCGCCCAAGCCACGGCGCCTCTATGGCGTGGCCGGCTGGGTTAAGAAAAACTCTCAAATCTGGGCACAGGGCGGCTTGGAGCCCATTCCCATTGACGACGACCTTGACGAATACGACGAGACTTGTTACTTCTCTGAAGACGAGGTGCTGCAGCCCCTCTCTCTCGAAGCTATCCCTCCATTCCCCAAACGGAACGCCGAAGACACTCTATTTGGGACGCGGAACCTCCGGGGGCAGTTTCGTCAGAGACACCGCCAATCCAACTTCATCGAGATGTTTGACGACCACCCAAATTACGCACCTTATCCGGGATTGGAGAGACCAGCTTGCTATATCTCGACTGCGTCGTCATTTGATAATTCCTTTGGTCCCCCGGACAACGAATGGCCTCGCACCGCTGGGAAGACCATTGCCAAAGGAGTTCGGAAGGCGGTGATGAAGAGTACGGATATATGCCGTACTTTGAAGAAGAAGTTGGAAAGATGACGAGGTTCTTTTCTATGTTATATTCTCTCTTGTTTGTTTCGGGGGCCGGCTCCCGTATATAATTTCCTTGGATGTAAATGATCTTTCAGTACTTGGTGAAATCATGATTATGTATAACGAGGCACTCTTTCCGACTAGCTCAATTTTCTCTGTGGTTTTTCACCCTGATTTGCAACCTGATCAGTTCTAAAGCAGGCTCTTTTCCCACATGTTTTCTAGTCGGTTTTAACGAGGCCTCGTTCTTTTCTTGTAGGGTGGCGCAACCAGTCTGTAACTATTCGAGAGCCATTCGATCCCATGGTGCGCATCTGGCCTCGACACATCTCACTGATAACCTATTGAGTGACCACACGTTCCCCTCCTCCTTTGGTATAGTACATGTAGTCTTGTTCTCATTCGAGTATAGTAGTTCTAGTACGTAGGCCTCTCGCCCCACCTGCCTTATTGGTCTCGGCTGAGTTGCCCAGAAGCCAAAAGACAACTTGGCTCCCGCAACATCAAGACCAACAACACATTCCAGTTAATTTCTCGCCTCCCACCAGAACAACAAGATGGACCCATTTTCAGCAGAGGGCGGTACGCAATCTCACAAAAGTTCTTCTTTCCCTCTCCTACTAACCACATTTGTCCCCCGCAGAGCTCCTCAACATCCACAATGCCTTCCACCAAGGCCAGTACGAGAACGTGATCGACTTCGACACCACCGCCCTGTCCCCGGAGAACCAGCTGCCCGCCCGCGTCCTCAAGCTGCGCGCCAAGTTAGCCCTCGGACGCGCCGACGAGGTTCTCTCCGAAGTCTCCTCCGAAGAGGACACCCCCGACCTGGCCGCCGCTAAGGCCCTGGCTCAGCACACCGCGGGCGACGCAGACGCTGCCTTACAGCTCGCTCAGGATCTGGCGGAGAACTACCCCGATAATGGGACTGTGCAGGTGTTGGGTGGTACGCTGCTCCAGGCGCAGGGTCATAGTGAGGAGGCGCTGGCGCTGTTGGCTAAGCACCAGGGGAACATCGAGGCGTGAGTGCCGTCAAAAGTCATGCCGGGGATATAATACTGATGCCCTATAGTGTCGCCCTGATTGTTCAGATCCACCTCCAGCAGAACCGCTCCGATCTTGCTGTCAAAGAAGTCCAGACCGCCAAGCGCTGGGCGCAGGACTCACTGCTCATTAACATCGCCGAGTCCTGGGTTGGAATGAGAGTTGTATGTGCTGTTCACAAATAAGGGATATAGATTGTCTGACAGTGACCCATCCAGGGAGGAGAGAAATATCAGGCTGCCTTCTACGTCTACGAAGAACTCGCCTCTGCACCTAGCACGGCCGCTCCGCTCTCCATTACCGGCCAGGCTGTCGCAGAGCTGCACCTGGGCCGCCTGCCCGAGGCCGAGGCCGCGCTCACGGCCGCACTGGAGAAGTACCCCGATCAAGCAGAGTTGATTGCCAACAGCATTGTGTTGAATGTGCTGGCGGGCAAGCCGAGCACGGACCTGGAGTCGTACGTCTTCCGTTGTCTGGGAGTGAAAGCAACTGCTAATAAATTCTCCCGTACAGACGGCTACAGCAGGTCAACCCCTCGCACCCTCTTCTCTCTGATATTCAGGAGAAGAGCGAGTTCTTCGACACCGCGGCTGCGAAGTACTCGCCCAAGGTGACCTCGTAGTTCTTTTAGTCGTTCTATTTTCCTTATGAGTTGCCACGATTCCTCACCCAAGTTATATTACCTGCCATTTCCCCGTTCTCCGTGTCTGTCTGTGCGTGCCGGGCTAAAAAACTGCTTGAGGTATAGAATAATGGAGTACCACTACACAACACAACCCTGGACAAAATTGCACTATAAACAGGATCGTATGGTCATTGTAGTTATGTGGTGCGTGGACTTATTAACCGAACAATCTCCATAATCATACCTCAGACCACTTTATAGCTTCGCGGCTAGCCACTGCCGCATATTACGCCCAGTTTCTGTCTTGAGACATTTATCGATACCAGCGTCGGTGTAGATAGGGGCATCGTGGGATTCGCCGTAGCCAACCACATAGGTGGTGTTGGGAAAGACAGACTGGACGAGTCAGTAAAACACAGAGGCGAAGGAAAGGAATATATACCTGGATCTTCTTTGCAAACTCCTCGATCGAGGAAATCAAGAGCTCATCACTACCCGCTAGAATTAAAATCCTCTCCGTTTTCACATCCTTCCACCACTCCACGGGCGCCCGAGCTGGCTCACTCCAACTATCGGGCTCTTTGCCGGCAAGATACCCCTTAGCCCAGCGCTCCAAGACCCCTTTCGTAAGAAGATCCTTGTTCGCATTCTGCGTGAAGGAGGGCCCGTCCGTGCTGAAGTTGATCCACGGTCCTAGAGCAAATACGCCCGCCAGAGGCTCGGAGGGGGGCAGTGGGTCGATCTCTGGATGTGGGTGCGATATATGGAGCAAGGTGCTTAGAGCTAGATTCGCGCCTGCTGAGTCGCCTCCCAGATATACGTCTGCCATAGAGCGGTTTGTCTCAGTGACGAGGTACCGGAGAGCCTCGACGGCTTGACGCAGTTGCGTCGGGTAAGTTTGCCGCGGCACGAGCGTGTAGCGGACAAAGAAGACGGCGAGCTCGTGGCCGTTGGCATTGAGTTCTTGGATGAGGGCCGTGACGAACTGGAGGTGCGTCGGGCCGGCTGGTATGACGAAGCCGCCCCCTGTGCATCAAGGAATCAACATCTTTTCTCCGTGTTGTGTAACACCTTGGGACTCACCATGATAGTATGTCAAGACATTCTTCGCATTCTTGTTTCCAACCCAATGCCCCACGGCCCCATGGGCCAGCTTCACCGTCTCCGGTGCCTGGCCACCCCCTTCCATGAAAGCGGTATACACATCGCTTGTCGGACGGTTCAAGGATCTACTGCGTATCAATATCTCTAGCCTACATAGGTAGCCTCGTCTCGAGAGGGTGACGCACTGGTTTTGCTGATCGCTCAGCCGGGAAATGGCCTTGCGCACCGTCGTGGCCATAACATGGTGACTGTATTTGGCGGGATAAGCCTTGCCTCGGATGACGCCTGTTAGCGCTGCATACAGTGCCGACGCAACAATTGCGAAACGGGCGAAGGGAAGGTCGACTTTCTCCCACAAGGTGAGGTTGGGCGTATCGTCGTACTTGGGGTCCATGTTGCAGTTCTTTTTGGGGGGGATAATGCTGAGGGAAGAATTTACGTCAGCCCGGGTGGGCATAGATCGTGAAGATAAGGTTTGGACCCCCGAGGGAACACCTGTCGGGGTTCCCCGCTTCGGCACCATGGGCCTCGGCTCCGCAATTCGAGTACCGGAGAAGGGCAAGTAGGAGTAGGAGTAGGAGTACTAATTGATGTATTTACTGTGGAATCCCGTAGACTGAAAGGAAGGGGTGCTAGTTACGGGTTGGCCGAGGTACGTAGTCTAATGTTGAAATTAGGGCTAGAGATGCGCCCGAGCTAGAATTGATCAGAATAGTTCAATGCCCATTGACCATGTCCTCCTTACCGGTGAGTTCGCAGAATGCCTTAAACGTGGTGAACACATTGTCATCCCCAGCACCACTCTCTGTGTTCTCGATCACACACTCTGCCTCGGCACCCACAAAGAAAACATAGCCCTCCTGGACCTCTTCGGTCTTGTTGCCCACCGTAATCCGGCCACGACCGGCCGTGCAAATCAAAATGCTGGGACCTCCGATCGGGTCAAAAGTCGCTTTGGCGCCGGTGCTGATGAGATCCGTCTTGACCACGCTGAACTCCTCGATCGGCGGGTCGTAGAGGATCGATGAAGAGCCGCTCGTGTAAGCGGTGGCATTCAGGATAGTATACGGATAGTCCGTCGGCTCCAGTTTCTGCTCCTCGATCGGTGCATACGAGTAAGTCAGCATCTGGGTCAGCGTGTCCACGTCCTTGAACTTGGGCGTGAACCCGGCCCGCACGACATTGTCGGAGGAGGCCATGCACTCGATGATATCTCCAGAGATATAGGCGTGGATGTCATCCGCCTTGAGAAACATGGCCTCCCCGGGGGCCAACCGGACGAAGTTGAGCATGAAGAGGACGAACAGCCCAATGTCGTTCGGGAACTGGCCATTGAGTCTCGTCACAATCGCGGCCAGCTCGGCCGGTTGGAGGTTGGCTGTTTCGGCGACATCGGGAAGAGTAGCGAAGCTAGCTGGTGTGTTCTCAGCTGCCGCAATCAGGTCCTTGGTGGCAGCCTCGATGCTCTCGGGAGAGGACTCCATCAGCGAAGTGAAAATCGAGCGCAACGCGTCCTTGTTCCGCTGCATCACTTCAAAGTCATCCGAGTCTTCGTTGCCCTTGACAACCTGCTCAAATTCACTGGCATTACGGTCTCCGACCAGTCTGCGGAGAGGCTCCACGGCCTGCAGGAAGTGGGTGATCTCAGACAGCGGACGGAATCCGCACAGCCCCTCGAACGGGGTTATGGCAATGGTCATTTCCGGCTTATGGTTGTCATCTAACAATCAATGAGCATGATATCCAGTAAATTGCGATATGTAAATTACCGGGATAGTTCCGTGCGTCCCTCGCATGCAGTTTCTCGGCCAGTTTCTTGTTGGGATGGGCTTGGATGCTGAGCGCCTTGCGAATGGAAAGCACCTTGAACAAGAACGGCAATCGCCCACCATATCTCTCACTGATTTCCGTCGACAAAAGGGCCTGGTTATCCTGGACGAGATCGAGGAGGGTGCGCTGGGTCTCGGTGTCTTTGGAGGGGAGGGAAGGGTGCGTGCCCATCCATAGCTAGAGAGTGAACCGATTAGCCCAATCGTTATGCAGGTCCGACCACACATACTTCTGCATATGGCTTCTCGGCCTCTATTGTAAAATCCGGGGCCGCTGTTGTGGCTGCGTACTTGGCCGCGCACGATTCTTGACCGACCTTGCCTGTGACGAGATTCAGCGCGGGGGCACTCAGCGTTCTTGGAGGTTAGATCCTACCCCAGTCGTAGCTGTTGACGCCTGTGTGAGAGGCCAGTCAGCCAATGCCGGCATTCACAGATCAAAGCCCGACTTACCGCATTGCAGCCGAAGCAATGGAACCTGCATCTTGGATGGTTGTGTCGGTGGGGAGGTGGGGGAGGAGGGATTGGGGAGGGTTTGTGGTTATCGAGTTCGAGTAGGAATCCAAGCAATGGCGGGGAAAACGACAGGATATGAGAGAAACAGGGATAAAGGAGAAAATAATAACCTGTTCTTTCTTTACTTCATCCAGGCCCAAAAACAGTCCTCGCCTTCCGCAACCGTCACCGGGATTACCTAATTCTGGGGGTGGGCGGTGTACTTCTGCCAGAGCGCCCCTCTCCGCTTGTTTATCCACCTGATGACCATAGCCCTAACAGGTGCATAGGTATTCAAGACAAGGTACTGACCAATGCATCTCTACATAGGCAGAGCGTACGAGAAAGGTTATATTGTCAGCTATATGTTCATAGCCAGGCTCTGGGTTGGCGAATATTGACTTGCTTAATCATTGCCTGTGGCTAACTTAACTAATTCACGACGTTGACCAGCATTCATTGTGTAACTGGTCTTTCAACCATGTCCACCTTCAATAAAATATTCTGACTAGTCAGACCTGCTGGCACGCTGTCGTGTTTATCATATACCACCCGTGAGCTGACATATCAAATCCCGGCTGACCTAAATTACCCATCGTATTGTCGACACCATGAATCACCTGAATGTTCGAGGTCGTAGGGTAGACCCCATTACCTGATGTTATCCAGTATTCAGGGGAGGATTGACTGTATTCTGGAACAATAACATCCAGTAAGATTGTCCTGGATGCTTGATAGAGGACTTTTGGTACCTCATCGTCGGTATGTGTGACCCGATAATTTTGTCCCGAGCCTTGGCTGGTGATAAACTCGGCAAGAGCTTTATTTCCAACCGATGGGGCACCGAAGGTATACTATATAGACCTCAGTTAGGTACACTTTTAACGGGGTTCAATTGTCATACTAACCATGTCAAGTTGATGTCCCGCTGCCTTCAAATGAGTAGTTTCTAGCGTAGCTAAGGCACCCCCAAGGCTATGTCCAGTTACAATCAGCTCAAAACTCGGATATTTAGTCCTCAATCCCTTAAGGGCCGGGTTGATAATGTCGAATGCACCGAGGGAAGCTTCCCAGAATCCTTTGTGAGCGTAGCAACCCGGGCAAAGACTAGATGCGTCAACTTGCTGGAATTCGAGGTCTGTCTCTCCATTTTCATTAGACACAGTGCCACGAAATGAAAGAACAATCAGCTTATTCGTTCGATCGACTGCGAGATATCCAGTCGTATCACCAGGTTGTAAGCTGCAAATGAGCACTTGTAAGAGACATCTCCCCCAGGATCGGGTAGGCACTGGCATACTCCCAGAAAGGATTTGTAATTTCTGTATCTGCTTTTTGAAGCAAAGGGCATTTACCAGGATCGCAATATACTGGTAACCCCGGCGATGAGACATTGTGATTAGCGCCACAATTTGCGGCAACAGCATACTCCGCCATGAGATAAAATCGGTCCAGAATATTTGGCGGTACATCTTTCCCCGTCAGTGATCTATCTTGACAAGAGACCATGTGATGTGTTGAACTTACCTCTACGTCCCACCTGTGGTAAAGCCGCACTAAGAGCTTGCCTTACAGCGACAACAGCCAAAACAAATCGAAGAGAAATCATGTTGTAATATATTGAAGTACTCTGCGAACAATGACAAGATAGATATCAACTCTTGGATATAAATAGTGGGGATAAATAACCTTGTGCCCGCTGATATCCGCTATAGCTCGGAAGCAAGACCCCTGTCACCGTAGCATTCTAGTGAGACGCTTGTGAGTCAATCATGCGGGGAACGGGTAAACTTCGGATCTCAACCCGTTCGTTATAGGCTGGCGATGGGCACTTTGACTGTCAAACTAATCCCTTTGCGCTGATGCTTTCGCTTTCGTAGCTCCCTAGCGCAAATTATTAAATCGCCGATCCGATTCATGCCCCGCGCTATGCCCACAAAATCCGATCACCAAACATCGTCTTCGGCCTACATTCAAGATTATTTCATTTGTGTCTTGAGAAAGCGGCGTGATCTTGCGCCTTTCAATATGTTCGAGGTTTTGATTTCATTATTCTGTAGTCGAACAATAAGGCGATTCAAGATATCATGCCAATCGGGCTTGCCGTTGGAACAACAAGAAGATATGCTCCAATTTAACTTAAAGGGACCAGGCGTTATGAGATGGTTAGATAGAACAACACTAGATGGACGATCACACGATGCTCATAGGCCACTCCACGTTCCTCAGACCGCAAGAACATCCAAGGTCTCACATGTAAGACACAAATAGTTACCTTCTCATCTCGTTTGCCAAGAGCACTGGCTTATTCCTGCTGTCATTAAACAAGATGGAATCTATGCACCAGGCCCGAGTCATCACTAGCACCGGACCGATTTCCTATTATGGGCAAGCTCGACGTCTGGTCTGAACTGTTTCTTCTCTTCTTTGTATCATTTTTCGTGGGCCTAAGTTGGGTGAGCCCGGGAGCTCATACCTGTCTAAGACGCTCTAGAGTGCCGAGGCCAACCCCCCTTTCTCGTCTTTATATATCTCTCGCTTTTATATGTTTCAACCATTTCATATATCCTCTAACCTTCATTGGCAGTATTCGGGACGTTAAGCGGCATACAAAATACGCACTGAGATTCGGTACCTCCTTTCCAGAGACATTCGAGAAACGAAAAACGACGAGGAGAATGACCTCCAGAATTTATGAGCTTCAGCTCACCGAGCTTGTCAGATTCCTGGCACTTCTTTTTGTCTTCTTTCCATCCATAATTGCGGGCAAGGTTGGACATCACAATGGCGGATCCTTGACTTCTACTTCTGAGTCCCTGCCGACCGTTTCTGGTAGCCACTTCTCTTATACACAAGTCACTACTGAGCGCCATGCAACTCCCTTGCCAAGTCCTCTCAAGGCCAACCCTTATGGGCCCCATTTTCACAAAGCGTCCAAGTTGTTACCCACCCTCACATATACCACTTACTCGCTAGATCGCCACGCAACGGCAACTGAGGACCGCAACCCATACGGGCAAAGCGCCTACGCTGCTATGTGGAAGACCTACTCATACTCTTCCAATGTGCCTTTCACGACTACAATGTCTCCTACTCCCATCCCCAAAAGTGAATTGGCGTATCCACCACAGCTGTATAGCCCCCTACCAGGCACAGCGGCTGGCTTGCTTTCTACACAAGAAGGAAATGCTAGCACCGAGTGTCTTCAGCTCCCTGCGGACTTTATGTGGGGCTTAGCTGGCAGCGCCTGGCAGACAGAAGGCGGGCTGATGAGCGAAGGCCGAGGCCCAAGTGTGCTGGATTTCATTGGAGCGCTGCCAAACCAAGATGGGCTCAATGACTCAGTGACGGCGAACATGCACTACTTCATGTACAAGCAGGACATCGCGCGCTTGGCAGCGGTAGGGATTCCCTACTACTCTTTCTCCATCAGCTGGACACGCGTTATACCATTCGGTGTGGCCGGATCACCTGTCAACACAGAGGCTCTAGACCACTATGACGACGTTATCAACACTTGCTTAAAGCATGGTATTACTCCAGTGGTGACGCTGCTGCACGACGACTCGCCGATTAATATCGACTATGACAATGCAACATCCTTCGGCCCGGCGTTCTTATACTATGCAAAGATCACAGTGGCAAAGTTTGGGGACAGGGTACCTGTGTGGTTGACGTACGGTGAACCCAATGGCGGCATCGGTCTGTTTTTTAAAGAATACGACACCTTCCGCACTCTACTCCTCGTCCACGCTGAGTTCTACCACTGGTATCGTAATGTGTATCAGGGTACGGGTCAGATGTCAATCAAGTTTGCAAATAACCTGGCGACGCCCCTTCGTGGACCAGGCAGTGCTGCTGATGTGCATGCCTCACTCCGCTACCAGGACTTTCTCCTGGGGATCATGGGCAACCCACTATTTCTAGGCCAACAATATCCAACGAGCGTACTGGATACCCCGAAGCTGAATTTGACGCCACTGACAGTCGCTGAGATAGCGTACATCAACGGGACGTGTGACTTCTTTGCATTGGATCCTTACGTGGCTCAGCTAGCAACGGTCCCACCAAGGCAAAATTCTAGCTACGAATCCGACGATCACCAGCAGCTGCAGGACTGCATTGCCAATCCAAACAACCCCCTATGGCCGCACTGCGCGGAAATCACTAGCATACAGCAAAATGGTTGGCCTATGGGATACTTCTCAGATGCATATAGCAAGGTGGCACCTAGCTACGTTCGCCAGCAACTTGGGTACGTGTGGAACACATTCCAACCGGAGGGTGGAATTGCCATCACTGAGTTCGGATTCAATCCTGCATTCGAAGCGCAAATTTCTGGGGATGCGCAGCGTTTTGATCTCACTCGCTCACTATATTTGCTCGAGTTTCTTGACGAGATGCTCAAAGCGATCTATGAAGACGGTGTGAAAATGGTTGGCGCCTTCGCCTGGAGCTTGTTCGACAATAATGAGTTTGGCTCTTTTGCTCAACAATATGGCGTGCAGACTGTTAATCGTACTACTGGAACATTGGAGCGCAGGTATAAGAGAAGCATGTTTGATTTTGTTGACTTCTTCCACGATCATGTCGCTTCTTGAGAGCAGGTTCAGGTACGCCCAGGACCCTCGGGCCTCGGGCCTAGCCGGACGGGTCACCTTTGTGCTTCCGATAAGCCAACTCCATTCAAGGCCTGACGGGTTCAGGTGCTTAGTATCCCAAGGGAAACTTCTCAGAGCGACTGATTGCACAATGAACATTTCTTCACTTGTACTTTGGGATGAGCAGATCTCATTGTACACTATGCTACGGACAGACCTGTAGATGAATATATTCTGAGAACCCAACTTAATGAGGACACAAGGCGGCAAAATGAGACGCGGAACGTTGATTTCATTCATTAGATGGGCTTTCGAGACTGCAGAATGTGGGAACCCAACACAACGCAGCGTTCATAGAGTGGAAAAAAGCGTGTCGCAAGCTGTTCAACCGTATGTCGCCCTCCAGCAGTCCCGGGATGTGGAGAGTTGCGAGCCAAAATAGCGTCGTGGGTAAGAGGAGCAGTCATGGGACGGCAGCATATGATTGGTTTCTGGATCATCGCGAATGCACTTACTAGAGCGTATTGGGTAATCAGATCGGTTGTGGATAATGTAGGGCCGCCAATACTTCAGCGAGTCGCGTGAAAAGAGCTAAAGGGCGGAGATAATCAATCAACCCCACCAGGGAATACACCAAACTTCGTCGGGTTAGCTGAAATCGGCAAGTCGGAGGATTCCATCAGACGGCCAAAGATCTTGAACACATATAACTCCACCACTAACCCCGCCCGAGCCTCGTCTCATCAATTCTCCCACGTCCGAGTTTCTTTCGCTGCTGCCTGGTCCATATATCTCCTCTCGTTAAACATTGCAACAAGATGACTGTCACAATACCCGAAGTCCACGGCCATTGTGATCCCATCTTTCATTCCGTCCGTGATCTTTTCCAACAAAGAATCGCTGAGGGTAACGAAGTAGGCGCCTCTCTTTGTGTGAATATTGACGGCAAGAACGTTCTCGACATCTGGGGTGGTTATGCAGATGCATCCCGGACCAAACCATGGGAGAAAGACACCATTGCAGGAGTTTGGTCTTCTACCAAGGTGGTCACCTGTCTAGCCGCCCATACTCTCGCGAACCGTGGCCTGCTCGATGTGAACGAGAAGGTGGCCACCTACTGGCCTGAGTTTTCAGCCAATGGCAAGGAGAATGTGAAGGTCTCTCATATCCTCAGCCATTCCTCTGGACTGCCTGCCTGGGAGGCCCCGATAACCGCTGAAGACATGCAAGATACAAAGAGAGCTACTGAGAGACTCGCGGCGCAAGCACCTTGGTTCACCCCCGGCGAGCGCAGCGCATACCAGCTGTCAAACCACGGCCATTTGATCGGCGAGATTGTGCGGCGCATAAGCGGCAAATCACTGACTCAATTCATCGCCGACGAGATTGCTGGTCCTCTAGGCGCCGACTTTCGCCTAGGAGTGCCGGAGGAAGATTGGCCTCGCACCGCTGAAATGATCGGTTTCGAGATACCGCCTTGGACCGACATTGATCCGACTAGTATCATGGCTAGGGCTTTGATGGGGTCCGCCTTAGCGCCTACAATTCCCAACGAACCTGGCTTCAGAAAATCCGAGAATGGGGCCGCAGGGGGATTCTCTAATGCACGTGCACTGGCGCGCATCGGATCAGTGGTCTCGCTAGATGGAGTCGTTGATGGAAAGCAGTACTTCGCTGCTAGTACGCTTGATAAAATGATGGAAGAGCAGATCCGAGGCCTTGATGCGTCTGTCCTACAATACGTCCGTTTTGCTCTTGGAGTTGCGTTGCCATCTGCTGTCGCTTCCTGGGTTCCAGAAGATGAAGGTATCTGTTTCTGGGGTGGTTGGGGAGGGTCCATGCTGATTATGGATCGCGGCCGGCGGATGACCATTGGGTATGCAATGAACAAGATGGAGAATCGGGTGATGGGGAATGTGAATAGCGAGGCGTATGTTCAAGAGATTTACAAGATCGTGGGTGCTAGCAAGAAAGTGTAGGTAGATCAGATATTAGACTAAGGCAGTATGCGTCATCTACTGGGTAGCTCCTTATAGCAAGACCACACCAAAGTTCCATCATCCTAAGTCTTCTATTTACCTATCTCTTTACATATTCTTAATCCTCTCCAACCATCGGCGCATCACTATCATTTGTCCTATAGATAACTCGCGTGTCCATGCGCTCTTCGGGCTATCAGTCAATCAATCTTCCATTTCCTACCAGCCATGTTTGGCCTACCACATAGCCTACTTAGATTTCTGGTCTAAATCTTAAGAAGAACAATCTTTCGAAGTGGCAGATTTACTCCATACAGGGCTGACTGCGAACTGTTGGTGCCCACGGAATTAATTTTGGGCGACTAAAACTGGACTGCGAGGTGGCGAGGATTAGACAGGGATCACTTGACTAAAATTACAACTTCCTAACAGAAGCTGAATATAATTGCTTAGAAATGACAGTCTAGAACGGGCTGAGCTTTGGCTTCCTGGTTAGTGAGAGTAAAAAAGACCCAGAAGAGAGTAGACTGTAAGCCTCATAATCAGTGATTGGTGTACCTGGAGACTAACGACGTAAGTAGACATAGCTAACTTGAGCTAAAAGAGAATGTAACAGAAATGTGACAGGCGTCGCTTTAAGCGCATTTTAGCCAATGGCGATTAAAATATTTCTCTTTTCCAGCGGGCAATCTTCTTCATTTAGGTCCCCGCTCCGTACTTAGTATAATTGCGGGGTCAAGAGGGGGGGCCGGTTGTAACATGCTTAAGCATTGTTACATGTAACCCTAACTTCTGAAGTGTTGGAGGACTGAATCGTCACAAGGCACTAATACATAGAATATTAAATTGCTTGCCTCGGAGAAATCCGGATCTGCAGGGGCCCGCGGCTCGCACTGCGGCTTCTTAAGTGCCCTGACTAGCAATGGTTCGGACGCCGGTGAGATGAATTTCGTTGATTGCCTTCCCCTTAAGCATCTCCGGCAATCATGTTCCCAATTGGCAGAACGTGGAGAATTTCGAGGGTTCGCGCCGTTAGCGTGAAATCTCAAGATCACCTGAGCCTATGAGGGATAGGACAGGAGAGGATGGAATACTACTGTACCTAGTTTTCCCAACACGATTTACGGCAAAGGCCTAAATGGCCGAACAGAAATTTACGCGTGAAGGGGTAAATGGTCCGATTGTTGGTTTGGCGCCAGCCAGTCTCCTCCCATGATGCTATAGACCCCTTCACATAGCGAGCCATCTCGGGTTTCGGGCTTCATAGTGTTACATCTCTCACACAAAACAGTTGATTCTTGTGGATAGTTACCTTTCTGGATGAAGATTTAACAAAGGCACGACTGAATTCCAGATCCTTGTGTTATCATATGCGTTTTCACCTTGCTAAACAATCTATCTGAAAGTCCTTTACTTATCAGGTCCGATGATTCTCCCGACTACCCTTCTGCAATGCCAAGTAACCCCTGTCAGCGCTAAGCTTCTCTTCACACCATTGTGTATGCGGTACGTCCCGCATGAGGGCCTGGCCGATGGACTAGCCGGGTGCTACTCTATAGATCCATGATATGATCAATCTTCGAGTTGCTCTTTTTAACCGACGAAGACAGTGTAGCATCTTGATGGAAGGTATAAATAGAGGGATATTGTCGTGGTAAATGGTGTTTATTACCTTGAGCAATATATCCCAATCCAATACTCTTCCCACCACTACCGATCTAAGTCAAAGACATATAATGGGTTTTATAACTACTTTTATTGCCGCCTTGGCTTGCCTTCCTCTGGCCTTCACATCTCCTATCGAGGCTACAAACAATACCCTCCAGGCTCGACAGGCTTGCACTTATGGCGGTACTTGGGAGGACTTCCCGCCTATGAGTGAATGGTGGGCTTGGGGTGACATCTTCAATGCTTACGAGCAATCCATGGTGAACGCCGGCTCAAGCTGGGACGATGTTGGCCGCATTGCCGTAGCCATTGAGGATGCTGCCGCCGCCATTGGTGTCGATGAGCGTGTCATTCTCGGAATCATTCTTCAGGAGAGCAGCGGCTACGTCGGCGTCCCTTGCACCGGTGGCGATGACTGTGGTATCATGCAGTGTGAGGGCTGCCCTGGCTACCCCGGCCAGAACGAATTGTCTCAGGTACGTAGACTTGCCTTTCCTCCTCTCTTCTCTATATTCTAATTATTGTTGCTAGTCCGACACCTCCGCCATGATTAACGGTGGCACTGAGCACATCAAGTCGAATCTGGAGGACTTCGGTAACCTCGACGATCCCTCGTCTATCTACCCTGCACTCCGTGAGTACAACTCTGGTAGTGTCGACTCAGGCGACCTGAGTGTCGCCGCGGGTGGTTACGGTGTCCCTTGTTATGTCAGCGACGTTGCGCGGCGTTTCATGGGTGAGGTTTTCTAAGCCAATTCAAGATAGAGAGAGGAGAATGAAGCAAATTTGAAGACAAGTTTTCCGATGTCAATCATAATAGCTCCCCGAAATGGACAAGTTATTTCATAGCATAAAGTACAGAGGATGTGGAGGAAGGGCCAGCAATGCGAGAAGACCTAGAGCTGTGCGGGATTGTATACCTCTCCTTTGCTAAAATGCCTCAAGCGTCGGAGACCAGACCGGTCTTACGTTCACAAAACGCGGTTTAACAGCCAATTAATGGCTCGTATCAGTCAAAAGTGGAGAGTGCGGGGTTCGGTACCTATCCGTGGACATCTTCCAGGCACCACCGTGTTATTCTCCGCACACTCCAGTTCACCACCATGCCCGTCAACCAGAAGACCGTTCAGGAAGTCATTGAGACTATCCCGGACCGCTATCGCGGACCGGGTGGCGCTATTGCCGTTCTACAGGATGGCGAGCTAGTCGGTCAGCATGTCTGGGGATTTGCAGATTTAGACCAGCGGATTCCCTTGACGCCGCAGACTCAGATGCCGATTTGCTCGATCACCAAGCAGTTTGTTTGCGCTGTGTTGCTTGATCTGGAGCGCAATCCTACGCCTGCTATTGCTGCCAAGGGAGATGTGCGGAAACAGGTTACGGATAAGTTGGCAGAATTGCTTGGTCCGGAGATCATTCAAAACAGCGGTATGACACTCGACAACCTGTACGACATGCAATCTGGTATACGCGATTACTGGGCCATGACCACTCTCTGGGGTGCGCATCCGGAACAGGAATTCTTGGTTGACAGAGACTGCCCGCCAGCTCTTGCGCGGACGAAATCTTTCCATTTCACGCCTGGGACGGAATACTCCTACTGCAATGTCAACTTCCATGTTCTCGCTCGAGCCATTGAGCGTGTGGCTGGGGAACCTTTGGACAAGCTGATCGCCGATCGCGTCCTCGCTCCAGCGGGCATGACTACTGCGCTGCTCTGCCCGCACACGGGTAAACACCCAGGGCCGTGTGTGGGCTACGAAGGGGACGAGAAGCACGGGTTCATGCCGGCCCTCAATCGCATGGAATGGTCCGGAGACGCGGGACTGGTGGCTTCGCTCACTGACATGATCGCCTACGAGAAGTTCCTGGATCGCAGCTATTCCGATCCAACTAGCTGGTACCGCGTTGCCACTGAGAAACCGACTTTTGCAGACGGTACTCCTGCGCCATATCACTATGGTCTCGGTCTCACTAGCTACTCTGGCGTCGACACGTGGGGTCACGGTGGGGGACTCCGCGGATATCGACTGCAGCGCCGACATGCACCAGCCGAACGACTCTCTGTCCTGGTCATGTTTAATCACGAAGCTGACGTCGTGACTGCGACGGAGGATATTTTCAGAGGACTCCTCAGTCTGCCACGGCCAGTGGTGCCTCCCGTCAAGCCTGCTGCCGAATGGGTGGGCACTTTCCTGGATCAAGACACTCAGTTGGCTATTACCGTGGCCAATGGTAAGAAGGAAGGGGAGATATCTATCAGCTATGCTGGCCACCCCGAGACTATCAACTTGAGTGATGCTCATCACGGCAAATCCCCCGGTATGGCCGCAACGATTGAGGGTGATTCGTTGCGCATTCATCGGTCGGAGGAGAACCGCCAACTCGATGCTCGACGGATCATCCGCGACGAGAAATTCAAGGATGCATCGCTGCAGGGTGATTACCGGTGCACTGAAATCGAGTCCACTTTCCACATTGTTGGCGAAGGAGCTATGCTGTATGGATCCTTCGATGGGTATTTGGGCCGTGGTCCTGTTGGCATGATGAAATATCTGGGCCAGGATGTATGGGTGTTTGTTTGTCCTCGGGGCCTGGATGCGCCAGCGCCAGGGGATTGGACGGTAGTGGTTCGGCGTGATGCGCAGGGGGGCGTGGCTAGGGTTAGGGTTGGGTGCTGGCTGGCCCGGGGCTTGGAGTTCACCCGCATGTGAAAGTGTAGTAGCAGACTTCTATGAGTTCTAGTTATAGATCCACTTTTTCCTTAGAGCTGTTTACCCTTGTACACGAAGAGTTCGGTCATTTTCGTTTCATTGTAGAGGGGAGAGCAGCCCCTAAACCACTACTGTCTGAAACTCTTTTCAAGCTTTTTCTCATTGTTTATTCATTTCCCCTGCGCAACAATAATAACTAGCCATTCCTGAATATCTTGGGTGTACCGCATTTATGCCTGAGGCAACAATCACTGTGGAGCCTTATCTGAGATAAGGCCGCAGTCATGGGGTATTTGGGGATTGAGTTGAATGTATGCTCATATGGACTTTGGAACATCTTCGACGCCTCGTTTCTTGATCAGGCCATACGGACATGGGAAACATCTGGAATGCCTGATTCTATTATTATCCCTTGTTGGATCTAGCAGAATCGGCTGTATCTACTCGCAGGGATGCAGTTCACCCGCATGAAGCTTAGGTCCATGCCAAGGCCGCTCTCATTCGTCATCCGCATCCGTACAGTCCCCCACGTGCGGCATCGGTTCACTCCCTCTTGTTGATTCTTATTTAGACTCTCCTTCCTCCTTTTCCCCCTTCGTTTCTCCAACATGCCCATCTCCTGCTGTCCCTGAATCATATCCTCTGTTCCTGAACACATTCCTCGCCGTGCACAGCCAGCCAACCACTGCCCTATCTCCAGACCCACCGTTATCTACAGTTGCCGAACTACACGATGATGGGGCCCCAATTCCTCTCAATATTGGCTCTGCTCCTGCTCCTGGGCCTCCAAGTCTTCGCAGCAGCTCTCCCCAATGCTGTGGCTATCAACTTCGCGCTGAAAAACAGCCGCGCGCCCGTCGCATTCAACCTCGCCTCCCCAGCATCGACCCGCAGCCAGGTTGCGTCATGGGCGTCCGCAGATCAGGACCACCACTCCACAACCAAACGCTCTTCTTTCTTCAACCCCGACATCCAGTCATCCGACGAGGAAGAACGCAAATTGACCGCCCTCCGCGAAGCAGGCTTCATGCCAAGTCCGCCGTCAGGACTGGATCGTGACTCGCCGAAAGCGATTGCAGATGCCGGGATCGACAGTCACGCCGACGCACGGACGTTTTCACCTTCTGAACTGCCTGGCCGCATGCGCCCTGACCTGAATCACCAACATGTTGTGCCATGCCTGCCATCCCTGACGTTCTTGGCGCTTTCCGCTGCCGTGGTTTGTGTCATCACTGTGCTGCGCGGAGTCAGGGGTCGGAGGTGAGCTAATGCAATATGCTTGCGCGTACTCCCTATTTGCGCAGTCATTTTGATCGGCGCAATTGGGTTTATCTATTGCGCAATCCTTTTCGCGCCCCTGTGCTGGCCATTGCGATCCAGACGCAAGCTAAGACAGCAATATTGGCTCTCGGCGTGAGTTGCGTATGGTTCAATGTGTCGCCATTATACGAACTTTTCACTCAATGGCTGTGTTTGCGGTTATATGCCTTGGCTCTGTCCATTAAAACTCGAAGGACGCACCATTGATTGTGTACCCAGGCGGGTTCTGCGCCAGCCCAGTTGACAAACCAATGCTTGCACCTGGTCCTTGAGTCCGCCATCCGACAACATTTGAAGGGTTTGAACAGCGGAGACCAACCGCTCGCGTCGTTGCCGCCTTTACCACGATCCTTGGAAGAAGTATTACACTGGAGATGTCCGCACCAGTACGGCTCGCCCTGGAAATCCGAGCAATATGCCAAGAATAACCTCATGCGCCTTTGCGATGACCTTTCAACATCCATTTGTTCTTGCTAGAACAAAATAAGAGCCAACCTCGATAGAAAGATACCCACCATCGAATAAAGACTACTCTGCTATATTGACCGCTTAGCATCTCTACCGTCCCCGTTTCCACTTGGAGGTAGGACGTCTCTATAATGCCATTAGTAGTTCCCCGGATGCTTTAAGCCACATGGATACCCCTGTCTATCGAGTATATCGACATAATACCCCCATAGTCTCATCGCTATTGCAAGTTCTTAGGCGACCACATCATAACACCGCCAACCACCTCCCCAAAATTCATAGAGAACCTTCCTCGCAGCTCGAACCCCAAACTCCGATACAACTTCTCCCCATCCCCACTCGCCTCCAACCCAACTACAACCCCATCCTCCTGCGCCCTTCGCAACACCTCACCCATGAGCATGCGCCCAAGTCCCCTGCGCTGATACTTGGACGAAACAACCACACTCTGCACATGCCACCTCTCCCCATACCTGGCCTTCATCTCATCCGACCCCCAAAACATGCGATCATCGACCTCAGCCGAGGCGTCGAATTGCCGCATAGCATCCTCATCCAGTGACCTATCCGGCCAAATGAAATTCTCAATCCTCGTGCAAAGACTATTCCACCATCTCTTGACACTGAGCCAAAAGGAAGCCTGCGCGGAAACTAGTCTCTTCGCAGCATCGTCATTGCCTAGCCTGATGAATTGCGCATAGCCAAGTGGGATCCCGGGCGCGGAGGCCGAGACTGCTACGAAGCCGATACTCCGGGGGCTCAGGTACCGGCCCCGGATCATCTGCACGAAGCGGCGGAGGAGGTCGTTTGGGTACTGATGGCGGTGGGGACAGAGGAATGCGTTTAGTGGGGAGTCGAAGTATTCTGTGCAGGCGATGCGGGCCATGGTGGGGATATCGGGGGGTGTCATCCGGCGGAGGATGAGTTTTTCGGTGGAGTCCGAAGATGGCGGGGTGTTATAGGAGTCCATCTTGTGCGATATGATTTCAATCTTCCAGGGTCAGACGAGAAGGTGTTTGCTGGTGGTTTAAATCCCCGAAGAATGTCGCTGGATATAATTCTCGGGGAACGAATGGGGGAATTGATCCACTCGTGAGTCACCCAATACGAGGGCTGGAAAATCTGAATTTGTCCTTTGCCCCTGGGTGATTGGCCGGTCCTCGCCGTAACTAGATCCCAATCTACACCTCGTCGCATCTTCTCACAGTTCCGTGTGTCTAGTAAAACAAAGCAAGCCCAATTATCGGAACCTATTCATTCCCACGTTTATCGCAGACAAAATCTGCCGCTCACCTCGCGATGCAATCCGGAAAGGATTCCATGCGCAAGGAAGAGTTCTTAGAGTACAAATGGATGCAGACAAAAATAATGGACAAGAAGGGGGAAGGAAAAGGGCCAAAAGGCTTTGTGCATGGAAAAAAAGGGGGAGACAACGGATGCCCATGACGCCTGGATGGTGCTGCAAGACAAAATAGTAAAGATGATGCAGAAGCAAGGACAGAAGTTACTCGCCCACGGATTGACATCAAAGTTTTTTAGGAGTCCACCGTGGAGTGCCAGCAGGATGGCGCCAGGGGACTCCGGAATGATAGACAAACGAAAGGAAAGAGAAAATAATCACGGAAAAAAGAGATATGTACTTGCACGGAGGTGGGGAGATATAGAATGTCTTAGGAGTCGTCGACAAGACGCTTCTGAGCCCAGGCACGCTTGGCTCCGTCAAGGAGAACTTCCATGTTACCGCTATTATCACACATACCACGGAAGAGGCCATCGGACTTGTTGATCAGCGTCCAGGGATGATCAAACTCGATGACCCGCCCATGGTCAAGAACCAGGACCTTATCGTAGTCGATGATGGTTTGCAGGCGGTGGGCGATGGTGATGATGGTGCTGTCGCGCAGCTCGCGGAGTGTTTCCTGGATCTTTGCGTCGGTGGCGTAGTCGATCGAGGCGGTGGCTTCGTCCATCATCAGCACGCGGGGTCTCTTGAGCATCGCGCGGGCAAGACAGAGAAGTTGGCGCTGGCCCTGGGAGAGATTTGACCCAGACTCCGATACGGGGGTTTCCAGGTTGTGGAAGATGTTTTTGTTGTCGGCGATGGTCGCTGTGCTGCCGTTGGGGGCGTTGGCCTCGGCCACGGTCAAAGTGCTGGATGTCATTGGGGTTGCGGTGCCGGATGTGCCTGACCCAATCAGGTGCACTCGCCGCAAAGCAGTGAAGAGTTCCTCGTCGCTGAACAGGCCGAACGGATCGAGATTGCTGCGAATGGTTCCGGTGAACAATGTGGGGTCCTGGGGCACGATGGTGATCGCCTCACGCAAGTCACGCAGCCCGATGGATCCAATGTCGACCCCGTCAATGATGATCTGACCTTTCTCGGCTTCCAGGCCACGGAAGAGAGCGAGTGCGAGGGAACTCTTGCCAGCACCCGTGCGACCAACAATGCCCACTTTCTCGCCCGGCTGGATGTTAAAAGAGACATCCTTGAGGACTGCGTCCAAGTCAGGCCGATACCGGGTAGTATAACCATTGAACTGCACTGCGCCTTGGCTGGGCCAGTCTGCCTCGGGTCGGGACTCAGGAATGATGGGTGCCGCCTCTTGATCAACGTCGAGATACTCTTTCACACGCTCAACGGAGTTCATGTTCTGTTGGACTTCCGAGTATAGACGGACAAGCCAGAGGACGTTCTCCGTGAATGTGACAGCATAAGTCAGGGAGAGACCAGCAGCACCAGCGTCGATCTTTCCGACGCTGAGAAGCACGAAAGTAGCCGAGAAGAAAGAGACCAGGGCACCAGTCCAGTCGACGCGAAGCGCCAACCACCGATTGCTGGCCCACAGGTAGATGTGTGGCCTGTTGTAGGAGTTGATGCGTTGGTGGTTGTCCACAATGAACCGAGGTCCGTCGCCATAGGCACGAATGGTGACAATACCGTTGAGCGTCTCACCGAACTGCTGGTATAGTGGACTGCGCTGCACAGACTCCAGGCGTTTGAGGTCACGGGAAGAATTCAGATATACGGCGCCAAGCGCAGTGTATACCAAGGTGATGAAAATGCCCGCGATCAAGAATCCAGGGGTGATGATGGAAATCAAAATGACGATCATGATAACGGAAGCCAGACTGTGAAGCATGCCAATCGCCACGGCTGCAACTTCCTGGTCGACCGACTCCACGTCCTTGGAGAATCGGTTCATGAGCTGGCCAAGGGGAGTCGAGTCGAAGAACCGGAATTTGGCGTGCATGACAGCCTTCAGCAGACGATCGTGAATTTTCCATGATGCATGGAGTGAGCCCCAGAACAAGACACCTTCTCGGGTAAGAGAAATTGCGATATAAAGGAAGCCCAGAAGTGCGTACATGCCCAGGTAATAGAGCACGTTGACTTCACCATCCGGAGCGCCGGTTGAGCGCGAGTTGAGCTGGGGAGGAGCCATAGTACTAAGCTTCGACACACTGCCGAGGTTGAAAGATGGCAGCTTCAGATTCGTGACAGCAGCATAGCGGCCTGCGTCATCTTCCGTGCCAACTTTCGCGCTGTGATAGGAATTTGCCCATTCCCGAATCCAGATGTTGGTAGCCACCGAGCCCAGCTGCTGCAGACAAAACACTGTGACGGCCACGATCCAGTAATACCAGGGACCCATTGACTGAAGGTACATTTTGACCACGGACCACTCAATGCTACCGGTGGTTTTGGACTCGGTCAGCTTCGAGTGCTCATCCTTCTTCCCAGCTGTACCATTGGCAGTGCCGTTCACGGCATCCGCATTCTCACCGTCCGCTTCGCGTAGACGTTCTTCTAGGTCGGACGGCACACGAGACAGGACGCGTGAGCTGGCGTGTGACTGTGGTCTGGACTTGAGGAACTCATCGCCAAGCGCTCCAGTTGCCGCAACCTCGTTCGGTGTACCCTGAGTGGTCACTCTCCCGTTCTCAAGCATGACAACGTGATCAGCGTGGGGCACGGTGAGGGCCACGTTGTGAGTGACCAGGATGCAAGTGCGGTTCATCATCAACGGCCCCGTCAGTGCTTGGTTGAAAATATGCTTGGCAGTGTGCGAGTCCACGGCAGAGAGACAATCGTCGAGCAACAGATGGCGAGCAGAGCTATAAACAGCTCGGGCGAGAGAAATTCTCTGCTTCTGGCCTCCAGACAGACTAATGCCCTTTTCTCCCACCATAGTCTGGTCGCCGGCATCGAGAATGGCAAGGTCCCGTTCCAAAGCACAAGCCTTGAGAACTGCTCGGTAGCGGCGCTCATCGTAGGGGGAGGCGAAGGTGATGTTCTCCTTCACAGTGGCGTTCACTAACCAGGCCTCCTGGGCACAGTAAGCAATGCTATCAACCAAGCCCGTTTGGGGATCAACGGGAAGATCAGCTCGGCTAGCCGCCCCGCCAGGAAGATGCACCCGCCCTTCAAGTAGTCTCATCTCGCCGAGCAGAGCCATCAGTAGAGAAGTCTTTCCAGCACCCGTGGGACCGGCGATGATGTTCAACTTCCCGACGTGGAAATCAATGTCGATATTGATCAAACGGAAAGCGTCCGTGCTATTGTCAGAGGGACCGTCTTGAGGCTGAGGTTTGGAATTGCCCCAGGTCAGAGTGGCCATGTCCAATCCGATGTGCGTAGGACCGTCGGCAATTGTGCTATCACGCAGCTGGTCGTATTTGCCGGTCTCTTCCTCGTTAAGGTACTTGTCCACACGGTCCAGCGAAACTTTGCATTCCTGAACATGCGCCACCATATCGGCTAGCTGGTCGAGAGGTACCCGAAGGAGAGAGAACATGGACAAGGCCGGGAACGCGATCGACGGCGTCAATTGCTTCTTCTCAACAACGGTATACAAGAAAAAGGACATGAAGGTAATCAGGATTGGCGTGCCATACCAGACCGTGGCAGCGCAGGACCAGAGGATATAACGCTTGCGGAGCGCCTTCAGCTCTGCCCTGCGTTTCTCATTGACGATGTCATGGAATCGCTTTTCCCAAGCAAAATACTTGATGATGCGGATGTTCTGGAGGACTTCGTTGGTGGTATGAATGCGAGCATCGGTGCCTTTGAGAATTTCGTTCTGCACTTTGTTGAACTGGCGAGCGATGACTAAATTGATCGGCAGCATCAGAACCATCAAGACGATACCAGCAAATGAGCTGAATCCCATGATTCGGTACAAAAGGGCAACCGCCATGATAACCTGCACCGGCACACTGGCCCACAGAAAGTGCAGATATGCACCGACCTCGCTCACTTTAAAGGAGTCAATGGCCATCAAATTGATGATGGTCCCGACATTTGCTTGCATTGCGGCGTCCTCCAGATCAGACTCTGGTTTATGCGTGGCCTCTGGGTCGTCACTATTTTGCTTCTTGCGGGAAAAAAGGCTCTTCTTCTTTTTCTTGTGGACGTCCTTGGTTATTGATGGTTCTTGAACAGCCTTGCGGGCAGATTCCACCGAGGAGCCAGCTTTGCGCCGCAAGGCTTTGGCATAGATTTCGCCAATGATAATCGCGCGGACCTTGACGCCCATCTTGCGACCAATGAACAGGGCTTGTCCGTCCGCCACACCTTGAACCGTGGCCGAGCAGAAAAGAAGAATTGCGTAGAACCAGGCGGCATTGGGCGTAGTCGACCGAGGATCTTCGACGTACTCGAGGATGGCCTTGAGAAGAAGACTGGGCATGAAGACAAACAGGTTCGCAAACACCGTCCAGGCACCTTGCAGCAGAATCGTAGTGGAAAAGTAACGCAGCAACTTCCAAGCCAGAGAGCCCTTCATTTGCCTTTTGCGGAAATCCCCAAGAACGTTGGCAGCCTTCTGAGAGGGAGTCAGGTTCCACACGTCTTCCAGTTCCAGTGCTTGGCGGTATCCCTTCCAAACCAGCGGGTCCAGCCAGGAGAAGGTAGCCAAGGACAACAAGCTGGCCATTGGGTGCCTTGGAGGCTCCAGGTCACCTTCACGCTCGACCAAGACCGGTTTGTTTCCGCGCCGAGTGGTGAGAGAAATCAGGAGCAGCAGCGTACCCAGACCAAATTCAATGCCGGTGAAGATAGTTGCCCGTCGGGACGTCGGATGGATAATGGCGGACCGGAAGATCATCACGTTGAACAGCCACTGCAGCGCATACAGGATAGCGGTATGGGTCCATAACCTCGGAGCAGAGAAAAGATCCATCGTCGACAGAAGGAACCTTACCAGCACCAGGAACAAAATATAGCCCCAGGATACCAGACCTGCAATGGCAGGAAAGGTCCCATGGCGGCCCCAGCCATCGGTCGACAGAATCACAATGTAGAGCGCGACCTGGCCGATCAGCGCCGCAATCTCTAATGACACAACGGCGACCTCTCCACGTGGCCGATCGATTTCCACGTGCAATTGCTCACTCTGCATCGCCTGGAAGAGCATTGCGTCGGACTCGCTTTCGGACACGCCATGGGGAGTTTCGTTCTCGGAGCCATCGTTCGCGAGGACCTTGTACGCAACACCTTTGCGGGCGACAACGTAGCGGTGGGCGAGGCGGATGATGATCAGCAGCAGGGATAGGCCGCAGGCGGCAAGCGGCAGAGCGACCTGTAAAATGCTGTGGTCACAACGCGATCAGCATGAGCTCTCCTCTTCCCCCACGGTCGCATCCGATATCGGGAAAAATACTCACTTGCGCTGGAAGCAACGAGAGACATCGTCGATGGCCCAGACGGGGCCGTGACATTGCGGTAGCATAGCCCGCGAAGAACCGGCACGAATGAGTGTTTCGGTCGCAGCTCGGCCAGAGGTGTAAGGATAGGGATTTGCGACTGAGACTAAGATATCCTCCCAGAGGTCCTCCCAATTAGCAACAGACCGCTCCTAGCACGCGAGACAAGGTTGGCATGGCAAAGTCGGATGAGGCGAAACCGGGACCGAGTGCCGTTTGGCTAGAGCTTGCCGCAAAGTAGAGGGAGAGAGATGAGGTAAGGAGGAGAGAAAAGAGACAGGAGTATCGGAAATATCCTCAGTTCGGGATGCAGATGAGTCAGTATGACTGGCACAGAGGGTAGAAGAGGGGAGAGGAGAGGAGATGCAGGGATTGCTGGATGCGGTAGGATTACTGCCTTGGGCTAGTCTGTTCCCGTTCGGGAGCCCGACACCAGAGGATAGGTGTAGGTAGGACTCGGAAGAGTGATTAGAGAGTCGAGATGGATGGGATAGATGCACGGTCGGAGTCTTGACCTCTTAACTACGACTCTCTCAAATCCATAATAGTCCGTCGGGGAAGAAGATGATACCTGCACGTCCTATACTCGCCTGCCTCCCTCCCTGTCTGACCGCCCGCCTTATCGCGTTCCCCACTTGTCTTGTTTTCCTTATCGGCGCCACTTTGTCTCTCAACGCCACTAACCCTCCTTCTCTTGCTGACTTCCTCGGTTCTCCCCCTTCCGCATCACCACCACTACTCTCGCCATGGCAGATAAAATTCTGATGCGAGAATACCAGGCACTGGGCAAGGAGAAATGGGTCAACGTCGAAGTGAGTGATTCCAACCCAACCGCAGGCAAGAGAAAGCTGACAGTATACTCAGCTACACAATGACGATATCTTCAACTGGGACGTCGCCCTGATCGTGCTGAACCCAGACTCGCTGTACTACGGCGGCTATTTCCGCGCATCCATGACCTTCCCCACGAACTATCCTTACGCTCCACCGAGTAAGTGTCACCCTCTGAGAGAGTACCTCCTGTACAACCCAACGCTCATCTGACCCATCCTCGTCTAGAATTCTGCTTCCTGCAACCCCTCTTCCACCCTAACATCTACGAAGATGGCAAGCTCTGCATCTCCATCCTCCATGCCCCCGGCGACGACGAGATGTCCGGCGAACTAGCCTCCGAGCGTTGGTCGCCCGCTCAGCGGGTCGAATCCGTCCTCATCTCCATCCTGTCACTGCTCGACGACGCCGAAGTGTCCTCGCCAGCCAACGTCGACGCCGCTGTCATGCTCCGCAAGAATCCCGAGGAGTACCGGGCGCTCGTGAAGGCGGACGTGGAGGAGTCGAGGAAGTACATTCCCGCGAGTTTTACCATGCCGACGCACGAATCGACGCTCCCAAAGGAGGATGTGGAGAAGGAAGATCCCAGTTTTTGGGCGGACAGCGATGTCGACAGCGATATTTTCGGGGGAAGTGACTCTGACGAGGAGCTGGACCTGGATCCCGATACGGGCAGTGACCTTGAAGATGAAGAAGGCGAGGACGAAGACCACGAGAAGATGGAGTAACCGGGCTCTTACTCCTTTTGTCTCCGGCGATCCGGTATCGCATTTCCGTTGCTTTTATCTTCTCTCACGTTATTAGTTTAGCATCATCGGCGCATCATCGCAAAGGACCGGTCAGCGTGGGGGCTTTGCCAGGGTTTCCGATTTACGGGCAGTCATTTTTGTTACCAGCGGCATGGAATGATACATGGCTTATTTTACTTCAATTTTCTCCTCTATTACACTCATATAGCCGATTCACTAGTTTAAACCGGTATGTCGTCCACCTCTAACTTGGGAAATCGCCATCGCCCCAGCCCGACGCGGGATATACTCTTTTCCCCACACTGAATCCCTCCGCATATCGGATCTTCCTCTTCCTATTGTTTCTGTTCTCCTAACTACCTTCCAATAATTTTCTTCTTTACAATTCACCCAAGAAGAAGAAGAAAAATGGCTACCCAAACCCTCGCCAACTGGGCCGTCAGCCTCAAGTACACCTCCATCCCACAAGAGGTAACCCAGGCCGCCGTGCGCAGCTTCTACAACTGGGTCGGCTGTACCGTCGGCGGAAGCGCGCATCCGGCCACCACAATTGCGCGGACAGCGCTGGCCAGGTTCTCCGGCGCGCCCACCTCACGCCTTTTGGGCTCGGACGGGTCGATTGATGTCGATGCCATGCATGCGGCGCTATTCAATGGCATTGCCTCGCATGTGCATGACTACGACGATACACATCTGGATACAATCATCCACCCCACAGGTCCTGTGGCTGCGGCTTTGCTCGCCATGGCCGAAGCAAGGGATCAACCGTGCTCTGGGCCGGATTTCATCACTGCACTTGTGGCGGGCATTGAGGCCGAGTGCAAGGTCGGGAAGGCTGTTTGGCCCGACCACTATGATGTCGGCTGGTATGTATTCCTCGTTTCCTCCCCGAGGCTCCTAGTGGCATCCATTTTGTTAACGCACACTGTTCCAGGCACATCACCAGCACGACGGGCTCTATCGGCGCCGCCGTGGCAGTCTCCAAGCTACTCAGCCTGAACGCCTCCCAAACGGCGCACGCCATTGGCGTCGCTGCAACGCAGGTAACCGGTCTGCGGGAGATGTTCGGCTCACACACCAAGTCCTTCCACCCCGGTCGAGCCGCGCAGAACGGTCTCCTGGCTGCTTTGCTCGCAGCAGAGGGATATACCAGCTCCGATCAGGCGCTGGAGGCCAAGCGCGGGTGGGCGAATGTCGCCAGCACGATCAACAACCTCGATGCGGAGATTGCGTCTCTTGGTCCGGCGGGCCGGTGGGAGATCGCGCAGAATGCCTTCAAACCATTCCCGTGTGGGATTGTCGTGCACCCGATTATCGACGGCTGTGTCGGGATTCATGCCGAGATGAAGAAACAGGGTATCTCCCCTGCGCAAATCGAGGAGGTGCACGCTGATGTGCATCCCCTCGTCCTGGAGCTGACGGGGAAGACGACGCCCAAGGATGGTCTGGAGGCTAAGTTCAGTGTTTACCATGGCGCGACTATTGGGTTGCTGTTCGGCAAGGGCACACCGGCGCAGTATGAGGATGCAGTGGTGAATGATGCCTCGGTCGTGGCACTGCGCGCTCTCATCAAGGCGACGGCGGATACGAGCCTGCGGGCGGATGAGTGTCGACTCACCGTTAAGGTGAAGGGGCAGAGTGCGCCGATTGCAAAGCATGTGGATCATGCGGTGGGCAGTCTGGAGGTGCCGATGACGGATAAGCTGCTGACGGAGAAGTTTGTCGACCAGTGCATCCCAGTCCTGGGTGCGGAGCGGACAGATACTGCGAGTGCCTGGTGCTGGGATCTGGAGAAGCAAGCGGATGTTCGTCGCATCAAGGATGTTCTGTGAAGAAATACTCGTATATCTAATAGAGACTCGCCTTCCATTGACGGCACATGTATGTCCCAACGAGGAAAGCACGACCACTTCCTTCTGTGCTCTATTTCCCTTCCATCTCATCTCACCTCCTCCATCCATCCTCTCGCCAGAACGATGCCTTCCCTCGACCTCGTCGTCGTCAAAGCCGGCGTCATCACCGCCATCGTCAATTTCTGGTGGCAGTTCTTCGGAGCTATCGCCCTCCTTCTCCTCCTGGGTTACGGACTGTGCAGGTTCTGGATCTACATGAAGCGGCAGTAAGTCTACATACATGCGTAGAGGTTTGTTGTCCAATAGCAGTAAACTGAAGTATCCATCCAGACAGCCGCCCGTCGTCCAGTCCGACGAGATAGTCATCCACCAAACGACAAACTATGCCCAATATCCCGGTAAGAAATGATTCCCTGCCAAGTGTCTGTCTTGGTATCTTTTCTGACGGACGGGTGTATCGTCTCAACCCTCTAGCCAGACGACGTCGTTTCATGGCTCGTCTCTTTCGTCGGAGGCCGAGTGCCAATGATTCGCCTATTCCGTTACAGAGTGTTGCGAATGGTAATCTTGCGAGTCGGTAGAGAAATGGTCTGCGTGTGCAATTGTGACATCCCATAGGGTGTTCTTCTGGTCGTGGTTCTCTGTAATTATTGGGGTATCTATCTTCGCCTCCGCGGTGTATATTCGTTGATTCAAGATTTCCAGAATGTCCAGATCTGGTGGACAATATAAGCCATGCTCTAGTAGTTTATTCCATATGAGCCAATTGACTATGAGTAAGTGTCGAAGAGTTGACTCCTATCGTCTTCTCAAGCGGTCAAGATCCAGCGCCAAGCACATAGATCTCGGGCGATCATCGCGACCTTCCGACCGCAGACCACCCCAGCCCGGCCGACTCTGCCAGCTCCCACCCGCTCGCTCGCTATATATAAACCGGTCCGGTCTGGTCGCGCACTGTCATTCCAATATTTTGCGCCCTCGTTCGCCATTGACCTTGTCCGCCAACGCTGGGCCATTTCTCGACCGCTCCCGCCTGCAGTGGCCGCCCTGCATTGCGCCGTAGGGCTACCGGCTTCTTCCTGGACATCACCACTCTCTCACCATGTCGGTACTCGTGGAGGAGGAGGACGATCGCGATCTGGCCGGTAAGCATAGTTTTGATCGAGCTGCTCCACCTGTCACCTTCTCCCGCTGACCTTGCTCGCATTCCCCCAGGCTCTCAAGATGGAAGCTCCGACAACGAGATCGACGACACAATGCGCGACGCCGACGATGCCGAAGGAGATAACGAACCAGATGCCGATGGCGACGGAGACCAAGACGCAGATAGCCCCTCGAACGCCAGCCAGGCGTCCGAGGGGGGCGGCGGCGGTGATGCTTCACAGCAACAGAACCAGGACGGGGCGGGAGGCACATCGCCAGGACAGGCGCAAGAGGAGTCGTCTTTCTCTGTCTACCATCCGCCTGTGCGCCCCGAGTGTCTGACGGCCAAATCCTACGATATCGCCCCCACCACCGCCGCGCCGCATAGCACGTCCATTAATGCCATCACCGCCACGGCGGATATGCGCTGGGTTTTCAGTGGGGGGTCGGATGGATATGTGCGGAAATTTAACTGGGCGGACTCCATTAACAGCAAGCTGATGTTGACGGTGGCGCAACGGCATCCGTTCGTGGATAGCGTGGTCAAGGCAGGTGTGCTGATGACATATTGGGAGAATATGGACGGGGCGAATCTGTCCCCTGTGTATTCCCTGGCCAGCCACAGTGAGGGTCTGTGGTTGCTCTCTGGGTTAGAGTCCGGTGTCATTCGGCTACAGACCCTGCGCCATGAAGAGGGGAAGGAGATTGCCCGACTACGACAGCATACCTCGGCGGTGTCCACGTTGAACTTGACCTCCGACGAAAAGTCCGTGCTGTCGGGTAGCTGGGACAAACGGGTCTTTGACTGGGATCTGAATACGGGACAGGTACGGCGTGCCTTTGGGGGTGGCGCGAGTCAGATCTCTGCTGTTCAGATCCGGCCTGATTCTACGCTCTCTGTGCCGCAGGATACCATTGAGCCCCAACAACCGAATGGAACATACGCATCGAATTACGGGGCCAGTGGCCATGAGAGTTTCAGCTTCATGGATACCTCGCAGGATACCGGAGAGGCAGCCGCCGCTGAGAACCCGCAGGCGGGTTCACCAGCGGACTCGCTTTTTGGGGGCGCGGACTCATTATTCGGCGATGCTGACGGTGGAGTCGCGGACGGTGGAGAGCCCTCTGCTGGCGGGGTCTTTGGCGGGGATGAAGACGACGAATTTGGTCGCGCAATGGGGAACGGCGTCCTTGAGGATGCTGAGGATGCACCGGGAGAAATTGACACGGAAATGCCACCACCTTCTGATTCCATACAAGGGCAAAGCACAGTACCCGGTGATACAACTACCAATACCGGAAACGCACCGCCAGAGATACCTGATGCTGATATCTCCACCGGACCGGTCCAACCAGCCGTCAACGGACTCCCCAAGGCCGAAGACCTCGAAACGCCATCGTTCAGCGAAGAGCCCTCTCAGAACACGCAACAAGAGCAAAACGTCGTGACCGACACCACGTTCCTCGCCGCATCCATCGATGGAACCATCCGTGTCTGGGACCGCCGACAGCCCGACCCAGTCGCCCGAATCTCTCCCCGCAATGTACCGCCATGGTGCATGAATGCTTGCTGGTCCCCCGACGGGAACTATATTTATGCCGGACGCCGGAATGGCACAGTCGAGGAGTTCAGTCTGCACAAGGGACTCCGCAATGCAGAGCGCACCTTCAAATTCCCACAGGGAAGCGGGCCTGTCACGGCGCTGAAGGCCATGCCCAACGGGCGACATCTTGTCTGGTGAGTTTTTCCCGCTTGATTATAACTCCAACTCATTTCTAGTTCTAATGATCTTCACAGTGCCTCCCATGATATTCTCCGCCTCTACGATCTGAAGCATGAAGAGACATCTCGACACTCAACGGTCCCGTTCTTGATTATCCCTGGTCATCGCACGGGCACGATTTCCCAGCTGTACGTCGATAATGCGTGCCGGTTTATGATCTCAACGAGTGGGAATCGCGGCTGGGAGGGTAATACGACCGAGGTGCTGTTGGGGTATGAGATCGCGGCTTCTCAGTAATCCTGTTTGTTATATCAGACGTGTATACCAGCTCGTTATATCGGGAGTTAAACCACGAAATTATGAGGGACTTGAAGAAGGCCATGACCGTAGTGTGTTTGTTCAATGCAGAATTCGGTATATCAGGATGCTCGTAAATAAAATAAACACTATACAACCAACGCCAATTCCTCCCAACCATCTGGTCAAACTTGTACAAAGAAGAAGAAACCCAAGAAGTAGAGATCATTGCTCATCATGCCAGGCCGAGTCCAGGTCCAACCCATCACAAACCTCAGCCTGTTGCGCGCGCCAAGTGCCAAACAGCGGATTCCCAGCCCACTTAACCCGACCATCGGCATCACTTTCAAAGTAGACGTAGCCCGGCTCCTCCTCCTGCGGCTCTGTGTCCTTGCCCTTGACGCCCCACGGCCCAGTAACCAGACGGTTGAAGCCCGACAACGCCATGTTCGGTATATGCGTGCGCGTCTCGATCTTCCCACCACCAACATTGTTCACCGCGATCAGGTAGACAGGTGGTATGTCCGGATCGCGGGCTGGACGCAGCGGCGCAGGGATCCAAGCTTCGTTATTATACGACTCCTTCCGGTTCCTATCATGTCGAAGTGGTAATGGCCGGGACAGAAGGACGTCATCTAACTTTGAGCTGTCGAGAAGCAGACCTGGCGTATGCACATACAGCACGCTGTCATACTGCATGAACTGGTTCTGGCCCAGCCGGAGCAGCTTCGAGTCTGTAGGCGTGAATCCCTCCTTCGTGGCGGCTGTCATGTCGATTGGGAGGAGCCAGATATCATATTTCAGGCTTGCGGCGCGAAGAACGGATATCGCGGCGGCGGCGGTTCTGCTGAGTTTATTCTTTGTGGCCGTCCGGTCCCATTCTTCTGGGTACATGAACAGGCGGTCTTGGATGGCGGTGTTATTGGTCGCGAGTTGCTTGAAGAAGAGGACGGCGGAGCAGATATTTGATGGGTCGGGGTCAGAGAGGAGTTGGAGGTAGGCGTAGTTGCCCGGCGAGGGACTGGGATGAGGATCTTGCGAGTTCCTATCTCTATCTTGTAGGACGCCCGGGTCGCCCGCTAATGCTGATGAATCTGATAACCCGCGCTTTCGGAATGTAGATCCATCTCCCTTAAACCCCGCCACGGGCGCATGGTCGGGTACCACGCGGATGGCATGCTGGATGTTCTTGACAGACTGCTGTTGTAGCGTGTAGCCGGCCAGGAACAGGGCCAAGCTGAACATGCATACCACCCCCATCGACACGATGGCCGAGACGGTTGAAGAGGTCAGGAGCACCATGGCCAGAATAAGGTGGGAGGCTGCATTGGACGTGAGAGAAAAGAGTGAGATTGATTAGAATGTCGACCATCGGTGATGTCAGATTGATTGGGTTGTTTATGTACTTCGGGGTTGGCCGTGCGACTATCGATAAGCCGCCTTGGCACGGGACTGACTTCTTTTTCTCTCCACAAACCTCGACTTCACTACCTCACGCGGCTCTCTGCAATGGCTTCCCACCGCGCCGACGCCAGTGCCTTTCTCGACAATCGGGGGTACACGGGCCCGCTGGTCCGGGGCGTCAACCCAGTCACCCTCTTCGAGAAAGCCGTGCGCGACCGCATCACCGACTCCTACTACTGGAAAGAACAATGCTTCGGCCTGAACGCCGCCACGCTGTGCGACCGCGCCACCGAACTGACGTCCCTCGGTGGCACATACGGCGTCTCCGAAAAACCCACGCCCTTTTTGTGCCTCGCGTTCAAGCTGCTGCAACTCAGCCCCGAGCGAGATGTGATCCTCGAGTACCTCAACTTCAGCGACCCGGGCAGCGACGATGAGGCTGAGGCTGCCGAGCCGGAAAACGGGGTTGTCAAGGAGCGCGGCGATTTCAAGTACCTGCGCGCACTAGCGGCGTTCTATGTTCGGCTCACTTTTGATGCTGTGGATGTGTACAAGACGTTGGAACCGCTGCTGCTTGATTATCGGAAATTGAAGCGCAGGGTCCGCGATACCTTTGTGCTCACGTATATGGATCAGTTTGTCGATGATCTGCTTACCAAGGATCGTGTCTGTGGTACCAGTCTGTGGAAGCTGCCGGCACGACAGCAGTTGGAGGACTTGGACTTGTTGGATGAGCGGGTTAGTCCGTTGCAGGATGAGTTGGAGGAACTGGATCGAGAAAGCAATGCAGAGGATCGCGACGAGGGCGGAGAGGGCAGTGAGGAAGGGTCTGCCCAGGGTCAAGACAATGGAGAAGATTGAATACTCTGGTCCTGGCCCACTTCTCCATCTACGCACCCTCTCGGAGTCATCGGCATGTCTCCTTCGTCAGTGAAACAACCACTGCATCCACACGCCCGGCTGAATCCAGTGCCGATCAAGCACTCGGCCTCACCGACATGCCTCTGACATCTCATGCATTCGTTGAATCGAACATGAGTCAACAAGCGCCGGCTCTTGTTATCGACAACGTGGTGCAATTTTGCACACCATGATATATTACAGCTGTGTCTGGCGTGCTTCTTGTTACTATGGTCATTTTTGGAAATTTTCGATATCCATGACTCCTTTCCTGGCGCGCCTGCACAAACTATATGTACAATAGCCTCACCGAGACATGACCCTGATCTCGAATGGATGTCAGCGGCGATTTCAAAATGACATGATGAAATCACGTTTATATACAGAGTATCCCCAAAGCTTGCACCCTAAAACCCTTGCTGGCGGTGCCACTTTTCCTCCCAATTCTTAAACCACGGACTGTCATCCAAGGTGGCAACCTCCCAATTCTCCGGCACAAGGCCCTTATCCTCCTGCTCCTGAGCCCATTCCTCTAGCTTCGGCAGTACCACATGGTGAACATGCCACGTTCCCTTATACTCCATAAAACTCTTCTTTCCCTCTTTCAGAACCTTAGCAACAATAGCCGGCACCCCGGGCTCATCCCGAAATTCCAAAAGTGGCGTGAACAGCGCCTTGAAGTTGAACACAACAGCCCCGGAAAGAGGCAGACGTCGGAGGGTCTGCCAATCCACGCGCAATGTGCATTCGCCAATGCGCAGATTGGGATCCTGCTTTCGTCTTTCCTCTTCGAGCGGGTCGCCAGGCGCCATGTACAATGGCTCTCCAACCTCGAGGCCCCATGAGCCTCGCTGAATGGGCTTTTCGGTCGGCATCTTGGTGAAGAATCTGTGTATATCAGAATATTGCTTTTGAAGAGATATGAGGCAAACATACCGGTCCATGGAGAACTGCATTTTCTCCTTGTAGTCCGGAATCGGCTCGTGGATCTCATGCAACTGGCGATCAATCTTCGAGCCCACGTTCCAACCTAGGGCTGAGCAGATCACCGCTGCTCGTAGAATATAGTAGCCCGTCTTGTCATCACGCAGCATAAGTGCAAAGTCCTCCGGCACGTTGTCGAGGAGGATTTCGAGCGGTGGCTTTGCCCTAATATCCTGCTCCGTCCCAAGAATGCGGTTGTGCAGTACGCGGTTGTCCACGAGTGAGAAATAGTGCGGATATCGCGCGCAGATGAATTGCAGCACAACCTCCATCAGCTCCTTACAGGCTAGCTCGGAACCAGGTAGAGCGTCAAGAACTGCTTTGCCTTCCTTGGCATATAATTCCTTGCGTTGGTTGATGCGGCTCTTATACGTTTTCTCGAGCTCGATCCACCAGTCGGTGTCTAGTTTTGTGAGGGCTGTATCAGGTTAATCAATGTCCATTCTGAGTGTGTACTACCAGTTGGGAGAAGGACTGGACATACACATGGTCTGATGATAGGCCCATCTGAACGGACGATATGGCCTGGGCATTGCCTTGTTAATATCAAACTGGGGATAAGGTCTGGGCAGCGGAACACCGCTAAGCGTTGCATAGTCAGGAAAGTCGCCTAGGGCTTTGACCTCTTGTACCGAGAACCCCGTTGGAGTGTAAAGGCTGCCTGGGCTTGTTCTATAATCTGCCTTCATCGGCAGAATCTGTCGTGATACTTCTTCCTCGCTTACCTCCTGCCAGGGCACGGCATCACTCTTCAGTTCGGCCAGGGCTGCTCTGCGTTGGGGCGGTAGGGCACAGTTGTAGCTTGTGGGCGAGCTGCGCTGGGCTTTATCAGGGGAGAACGAGCGAGGTGGGGTTTTGGCTGTTGAGTCTCGACGGCGGCGCAGGGTCACTCTGCTCAGGATGGTTTTGCCGAATGATCGATTTAGGGCATAGGATAGTCCTGTGGCGGCAACTAGGAATAGGCTGACTCGCCAGATATTCTCTGGACTCAGTAGTTGATCCATGTTGTCTGAGTTCATGCGGCTGTATATCCTGAAAGGTGGCGCGTTGGCATGCAAGTATGTTGTGTCGTGTCTCTTCGATGCTGGTGCTCGTATACTTTCCACACGAGTTCCCCCCAGGAGAGGAGCCCAAATAAGTATTCCGAGCCTAGACGGCTGGGCAATCTGGGATATCCTATTATCGCTCATAGAAGACGAAGATCACAATGCGGGGGTGGTGGTCTTAGTTTCCCCGATTGACAGTGACAAGATATACGCATCCGACAATGAAGGTTTGTGACACTCGGTCGAATGCTTTTTCCCTATCTGGTGAGGAAATGCACGGCTATGACGACATGCGGAGAGATATCACAAATGTACTCGTGGAATAATGATGGCTTTGTCCTTTTGCTATCGCCGTGCCTCTTGGACCTACTTGATAGATTATCCGGAGGCAATTTACCTGTAGATGGGTTATTTTTCCTCTTTATGTTAGGCGACTCAACATTGCTCAGATGCTTGATCGATTCTACTGCCTGATTTTTGTATACTGATAATCAAGCATCCGAAGGATTCCAAACCGTTTTGCTATCTCAAATGTCCTTTTCCGCTTCAGACAAGATAAGACTGGACTATCTATACAGAAGCGGGCACACCCTCACCTTACCCGAAACGGTTAAAATGTCCCGGCTCGATGGCATTCTTAGTCACCAAACCACTCATCAATTAGGCATGTGGATTGAGAAACGAAAAGTAATAATGAAAGTAGATGAGGAGAATAGAGGAAGTCCAGCGAAAATATTATCAGTAGTATATCCCGAAAGTCGAACCATCTTAGCCCTAATAACAATCCTCTGCGGTCCACTCCTCTGACCAAATCATGTTGAAATCATTTAATCATCCAATGATTGTAAGTTATTAATTAGCATTGGAAAACCTGAACATTTTGTGACAGGGAGCTACAAGACAATGGTTAAGCGCTTCAGTTTCGATGATTCCCAGAAACCTCCCTCGACAGGACAAGAGGGGCTTATTATCTAAAACTTATTGAAGAAAAAATGAGGTGGCTATCAGTGTAGACCTCTATAAAGAGCCCATTGCTACTTTTAGCAATCATGAGTACTAGGCCACAGCCCCAAACTCCAAACAGGTTGGAGACAATCAAATGTAATTCAGAACGGTCATCTGTGGAGAAGGAATTCTATCAGACATCGCCTAGTATGACATTGTTTAAGTGATCTTGAGAGCTGAATACTGGCGTTCTGGGAGTGAAATGAAAGAGTGCAAATGATTGATTGAGTGATGTCTGAAGTGGGAAGTAATGAGGCTATCTAAACCGACTATCTACACGGCTCTTGAAGAGGGAGTGTCACATGACTGCGATGTGGTCTCGACAAGTCACAGACATTGGACGTAAATGAATGCTGGATACAAGACAGCTACGGAATATGAACATCAAATCATTTACTGGTTCGTATCCCACACCTGCCCCGCAGTAACGGATGATTCACAGGATCAAGCGTTGGAGGTGGTGGTGACCTCAACCTGCTGAGTAGTGATCTGCTTCTCGGTATTCAGATCCTCCAGGTTCTCGACACCAGCAAGACCCAGCTGCTCGTTAATTCTTTCCATGCGGAGACGGTCACTTTCGGCAATGCTCTCCTTACTACCGCCAAAGAAAACGTCCAGCTCCTCAAGGGTTTTGTCCTTGGTCTCAGGAGCGAACTTCCAAATGAAGGCACCGCCAAGACCGCTGAAGACGGCGAAGAAAATATACGTTCCATATTTCATAGAGTCTATAATCCATTAGTGACTGCTCATTATGTATATGAGGAGTTGGGAGGAACGAACCGAGCATATCTTTGGTCGTCAGGCCAATGATAAAGTTGAACATCCAGTTGGTGGATGCGACGATAGCGACACCGCGAGAACGTTGACTGTTGGGGAAGATTTCTTGGGTCAACACCCAGGCGACAGGACCTATATATTAATATTTGTTAAGGAAAATTCAAATCCAGAGCAAAAAGGGGATCGGGATCAAGAAGCATACCCCAAGAGTAGGCAAAGTTGACTGCAAACAGCCAAATAAAAGCGATAGCAACCCAGCCTTGCGGCTTGTCCAATCCCTCGTTCAAGTTCCACTTATCCTCGTACAGACCCTCGACGATGGCCACAACAATGTGGCACAGGAACATGCCAATAGCACCGACGATCAGGAAGGTTTTGCGTCCAAACTTGTCAAGGTAGAGCACGGAGGGCAGAGTAAAGAGAATTTGAAGGATGCCAGTCACACCGGTGGCGAGCAGGGTGATCTTGGTCGACGAAAAGCCAAAGGAGCCGAAAATCTGAGGCGCATAGTACAGGACAGCGTTAATACCGGTGAATTGTTGGAAGACCATGGTGCAGCAACCAATCATCAGACGCTTGAACATGTTCGGCGCAAACAGAGCCTTCCATGGGGCCAGGGCGCCACCGCTTCCAATAGCCTCCCTCTCAGTCTCTTCGTCAAACATGACAGCGGCCTTGATTTCAAGGAACTCAGCGCGCACTAGCGGGTCTGAACCGGGAAGGCGGCGAAGCTTGGAAAGGGAAGCGAGGGCCTCGTCGTCGCGGTGCTTCATCATCAACCAACGGGGGGAGAAGGGGAACCAGAACATGCCGAAGAACAGGATCCAGGCAGGGATAATCTGGAGGGCCAGAGGAAGGCGCCAGGCAATGGTCTTCTGACCCAAGCAAGTGTGGCTACTGTTTTGGGCGGCATTATAACTATGATTGGGCCCGTTGTAAGGGTTGGCAACACCTTCGGGATTGCAGGTAGTGCCACCAACGTACTGCATGCCGTAGTCGAGCCAGAAGGCGATGGTGGTACCGATAGTGATCGAAAGCTGCTGCAGAGACACGAGCGATCCACGCAGCTCCGGGGGAGCAACTTCAGCCTGGTAGAGAGGAATGACCATGCTGAACATGCCGATGCCGACACCACCGATGACCCGGCCGGAGAAAAAGTATGCGGGCGTCTGTGCACCAGCCTGAAGACCAGTTCCCAGGGTAAAGATAACGACAGCAACCATCATGGCGTATTTACGCGAGATGCGGTCTGCGAGAACGCCGTTGATGAGAGCGCCGGCCCAAGCACCGAGCTCCAGTGCAGAAACCAACCAGCCCTGAATGATTGAACTTTGAAAATAAGGGAAGTGATTCTCAAAGTTCTCCATGACAAGGATAGGACCCATCACTCCCTGATCGTATCCGTACATGATACACCTGGAGGGTTATTTTAGTCACGGCGGGTACGAAAACGGTAAGAGAGTGATGAGAGTATATTTGGGGTTAAAAGGAGATAAAAAAGTGTTGGAAATTAGTAAACGTACCCTAGGGATGCAAAACAACATGTCAAAAAGACATAGGGGTTCTTAATCATACCCACGAGACCGTGAGGCTTCTCCGCGTTGGCGCGGCCAACCACCGACTGACTGACTGCCATATTGGAAGGCGTACAACGCAAGTGGTCTTGATAAAGAAGAAGAAAGATATAGGATCAGGGGATGAAAAAGCTTCCCGGGTTGGGAAGGATGCGCTGGACTATATAGTCGCATCGTTTCACGTCTTTCGCTCCAAGAACCGCCTGCCAATCACCAACGGCACCATATGAACACTAGAATTAGATATCCATGTACCTCTCAGGCGAGCCATGAGTACGCTAAGGCCCATATTGGTTGGTAAGGCCGAGGTGGGAGGGAAATTATCGGAAATGCGATACTCCGCCCTGGCAAGAAACATTCAAAAACAGATCATTAGAGACTAGCGGACGCCATCAAGCCATGCCAAAAAGAAGCAATTCCACTCAAGCTGCACTGTCTATTGGTTGACACGAAACGAGCGCACGCGGCCGATCCGAAAAAGCGCCACCATCCAGCTGCCCACTGGCTTTGATGAGTCGTAATTTGTCCTCCCTTCGTCAGCGACAGATGGCTCTATCATCCCACATTCGTGTACCTGTACGGAGTGTCTACGGGCTAGTGCTTACGGCGAATATTCTGTGCTATGAGACCTCATCCCCGCCTGGCCGATATTTGACCGGTGCTGGTTCACTGTGAACTCCAGATATGTCGGCGACGAACTGTCCTCGCAATACCTGGGACGTCTGATCAACGCAGCCAGTGGGAGCATTGTCCAACAAATAGATTTACGGGTCATCAGGCTACAGAAGGTGACTGGCTATATCCCGCCGTCTGCATTGACAGAACTGAGGACAGCAATCACTGCCGCTAAGCTGGTCCAACCAGGAGAACGGATCCAACAATTTGCCAACGATCAAGAAACCGGCATAGCATGATCTAAACGTATCACAAGCTCTATTTGGAATTTGCTAGATGGCTGCTAGCTCTAGATCCGGATTAGTCGGTTGCTTATGCGTAGAGGTACGGTAGCATTCTGGAGTAGTGCATGTGGTGGCTTGCTCTAATAATTCTCTCCAGAGGCGCCGGGGGGGCACACGCCACCAAACAATTTGTGTGGGGGAAAAGGGCATGGTTGTGTGCTGGTCAGCCTATAGACTGACTCGCCAGAGTGACACTAGAGGAAATTCAGCGAGCTGACCGTTTCGCTCTTCGGATGCGTCGGCACCCAGCTTCTTTCTTTTAATTTTTAATTCTCGGTCTAGACGTGCCTAGCCAAGACTCGGGGAACCGAGATCCACACGGGACGATGCGTGTCTCAATGCTTTGCCACGCTGTAGTGATCCTGCTAGCACAGCGCGTAAGAATCCAGCCTAATCCGAGGACATTCCAGTTCCAGACACTCGGTGAGCCGATAAGAGTGAATGGAGACAAGAATGATATTCCGGGACGCAAACCTGGGGTCAGACGATCAGCAATAATTTTTCTGACCCGCACAGGGAAGGGCTGAGACGAGCTGAAGAGGCGGGCTCGTCGCGTTCTTTGTTAGAGTATTCGGCCCCGAGCGCGCAAATGCCGTTCTTCCGATGTCGGCCGTGAGCAAAAAGGGCCCCATGGGGTATCCTCGCTTATCTGGATCGACCAATCGTACATCTTGAAAAGCCCGTCCCTGGCTCGGGTCTAGCCGAAAATGAATTCAAGCCCTTTGATGATCCCGGTTTTCTTGTTTCATCTCGGGCCACTGCCAAGCTATTTTCGGAGTAGCCCTATGTTGGGAAACGTGCGCTGGCTAATATCTTAGTTTGTCCCTGGGGTTAAAATAGGGCTCTGTAAATCGATTATTGTATTTTAGAAGGCGATCTTGAGTCTATCTGACGACGCTAATAATGGAAACATCTGGATCAGCACCAGTACCTGTAGATCAAGATCTGCATAACGATCCCTCAAAGAGTAAAATGCCTTTTTATGAGGTGCGTCTAGGTTTCTTCTTAAAGGATAAATTTGTCCATGTGCCATAGGGCTAACAAGTTCTGCGGAAGAAGGAACAAAGCCACATTCTTCTGGGGATGTCCTTCTCGCCTTCATGATAAAGCTTCGGTCAATCGTTCCATATCCCGAGTCCCCTAAGTGTAACTTTGCCGTTTCTCTTTATCATCCTTTGAGTTCAGCAACTGAACCAAATGCTCTCCAATCGACTCTCCGACCATATCATAACCTGCTGGTGTTAAGTGCAAGCCATCATCGAAGACAAGCTGCCTGAATTCTTCGGTGGCATTGTGGCATGGAATCTCACGACGCAAATCAAATGCATGACTATAAACAGTTGAGTAAAATGCAACGTCATGGTCTCTGGGTCACTCACAATCGTTCAGCTTTATGTGAGGGAATGTGTGAGTTTAACTTGTCACGTCTATCATCGAGCTCCTGGGACCTTGCTGCACATTCAGGAACAGTTAAGGCAAGGACATTTGCGCCCGAAGCGAGAGCCACGTTCCAACTGCCTTGTAACGCAGAGTATATATCATCGGGTTGACAGCGATATCCAAGATCACTGAACGGCAGTTTTAGCACCCTTGCAATCATGCCGAAACGAGGGTGATGAAGACTGCTCACTTTGTTCCCCCGAGGACAATAACCCAGTCATACTGGGTGCTGAAACACTTGTCTTGAATCCGACGCAGGAAGCTTCCTGGCGGACTAATGGCCAAGTCTCCAGGAACTCCATCCGCGTCGATTATCATTTCGGTGTCGGGAAATGCTGCTTTGAGCGTTTCCCTGAGTTTCCCCGCATATGGATGGTAGTGTAGTCCATAACAATAGTAACCCGCCGTCAAAGAGTCGCCAAAGCAGAGAATTACCAGCTTTTTGGTCATGACGTGCTCAACGATAGTGGTATGACTCGATGTAATTCTTGCTGACGCTTGATGTTTGCCGTGAAACTCGGCTGCAGGGGTCGCGATTTGTTTGTCTCGAGATCACGTGTGAGAGGACTGACACCTAGGGCATAATCGACAGCAAGAAAAAATACAAGCCTTATCTAGGTGTGTTACTTCTATGTGAAGAAATTCATGACTAACTAACTAGGCTACCTTCATGCGGAGTTTTCACGAATCATAAATTCAATTTTCTCAATATTGTGCCTGATATAGATCGCAAATATCTATACACAATGTACGTATGCTTAACAAACGCTGCAAGCCTTACCCTCAAGAGCATCAGCAACAGCATAATAGGCCGGCTTGGCCTGAAGAGTATTGTTGAATAGAGCTGCACCGCCCTGTCCGGCGAAGGCACCCGGGACCCAAGAATAAGCGTCATCGAAATCCCATACAACGATACCAATGCAACGGGGACCAGCTTGAACACAACTGGCAACGCTGGTGTAGTAATCTGCGGCCTGCTGTTGTTGGCCGGCAGCAGAATAAAATGGAGCCTCCGCAAAGCGAACGTCCAGCTCTGTGATAGCCACATCCAGGCCGGCGTGGATGTAAGACTGTTTGGTGGCGAGCTGATCGGCAAGAGAAGGCGTTTCACCAACGATAAAGTGCGACTCGAGGCCAACGCCATCAATTCGAATACCGCGCTTTCGCAGCTCACTCACAAGGTTCAGAACAGCATCAACTTTGGTGCCCGGGTTCTCAATCCCGTAATCGTTGTAGAAAAGCTTGACATCATGTGCCCCGATCTCCGCCAACGCCTCCTGCGCGTATTGGAATGCAAGATAGAAATATTCCTCGCCAATGGTGTCATACCAGACGCTTGAAGAGAACGTGCCATCGCCGTTGAGGGCTTCGTTAACCACATCCCAAGAGTAGCAACGTCGGCCGAAGTGCTGAACTGTCTTGAAGATGTGGTTCCTCATCACCGCAGTAAGAGCTTTGGCAGTCCAGTTTTGCGATGTGACAAAATCGGACAATTCGCTGACCCACACGAGATTGTGGCAGCGCACTTGGCTGCCGTAGCGTTCGGCCACGTCTAAGAAGTAGTCGCCCTCAGTGAAATTGAAGACGTTCTGTTCAGGCTCCGTGTACATGAACTGTGGAAGGAAAAAAAGTCTTGTCAGAATAGATAAAAAGAAAGAAGTTAACTGAGGAATACCTTCATAGCATTTGCGGGAGTCATCTCTCCGAAGTTCTTTCGCAAAACATTCAAGTATGCGGAATCGGTCGTCTCCGGTGTTCCAGGGATATCCGCAGCAGTGCCAAACCATAGCTTACCCTGGTGGCGAGCAAGGGTATTAAGATCAATGGGAGTTTGATGTCCAAAATGAGGTGCTGCCTGCGCTAGGCTGGCAAGTAGAGCCGTAATAGCCAAATATGAGCGCATTTTGGAAAGTAGTAATGTAAAATGAGAGAGGATGAGAGATGTCAACCCCAAAGTCCGGGGATTGCAAGTAATTTAAATCAATTGCAGGTAAAATGGTAGAAATCACGGCGCTAATCAATTCGGCCTGAAGCTTAGGTGTTTGTTGACAGCCGGAGATTTTCTGGGGAAAGCGTGGAGAAGTTTAGGCTATAGTTTACGAAGAGACACAAGGGCGAAACCGTTTTTTAGATTGCTTTAATTTTAACTAGGACGTAAAGAAAGACCGAAAATGCATTGAAAGTCAAAGCTTCATTATAGCCTCGGCTGCGCAAGCCCTAAGCGATTTAGCCATGCGTTTTCGATTTTACCGGATTAGCCGTGACGAGTAGGTACGAATTACAATTCTGGATACGATGTATGGTTTCGCTTGAATTAACCTCCCATAGTGGCCCTATCTGAGCAACGACCCGACACTCACAGTTTGTCGGCTCAATCTCTCGGATGTGATTTAAGCTGTTGCTCTTGAGTATAGGCTACAGACCTCCCAATTTTGGAGGGTCATCCATAGAAGCAAAGGCACCTGTACATGAGATGTACATTGATTTCGGTAATTTAATCAATCAATCAATCAAAGTTCTATTAACCTGATGGAGCCCTGACTAGTTGCGTCGAGGCTATACAGGCACTTCTCCCAACCCGAAGCAGAGCCTGGTGTCCCATCTCCAGATTCGCCGTTTGCAATAAACAGACGTACAAAGAAAACCTGTCCTCCGTTGGGAGGCCAGCATAGAAAAGTGTGTATCCGATCCTATACCCAATCAAGGCCCAAAAGTAGAAAACATAAGACCCACAACATTTCACTTCTTCTGCCTCCTCTCGTCCCCGTATCTTGCTCTCGCCTTTCCCTTGTTAGCCTGTCCAAGCGCTCCAAATCTTCGATTGATCATGGTGGCGTAGCTAATTGGTAAGTGGTGAGTGTCCGGCCCTCTCGGAGGCTCAGTCTTAGAGTCCATTAGTGAATGCACAGTGTCTTCACAACCTACTCCATGGCCGCGAGGCCGATTCGTTCGGGGTCGTCGTCGTCTGGTTCCCGTTCAATGTGTCGAAACTGTCCGAGGATGCCAGTTTGATGCATCATCGCAGCAGCGTAGCGGGCTGCGCGCGGGTAAGATACGATTGCCTCGTATTCAGTCGTGCTGCGAAGATCGGTGCGAGCGAACTTGTCGAGCATGGTTCGTCATAGATCGCTGTCCAGCGGGCACTGGAGCAGAATATGTCTCGGTGTTTGAGACCCGCGATCGCAGCCACAACGATCTGATTCCCTTTCCTTGATCTTGTACAGGAAGTGGACTAGGCCAATCTGCATCGACCTCATCTGGATGAGTATTGACGTGTACGGCTTAGGCAGGCCATCGTACAACCCCAGAGCCTTCCGATTTGGCACCTCGATTATTATCCAGAGCAAATTATGAGACGAGGTCACTAGAGCATTCCGTAGACTGTAAAATTTTGCTATGCAGAGAACTGTGGAGATATGACGAGAGGCAAATGCGAAGAGTTCAACGCTATTATTGTTCAATAAATATATCTCAGAAAAAGGCATACTAGCATAGAAGCAGTACATAATAGTCAATCTCCCAGTCTAACAGCAAACTATTCACTTGGCATGGCCCAGACCACGAGGTCATTCCTTCCGTTTAACCTCTAATCTCAACCGCAGATGCGACTGCCTTCTCATTGTCTGCCCCATATCTATCATCGCCATGCACAGCAAGCTGCTGGACTTTCTCCGATGCAACCGCTCCACCCAGAATAGCCTGCTCACCGTCGAAGATCTTCACAATTTCTTCCAGAGGAATCTCCTTTGTCTCAACAAAGAACTTCCAGACAATGAAAATTTCGAAAACCAGGAAGACGCAGTACACAATGTAGTACTTCCACTGGATAGCATCAATGGCAATTGGGTTGACATATTGGTTGAACCACAGGCTGAGATCGACACAAAAGAACATGAGCGTGAGACCCTTGGCGCGGAGGTGGTATGGCAGAATCTCAGACGAGTAAGATACCAAGAGACCGCTGTATCCAATATTGTATGCGATGTAGTAGAGGAAGATGAACGCAAGAACTGCGTGACCGGCTGCCTGGTTTCCATTGGGTCCGTTGTTATAGAGAGCCAGAGCAATTGTTGTGGAGATATAACACAACAACATGGAGATACTCGATGTCAAGAAAAGCTTTCGTCGGCCGAAGTATTCCACCCAGAAGCAAATTCCGATGGCCGAAACGCAGTTAACAGCACTAAGAACCAAGTTGATGGTAAGTTGAGTGTTGGAGTTAGTAATGCCAATGAGTTTGAGAACCTAGTTTGGTGAGCCGCTGGCATTCATGATTAAGGCAAATAATAGCCAGAGATGCAAACATACCTGAGGCAAAAAATAGGAGACGATGCCGTTTCCAGACCACTGCGAAAAGAAGCCAATGCAAACCAGAATCAGTGTGCGGTGGCGGTTGCCTTTGGTTGACAAAAATTCGGTCCACGCGTTCTTCGTAAATTCCTTCTCGAGTGCAATAGTCTGCTGGATCTCCTCAAACTCCACGTTTACCAAGGCATCGTCCTCGTCACCCTGGGCATGAACATATGCTAGGACTTTCTTGGCCTGCTCAAGCCTGCCCTTAGAAATGAGCCAACGAGGGGACTCAGGCACCATCCTAAAAGACTAGAGTCAGCCAAATCCGCTTTGTTGGGTTGAAAGGGGCTGTAACAATGGCTTACCAGATGAATATCAGCTGGCAGATAGATGGGACTCCCTGCAGCAGACAAGGAACACGCCAAGACCACGCGCTATTGTGAATGTGATTCGTGCCTGATCTTGTGTTAGATAACTGCCATATGATATGTGAGGAAAAGACATACCCAAAGCGACACCGGCACCGATCAAGCTGCCCACATACCACAGTGAGTTGTAAATACTGCTGTACGTGGCTCGGTGCTGCGGATGAACAAGTTCGATCACAAGAAGCGGAGAGCATTCCTGTTGCAGCCACAATTAATTATCGAATATCCAAAAGCATATTGAGCCCAATCATACCTGTGCAATTCCCAAGCCGAATCCAAGGATCATGCGACCAACGACAAACAAGGCAATATGATAACCGATGGAAACCATAACGACACCGAATATCATGATGACACAGCCCACAACTACACCAGCACGTCGACCCAGAATGTCTGCCACGTATGGGACAACAGGAATGGCAAGCATGGAACCAATTGACATGGCTGCGGCTAGAAGACCAAGAGTGCCCCCGGAGGGGTTATTGTAGGCTGAATGCACACATGAGTTAATGTTTCCTAGCTGATAATAATCTCGACACTTACACTCATTCCAAGACTTCATGGATTCCAGCCCATTCATCAGGGAACCGTCATAGCCTTGAATGATCGAGTTAGCACTTCAGTGAGCAGTGCGTAAAGGGTCCTTGGGTATGATACCGTTGGTGGCGGAGGTAATCATGGCCGCCCAAAGAGTGAGATAGACAAAGCGCATGCCCTTCATCTTCCACCATGTCACCCTGGGCCAGTCCTGCCCGGCAAGCCGGAAAGTATCCTTTCCCATGTTGAAAAGTCGGTTGACGATTCCACAAGACTTGAAATGTAACGAAAATAGGGCCGACAACAGCGAAGTCTCTGACGAAGTTGGAAATTATGTGACTCCATTCTGTTGCTGCCGGCACCGAAGTATTTAAACACGAGGGGGGCAAAAGTGTATGGTCTAGAAGCGGGATAGGCACTGATTTGGCGGCAAAGTAGGGTAAAATGAATCCCCCAATAACGTAAAACCAAATACCCTGGCAACCGAGAATGGCGAAACAACAAAGCTCAGGGGAGAGGCTAAGATAGGCTCGCACAGACCCACCAGCAACTGTAGGGGCAAAAGCAACAAATGCCGGGGATAGAAACCTGACACGGATCGTGAGCCGTGGCCCAAAAGTCTAATTCAGGCTAAAGTGGGTTCGAAGAAGCTGAAGGAGGGGGAAAATGAAAGGGGAATATTGCCCGTAACACTTTATTGCGACTTTGGGGGTGGCCAAAGCCAGGGGAAACTTAAGGGCGTTTCTAAGCGATTGGCCGAGGAGGCCGTAGTGTGGCTCCAAACCGCAATCAGTGACTGGTTCAACCATTCATTGGCTCCCGCTATTCTCTCCCCGGATTATCAGCTGGCAAATCTGGGGTTACCAAATGCCCATATTTTCTAGACAGGTGAACATGAGGTAGATACACGAGACCCGTTTGACTTTTCGTTAGGCTAATTAGACAGCCAACCACGGTCGGACTTTTCCAACGTCAGCCAAAATAGACGAAGAAATTACTTTTGCAGGGTCTTACCTCTCTGGAGCGATCGCATTAGCCAGGAGCCAGTCCCTGGCTCGGGTCTAGCCGGAAAATGACTAGTACGTAGGAAAAAAAAGGAACCGATTATTGGGGTTTGGAATTTTCTGGTTTTACCATTTTAGGCTGGCAGTCCCAAGCGGCATCATAACATTATGAGGGTCAATATGGCTTTAGCTCGATTTCCAAGTTTCGGAAGAAGTACTCTAACGCTACATGCTAAATCCAGCCGTAATCGGGCTTATTGACTGTGGCATGTAATTAATTTGCTAAATTTGCTTCAAATGTGTACAAGACAAGCGACGCATCTGATCGGAAAGAATAACCGAAAAGCTGCTGAGGTTCGTATTTCTGGTGATTTGCGCTCACGGTTTGAATCGAAATGTAGAGAAGCAAATTGTAGAAAAGGCTGAAGACGGAGAGTAATTGATTTACTTCCCTGCAGCCCTATTCAAAGCACCATGGGATACAACCAATGGTAGAATCGATCATCGAGACAGCCAAGCTATCAAATAGCTAAATAATCGACAAGCTTTTTGAAAAGGGATGACACTCGCGCATCTGATACAGTGATTAGACGCTGGTTTCCGTCCATTCACGTGACCCCGGGGCTTGCTCCGCCGCCGTTTTGGTCTGCCAATATTCCGTAGCTGTTCCTTTTGCATAATGGCGCCCACACTAAAAGGGTGGAAGGTTTTGAAACCCCGGAATGGCTGCAGTGCAAGCGACGGAGGCTCAAGTGTGATGAAAAACGGCTCTGTTGCTTGCACTCAGTGTGTGAAATGCCGAACCCCGGTTCCTTCTCCCCGCCACCGGGAGTAGCGACGGAACTTCTCGCTTAATCTTGTCGTCCCATCCTCGAACTAGCCAAGATATATAACCGGCGAAAGCAGGGCCCCAGGAAATGGCTTTGGATGAGGAGACATAGGGAACCATTCTCCCATGTGGCAAAGAAGTGAATCCTTTTCTTCGCTTTTCAAATTCGGGGGTTCGTCTTGTTTTGATCTTCCTTTTTTCCCTCCCTTTGGCAGATACATAGGATTTTCGACACAGAGAGAGAGCAAGGATCGAGAAAGCTTCCCCTTTAGTCAAATTAGTGGGGCGGCCAGCCCCTATCGTTGTAAGGTCCGAGAATCCTGTACGACAATGCCCGCGATCCAACCAATAAGCTTCTGGCATTGAATCCCTACAATCCACATAATCTTATTACTGAAGATGAACAGGGCGAAAGTCCTCGAGCTTTAGGGGAGTCAAAGTGGTTTTATCTAATTTGGAGTCCCTGATGCCTTGTTATAGTCATACAACCGCTCTCGCCGTCCTCTCATCTAATTTATTTTTGCGGGTGTTCTGAACTGCTTTCTCTGAATCGTTACTATCGGCGACCAAAACCTGGTTGCCCGGCTTGACTGATCAGGACCTGGAGTAAAACGGATAGTCACAGAAACGAGCTAATGATTCTGATCTGGACGACTGGGAGGGAGCGGACGATCCTGCGGAACCCACAAATTGGTCCGTGAGGATGGGTTAGATCCATTGGCATTTAAATCTGATAAATTTTAGAATCAAAATTAAGCAATACCGCCGATCTATAAGATCGGATACCGACGGCATCAACTCAGAGACAGGCAAATTTCCGAGTCCACGCATAATCAATCCCACATGACCGTTCCATGTGCCAGCGGATCAGTGCCCACGCAGCTCCTCCAGTCGTTTTAACAGAAAAGGACAAATTCGCCGTCTCCGGAAGCAAGATATATATCTATCGCAATGCTATCGACCAGTGTGGTTCTCATTGTTGTATACCTGTCTACTCTGCTTGGATGGACCCGCTTAGCCATTCTTAATATGTTAATACTTGTACTTGCCTAGAGATGTTGCTGGTTTGTTATGCCGCATCCCTAATCAGTGAAATCATGCTTCGGTCAAATACACGGACCCACAGTCCCCCATCCCGCCTTTTTGATTGGTGGGTCGGCGAACAAATTTCTCACCATCCGTCGATTGCGCCATCCCTGGCTATACCCATTCGAGGAGCTTCGTCTATAAATTTGTCCTCTGTTTTGCGGTCCTCAATTGACCTGAACGTTGATACTGCTCTCCTATCTACATTCCCTGCTCATTAAGTGTCTTTCATCATGTTTGGCGCGTCTCTCGCATCAGTAGCTCGGCTTGCCAGGTGCCCGGCTTCCTCGACGACTCGGGGTTTTGCAACTGTCTCTCCTGTGAGCTCTGTCAGTGGGCAACATCGGGTTGTCGTCGTTGGTGGCGGCACCGCAGGTTTGACCATCAGCCATCAGCTCCTTCAATCTGGCAAATTCGCTGAAAATGACATTGCCATCATTGACCCGGCAACAAAGCACCACTACCAGCCAGGGTGGACACTAGTGGGCGGTGGCCTAAAGACCAAGTACGAACTTGAGAGGCCACTGAAGAGCCTACTTGATCCTAAGTTCAAATTTTACAACAAAGGGGTTAGCGCCTTTTCCCCTGAGGGCAATTCCATCACCCTGGAGGATGGTGGAAAAGTCAACTACGAGAATCTTGTCGTCGTTCCTGGCATCAACGTCAACTATGGAGGTATTGATGGTTTGTCTGAAGCTCTTGCCGATCCCAAATCTCTTGTATCGACCATATATGGGTACGACACTTGCGACAAAGTCTTCGGTACAATCCAGAAACTGCAGAAGGGTACCGCCATTTTCACGATGCCTGCAGGGGCTATCAAATGCGCAGGGGCACCGCAAAAAGCTATGTGGCTTGCGTTGGACTACTGGAAGCGGGAAGGCCTATACAACATCGAAGATCCTTCCAAATCGGCGATCAAGATCAGCTATGCTACGGGACTGCCAACAATGTTTGGTGTGCCAAAATACAGTGCCAAGCTCGAGGAATTGCGCCAACAGAGAGGGGTCGAAGGATTGTTCCAACATGATCTTAAGGCCATCGAGGGCAACACGGCGATCTTTGCTGGCCCAGAAGGAAAGCAGGTCAAAAAACAGTTTGATCTGCTGCATGTCGTGCCGAAAATGGGGCCCCATTCCTTTGTGAAGCAGAGCCCTCTGGCGAACGACGCTGGGTTCGTGGATGTTGATGATGGCACCACTCGCCACAAACGTTATCCCAACGTCTGGTCCGCCGGTGATGCGTCCAGTCTACCTACGTCGAAGACAGCGGCTGCGGTTACTGCTGAAGCGCCAGTTCTCGTCCAAAATATGTTGTTGTCCATGGAAGGCAAACAGCCTCAGGCGACCTATGACGGTTATACCTCGTGCCCTTTGCTTACGGAGTTCGGCAAGGTCCTGCTTGCTGAGTTCAAGTATGGTGGACAACCTAAGGAGACTTTTGGCAACTGGTTTGGGATCGACCAAATAGAGCCTCGGCGTGCGTTTTACCATCTTAAAAAGGATTTCTTCCCATGGGTGTACTTTAACTCTTTTGTCAAAGGCACCTGGGGAGGACCTAAAGGATGGAATCCCAAGCCTTAAGAGACTGTAATTCTTGCTCGCTATTGCTCACTTGAACTTGTATTAAATCCAAGACAATGAACTTATTATGTTGCAATTGGGACTGTAGTGTCAGTAGTTACCTGCAATGGTAGCTCCCAGTAAGAAGAGGACTATTAGCCAGCTGCCTTCCTCTTCACCCGGCCCCGGCCTCCCAGATAATAAATATGCCAATTGACTCCAGCCCTACGAAAGACTAGTCTGGTCTATTGCTCAAGCGCCTGTAACTGCAAGACAGCAATCACCCGTTAACAACACGTATGCGATACTCAATTGGACTTTGTAAACAGAAGTCCCCCCGGCACGCGCGCAGCCTAGTCGCTGCGCACTTTGACTACGACCTTGCCGCGGGCGCGCTTGGTGGCGATGCGTTCGTAGGCACGAACGGCATCCTCCATGTCGAAGACGGAGTCGACGGGGATATGTACGTGGCCCTCTTCGATTAGGCGTGCTAGGTAAACAGCGTCGTCGCGCGCCGGCGGCGTACTAAACATGATATAGCGGCGCGGCACGCCGCCTAGCCAGGTGGGTAGCCAAAAGTTAAATAGCGCGTTGCGCACCGTCACAAGGGCGCCCTCGAGCGCGCCAATGTTGACCACGGCGCCCTCGGCCTTAAGGTAGGCCGGCGAGTTGACAAAGAGCGCTTGCGAGCCGACGCAGTCGAGCACAAAGTCAAACGGCTTGTCGCTGTACTGCTGCGCTAGGTAGGCCGGCAGGGGGTCTTCCTTCTGGTAGTCTATGAACTATGCGCACGTTAGTTATGTTCTAGTGTAAGCCTGCGGTGACCTCTGCATACCTCGTCTACGCCTAGGCTGCGCACCATAGCCTCGTTGCCACCGCTAGCCACGCCGACAACCTTAGCGCCGCGCAGTTTGCACAGCTGCACGAGCACCGAGCCGACCGACCCGCTGGCCCCATTCACAAGCACTGTATGGCCCTCGCGCACGCCCGCCGTGCGGATCATCTTGAGCGCGGTGCTCCCCGCGCCGTTCAAGCCCGAGGCCGACGCCTTGTCAACCGCGGCGTCGATGCGCGCGACCTGGCTGCCAGGCAACCGCACGTATTCCGCCAGCACACCGTAGCCCATGGCCATGGCGGGGATGCTCTGAAAGGCGACGACGTGCGTGCCCGGGTCGCGCACCTCAGGCGGCACGCCCTCGCCGGCCGCAACCACCTCGCCAGACAGCTCGAGCTCCGGGATCCGTGGGCTGGTGAAGGGCAGTTGGGGCAGAACTTTCATTAGAAGCTCGGAACTGAACTGCAGCGACACGTGCGACACGCGGATCAGCACGTCGGGCGAAGATCCCGTTGGCACGGCCGGCGTGGGGAACCCGGGGTCCAGCTTCAGCTCCTTTGACGCGGGGCCGCGTCGAGGGCGCACCCAGGCGCGCATGGTCGGCGGGATGGCCGGGGCCTGGATAATTGGCGCCATTTCTTCTGTGGCCGGTGGGCGATGGACAGTTGAAGAGGAGGGAAAGTTGGCGGGCAAGAGGGAGATTGACCGACCGATTGAGTCGTCAATAGGCATCAGTGTGAGTACGTGGCAATTGGGGCGAAATTCTGTCGACCTCCGTCACATACTATAACCAGATCTTTTTCACTACAGGCTTATGAATCGAGATACGGGAGATCTTGCCACAACAGCGTACAATTAATGCTGGTCACCGTATTGGGTACAGTAAGGCACAGGAGCCAGATAATCTGAGGCAGGCGGTTGCAGGTATGAAGAAGAGATGCTCGGGAGAACCAGACCTGCCACTGTCAAGGCTCGACAAGCCTTTTTAAATGCTAATCACTACGAGAACATAATCACCCCATTACTGCGAGGAACAGAAGATCATTCAAGCATGTACAAATCAAGTGTAGGGAAGAATTCGTCCCAAGTCTATCAGCGTCAGCTTTATCTGGGGTGGGAAGGGAAGGGGATCGTTGGAGAATGAGGCTTACAGCGACATCCAGAAAACTGGGTATATCGAAGAGGGCTGTGGATCCTTCGAGGGCAGGATCTGGTGGAGCATCGCCACCATACTCGAGTGGAGATAGAATGGTCTGTGTCAGTAACGCCAGTCTTTCCTGCTCCTGCCTCACTTCTTTTGCGGCATCTACGGCACCTGCTTCCTCAAACATATGTGCTGCTTGGCCGAGAGCCAGGAATACTTTCCCATAGTTCAGGAATATATGGGCAACGGTCATAGCCTTGAGGATGAAGTTGATCGCGTGATATGTCGTAATGCCATTGTAGTCTATTGTATATCGAAGCTGATGTCGGAAAACAGGGGACTCGAACTGGGTCTGGAGTAGGAGGACGGCATTATCAAGGGCCTCCTGGATGAAGGAAAGCCGGTTGGGGTCAGGAACATCGCCAAGAGGCAGCATTCCGTGCATGGCAAATCCGTTGATATAACTAACGGCTAGTTAGCGCTCTGATGTCAAAGTTAACGAAGACAGATGGTAAACACTCCACATTTTCAGGAACGTGTATGGTGCCAGGAACCGGTTCCTGTCTTGTTTATTGGCGAATGTCTGATAGAGTGGCTCGATGGTATTGCTAATGCTATAGAACCAGTGATCGAGTTGCTGGTCGAATGATTTTAACAGATCGACGTCTTCTTGTTGCAGTGGATTCAGATGCAGCTGAGATTTCGGGACCTGGGCTTTGGCATTTGCTGTTGTTTTACTCAGTATACGGAACATCTGTGCCTGAGGTGGACGACGAACCGGCAATTGTAAAAGCCTCGATGTAAGCACAGATACGATAGTCCACCGGGCGAGAGAATGGGGAGGTGAGAAGCTTCTTGGAGATGGGGGCGTAGTCTCTCATCCGGTTGATCACAAACGGTCGGTTCAAGTTGGAACTAATCAATGACTTAGTCAAGTATACAGCAGCGACGTGGAGCTCCCCGATATCCTTACACCAAATCAAAGCAGCACAACGTAAACCAGAGCCTCGCACGCTCTACAAGGTCAGCCGTATGCTCGACGGAGTCATCGCCCAGCTGCAATGCGGCGGTGTTGAGGCCCACTTCTGCAGAAACCGAGACCACATAGCCCCAAAGACGGGCACGACCCGTCCAAGCAGTCAGGAGTATCATTGCTCGAATAGCATGGATATCAGGTGGTCGGCCTGAGAATGTGTTCTTCAGCAGCTCATCTGCTTCGGCAACAAAGGTCTGGTATTTCTCCGGCCTGATGGCTCTGGCTGCGGTGATGCATATCACTGTCGACAAAAGGGCATGCTGACGGGAGCGGTCCACAGAGGGGTAGCTCTGCTCGTCTACAAACCCAGTAACGTGGCGGCAATTCAGGTAAAAGCTATACGTCCGGTCAGCGCCCATCGCAGTCTCCGAATGAGAAATGAAAAGAAGTGGTTCACAAGTCATAAAGCTCTTCCCACTCATTCTCGCTCACGATGCCTCGGGACACTATATCTGCCGAGTCATGCCACTGGCCTTGACTAGCCGGAGTAGAGTCCGGCGGTACAGGCTGGGATACGTCTTCTGCGGGACTCAGGTTCTGCCTGGCAGCTAACTGAGCAATCGTACTTTGCATCTCCTGCATGGCCACTGAATGGCGCTCTTCCATGAAGTCCAATCGCTGCTCTAGAAGCCTCAACCTGTCGCTTCGTACACTGTCAAACAACGCTTACCAGTAAATCTCGGGAAGAACTCACCTGGCATCCACATCAGCCGATCCGGCCGATAGCGTGGCGCTACGGGTCGCTTTTGGAGGTACAAAAATACACTCTGCCTTGCTGGCTTTGCATCGTTGACAGGGGACTCTACTGGGCCCTCCGCATTTGAGTTTCTGTCTCCTGCAACGCAGACAGGCGGATAATGACCTGAATGAGATCAACGAATTGGCTCATGTAGCAGATCGGAGTGGTTTCATTCCCACCTGTTTGCTTCAGCCATCTGGGAGACTTCATCACTAGATCGCCTGATGAGAAAGAGTCAAGGATCAGAACCCAGCGGCGAATTAATGGACCTCCTCGTCCCCACTCGGCCCCCGCCCCGCGTAGGGAACTCTTATCAGGAAACCCTAAGACGGAACGCGATTCGGTCGGCCCGACCGATGCACCGGACTGTAGTCTAACTTGGTTAAATACAAACATGGCAGTCGGGAGGTCAAGCAAAACGGTTTCTTGGTGCAGGTGGCACACGCGTTCCTTTATAAACATTGAAAGCCCGGGATCGCTGAAGTTTCATTATTATGGTTCAAACGGAAGACACCCGTTCCTTGGTGAGCAAGGAGATCCAACTGGCCATTGAGCACAAGGCAGATGAGCTCTGGAAAATTAATCAGAAGGTAACATCCGTGATAGTGTATCTCGCTACTCCAGCTCTTTGCTCATCCGACGCCTTAGATCCACAGCAACCCCGAGCTAGGCTACCAGGAATACCAGGCCCACGACAACATTACCTCCATGCTCCAATCTATGGGCTTCTCTGTCAATCTCCACGCATATGGGCTTGAGACCGCCTTCGTAGTTGAGTACGGCACTGGAGGGCGCGTGGTGGCCTTTAACGCCGAGTATGACGCTCTCCCCGAAATCGGCCATGCCTGCGGCCATAATCTCATCGCGACGATGTCCATTGCGGCATTCCTCGGCCTGGCCGAGGCTTTGAAGACACATAAGATGCTAGGCAGGGTGCGTCTCATCGGCACGCCGGCTGAAGAAGGTGGCGGAGGAAAGATCAAAATCATTGACGCGGGTGGGTTTAGGGATGTGGACGCGTGTTTGATGGCCCATCCTGGTCCTTTCGATGAGTGTACCGGCTTCACGGGTGATGCATTCATGCCCACTCTTGCGAGTCATAAAATGAGAGCACGATTCACTGGAAAGACAGCGCATGCAGCTGTCGCCCCATGGGAGGGAGTCAATGCTTTGGACGCGGCGGTGTTGGCGTATAACGGGATCAGTGTCCTACGGCAACAGTCGCATCCAACAGATCGGGTGCATTGTGTGTTTTCGGATGGAGGGGCACGACCAAACGTCATTCCTGGCAGTGCGGAGATCGACTGTTATGTCAGGAGTCCGACGCTGAAAACTGCAGATGACTTGCTCGCCAAGGTGAAGCGATGCTTCACTGGTGGGGCTATCCAGGCAGGATGTGAGATGGACTTTAGGATGTACGGATACCTTCCGTTTTGGTCAACCGAGGAAAGTCTAACTTGATATCCAGGACCAATACGTATGCGGACCTACGGCCCAATGCGACTATCTGTACTCTGTACGCAGATGCAATGACCACCATAGGCTCTGACGTCAAATGTGATCTGCGCTCCACCGGCATCCCGGGCTCTACGGATCAAGGTCAGTATCTTACACGGCCGGGCAGACCAAAGGGATGACAATTATATAGGAAATGTCTCGTACGAGTGTCCCGCGTTCCAAGCATATGTCGGCATCCCAGCCGATCCAGGATGTAAAAACCACACTCCTGGTTTTACTGCCGCAGCCGGCACACTCAGAGCCCACGATCTTTGCATTGAAGCTGCCAAAGGTATGGCTATCGTGGGCTGGAACGTGCTGGCCAATGAAGAGATCGCATCGAAAGTAAAGAGAGACTTCGAACTAGATAGGGACGTGCGTAGTCACGTTAACATCCCGAGTACATTGCTATCCGATGAAGAAACATTGAAATGAGGCCCGACAGAACTTACCTACTGGAGCGGGTTGGTTGCACTTTGTCATGCCAGGTTGGTACTGGCAGACCGAGTGTTACAGCTAAAGTTCCAGCCACATTTGAAGGGTTCCTTGCATATTGACAAGGAGCAAAGTCAGCAGCGCCCACAAAGCTGTTTACACCTCCCAACTACATTCGTACCATCCACAATCAAATCGTTGGCCCATGACTTGCATTCTCTGTGTCACCGTCTCTACTTTCTGTTCTAAAAGTTTCATTGGGAATCATAACCCCTAAGATGGGCTTTTTGTCCATGGGGCAATTGGCCTTTCTCCCTGTTATTTAAAGAAATGGAATGGACAAAGTCGATTTTGAGTTTGGCGCTTATGCGTAGTACCACTCTAATGCTGCTTGATCTAAATTATTACCAACCGCCCCAAACCCGACACCACCCCCCCCCCCCAAAAACCCCTTCCTTTTTCTTGATCAAAGCGAACGTGAGACTATGCCCCGACAATGGTGCTAACAAAATGTACCTGACAGGTCAGCATTGGCCATCCTGACCTTGGTCCAGCCGAGATTTCTAAGCTGCGCGAAACCGGCGCGTAGAATTTGGCCTTAGATATCTCTAAAGAGAACAACTTCATTGCAAATGCTTTCGTGCGAAATAAACTTCGACGACAGGAGATGGTTTTATCACGATTTCGTCGGATAGGTTAGCTCTTATGAATGAGAGACAAAAAGAATGCCGCTCATTTTTATTCGTTGGGGAAACTTTTGATAACCGAGAGAACGGCTAGCGATACAAGGAAGAAGCGAAAAAGCCCAAAGATGTCTCTCCTTAACCTTGCCCATATTCAATCTTCGGCTTTTTAAAGGTCGCCTTCTCACGATGCCAATCATTTTCACACGGCTCCTCTGTAAGATTGCGACCACAGCACTCGTAGATGAAGTTCTCTGGAAACTCCTTACGCATTTCGTCGGAGTCGATTGTTCCGTGACAGTCTTCATCGTGGTCGACGAATGCGTCATAATCTGGCGCGTTATAGTCTGTCCCATAGCTCTGTCACTACCACCCCTATATATTCCTATGGCCCAACACCTACCGGAATGATAGAAACAGCTCTTGCTCGTATTACTTGTGACATCGAACTCCTTGTCGCAGTTTTCGCAAATAGCATAGCGGGTTCGTAATCTCTTAGAGCCGGTAGTCGTCTGGGCGGCTGGTGTGCTCTTATTATCACCCTTGCTCTCTTCATCGTTGTCATCCTCACTACCCTCCGTGTCCGAATCCCCTGGTTCTGGAACATTTGGAACACAATCCTCAGATACGAAAAGTTTTCCCACCAAAGCATATTTCACTGATGGAATGTCACGGTAGATAGCTTTGATTGTTGCTGTGAGGACCTCTTTGGACGCGCGCTCAATTGCGCGGTCAATCTCGGTGAATTCCTCAGCAGAGGTTGTCATTGTCGTGCCCGGGTGAAGTCAAGAGGAAATTTCCATTTTGAACTTTGAGAAAACGGAGCTTTGGGATAATTGAGCTGTTCGAATGGAGAATCTGATGTCGCCGAAAAAGTAGCCACGGAGACGCGACGCGTCGCAGGATTAGTAACGTGTAGCCCTGGCTAAAGTTACATAAACTACCAGTAATTCCTCGATTTAACGAATGTTAACCCCTATTTCGTTATTCTGGGGATTTTGGGTGCATTACATAATATATTGGCTACATATAATCTGCATACAGGGAGCACGTCGGGTATGATTGAAAGTCTTTGGAAGTGTATTATGCTACTAAATATAAAGCTTCTCATGAGTTTATTCCGAAGTTTATCATATCAGCTAAAGTTCATCCATGTCAGCCATGGCTCGTGACTCTGCTCCGCAGTCCCGTTAAGCCAGTCCAAGAAGGGGCCTCTGTCATCGATATCGACGTTATTGAGTAGACTTTCATCAAATGAAATCTGCTCTTGGATATCAAGTTCTTCATCTGAAGTTGTAGGGATAGCAGAAAGATTATCCACAGAAAGAACCTGATCTAAGACATGGCGGATCGCCCGTCGTCCTTGCTCGGCGATTCGATAATTCCCTTCATCGGGCTGGATGATAGTACCGAGGTGTGAGGCAAAGACGCTGAGGTTCTGGATAATTTCGGAGCGTTGAAAAATGTCAGTGTCAGGTATCATAGAGCGAGACCGCCGTAATAACTCGGCGCAAAGGACACCTGCCGAGGGAAGTCCAGCATAACACAGCTAATAAGTAGTCATCTCATCAGTCCAGTTCAATATCGGGCAGTTGGAAAAGACATACATGCCATCCTATGTCCCAGCCAGGTGCCCGTAACTTGGCGATTTTTGTCAACATGGAAAGTGATGCATTCAGAATCTTGCGTGAGGCACTGATGATCGCATCTGGTTGAGTTTGGGTCCGTTTTGCTAGGATCCTGTATAGTAAAAAGTCATTGTAAAGAGAATCCAGGTACAGGTCGAACAAAATGTTGTCTTGCAGAGCAGATGGAATCGGGTCTCCGATGCTGGGGCTCCAATGGAGCCATATAGGTAACTCTTGGTACATCTTATGAGACTCCTGCGATAGATTTCTTGCCTCCTGTCAGTCTCCAGAAACGATGATGGATTCGAAATCCACTTACTCCACCTGTTCAGCCAGATTATCACTCTGGCGACTGAGTGACAATTCCAATATCTTTTCTCGGAGGATACTTGTGTTGAAGTAGACTCGTGCCCAGCAGCCTTTCACCAAGCTGCCCTCACTATTCCAGCCATCGGGAGTCAGCTTCGCGATAGCAGCATTGCGAATATCTGGATGTGCAGCGATCTCTTCACAACTCAAATCCAGCGGCCACTCTATATCACAATAGCGCCAGCTGATAAGCGGTGGTCGGCCGAGAAAGGTTGCCAGAGTTTTGTCCATGGCATATGCACCGACTAAAGCACGTTTTCGCATCTCCCGCAGAAAGAAAGGCAAGTTGGATGACTCTTGATGCAGTCCAAGCGCAAATACAGCTGTCGACAACTCGCCTAGTTTCCTCCAAGGCCGATAGTCTATTAAAATGAGATCTGTCAAAACATACCGTCATCGAATAAAACATGCACGTAACGTACCACTCTCTCCATAGATAGATGTCAGAAGCGAAGTATGGTGAAGGAGCAACAAAACCACAAAGTCATTCATGACACCCGTGCTGTCGCAGAGCTGCAGACAGATATCCCCCACTGCGGTGGCAGTGATAGCCAGACTCTTCGCATCTGGTGAGCCATGCTTTTTAAACATAGGAAGATCGTGTGATATGTATCTCGTTGCTATCCCCATTATTGAGAACATCAAGCCGATTGTTTCCCATCTATGTGAGGCAAAGGATGCAAAATCTTCCCATGACGTAGTAGAAGATAGCTGGATAGGCCGGGTATAGTTCTTGAAGATCCTTTTGGAAAGAGCCAGCGCACATTCACTTTCGTCTTTTATTTTCTGTTTTGCGTCCTTCCACATCTCTTCAACACTGTTGAAAATCATATTGGTCATCGGGTATCCGAGAGTCCATCCTGTATATATTAGTATCAAAGAACTTCATCTTGCGAATTGGGCCCGATGGCGCAGTAATCACCTCTCCAGATCTTGTATCTCTCTTCGACGATTTCTCGATACAGGTCCTGGTTCCTCAATAACATAAGCATTTGTGCACCCAGGCGAATTCGTTGTGCATCTATAGGACCTGGGTCTGTAGATTTAGAGTAAGATGTGTATCCAATCGGAAGGTCACTGCCGTTTTCCAAGAAGACATCGCAGTAGCTTGTACGGCCGAGAAATCCCGGTGCAGAGGCCGATATTTTCTTCTGGTCCCAAGACTCAGAGCCCTGAAGATTTTCCTTGAGCCGATGGCGCCGTTTTCGGTTTTCAGAAAATAGGCCAAGTCGTGTCATTGGCGCTGGGTGGTACATGCATAGATCCTGCTGTCCCCGGCGCACGCAGCGGCCACATACCGGAGAGGAGTGATCACATCGCAACTTGGACTTGCGACACGGCTCACAAGAAGAGAGCTGACCATTACGACGGGTAGTCGACATTTCACAAACATGTTACGCAACAAACGAGCAGTTGTAGCTGAAATTGAAGAGGGGGAAAATATCGGAGTTCGGACTTCGAAAGGGTGTCAGCTCTGACCCCAAGCCCTAGTCTTGGCAGTTCCGGACTCCGAGCCGGTGGGTCGGATTAATGAACATGAGCTACGAATGAACGATGATTAACGTCAGGCAGAAAGATAAATAGGAAAAACCAACATAAAACGGATTGGTCGGGCTATACTTTACACCGCAACGCTAGGTGACGGTATATCGGGCGCCGAAAATGGCGTCCAAGTAGCCATTTTTGGGGCCCTTTTTACCAGGATCTTAGTCATTCACAAGTCATGATACGATAGAAGTATTTGCTCTCTGAGCACTCTCTTAGTGAGCGCTCAGCCTTCGCCCAAGGTGCTCAGAGCAGACGATCAGAGGTGACGTGTGTTCTTTTTATCTCTGATCCGTTTGTAGCCGCTCAGCACAAAAATAGAACCGTCATTTTTTTGACTGTAGGTCCTTCTAGCGTCATCTTCTCTAGTACTGGAGGGCGTCTCAACCCCCGCTTTTAAAAGACGACTTGAAATGATATCGAGAAAAGAAATAGCGATGTGACTACTATAGGGTGCCAGTGATCTACGTTCTTATACTAAATCCTTCGGGCTCAAGTTAGCGTAGAAACCCAGCTGTATGGGGTGTACTTCTCCAATTTTCATTTAATTGATTGGCAACATTCAAAATGGAAACTTGAAATATACTGGCTCCTATACTGAGGCACCTGCCACATGGTCTGCCTCGATCGCATTGTCGTCTATTGAGAGAGGGACTTAGCAGCAATAATTCCCTGGATGCCTCAATATTGGGGCTAACTTTTTTCGCGGGCAAGGGGTACATGATAGCTGGGGTTTGTCTCTGCGTCTGTTGGGGGTGGCCTGTTCCTCGCGGATGATCCGTATAAAAATAACTCAAATATGATAGTAGAAGGGACATCAAAGGCCAGCGGATGGTAGCACGGAATTGATTTGAATCGGGACGGGGAAAGCCAACCTCAAAAATGGCGGCCGATCTGACCCTCCGCGCTGTGGGTCTGCCACTTCAGTAGTTCTCCCGTCTCCACGCCCCGAATCAGCGTGCTCTCAAATTGATTAGCGAAAAGTCCGGGAAAATACGAGTTAGACACCGGAAGCCTTGCGCTAACCTGCTACCTCTCAGGAAGAGGCCGAGATATGATTAGAGACTTGATACGCAATTGTCTAAACACAGCCTCCCGCTTAGGGCAAACAATTCCTCCGATCGTCCGCTTCTGCTCACGTAACCATATTTGGAAATACGTCTGGGACGGTTCATGAATATAAAAAGGAAGGAGATTTCTCAGTAAAACAGAACTTAACTGCCTTCTCATTTAATATACCTATCCTGTTTAACATATCCGTTACCTTATACCGTTACGAGGATCGTTCATAGCAGCAACATCGGAGCAGGTACACTTCATGACTGAGCTTAGAATCCTCATCTGTGGCGCTGGCTGCGCTGGGCCAACCCTGGCCTACTGGCTGTCCCGTGCCGGCCACCGCGTGACGGTGGTCGAGCGCTTCGACTCACTTCGAGCTTCGGGCGCCCAAGTCGACATTCGCGGTCATGGAATTGATGTCGTAGAGAGGATGGGCCTCCTTGACACTGTTCGCAGCAGACTGGTCGACGAGAAAGGGGTCCGCTTTGTGAATTCCAATGGCGACGTGAAGGCTACAATCTTGGTCGACAAATCCAGGAAAAGCCAACAATCTGTGACTTCGGAGATGGAGATTATGCGAGGAGACCTCGTTGAAATCCTTTACAACGCAACCAAGGATGACGAGAGAGTCAATTACATCTTTGGCAAGACTGTTGAAAGCTTCGAGGACAGCGAGAATCAAGTGGTCGCCCATTTCTCTGACAATTCGCACGATAAATTTGACCTTCTTGTTGGAGCAGACGGTCAAGGATCACGTATTCGGCAAAAAATTCAGTTGGTTGATTCCAATTGCTACCGTAAATTTGGGATATATGGAGGGTACTGGTTTGTTCCGCGGACGGAAACTGACACCAAGTTCTTGCACATATACAACATTTCAGGCGGCCGCTTGATCATGCGCAGAACGCACAATCAGACAGAATCTCAGGTTTACTTCGTTTTTAGAGACGAATCAGAGTCTGAGGAACTGGCTGGCTTCGCTAGAGCACCGGTCGAGCAGCAGAAGCAGTTCTTGGCAGAGAAATTCCGCGATGCAGGGTGGGAGACGAGCCGCTTCCTGAAGGGTCTACATGGCGCGAGCAATCTCTACTGTCAAGAGGTGGTACAAGTCGTTACTGACACTTGGTCTAAGGGTCGAGTGGTCCTCCTTGGCGACGCGGCATACTGTCCATCTCCTTTCAGCGGCCTTGGAACAACAGGGAGTTTCGTCGGTGCGTACGTTTTGGCTGGTGAAATTGCTAGGAACCCCGAGAATCTGCCATTGGCTCTGCAGAACTACGACAGAAAATTGCGTCCGTTCGTTAATGAGATTCAAATCCTCAACCGCTTCCGCCTTCGAGCTGCTTTCCTCCACAGCCAATGGCTCATCAACTTGCGGCTGGCTGTCATAGCATTCTTATGTTCGCTTGGTGTTCCTAGACTTGTTTCAAATTTTGTGAGGGACAAATCCGACTGGGAACTACCTCAATACCATGAACTTCACGGCGGCAATGAGACTGAGGACGACTAAAATATCAGAGAGAGCAGTGTGACCCTACATTGTGGATTTGTATAGTTACCTAGATCCTAATATAATAGGTCTTTGAATTTCCTCCCAATTTGTGTTACCCGATAGCGCCAGGGCCTCAGTAATTGTCCGAATGCTGAATTGTAGTTTACACTAAGAAGACGTAGAGCGATTAGCATCGGAGTAGGAGAATGACCAGACGCACGATGAGAACGGAAGGGGGTGAGCAACGGGGTGAGCGCTAAGGTTGCTCAGGGAGCGGCTCAGGCTCCGCTCAGAGGTCTCTCAGAGATCGCTCAGAGCTTGTTCAGGGCTAGCTCTGAGTACTCAGAGAGCGGCTCACCCCATGGTCTCAAAGTCGATCGCTACCTGAGGCAGCAGATTTACCGTCACTATTATTACGGGTGTAGTAGCCACGCTATCGGACATCCATCCAAGCTTTCACTCGCTAGTATCAATAGCAAGAAGCTAGTTAGATAAGACCAAAGTCGTACTCTTTTACGAATATTGAGTGTATAAGCCAGATTTACCAATATAGCCGACATCTCTCCTACGTGTCAGAAATGCCATCTTCCGAAAACGCACAACTGTGGCGGAAGTTCGTTCAACCACATGTAAGCTACCATTCACAAAAATTGAGGTGAAAGATGTTGACAAGGACACAGCTGCTTCAAGTAACATTGAGATATGTCGACTAACTTGTCATTGAGAGAGATTCAGTTTGTTAGGGATTGCCATTCTGTAACACCCAACGAATCTCATCTGCAATGCGTTCTGGCTCCGTGATCTGGACATTATGGCCACTCAGCGTTGCTGTCGTGAAGCGTGTCGTGGTCGATAGATGAAGCAGCTCCCGTTGACAGTCTTCCTCGGTCTGATCCCACTGCTCCAAGTATTCACGACACCTCGCTCGCTGGGCTTCTGTTCCTTGTCCTTTGTCCACGCCCGCTTTGTATAGACGCTCAACATCACGTTTCGAGTTACCCATGAGCACGGAAACTGGCTTTCCCTTTAACACATTTTGGCCAGGAATTAATTGCTGCTTCTTTGCAATTACAGCGCGGCTGACTTGCAAATATGGCATCTCTCGAGCTGCCTGCCGAGTGTGTTTCTCGCTAGCTTCCTCTGCCATAAGATCGGTCCATTCCGACTCTGACAATTTGTAGCTTTTTGTCAGTCCAACCACTTCCATGTAGTCTAGTCCTTCTGTGACGGCTTCAATGCTGGGGTCTGGCCAGATCTCAAATCGCATGCGTTCCTGTACAGGGTCCACCATGACAAGCCCACAGATATCCTCAACCGGTCGCGCAGCAATAAATTCTCGAGAGAGAATACCGCCCCAGCTGTGGCCCACAACAAGATACGGTGGCTCTAGGGCGGCAACTACCAGCAGACGATTAAGCTCGTCCACAACGGTAAGGGAGTCAGGCTCGTTTGGCGACTCCTCACTGCGTCCGTAACCCGATCGCTCGTATAATAAAATTGACATCTCGGCCTCAAGATGCCGACATACCGCGCTCCATTCCAATGCGCTGCAGGTGATTCCAGCAATGATGACCACCAAGGGATCCCCAGGTGACCTTTTCTTGCCCCGCAAAGCGTAGCTTAGTGAGTGGGTTCCGATATGAGCCGTGTGCTGAAAATGCTCCATCGTCGTCGACGAGGCAGGCCAGGTTAATATCGAGAAAGTGGGAGCGGGGTCAGGCAGAAGGCATGCGACGAATAGATGATGTTGTAGAGTTCCAATTCAGAGCGATGTCTTTTGATTGCGACAGCAAGCCTGGAGCCATGGGAATCCTTCAGGGATTTTAATATTTGAAAAGTAACTGGGGGCCTAAAACACTGAGTCATGCCCGAGGTTAGCAGAATGGCGGGGCTAGCCAAATGTATCACCAAATCTGGGGACGAGACGACACCACCAATTTTGCGAAGCAACAATATGCACATCATTATGTTCAAATTAGCTTTTCATACATGATAGTGCATGCTTGGAGCTGGAGCTTATCTACAATCTATACAGTTTCCGAGAAAAAAAAAAGCTGGAAAGTATTCTACGACACTCTGATGCCCAACGGCAATCCCGAGTCGTCCTGTTATATTTCATGCCGTCACCTATTCGAAAAAAAAAAGTCCTATATACTCTTTTCTCGGTGAACAAAATTGACAAGCCCGCCTACATCATTAGCAGCAGGAGCCATAGTATTCATACTGGTCGGGAAGGGTTCCACATTAGGCAAGTTTCCGCCAAATATGCCCGGCTTATCAAGGGATCCCTCCTCCTTGCGACTATGGTCAATAACAAATGAGACCCAAGGATCGGAATTCAAGGGCTGATTAGTCCCATATTCTGAACCGCGAACTACCCACAGGGGTGGGGCAGGGGTCGGAATGTGCCTGAACTGGTAAGCCCTAGACTGGGGTGCGGTGAGCAGAGTATAAAATAAGGGAGGTTTGTGACACGCAAACATCATTGCCTCAACCAACCCATTCTGCTCTTCTTTTTCTTCCTCATTATTCATATTTAGCGATACGGCTAGCTAAAGATGACTATTGTCTCGCGCTTATTCCCTAATCGCCATTCTCCAAATGCTCTTACCTATTTTGACATCAGGTCTGTCCTTTGTCTCTTACCTCACTCGCACATTCTTTTCACTCCAAAAAACTAACTAACTAATCAATCTGATAGACTGGACGAAAACACACTATACCTCCCAGGCTACGGCGAAAGCACCTCCTACGGCCGCCTCAGCGGCACAGTCGTCCTATGCCTGAACAAGCCTCTCGCAGTCAAAGACATAAAACTACACGCCAAGGGCGTCCGCTACGTCAACTGGGACTGGAGGACACCAGACGGACAACATAAACGAGCAGCATGGCGAGAGATCCCCTTCTACCGCCAAATATGGAGCTTCGTGAACGCCTCCAAGGGATCATCTCAGACAACCCTCGAACCTGGAAACTACGAGTTCCCGTTCTCAGTTAGTCTGCACAGAAGCATGCCAGTTAGCGTGGAAGGGTTGGAAGATTGTTATATTCAGTACGGCCTCACGGCTACGATATTCCGCGGTCATAGTGGCCGTGTCACGACATCCAGAAATATGAGCGTGTCAAGATCGCAGAGCCATCTCGCATTGCCTGAGCCAGAGGTACGTACAGAAATATTGCCTGTGCCACTGCGGCTTTATTTCGATCTATCTAACAGCCACCTTTTGTATATCATAGAGCGTCGAAAACATCTGGCCAGAAAAACTAATCTACCAAATGAGCATGCCGGGGAAGACATTCAACAAGGGCGGGCCTATCAAGCTTGATTTCCGCTACGTGCCACTGGTGAAGGGGATCCAGCCTAAAACCATGAAACTGCAGCTGGTAGAAAAGCACTCAATCCATTTGTACAACAATCCCGTGCTCGGCCGCACGAGGGAACGCGTTATCTGCGAGGATGAGTCTGAGGTTAGGGAGTGGTCGTTGGACACGGATACTGTTGTCAGTGAGACGCAGACGCACGAAGAAGAATGGCTTACTTCCTCCCATCGTATTTGGATTCCGAGGTCTACGCCCGAGTGTCTTCCCAGCAGCCGAACGAGTATTATTGATGTTACGCATACGTTGAAGATATGGGTGAGGCTATTAAATTCTGATGGGCATTACTCTGAGGTATGTTCCAAGGATGTTTGTACTGGGGTTGCTTGTGATTGTACTGACTGGGAGTATCTATAGATTGTCACCAAGTTTCCTATATCTATATGTTCAGCGCCGGACTGCAAACCCAATGGCTCTTCCTTATACACTCTATGCGGGAACGGAGTGCAGCCACCTCCTGCCTACAAGGACCATGTTCGCGATCCATTATTTGACGGAACGAATATCACGATGGTGGAGAGAGGACGGGAAGATGACAGAGTCGAAAGCTCACAGTCTCACTCGCAAATGGATGAACTCGTGCCTGAGCCAGAGACCAACAGTCCAAGCAATCTATCCTTGGTCCCTTGCTACATGGCAGCAATACAGGCTCAAATCCCGAGGAGCGCAGGAAGTCCGCCCTACTGGAGCGTGGTTTCCGGCGGATGAGGTCAGATAAGATTTACTATGTATGTAACTAACAGTCTTCCAATCGAACACAATAATGAGCTTGGAACGCTGCACCGTCGACATAAATATGATAGACAGGGCATGTGGATTAAGGATTGAGATGAGACGAGAGCGGGATGGCTGATGCGATACAAGAGGGAGAAATGTGGCGACTAGAGTAAAACAGATGGCAAAAAGGGGGAAAGAGAAGAACTGTATGTACTTGGGTGGTTAGGCGCGCACCCATGGCACCCCACGCGGTAATATGTATGCAAAATATGTATGTTGTTGGCTCATGAACTCGTCTCAGCAGCTGTCCACCACCTCATCCTATTCCCACGGGACTCAAAATTGGCCCCGAACATCCTGGCACCCTTTCACTTCTGCGACTGCCGCTGGGGAATTCCTCGGACGAAATTAACGGCCCCCTTCTCAAGTCGCGCTGCCCGACAGAACAGAGATAATGAAAGATTCAAGTGACAAATGGGTATCATAACACGGCTTTTGTCGTATTCGCGGCGGATTAGGGGAGAGAGGGTCCGATAGCCCATGATCAAGGGGTTGCAAGTAATCGAACCTCGAATTAGTCGGGGTTAGTGAGCTAGAAAGCACGTCAGCAAGGAAAAGAAAACAGGGAAATTCCAATTCACTCACGCGAAGCACTGGGCGCGAGTAGTCTTCATTGTCCTGGAGCGATGTGCTGCTGTCTTGACGACCGTGCGAGTAGACGACAGCGTCGGTTCTCAAGCGGTTATCCGTGAACTGGTTTGGGCGCCCATTACCCGACTGCGCGGACGGCATAAAGCTAGAACCCCTACTGGTTCGGTTGTCGGTCATGTCCTGGCTAGGAGCGGGGCTCTCAGCGCGGGATCGACGACGGTAAAAGAAGACCAGGATTACGAGGCCTGCAATAAGAGCAAGGCCACCGAGGACACCAATCACAATACCCGCGATCGCGCCACCGCTCAGGCTGGAGCCGCCGCTGCTGTTGGACGAACTAGAACTAGCTGTGGGGGTCGGAGCCACTTCAGTGATGGTCACCACTTGGCCGTTCGAAGAAGTGGTCTGGACAACGCGATCGGAGGTGGTTGTCTGCAGCAAAACGTTAGCGTGCTGAGTTCCAACTTTGGTTATGGCGTACGGTGAAAGTCGAACTCGACGTAGTCGAGGCACTGAGAGAGGATGTCCTTGCCTAGCCCAGCTATTAAAATAACAGGTCCACGAAAGAGCAGCAACTCGCTCATGGCAAGGGATGGGGGCTGGGGGGTGGGTGAGGGGGGATCGGGAATCGGAAGGGCCAACGTGCATGTTCAACAAAATTGACCAAAGAGGTTCACTTACCGATGACGAGCTAGTACTGCTAGATCCCCCTGCCGTGCTGGTTGGCGAGTTGCCCGAGATGGCGACATAGGCGTAGACCCCCTGGGCCGCGCTACCGCAGCTGTCATTGGGATAACCGGGGCACGAAGTATCGCAGTCCGAAGTCTTTGACGTCGAGCTCGAAGATGGGGCTACGTTTGAGCACCAGCACTTCTTGCCCTGGAGTACACCAAAGGCGTAATTTTTGCAGGTGGTCTCACACGCTCCATTCGACTGGAAGTTATCGCTGACTGCTCAGGGGGGTCAGTTCAAGAAGTGCGTAGCATTGTCTTTCGTATCACGCACCAGCTGAGAATGAGGATCCAGTGTTGTCTGAGGAGCAATAGGCAAGATCGGATGCGGCCGACACGAAGGGTCGTGCCAGCAGGATCGCAAGGGACACCGACAGCGAGAGGTGCATGGTGGCTTGCGGGAACCGGTACTTGTCGACCCAACCACCCCAATTGACGAGGGTCACTCAATGCCCGAAGACGGCGTATCGACGATAGTAGTGGAGGGAAGTGTGGACGAAATTTGTTCGCTTGTGTGTCGGCCGTTCTAATGACGATCACCAATGAGCCAATGTTCGGGTAGCCAGTCGATGGGTCAGATGGTTCTCCCGTACCAAGTCACTCAACCCAGCCGGTCGTCTTCAGATTGCTGATCCCCCAACTATTTGAAACCTCACAAAACGTGTCCTGGCGTTAGGAACTCAGGCGCATCGTCCGTCTCCCTCGCGACGGTCGGGGAAGGGGGGGGAGGAAGAGTCGAGCAGGGGAGATGCTCGACAGGGGAAGCGAGAAGTCAAGAGAGGGAGATGGAGGAGGGAGATGTGTGTAGTGAGGAAGACGGAAGAAGGGGAAGAATGAGAAGGGGAAAGTTGTTGGTTGGGTGAAGGAGAGAACGAGAAGGAGAAGGGGAAGCGAGAGAACCCGGGACCCGTTTTCCCGGAGTATGTAGAGTTAGTTGGCTGTAGACCCTACGATCACAACCCTCCAACCATAATTATTCTTCTTCTATCTACTCTACTGCGACGGCAACTCCTGCTTCTACTCTCCTCTCCCTCGTCTCTATCTTCGGAACAAACAGCTTGTGGCCGCGGCCTTCTCTATCGTGCGGGATCACTACTCCGCGCTTGGCTTGGTGCACGATTCGACTGGACCCAAAAAAACCCCCATCTGGACCATACCGACGCGTCGACCGACTCCCTCGGGCGCACAGAGACAAGGAAACACAACATTCCCGACGCTGTCACGCTGCAACCCTCCATACTTTGATCTACTGAGAGGGGGGCGGCGTATCTGTCCGAAACAATTGTTCAAAGATGGCGCGCCGATCGGGTCACCGCGGCGCATTGATTGGTCCTCGCCTGGTGATAGCGTGGTGGACTAACAAAACGACTAGACGTACGTAATTATACAATAGGCAGTGGACTCGCCGACGCTTATTGTCTCAGCTTATTTGTTTTTTTACGCCACACAACCAAGAGGGCAAGAGGGAGAAGCTCCCACGACAAGGAATGTGTTTGGGCTACCCCTTGCCCATCCCGCAAATCACAACCACCCGATTGTGGCCCGGCAACCATGGATGACGGCTGGAGCTTGACCGGGAACCGCAGATTGCGCACAGCTCCCTTTTCATGTACGATGGGGTCATCGTCCGCAGGCACATGTTCGAGCCGCCCGTTCGGTTAACCTGTGATTGATCTACGACACTGAGACGTTCGACTCGCGGACAGGCCCTCTGGTCGGATTTGGCAGGTCGGAAGAATCCCCCCGTTCATGACGCTGATGGGCAAAAGTCAATCCGGATAAATCCCCACCGAGGCACAGCTGGAGCGCAAGTCAATTGCCTTGTTTTCGCTTCCGAAGCTTATCAAGTCCGCTCAGTCGGTCGGTCGCCGCCACCGCTCGCTACAAGTGGTAGTTTGTATGCACACAGCAACGTTGCTGACTGTAATAGACTTTACGTAGTAATAACAAACCAGAGATGGTGAAATCATCACTGTCCGGCTGCCGTGGATCGCAGTCGCCATTCATCATTCATTATTATTGTCGGAGACATGAAAAAAAGTGGATGGGGGCTCCACAAGGTAAATTGCCAAGGGCGACGAACCGACCTTCGGTGGAACAACCGTCTTGTTCGAGGCCTCGATGACAGCAGGATCCATGATGTTTATTATTACCCCTTACCCACTCAGCCACTATTACTGTCTAGGTTGAGTAGTACAGCCACCCAACCGTTTCATATGAAGATCGCGCCCTGTCAGTCCCAGGGTATACTAAGTGCTGTACATCCGCACTCGTCATAGTTAAATCCCCCAGGGCTGACGGTTGGGGGCGATGTTTGAAGGGGGCATTTGTACATACTCATGTAGGAGGAGTACGATCAACCCAAACAGCAGACTCTGTGCGATAGCAGCCAAGGATTCGTGGAGGCAGGGATTGATGAATCTCAAATCTTCGGCCGAAGGGCAGGGTCCTAGAATATGCTAATGGACGATCTCAAGCAACTTAACTTCAGCTGTCAGGTCCAGATCCTGTTTACGCAGGCCCTAATTTCGAGAATTGTGGAAGTCGGCGGGGCCGGCAGTTGGTTCTAGATGCTGCAGAGCGGTGGGTACAGTGGCTTGCCGTGTAGCCTTTTGTGAAACATGGCTCAAGGGAATACGACAGTGGCTGGAGCGCGGAGGATTTGCCTTAGGGATTGGGGCAGCAGTTTCACTACTACTGTTTGGTCTTGCCCGGTGGGACATAAGAAGTGAAGCATTTGTAAATGCTTGGTGGCTTCGAATGGTCGCTTGCAAAGCCTCTTAGTTAATTTGTGTGCCGGAATACGAAGAATGAAAAACCATGCATTGAAGAGCCACCGAAATAGTAGCACCAGGACTAAAAATATCAATCGATGACCGGTGTGGCTGGCCTAAGACATCAATAGCCTCTCTCCCTGGCTTCAAGGCCGTTGTCGGACTGTGCATAGGATCTCCGATGTCATGTCATTCCCCGAACAAATCACCGTCCGAAAGAAAGGAAGTTTCAAAAATAGTCCAAATTGGTACCTTTCTCTTTCTCTTTCTCATGTGTGGCCCATGAATCCTTTTCATCCGCTCGATCCCAAACAAGTGTGGAGCTCTTCTGGATCCAATCCTCTACCACATGCCGTTGCTGCGATAGAAGCGGTTTTGCCGTGCGACTGTCATCATCCTCCTCATCATCATCGTCATCGGAATTCTCATCTTCACGAAAGAGTGCCGCCGCCGCAGACATGCCCACAATCCGGTTGAGATGCCACTGCATCTCGAGCAAGTCGTAGCTCGGAAGCGGGCGGTTCACCGGATCGTCCGTACGCAGCGTGAACATGTGGCCGGACTCAATGGGACGAAGGGCAGTTGTGTCATTTTCTTTGGTAGGAAGCACAACGTTCAAGTCATCGACGCTGCACATGTCCTTCGATGAACCAGGTTCCTTGGCGATATCCACCAATCCATACGGTTTGTGCGATTGTTTGGGCTGCCAGTAGAACTCCACCTCCATGGATGTGCCATCATGGGACAGAGAAACGGGACGCAGTGCAAATAGGCCATTCGCCCAAGCCGCGCGCAGGTCGTTTCGGAGGCAGATCAGGTTGGCGCAGGTATCCAGCGATTTCGCCGGGTCGCGAGGATCATTGTAGACAGCATTGTGCCAGCGCTCTGCGGTCTCAGCGTTCCAGAAGAAGCGCACAAATTGCCAGATTGTCGGCGAGGACGAGTCGTAGGATTTTTCGTCGAAATAGGTTGGGTAGATATGAGCGACTTGGTAGATGTTGCGCGCGCCGGTCAGGACGCATCTTTGCCCGTCTCGCTCTCTGGCCGCGAGGCGGGCAGTCCTGAAACAGGTGCCGCGGGGCTCGAAGACGGATTCTGTTGGGTCGGTCCGGAGGTCGTTCCATGGGGATGGGCGCTGCATCCATTTGTACGGCAAGGCGCAGCAAAGGTCTGTGACGACCCACATGGCCTTGTCCGACAGCTGTGCAAGCAGGATGATGAACTCGAGGTTGGCGATATCGCACACCTGGACGCAGGCCCAGAACGGCGCTGGCACAAGATGGTCTACTAGCGTTTCTTTGAGTTGCCGAATGAGGATTGCTCGCTGTGGTGTTTGGAGGTTGAAAAGCTCGTCGGTGATGCGGACAGCTGTCAAAGACCGACTTCTCCTGCCAGACAAAGTCCTCTGCATGGAGCGGACTAGTCCACCGCTTGTGTCAATAAGAGGAGACATCATCGGGGTGATAGTGACCATTACGGACCGATTGCGGGCATGTGTAGAGAGACAGAAGGCGCTGTAGATGGAGGAGTAAAAGGCTTCCCAATCAGCAAGGTCCGGCCATGTACCCATGGCTAAACAAGGCAGGCGCGACTGGGAATAGGATCATCTTCGAGGCGCATCTACAACCCAATCGCGCTCCCGTATCCTTTTCTCCTCCAGCAAGCGCGGTCGCGGCGGGAGGCGGTCCAGTGAAGCAGACGGTGGTGGCAGACTAGCACGCTCGCGATGAATCTCACGAATGCGGCGCCGGCGAGCCTGACGGATCTCATCAGAGAGGTCAACGAGCTCATCTATATCCCGCTATTGAGATAGGAGTCAGTTCAGCTGCCGTGAGATGTGAGAGAAGAGAAAGACATACCGGTTCGAGGTACGAGAAGATATAGTAGAACATCCTCGTCTCTTCATACTCATATCCCATCCGCTCAATCGCCTCCCTCACCACTAGATTCTTAGTAATCTCTGTCCAGCGCGAGTCTCTCTCGTCTTTGACATTCATAACCTGCTGTCCAACGCCTGCAACTCGTTCTGAACCCCGTCCCGAGTCTCCTCGAGAGGTCAGAGCGCCGGTCATCTCAACCAAATCCGGTTTCGACGGTGAACGGACGACGGACCATTCGTCGGTTGTATCATTCATTGGCTCGATATCTTCCTTGCGGCTGCTGCGAATTGGCATTTCTTCTTCGATATCGCGCACGCTTCGGGCTTTCCCTGCTCGACTCTGGGAGTGCCCAACGAGTAGCGACTCGCTCTCGTCGACAACGGATTTGTTCGAGAGCCGTGAGAATGAAGTCTCGTCGGGCTCCCAAGGGTTTTGAAACTCCGGTGATGGTCGACCAGATGGTGAAATCGAGTCTTCTTTGTCTCGTTCTAGGACAATGTCCTCTTCGGACCTAACCCCATTTCTAGTACTTCTATATCTAGTTAGCTGTTACCATCTTCACTTCACACTGTGCTCTCTTCGCACTAACCGACGGTGTATATCCAATTCCTCAAGTCTACCTCTTCCAGACCGAAACTCGGGGCTCGATCCCCGAACTGAGCGAGATGCTTTCATTCCTGGTAGTTCATCAGCAAACCCCCATTTCAGAGCAGATATTGTCTCACCATGATCAATATGTCGATGGTGAGTAAACACATCCTGATGAATCGGCGGCGCACGGATAGGTTCCACGGAAGATGACCGTTCACGAGCAGACCCCCGACCTCTCTTCCACTGGATATCCACATCAACGTCCCTCCTGCCTTCTCTCCGAGCTCTATCTTTCTCATATTTTCTCATCAAGATGGCCTCCTCATCATCTTCTGAATCTATAAGCCGAGGACGTGGTCTATCGCGTAGAGGCCGGCGACTCGGAAGATCAAGTTCATCGTCGTCATCGTCCGATCTCGCCAGAATGGGCTGGAATTGATCATCCTCAAATCGAGGGTTGCTGTAGGGTGGCTCCCCGGGTTTGCGCCGAATAACCACCTCGTCGTCTTCGAACATGAATTCTCCACGACGTCTCCTACTGCTTCGTCTGTTCTCCTCGTCACTGCCGCCGAGGATGACTATCTCTTCCGTCACTTCGCGGGGAGGAGGGCGTCTTGGTCGCGACGAGCGGATGTAGAGCTCCTCATCACTCTCGTCGTCGTGTCTCCTCCCACCGCCGCTCTTGCGATCCCGTATCCTAATCTCCTCTTCACTCTCATATCCACGACGACGAGGATCGCCTTCCTCCCTCCGTCGAAGAATTACATCGTCATCCTCAATCTCAAGCTTCCGTGTCGAGCGACGCCGAGGATCTCCCTCCCTCTCCCTATGCCGAAAAACCACATCATCTTCCTCAATCTCGAGCTCCTGTGTCGAGCGGCGCCTCCTCCCGCCACCTCTCTTATATATCTCCGTCTCCTCAAGAAGAACCTCTTCATCCACATCCACCTCCCTGGAACGAGGTCGAGGCCTCCGCCGCGGTCCAGGTGGACGAATATATACCTTCTCCCCCATCTCCCTCTCCATCTGGGCGGGAGAAACAGGCCTCGGTCTCTCCGGCGAGAACTCCTCAACCAGCTCCTCTCTTGATCGCCTCCTAACCATTGGGCCCCGTTCTCGTTCTCTCGGCGGACTGCTGAGCGCCTCGCGCATGAAGTCACGCGGTGGCCTTGGCCGCGGCCGCGGCGGCTCCCGCTCGCGAAGACGGAGACGTTCCTCCAAGTCGTCCTCGAGCGGAGGCGAGGATCTGCGTCGGCGGTGGTAGTCTACGTCAACCTCTACATCATCTCCGATGATGCGGTCTCGGTCTCGTCGACGGGGGCGCGGAGGCCTCTCCCGTTCTCGTTCGCGGGAGCGGTCGACTTCGTAGATCTCTTCTTCGCTGGAGTAATACTCCCTCGGCGGGGGTCGGCGGGACATTTTGGGGGGGGGGTTGATTTATGTAAGTGGATGGGCGATGCAAGTTCATTGATTGGGTTCTGAGAGTACGCTGCTGGGTTGCTGCTGTGGTGGTGGGGTGTTGGTTGGGTTGGGCTAAGACAATCACCAGTTGTTGAGTGAGTGGGTGGATGAGCGATAAGCGAGTGCAAATGTCCCAGCTGGGATTTCGGAGGGTCAACCTCGAATCAATAAAAGGCACCTTATGTACACCAAGAGAGAAGATGGCAGAGAGACAAGTGAAGCGAAAGTAAAGTGAGGCTGAGCAGTCCAACTGATCAACCCCGCCCTGATGTCACTCAGCTGTTTATAGATCTGGACCATGGATCAACATCGGAAAGCGTACGTGGAACCGGAGGAGCTTTTGCCTTCACTTCTACACATATAAAGCCATCTAATCTCTTAGATAAAACTGGGCAACATCCGCCTCATTGTGGTCGCTCAACCATCGCAAACCTTGTATCCACATATCATTGACCCAGTCCTGCCTCGTTTGAACAGCAACTAGCGGGCGAAACGCCACCGCTTCCTTGGAGAAAAAAGCCCCCTCTAGGTGGAATGAAACCTTCCCAGTCGTTTCTCTCACGCCCGACTGCTTCAACGACAGCAGTAAACCGTTGACAGAGTTGGAGCCTTTTGATCTCAGCGGGATTTGTTTTTATAGCTCCCGGGACAGGGCAGTCCATGCTTAGCAAAATCGGGATGCATTAGAGGGCAGCATCAGGAACTGCCATAGCGGAGTCGCAGTCAATGATAGCGGGAATGTTGAATGATGGATCCACGAGGACATTGTTCGCATTGAGATCCTAGTGAGCAAGACCGAATCCCTCTCGAGAAATCTGTCTTCCAAAGGGTTTGGCGAGAGCCCGGAATTCTTGCACTAGCTCGCTTTGACCACTGACCGGCTGCTCTCCGAGGGTTTTGCTCAGCGCTAGAGGGTAATCTGCGTAGAATTCGGAGGCAGAACTATATGGACCAGAGACTGTCTCAATGAGCGGTCCCGCAACGAAAGACCGGCAAACATATCTTGCCTGCATATGTGTATATCTTTGTCTATAACAATATAGTCTAGTTTGCTCCTCACTGAAAAGCTAGTCGCCTCTGCCCTTTCTCGGGTTTACCACGACTGCCCCTGCTACCTCGTCCTCGGGCGTTGGGAGCCGTAGCTATCCGCGATTGCGATTGCGATTGCGATTGCGTAGCCCTCGCTTCTTCGCGGTCCTGGTTGGCCAGGTCTTTGGCAAAATGCCAGTCTTCGTGCTCGTCTCTCTCATGTTCGGGTATTACTTGGGAGCATCGATGGCAGGTAAACTGTGCCGTTGGACTATCCTCAATCCCTTCCTCCGAAGGAAATAGCGGAGGAACCTCCGCTGTACTTGTAGAATCGAGCTGTTCCGGCTCGGGAGTCCCTCTAGGTGATGTAGCACAGTCATCGCTGGGATGGGAAGGCTTTGCAAAAAAGCGCTCGATGCCATTATTCTCGCCGACTTTCCTCCGTTTCTCCGGTGGCCGATCAGATAGGCCATCAGCCTCGCGAGGTCCTCCTGCATGACTCAATGATTTCGCTTGAGCCCCTCGCAGGAAGAAACTCTCGATCGCCTTGTTTTTGGTGACGCCATCCTCAAAGCTCCCCACACTCAGGGAAAGGTTGGAACACGGCCATGCCTGTGCCTCGGCGACAACTTGCCGCATCAAAGTCTTGGCAAGTTCAAAGAGCAGGTCCTCGTCGATCACGTTGGATGCCGGGATAGGCATCTGACGCGATCGGGACTGCGCCGCCAGTCTGTGATGTAGCGTGATGACTCGCGGACGGCGCCTATTTTCAAGCACCCCGTCCTCCACGAGACGGCCGTAGATATCAGCCGCGAAGATCCGCAGCCATTTTTCCGCTTGGTCGATCGAGTTGATGCTTGGCCGAAATGACTTGGCACTCAACATCGACTTCATTTGAGTCCGAGGATTGACTTCGCTCCGGTCCTCCCCGCGGATAGTACCATACAACCAGGTTGCCGTGTGGTCATCGAGTTTGGCACGCAGCTGGTCGAGCGGAACATTCAAAAGGTCACTCACTTGCTCCGTCCCAAAGAAAGTCCTGATTTGATCGCCGAGTTTCCCACCAAGCATCCGAATCTGGGTGAACTTGTAGCCCGCAAGGAACATCTGCACGGCCCGGTTGCGCACCACAGTTTGCTTGTCCGGTTTATTGCACGCGCTCCCCAATTTCGCCAGCATCTTGTTGCGTGCCACACCCGCCGAGCAAGTGTAGTTGAGCTTCTCCCACACGGCTTTGCGAACAGACCGGACGATTTCCGATCCTATCCGCATGGCAATGTCATCCCAGTCCGGATCATCTTCCTCCGTCTCTTTTGAGTCCAGGTCAATGAGGCAGTCTTCGTTCCACTCCACGGCCGTGGTCGGAGGACGAGGCAGCTCAGCATCGCGGTTCTCGTCTTGGGAGCTTGCTCGGAGCTCGGGATATCGCTGCAGAAGGACGCCAAAGACCAGGGGGGATAGATCAATGAACACCTCATCGATGCTGGCCTTCTCCACGCTGGCCGAGAGCCCTTTTGTGTGGCCATTTTCAGACCAAGTCGCCAGGTCGTCCTTCATGGTTTGGAGGATCTTGCGAGATTCCGCCCGATAGGGATCCAGCGACACCTTGTCTGTTTTGATGTTTCTGAACGAGTCCTCCCGGTACGCCCAGCGCCCGCCCTCACCTTCCCGAAAGGTTGCGACATGCTGCAGAACGATGGTTGGACAAAGCTTGCGGGCTTCTGCCGCCGAAAGCATGCGGGTGATGCCGAACGGGCGCGCCGGGTAGTTGATTGCAATCAGCGATTCCCACTGGCGGACGGCGAGGGGCGTGTCGCGTGGGGTGCCGAGGCGCACCATCTCACATTGCGCGTAGAAGGCATCGAGATCGATGTGCGCGATGATGCGGAGAGGAGTCGCTGTCGAGCCATGGCGCAGTAGTTGCAATTGGCGATATGTGTAACGTGAGGGATTCAGGGTCGGCGGGGACGCGGTAGGGTCTGACATGCTCGGGTCATGGTGTAGATAAGGGAGGTGAAGTGGAGGTGAGGTGAGGGAAGCTGGGTGAGAGATGATCTGGGTCCAGTTGCTATGAACCGTGGAAGCGACAAGCTTAATGGGGTTAGCGTTATTTGGGACTCGATCTTCTACTTCGTGGAGGAGTTGCACGATAAGTTCATGTAGTTACTTGGACGGTCTAGAATCATCTGAGTCAGATCTTCACACCACCGTGATCAGACCAGCCAGACTTTTCCCCCCAGAGTAGTGCGTCCGTGCCCAAGCACGCATTTGTGCCCAACGGGGGCCTCACCCGCGTGTGGCGACTCCGGCGGTGCTGGCCACCGCCAGATCATCGGCTGGCCCTTGCTCGGTCCTGGTTGCAGATCGAGGAAAGGCTGCTGCTGGCCCACCGAGGAGGATATCCCAGTATGTAGTGGGGTAGTTAGTCGTTCAATATTATCCCCGATGGTGGGCATCATCAGTCGATCAGAATAATAATCATAGGTCAGAATCAGGACTGGTTTATTCTCGCAACTGGCGGCTACCCACAGGTCGCACGCATTCAAGCGTGGCCTGGACAGTAAGTAGTAGTAGTAGTAGTGGGGAGAGCCAGTCGTGGCACCAGCCCAAAGAAGAGCCCAACCCAAACAGAGTCAAGCCCACTTACGTCCGTCCCCTCTTCCTTTTCTTCTTCTTCTTCTTCTCACCCTCATCCTTTCTTCACTCCTCTCCCTCTCTCTCCCCTCAGTCAGGACTCCCCTGTTTCCCTCCCCCCAATCCCTTCTCCCCTGACGGATCGCCCCTCTCGCACCCCCCAACCTCGTGTCGCTCCGTCACAAGGCACCTGTCGGGCACTCGTCAACCCTCTTTTCTCCTCCCAGGACATAAACGCCCCCAATTTTGGACTACCATCGTGGACTCCCTGGATTTACCACAACTCACTGGACAGGAGGGACCCATTTTGTTACCCAACGGACTCAATATTACTTTATCTGGCCACTTTTTCTTCCGTGGATGCTCTGCCGCTTTATAAGTCGTTACTGGTCGCTTTGAACTTGTGCGGAACGCCCGATAGAGACCTGCTGTACATTCGTCGATCTAAAAGGAACCACCTATCCTCGGGATACTTGCCATTGTCCCGGATTGATTATTACCTGTTGGCTGGCCACTGAGAAAAACTCCCACCGAGGCTTAATTCCTTTAATTCCGGACCTTTGATCTATCTGCCTCGGAAAGCCATAATGACAGGCCGCTACGATGGACGCCCGGAGCGTCAGAATGAATACTTTATCCCAGGTGACGGGATCAGTCGAGAAGTGATTCAAGCAGATATCTGTCGCTACCTTGGAAACGATGCCCTCGTGAGACCTGGCAACCACAATGTCCGTCTTTTCTCTCTCGTCGTATCCACCGGGTGCAGCTAACTGAACGACAATCCCACAGGGTCGCCAAGGGTTCTTCATCCGTGCTTATCGGAATCTCACCTCTGTGAGTGCTGCGCCACGCGACTAACCGTCCAAATCTAACCACAAACTCCAGGAGATGATTGCTGATCTAAAGGCCGACTCCGCCCGCTGGGAGGCGGACGTGTCGCGTCGGGCTGACCAAGGCTATCCGCGAGGTAGTTACACACAAGACATGAATGTAACTCATGCACCTCCTAACACCCTTCCAGCAACTTATGCCGGGGCGGCGATCCATGATGGTCGCCAACCCCAACAACCGGGGCCCTCGCCTCCCACATTCAGTGCGGCGCCCGCTCAGCCCTACATGGATCCCTATGCCCAGAGTCCCTACAGTGGAAACCAGAATGCTCCTCCTCAATACTCGAATGCTCCATCTTCATACCCTTCGACCCACTCGCCATACGGACAAGGCCAAAATCCCTATCCTCCACCACAGGTCTCCTATTCTGGGCCCAACCAACCCGTGGTGACCGCCGCGGAGATGCACTCTTCCTATACCTACACTCCCACGGGCTATGGCTACGAGGGTAACCGAAACACTGCTCCCAGGTACCCGGGCCCGGGTCCGGGCTACGAGGCTGAGTCGGACTACTCCTCCCCTGTGACATCTGGCATTCCGTATCCTACCACATCTGCCCCGGATCCCCGGATAGGAATGGAGCCCAGATATACGCCGGAATACGATCGCACCAGTAGGCCACAGGCTGCCAGAGAAAGAGACCCGCATCGCCGGCGGTGATGAATAGCCCAAAAGATGATTCCCGGGGGGTCTGTTTTTACCTTTTCTCCTCCATTGGTGGCCCACTGGATGCTTCTTTCTTCTTTGTCTCTCTGGACTGAGCATCTCCGCTCAAGGAAAACATAATCATGATGATAAATGTCGACCAACTTTTTTCTTCTTTCTTCCTGGACAACCGCGTGCATTTTTCTTACTCGTCGACTATACTTGCATACCTTTTGCAACCCAAATTGCTCTTTGCCCGTCCAGGAATCTTCCCACTGAGATGTTTTGATCGCAATCCACCACTCGTCAGGAGAAATGGCCCAAATCAATCCTTTGGATACATGAATGCCATCCTCTTGCTATCTCTTCCCTGGACTGCGGATCCCATTGGAGTCATCGTCGGCCTTACTCTGTATCCAGAGTCTCGGTCTTACTGGGGATGGAATTCCTCCCCTTAATTTTCAGAATTCCCATTGCGTGCAATCGGCCAGCAAGGAGTAGGAGCGTCGTTTGTTGAATGATCCGAAAAGGGGTGGGTTTTTTTTCTTTCTATGTGACTGCCTCTGCGTTAATGATGAGTACCGGATATACTACCTCGTCCTTGATTGAGCGCGGGTCGGATCCTCTTTTGTCGATGTTTTGACGGTGTACAAGGAGCGGCTTGTTTTCGTTTTTTATTACCTCTGATCTCCGTGGGAGTGGAGCCTGTGCTGTTCTTAGTTGGTTTTCACTTTTGGGGGGAGCGTTTTATTTGCACTTTTGCTAAGTGCTGTGGGCGATCTCCTTGTAGATATGAGCATATACGGCGTTGATGCTTTCTTGACTGGCACTTCTGGCAATTTGATGTCTGTCTCCGTGGATTCTTGTCCTGATTGTGTAGAACTGTTTGTCTTAGGGTTCGTATGTCAACCCACTATTACAACTCAGAGCAACATGAAGCTCGATACAGAGCGGTCGTATCCACACCTCGATCAAAGTTGAACATAGGAAAGCGACACAATGTCGGTTATTGATCTCTCAAGCATAGTAACATACATGTACACTGTAGTGCACCTCGACGCCCGCGTGCACAACAGTAATTGGTATCAAACCACTTCCTTAAGCACAGAAGAAGCGGCGGGTTCAAACAAAAAAAAAACAAGTCTTTTCAATGGCCAACCCTCGCGGATAAACCTTTACACAACCCACCTGGTCGTGCTGGCAGCAGGTTAACCTTCAATATCCGTCCAATCCATCCGATAATCCCGCCGAATCGGAACAGTCAGGTCAGGACACCCTATAACCTCCGGGGATTCAACCATCGATCGTATTCCAACAGCATCTCCTTATTTATCTTCATATCCCGAGGGAATGACCCGCGGACCCTTCGGAACTGCACAAATTAAACATTGTCATTTAGCCATATACTCCCTCGACCTTCTGAGGGGATGTCCTTACTGGGATATGACAGGGGAATAGGCTCCGGGTCCACGTCGCCGAGCGCCCGGCGGAGCGGGGGCAGAGTCACCAGCGCGACGGGACCCATGGATCCAATCAGCAGAGAATAGAAGATGGCGGGCTTCTCGTGGGAGGCCCAGCGGAGGTAGCGGATCGGGGTAGACCAGAACAGAGGGGTCGACATGGCGGCTGCTGGGGAGATGTGGAGGAGGATTGAAGAGGAATTGATGCAGAATAGAAATCAACGCCCGAGGGAAACACCCAAGAGGAAGTGTCTGGGCTGGCAGTTGGATGGTGTGGTTGTGGTGGTGGTTGTGGTGGTGGTTGTGGTGCTGGACAAGAGCGGGTTGAAGTAGGAAGATGAAGAAGTTGGAAGTCGGAGGTGGAGAGCGGCGAAGAGTCTTGGCACTCCGTCTGTTCACTTAAACACGTCGCCTCTCTAACTATACACATCGTGCATCATATCATCCCCATCACACTCCCCACGTCTTTCCTCTCTTTCACAGTTCTGGATTCCGCTCCGCTGTGCGGAATTGATCCAAGATGCGGTGGTGTTTGGCTTTCTTTCTCGGCTGCTTGTTGGCTGCGGTAAATGCGCTGAGCAGCTCCGGCAGCCGCCTGTTGGTGGTCCTGGAAGACACCGCCGAGAAGAGCCTCTACTCGACCCTGTGGGCCGACCTAGAAGGTACTGCGTTTTCCCTGGTGTCCTCAGTGCACTTACTAACTCACTTGCAAGGTCGCGGCTATGATCTGTCCTTCGAATCGCCCAAGAGCGACGACCTCTCCCTGTTCCAACATGGCGAGAGAGCTTATGACCACCTCCTCATCCTCCCTCCCAAGTCGAAAGGTGCGATTCCTGATCTTAGGTTAAGTGAATTCATCAATTGACTGGATTATGACCAGGCCTCGGCCCCGCGTTGACCCCGAAGAACATCCTCGAGTTCCTCAACACCGACGGCAACATCCTTCTCGCCCTCTCGGGCAAGTCCTCCACATCCAGCGCCATCAATTCGCTGCTATTGGAAGCCGACATCCACCTGTCGCCGGACCGCTCCGCCGTCGTCGTCGACCACTTCAACTACGATACCATCTCCGCCGCCGAGAAGCACGATGTCCTACTGCTCCCTCGTCCGGGACCTCCGCGTCCGGACATCAAGCCCTTCTTCGATGGCGAGGGCATCCTGGCTCTCCCCCGCGTCGCACCTCAGACTCTGGGCACTGACAGTGTCCTCGTTGCGCCGGTGCTTCATGCCCCGGCAACCGCCTACAGCTATAACCCCAAGGAGGAGATTCCGGCCGCGGAGGATATCCAGGCGACCGGCTCGCAGCTGAACGCTGTGTCCGTCATGCAAGCCCGCAACTCGGCGCGCTTCGCCGTCCTGGGTTCCGTGGAGGCGCTGGAGGACAAGTGGTTCTCGGCTACCGTTAAGGCACCCGGTGGAAAGAAGACCTCCACGGTCAACCGCGACTTCGCGAAGCAGTTGACCGCCTGGACTTTCAAGGAAACCGGTGTCCTCAAGGTTGGAGCCATTGAGCACCACCTCGCTACGAAGGAGGGTGAGGCTCCCGCGGAGCTGAACCCCAAGATCTACCGGATCAAGAACGAAACTGTACGTCACTCCTGTATCATTGTACAACGCACCATACTAACAATCCACCAGTTCTTCAGCATAGAACTCTCAGAATACGTCTACGACAAATGGGTTCCCTTCGAAATCCCCCCTGCCGACGACCTGCAGCTAGAGTTCACCATGCTATCGCCCTTCCACCGGCTCTCCCTGCAGCCGACGCGCCGTACCGAGACGAGCACGGTATTCAGCACGCAGTTCGTCACGCCAGACCAGCACGGCATCTTCTCCTTCCGCGTCAACTACAAGCGGCCCTTCCTGACCAACGTCGAGGAGAAGCACGAGGTCACGGTGCGCCACTTCGCCCACGACGAGTACCCGCGCAGCTGGGCTATCAGCGGTGGCTGGGTGTGGATTGCGGGTCTGTGGTCGGTTATTGGAGGATTCTTGGTCTTTGTCATTGTTTGGCTCTACTCTGAGCCTGCGTCTAAGGGGGCGCAGCTTAAGAAGACGCAGTAGATTTAGGAGTGACGTGTTTTGCAATGATGATGTGAATTGCTTTGTATCTTGTTTTGTGTAGATTCCATCTGATAAGTTTGCCTGGCTGCTCAAACGCCATCCGAGGTTGTGAGTGGTCTGGACGGCTTCGGCTTATATTTCAAAGAGTCGATTGTCATTGTCACGCCGCTTCCCAATATATAAGCAAGATCATAACTCCATTCCATGCCAGTAATAAAACAAATATTCCTCCTCCAGCTTCTATCTTCAAACCCCAACATCTAAAGACCTCTCGTCTTCTCCGGATCCATCTGCACCTCATCTCCATTAAGCTCCTTAACCGACTGAAACGCCGGCTTGCCCGCATACATCTGCTGCCCAGAGGCAGAGCCCGAGCTGCCTCCTTCCAACTCCTTCGATAGGGCGATGGGCTGGTTACCGCGGAATCGCTTGCGCATATCGATCATGCCGCGTCTGTTGGGGTTGGATCCTCGTTAATCGCCGGCTCCACATGGGGGGTTGGTTGTGGGATTGGGAATCTCAAACTCACTTGCACTCGCTCAATCCCTTGCTCAGCTGCTGGCACTTTGTCGGCAGCTCCTCGGCTAGCGGCGAGCTGAGGCATTCGCGTGGGGTGTGCCGCTGGACCATTATGCAGTCGGATTCCTGGAGGCATTGCGCGAGCGCCTCGCCTGGAGAGCAGGGGGAAGTTAGTGGATAACATGGATGGATGTCGGGTAGATCGTGGCTCACGAATATCCCTGCATGAGCTAGGCATGTTGCTGGTGTGATTGTCAACATTCGAGAAAGACAGAAACTCGGACAGAAAAGTGAATTCCCCGGATGATGAGGTAAGCGTCACATGAATCCGCTCTGGGCAGTGACGTCGTTTGATGTACTTTCTTTCCCTTCTCACTTGCTTGTCATTCTAAACTCTCGAAATACCTACATGCATCCAAGATGGCGCGGGTTCCCGTCATTGGGCGCCTTTTCTGGTCCGAAGCCCGTATTTACCCTGTTAGTATAAGACTAACCACAGCACAGGTTCGAGTACCTGGCCCTCGCAGCGTCGCTGGTCCTCGTTCTCCTCGAGACAGTCATTCATCTGATTACCTTCTGCCTGCGTGAGTGACCTCTTACTTGTTGTATAACTCTACTAATCCCTCTCCAGCAACGCCTGTTATCCGGTTCTGCTATGATCAGTCCAAAGCGCTGTTCAACAACTTCATATCCACCGAAGCCCGCGATAAGCGCACCCGAGAAGAGGTTCTCGCTGCCTCAATCGCGGAGGCCTCTGATTTCACTGATATGTGCGCTCTGTTTGGGTACGAGGCGGAAGAACATATTGTGCAGACAGGTGACGGGTACCTCCTCGGTCTCCACCGACTCGCATACCGGAAAGGCGAGGAGGGGCTGCGCGTCAACCACGGACAGGGCGGGCTGAGCAAAAAAGTCGTATACCTGCACCACGGCCTGCTCATGTCCAGTGAGGTATGGGTAGCCCTCACCGACGAACAGCGTTGTCTGCCCTTCCAGCTCGTGGAGAAGGGCTACGACGTGTGGCTGGGCAACAATCGGGGCAATAAGTACGCCAAAAAATCAATGTTCACCTCGCCCGGCTCGAACGAGTTCTGGGATTTTTCCATGGACCAGTTTGCCTTTCACGATATTCCCAACAGCATCCAGCATATCCTTGACGTCACGGGCCAGCCGTCGCTATCGTACATCGGGTTCTCGCAGGGCACGGCACAAGCATTCGCAGCGCTGTCCATTCATCCACTCCTCAACCAAAAGATCGATGTGTTCGTAGCCTTAGCACCCGCCATGGCGCCATCGGGTCTCCGAAACCGCATCGTCGATTCTCTCATGAAAGCATCCCCGAATTTCTTGTTCTTGCTCTTCGGTCGGCGCAGCATTCTCTCATCAACCACCATGTGGCAGACGATTCTCTATCCACCCATCTACGTCCGAATCATCGACACAGCGCTATCAACCCTCTTCAACTGGAAATGCGCCAACATCGAGCGCACCCAGAAAATCGCCGCATACCTACACCTGTACTCGTTCACGAGCACCAAGTCCGTCGTGCACTGGTTCCAGATCATCCGCAACAAGAACTTCCAGTTCTACGACGACGAACTGCACGCCCCCTTCAGCATCGTTGCCAGCGAGCGTTTCTACAAGCCCGTCAAATACCCCACCCGCAACATCAAGACCCCGATTGTGCTGCTGTACGGCGGCAGCGACAGCCTCGTCGATATCGGCGTGATGTTGCGAGGTCTACCGCACGGCACAGTCGCCAAGGCGATTCCGAAATACGAGCATCTTGATTTCCTGTGGGCTTCCGACGTCGATCGCCAGGTGTTCGGCCATGTGTTTGAGGCGCTCGAGACATATAGCCAGGATGCTCAGACTGCGAATGGTGATGTACCGGGTCGTTTGGAGAGGCGCATTACATCTGATGGCACGATTTCGAATACCTCTGCCCTGCGTAAGCAGCATGCTCAGCTTATTAGTTCGCCGTTGGGGAAAACATGATAGCAGCTACGTTTATATATCATTGCTGTTGGATTTCATGTTTGCATGGATATGTTCTTGTATATATTGTGCCCATCTCTGTAAGATCAGTTCTGTCTTTTATATATACCACAATGATCTTCTTCACTCTAACAGCCATATACTTGAGTCAAGTCATTAATTCATAAAACCGGAAATGAATATATGATAAAAGTAGCTTCAAATAAGATCATCTTCAAACAGAGAGACACAGCCCAGACGCAAAAAGAAGCAAGGAACCAGCCCAAAGCTAAGACATGTGCGCACCCCCAGAAACCTGGAACGTCTGCCCAGTCAACCACTGGGACTCCGGACTAGCAATCAGCGAGACCACGCCCGCAACATCCTCAATCTCGCCCGGTCTGCCGAGAGGGGACCACTTGCCGATCGCGGCATCAATCTGCTCAGGCGTCATCTTGTCGCTGCCAGGAACGTAATTGCCCGCCATCTCCGTATACATGTCCGTCTTGACGCCGCCGGCGGCAATGCAGTTGACTGTGATATTGCGCTTTCCAAAGTCCACGGCTAGGCATTTTGTCATGCCCTGCACGGCTGCTTTGGAGGCGGCGTAGACGGCGTGGCGGGCGACGCCCTATGTTCATTTCAATTAGCGGTTAGAAGAGAGAAGGAGAGAGAGAGCATGGTAGATAAACCCCTACCTTCACTGCCGAAATCGACGAAGTCAGCATCACGCGCCCATACTCTGCCATATACTTATACGCTTCCTGCGCAACAAAATACTGCCCCTTAACATTAACCGCGAAGACACGATCGATATCCTCTCCGGTAACGCTGCCGACATCACCAAAGAATTCGATACCAGCATTACTAACGACGATATCCAGGCGTCCGAATTCGCGGTTTACGGTCTCGAACAAAGTGCGCACCTCGGCCTCGTCAGAGACATCTGCCTGGACGACGAGGGCGCGCACGCCGGCGGAGCGGATCTGCGCCGCGACGCTCTCAGCGGCAGAGGCGGAGGCGTCGGAGACGTAGTTGATGGCGATGTTAGCACCACGCTGGCTTAGTTTTATGGCGATGCCTGCGCCGATGCCGCGGCTTGCGCCAGTGACTGCTTTCTTGGTTAGTTCTTTTTTCGGCTTCTTATGGGAAGGTTGATGAGGTAGAGAGGAAGTATGGAGTGGTGGGGGGAAAGAGTACCGACTGCGACTTTACCGGTGAGATCTTTGGCAGACATGTTACGTTGAGGAAGTGAAAGAGACAAAGACGAATTGGAGAAGAGCGGGGGTTAATATGAATTTTAAATTATCTGTGCAGATGCTTTGTAGATCTGACGAGTGTAGTGGGGGTCTGGACTCGTCTAGTTCAATGCTTGCTTGCTTGCATACTGCAGCTACACACCGATCCTTGTGAGAGATTGTGCTTACCACATGCGTGATCATGGCTATGCGGACAGCATCGCTTCTGCTATGTTGCGCGTTAGGCTGTTAGTATATCCTATTCTGGCCATGCTTTGACTGGATAAAGGAATAAGATAGCCGGCAGTTTTTGTTGGGCATTGTAATCTAGTGCGCAATATGGATTCGTAATAGACCCAGCTTTTGCCAAAACTTCGTCTACTTTTGTACTGCGTCTCAACTTGCTGGTGCTAAGTTGTGATGCAACGTCTATCACCTCTTTTTAGGTGCCTTTTTCCAGGCGGCTCCCAAGGCCAACCCGAGAGTTTTCACCCGGGCCCCTTCTCGACTCAATCGACAAACTGGAGGGGGAAAACTTGACCCAAACTCATTTGACTTCTGCCCTTGTCCTTCGAACCGCTGCCCTTCAACCACGGCCGCTCGGCCCTGGATATGTGCCGTTCGGCCTATTGGTCCCTAGATAGAGATCATCACTGGGCGCGACAATTGACCATCGTCTGGTTTGGCCAGTCAGCCGTGTAGATCCTTCTATGGCTCTCTATTCTTACAGCGACATTCGGAATCAGATAAACGATAATCCACTATTTCTAAATTTACGGGAGGCTTTTTAGTCTAGAAAACACATCGCTTTTATAGCATGACGTCTCCTTCTAGTTCTGCAGGTCGCATCAAACTGTTTCCCTCTAATTCCTGGCGATCATGGCTTCCACTAAGCTCTTGAGGGGGCTTGCTGCTTGAACTATGCATCTCGGCCGGCTCAGTAACCCCTATTTCGGGTCTAAGTTTATTTCTCTGCCTCCTGCGGCGATGAAGGCACAGCAGGGCCAGTGCTATCACGGCTATAGCGCCAATTGCATCCATAGCTCTACTTTGGCTATTATCGTGTTGTTAATCTTATGAATATAAATATGGAAGAGAAGTTGATATTTTATTTTATGTATGCGAGCGTGTGGTAGAATGGCTCTAAAGCACCGACCCGAACCATGTCTCACAACTCTACATGTGGAGTTCTCGGCTGTTCCGATAGCATCCTTTCTATCACATAGAATCAGAAGTTCTGGCCTCATCGTTGACTACATTTTCTCATCGCGGCCAAGCCATGAGTTTTGTCACTCAGGTACGTAAAGGATCCGGAAGCGGTTGGGTTGCGCAGGGTCCCTATCGACGACTTGGACTGGCGGCCACATCCATTGCCAGACATTGATGCCTGAGATGCGGGAGAAGCTGATATGACCGCGGGTGCCTTGGATGGCAACGCGTGACCAAGACGGAGCAGTACGTGTCCGGTCAGTGCCATGAGAACGCAGCATGTCGGCGAGGACAGTGATCGTGTCGTAGCCTTCGAAGGCGACGAAAGAGGGCGTCTCAGCCAGCCTGTCGCGCAGGACGGCCTTGATGCGTGCGCCCAGCGGACTAAGCCGCTCGGGCAGGTAACGGAGGAAAGAGATCGCAGCGCCATCGTCGCCAAGCAACCTCGCCCATTCGGCCAACTCGGGCTGTCCGGCAGGAGCACCCATCATGAGCCGGGAGAGGCGCTGATCGCGGCGAACGGCCTTAACGATCGCAACCGCCGGCTCTGGCAGGCCGACTAGGAGGAGGAGTGCCGTCGCGCAGCCACCTCGCCGGACGAGCTCGTCGCATATGGCGATAGGTGTAAGCGCGCGTATGTCGAATTCGATGACGGTTCCGCCGCGTGTAGCGAGATACTCCCGCAGGATGCGACATCCAGACGCCCAGTAGATGCTCGTCGGGTCGGCAGCTATGGCGATGCTGTTGTGGCCCGTGGCCAGAAGGAAGTCGGCATAGGTGCACCAGCCGTGGGACTGCGCGGGCGCGAGGCGGGCAACCCAGTCTGTCGGCTGTTCTGTGAGTTCGTCGAGAACGGCAGACGAACAGAGGTATGGCAGGCCAACGGCATCGGCCCTGGCGGCGGCGGCGCGAGCAACAACGCTGTGGTACTCACCCGCTAAGGCGGCAACGCCTAGGCCAGCCAGTTCGTCGACGGCCGCGGCGACCTTTTGGGCATCAGCCGCAGTGTCCCTGACCACCAGTTTGAGTGGCCTCCCGGAGATGCCGCCGGCAGTGTTGATCTCTTCGATGGCCAGTTCGAGTCCCGCGAGCAGGTGCCTGCCAGCATCGATCCAGCCGGGTGGGCTTAGCGGGACGAGACTGCCGATCTGGATGCATGCTCCGTCGGTTTGCCCCGTTTCGCGTATCGGATATGGTGTATTCATGGGTTTGGCGATTCTGGAGGTAAGCAACACTGGGAAGGAGTTGGTGGAGTCGACGCAGTGACCATAGTAGCGAGCAGGAGTGGAAGGTTAGAGTTCGGAAAGGCGTAGTCCTTTTTGCTGAATCTGAAATGACTGGCTGAACACATTACTGTGATTCACCGAGTGCCCCTCCATGCCCATCAACCTCGTATCCTGACATGGTGCGCTACTAGTGCCTGCCGGAGTGTATAATTTATGCTTGGCAACTTACAACGCAGAAACAAATCACCGAAATAAACATAGCATTACGTAAAATAGAGTCTGGGAATGAATCGAAGAGAATAAAGTGGTGAACCTGATTTCGAGCGGACCTAAATCTGCTCCCAACATATGATCATTCCGCAAGCCGTCAAAACAGAAAGCATTCGAGAAAACAGAGTCCTATTCCAAACCTTGCAACCCCCCCGGGGAAGCTTCAAAAAGATTCGACATGTCAAGGAAGCAAACATCAAGCGACTGGGAAGTGCTTATAGCCTATGTCCTTGACAAAAGTCTGTTGCCAAGGACCCTGGAACTTGTGCTCAGCGAGTTCGGCATAAAATTTCCCATGTGCCTCTCCATTGATCTCAGAGTATGCAGGAGTTCCATCAGCCTTCCGCTCATCGGCATAATAGAATCTACCTTTGGTCAATTGCAAAACAGTTGTAGCCGAAGCAAGGAACACTTACTTGAAGCCTCTATTGGAGTACGCGGTAGCAGCAGAGCGGATGATGTGGGCCGTTGCGGATTTACCCACACCAAGATCCAGAAGGTTTGCAATAGTGGCCGAGTTAAGTATATTACCAGTGTATATGAATGTCTTACTCCCATGGTCACTGAGTTGCTCAAAGCTTAGAGCCGCCTGTTGTGCAGCGACAAACGCACTAGTCGTGTTGATGTGGAAGTCTCGACTGAAGTCAGCTAAGGGAAGAGACAGTGGGTCATCTGGGTTGTTTGGAGTCGCCGCAGCAGCTTCAAGGGTGTCAGCCGGGTTTTAGTATAGGGCCTCCTTGAGGAACATGCTTACCATTGTAAACAACAACACTTGGTAGACCGAGCGATGCTTTGACTTTCGAAAAGATGCCCTTCACGGAATGAGGATCCGATAGGTCGGCGGAAATGTGGACTTGGTCCGCATTGCTGTCTTCTTCCTTGAGGCTTCTGGATGCAAGGGCAACTTTGTAGCCCTTTGCGGCAAAAGCCCGAGCCACATGCTGCCCGATATTGGGCCCCGATCCGAGAATGAGGATAACCGGAGATGTGCTAGCCATATTTGAGTTTTGTATGAATTGATGAGAGAGAACGACCATGAGGAAGACATATAAGTCTTATTATATTGGCTTCAATGATCAAATAGCAGTTCCATCTGTATTATCAATCTGCGTGTTTGCTAGTTTTGCTCTGTTTGCTTGAACTCTATCGTAATCCCTTTGAGCTGACCCCAACAGCTCTGTGGGTGGGTCTTCGAGCCAGTTTGTTTTGTTTGCGTTCTAGTTTGTGCTGTTTGCGTTGATAAGGACCAATCAACGTCGACGACAAATTGCGCCAGATGATGATAGTTAACCTAATCGAACCTTCCCCGAACCCCGAGGCTTGATAATCATTCCCGCTCATTGGAAGGCCTGTGGTTTGGCGAGTAATGATGCAACAATCGGGATAGTATCCTCCGTATTTACTAGGGTGAGGTGTCTCTATATAAACCGGGCTGGCTGCAAGTAGTGGGTACAAGTATCTTGTTGGCATTGGTTTTCATCAATCACTACAACCTCATGGGCTCAAATATTTTGGTCACCGGCGCCGCCGGCTACATGTACGGATTACTTTATGGGAGTAACTATCCATATCTGACCTTTTTTTTTACAGAGGAGGTTCCATAATCGCGGACTTTCTGGCGAGCAAGACCACATCGATCGGTGTGGATCGGCTTGTTGCTGCGGTTAGATCCGAAGATCAAGCTAATTCTTTATCGAAACTGGGCATCTGTGTTCTTAAGTTGGATCTGACCGACGAAGATGCTGTGATCAAAAGCGTGCTACGCCACAACAGTATGAGACCTTCTCCAATTGCATTCGTAGCGGGAAGAATTCACTGACAGCTTGCTAGTCAGCATTGTCATTCACACAGCAAGCTCTATAAATCCAGATCTAGCGCTACACCTAATCACTGCGTTGAGTAAACAGGGTGAGGTGAGCGGTGAGAAAACATATTTCATCCACGTAAGTAGCTACATATGTTGCTGCCCGTCTGCTCGTGAATAAATCGAATGACCAGGAGGTAGACCTCGGGATTGGGTGCATTCTTCGAAAATACCGGTTGGCCAGCCGGGCCGTTTAAGGACACGGATGCGGTGTTCGATACAGAGAAGGAATTGGCCAGCTCCTCCCCTCTCCGAAAGGTAAGCATATCGTCTGTCTACCTACGTGGAGATTATTCTGAATAACTTTGACTCTCCCGCCGGACAGACCGACGTGACTGTCATCGAGCATGCCGAAACACGAGGAGTAGCCTGTTTCGTCGTCGTGCCGTCCCTAGTTTGTGAGTACCACAGTTAAACAAATGAGGCTGACTCTGACAATCCTTCTTAGATGGGAAGGGCACCGGCGAATGGAATAAACTGTCCGTAGTACTGCCCGTCTATGTCAAGGCCAGCATTTCGGGTCAAGCCGTTTACAAATTCTCTGAAAACACGGTAGGAAATGGGCTTTTCGAGAGACTGCCAACGGGACTGACTAAGAGGTATTACAGAAAGTCTCAAGCGTGCACATTTCTGATTTGACAGCCCTTTATGGACTGATTATCGAGAACATCCTCCAGGGAGAGCCACTTCCAACTGGCAGAGAAGGATATTACTTCGCACTAGCCCATTATCTCCATTTCAGGGAAGTCTTGGATCACTTGGCTATAGAGTTAAAGGCTCGTGGTCTCATAACAGATTCAAAAACAATGATTTATCCCAATGATGAAGCTGCTGCAAGGTCTCTAGGCGTTCCCGTGCCGTTTGTGCGGCCCTTGTGGAATTCGGGGTAGGTGTTGCAACCATCTCAAGAAGTTTTATCTGATTTGAAATTTAGTGATAACATCATTGCCGAGATTCCGCATAGAATCGGGTGGAGACCGATGTGGAACAAGGAACGATTCTTGCAAAACATCGGTGACGAGATACAAGCGGTAGTGGAGCTTGGAAAGGCGAAGAGTAGTCTTATTGACTCCTTGTTTGAATTCGCTGGAGGGCAACAGGGTCAGTCCTGAGTGACCAGTGGGAATCGCTTCCTATGAGCATTAACGACTACTCAAGGGGAACGGGTGGCCATAAGTAGGGAGTTAATAATAGTGAAAGTGGTGGATAGGCGTATTCATTAGTAGATTTACCAGGTAGTCAATCTATGACAATGATGAATCGATGGTACTTCGTCTATCTATCCTGTCTGTATTTATATTAGCAGAGAAGAGGGAAACTCTGCTCAATGTGATCTGTCTACATCGGGGCACAGCTGCCGTATTTGGAGGATTAGGCGAGTCAGCGTCAGGATACGGCAGTTGGATGAATTACCCAATGGATAATTACTCAACCAATTTTTATAAAACTTCGATCTCGAGGGAATCACACTTGATTGGGCGGTGTATATTGGGTCTCTATAATTTGTTATTCTTTCGGTCTATCGCTAAAGCAACTATGCGCGCTGAATCGTGCAGCCCTATCTCTCACAGCAAATATCGGAAGCTTTCTATCTCATGGTCGGTCTTATTGGATAGCTCGTCCTCCAGTTCCTCCGACACGGTCACTTGTCTCGGTGATCCATACAATCGGTCTCGCCGACGGTTTTCCCATTGGTAAAAGCCATAGAGACAGATTAGGAAGAAAATTCCAAAGATCAATCCCGACATCGCTGCTTTGATGCCAGTCTGTCGAGTCTTAGCATCTTAAAGGTGCAAAAACCGAAGAGGGGTAATATGGTTACTCACTGGATATGCCGGTTCCTCAGAGGGAATGAAAAATTGAGGTCCAACAATATTTCCGACACAGTACGCCACAAACATTAGGGCACTGACGGTGCTCTTCTTCGTGAATCCAGCCACGTTCGAGCTGATTATGCTAAGTGATAGGGGGATGTTGGCAACAAAAGCCACTCCCAGGCAGAGACCTGCCATCTTTCCCGCGCGGTTCTCATCATCCAGCTTCCAAATGAGGATCATACCAACCATTGCAAGTGCCGTGTTTAGGATCATCATGAGAATTCGACTGGAGCTGACAACACTCGCAACCCCAGAGGTAATAACAACGTAGACGATTTGCGCAGCTCCAATTGGCATCTGAATGAGAAGGGCTTTGAGATCCGAGAACCCAAAACCGGCAATAATGATGGACTGGAAACTGGTTATACCTCCATTACAGAAGTTCGCACATAGCGTATAAAGCACAAGAAACCAGGTTTGTGGATCCTTGATAGCCATTAGGACTTGATCCCACTTGAATTTACCCGCATCTAGAACTCCAGTTTTGTTCTTTAGAGTTCGATGCAGGGCAATAGCCTTCTCAGTTTCGTTCAAGAACATCACCTTAGCTGGTGAGTCGGGTAGGAATGCAAAGAGGACGAATCCGTATGCGGCAGTGACGGCGCCTAAAATAAGGAACAATAGCTGCCAATCCTCGAGGGAGGTGCTACTAATCTCCCCAATTCCATAAGCGACAACTCCGCCAATCACTGTTGCAATCGAATTTCCAATGAACCAGGCCGCCTGCCGCACCGGCTGTTCCTCTCTCTTGTAGAACATACCCGTGATTAGGGCAAATCCAGGAGCAATGGATGCCTCTCCCATTCCAAGGAAGAACCTTGCTACCATCAATCCACCGAAAGAGGTGCAGGCAGCATGGCACATGAGAATTCCCCCCACACAAAGACGGCAACGCTCAGGTATTTCCCAAGTGGGAGTTTTACAACGAGGTAGGAGCTTGGCCAGCTCCAGGCAAAGTATCCGAAGTAGAAGACAGCCGATGCCCAATTATACTGCCTGGACTGGAGGCCCTACAAAAAAAGAATGAACAGTCAGTCTTTGTTTTCATTTTTTTTTTTTTTTCAGCAGATGGTGGTAGGAAGGCAGAAAGAAGATACCAAGTCTTGTCGAAGATCAAATAATGTTGCCTGGCTAAGAGCCAGTTTGTCCATAAATTGCAGCATATAACAAAATCCCATCAGGGGGATAAGGCTGATCCTTCTGGTTAGAGATACGGTGCCTCATGCGGTGTTGGCCCGGACTCACAAAAGATCGAGCTTCCATAGAACCCTTCGTTCCATTTGCGGAGTGGCATTAATCGCAAGCATCTCGCCGACATAAGCATCCCGGGCATCAATGTTAGAGTCGATTTCCAGTTTGTTCATGTCGGATGCGGAGCCGTCAGGAAGGGGCTGTTGTTTCTCCATGCTGCGCGAGTCATCAAAGTAATTCGAATAAAGTGATGTCGTAGGATTTGCCAATCCAAAGAGGACTATAAATGGTCTTGATTGTTGGAATGAACTAGTTGGTGTTGTTCGTTATGCCACGACGGATGGCCAATATATAACTAAACTCTGGGGTAAAGGGGGCCGCGGGGTCCCCACCACCGTTATTTAAGAACGCAACCAGGAGATTTGATCTGGTGGTCAACTTTGTTGATAATAGATTGGATGGCTAGCTATGGAGTACAAAGACCTTCAAGCGACAACGCCATCGACCAGGAGATCATTTCGGTTCTGAGCGACGACGGTTAATAATTTCGGCAGTTCAAGCCTTCGCTAATGCTTTTGAGGACAGATACCAATATTCCTGTCGACACTAGGGTTCGGCATCGGCAGACTAGCCAATTGTAAGCGTCGCCTCGGCAAGTAGTTTTCTGTCACCCGCCATCGGTAAACGCCGAATTTTCTTATCGCCCCGTACGAACCAGAAGGAAAGGTGTCCACCTGTACCCCACAAACTCATTGGCGTGGCGCGACCCTCCGATACGCGCTACCAGCCTTGTCGACGACCTGTAATTGTTCTTCGTTGGCTGTGGAGCTTTGTTTCTCCGCTGTCAAAAACTCCCCGGCCTCCACGCATAGGGCTACCTGATTGAGCATAGTAGGCGGATCAATAAATAAGTTGACGGAGAGCGAACAGAAGAACTAATAGCGGAAGTCCAGTGTCAGATTAAATACGCCCGGCCCTCCGTCGGAAACAGAACTTATATGGAGAACTTCGTCTGAATAGCTTGCTCTACTGATCCTCCAATAAAGATGACTCGGTCGACCATAGATATTGATGATGTCCGGGCATACGTGGATACTGCACTCGGGACACTGGAAGGATCATTGCGAGAATTGAACCACGAGGTATCTCCTCCACCATGTTCACTCTTCACCTAGCTGGCAGCTGACGCATCGGTGCTGGGTGCCAGATCTGGTCACACCCGGAACTTGCGTATGAGGAGCACCGCGCTCACGATCAAATCTGCAACTTTCTTGAGAACCGGGGATTCAAAGTCACACGCCATGCCTATGGCATTGCCACATCATTTGAAGCTTTGAGTGGATCGGGTGGACGATTAATCAACTTCAACGCAGAATATGATGCTCTTCCAGACATTGGACATGCCTGCGGCCACAACCTCATCGCCACTAGCAGTATCGCTGCCTTCCTCGCTCTATCTTTCATTTTGGAAAAATACGGTATTCCTGGACGGGCGCAGTTGTTAGGCACCCCGGCTGAGGAGAATGGAGGCGGAAAGGCCAAGCTTATAGATGCAGGGGCCTATAAGGGAGTTGACATCTCCCTCATGGGGTATGTTTCTGTGGTCTGATTCTACAATATTCAAATTGTCTGCTAATTCCACTAATAGTCATGGTGGGCCTAAGAAACTATTCCCAGGGCAGGAACCATCAGATGGCATTGCTGGAACATTGATGAATGCTCGTAAAAGGATCAATTGCGAGTTCATTGGCAAGAGTGCCCATGCAGGTGGTAATCCGTGGGATGGGATCAACGCTCTAGATGCCTTGGTAGCCTCGTACAACAATGTTGCAGTGTTGCGACAGCAGCTCCTGCCAGACCAACGAATCCACTGCGCCTTCCTTGAAACTCCTCCTGTTGCAAACATCATTCCTTCATTCACCAAAGCATTTTGGCAGGTTCGAAGTCCGTCGCTCAAAGGGCTCAACACTCTGGTTTCCAAGGTGCGCAATTGCATGGAGGCTGGAGCACTGGCTACAGGTTGCCAGGTTAAAATATCCGAGTATGTCAAACAAATCTATTGTCAAAATGCCACTCAGATACTGACATGTATGAAAGGGAGGAGCTGTACACGGATGTCCTGTTGAACGACACTCTTTGTGAGCAGTATCAGGTCCACATGGGGCGATATGGTCGCAAGGTGCTTAAGCGCCACGACAAGGTCATGACTGCTTCTTCAGATATTGGTACAAACCTTGAATGATCTTGTCAAGCATCGTAGGACTGACACTGGAGATAGGAAATGTCAGCTATGTGACTCCCACGCTTCACACCAGCTTCGGGATCCCAACCCAGGAAAACTCATTCCCGCACCACCCCACGTTTGCCGCTGCGGCGGGAACAGACGAGGCCCATGCTGAGGCACTAATTGTGGGCAAGTCGCTGGCGCTAATCGGGTGGGACATGCTCACAAACGAGACCCTCTATGAGACGGCGCGGCAGCAATGGCAACAGGAGATTGCACGAGCAAATTAGATATCATAAATACATTTACGCATGCAGCTTCATAGTAGCTTTTCTGGCAGGAGACTGTAGGAGATCGGTCCTCCGTTGCCACTTATGTGGTCAAAATTTGGACGCTCCGATCGCTGGTAATTGGGATCGTGGGATCTCCACTGAACTCATCAGATCTACAACCGAGAAGAATAATAATAACAGGTAATTCGGCCATCAATTGCAAGCAGTAGATAATCGAACATACAAGAAACCAATGACGCAGAGCCACGGCAATAGGGAGAAACATGGAGATCGCTCGCGTCAACGAAACAAGAGTACAAGAAGCTGCGCCGTCCACCGCCAGGATTTCCAGAGCTGAGGAACTCAATGGAACACAAAAAAAACGCCCTGTCCAAGTGCAGAAACAAGAAAAGATGAAGGAAAAATAGTAATAAAAGGTAAATTCGTTTTACACAGGTTCCTTCAAGGAACAGAACACGGAGAAGTGGTGATATCAGATGGATCGTGCGGTGATTGGTAATGATGATGGGCAAAAGAGAGGGAATTCACCCTACTCTTCATCGTCCAGTTCGGCGCCGTTCGCGCTGTCGCCGCTGTCTCGGTTTGCATTGCTGAAGGTGAGCTTCAACTTGGGCTGTCCTGGGGTTCCAGCAGTCATCGGGGTGTCCGTGCCGGAAAGAGTGGACATGGCATCGCCAGCAGCAGAAACCGAGTCGTCAAAGTTGGCAAACTCCGGGTGGCCCTCGGTTTGCTTCTTTAGTTCCATCAAGCATTTGGCCTAGTTGTGGTCAGTACAGTGTCATGAAATTTCAATCAAAAAAAAAAAACATACCTCGATGTCGTTGGCATCCTGGAAGAGCAAGCTGCCATCCTCATTGTATGTCCGAGCGTTCTGACAGATCAGGTGGATGTCCTCGCGGAACTCTCGGAGATTCTGGTACTCGTCCCGCTTGATCTTTTTCTGAATCGTGTCCATCGCGATGGGGTTCTGAATGATCATGTAGTAATCCGGATACTGTGAGCGCGGAGGCGGCTTCATGAACGGATCCATGATCGCGCGAACGACGGGTTCATCCTCGTCATCGGACGACTCGGCCGGAAGCTCCTGCTCCATTGCCATCAGGGACTCGACCACACTATTCAAAATGCGAGTCAAGGTGGCACGGTCGGCGCTGCTCAACGTATCCACAGCCTTGGGCTGGCGACCACGCTTGCGCTTGGGTTGCGGGGTGTCATCGGCAACTTCTTCAGCCTTGCGCTTCGGTGCAGGGCCACGGCGGCGCTTCTTGGGCTGAGGAGTTTCGGAACCTTCGCGAGAGGGAGGCTCGGGAGATGACTCGGCTCCTCCCTTCTTCCCACGCTTGTCCTTGTTGGATTTGCGCCGCTCAACCCGTGCTTCCTTCCGAGCAATGGCATCCTCAATGCTGTCGTCCTCGGCATCCACCGCCATCAGCCACTGCTCTTCCGTCAGGCCATCATCGTACTTGGTCACCTTGCGCTCACGAGCTCCGCGGCCGGAGATCTCAATTTCGGGCTCCTCCGTGATTGGGTTGTCCTCTTGCATGTAGATCTCGGGCAGCTCCTCTTCACACATCAATCGAGGGTAGCGGTGTCCAGGGCCATACGAATCGTTCTTCTGGCGATCCCTGTCGATCTGCTGGAAGACGGCCACCTCGGCTTCAGACCGGGCCATGATTTCGTTAAGGTCGTCATCATCCATCTCATCGTGATCACCAAGCTGCTCCGCATCTTCGGCAGTCTCCAAGAGCGTCCGAAGAAGAGCGTCTCGTTCTTCGTTGGTGGATTTGTTATCAAACTTTCCGGCCTGAATAACCTTGCCATCCATGTCGAGTTTGAACTGTGCACGCTCCAAGATCTTCTCCTCAACAGAGTTCGAGCTGATCAAACGCAGGATGCGGACCTCGTTCTTCTGACCGATACGATGAGCACGATCCTGGGCTTGCAGATCCTGGTGAGGGTTCCAGTCGGAGTCGTAGATGATGACGGTGTCGGCAGTCTGCAGATTCAAACCCAGACCACCAGCACGAGTGGAGAGCAAGAAGCAGAAGTATTCGGAGCCCGGCTCATTGAAAAGTTTCAACAGATCGGATCGATCATCAGACTTGGTGGAACCATCAAGTCGGAGATACTTGAGACCACGCATGCGAAGGAAATCCTCCATAATGTTCATGATCTGGGTCATCTGGAAGAACATCAAGACACGATGCCCGGTGGCACGGAACTTGGGCAGAACCCGATCAAGCAACTCGAATTTCCCTGCTGTTCGCCACAGAAGATCGTTGGACATCCGGCTAGGGTTCATCTGGTCTTCCACGGGTTCAAAAACAAACGGATGGTTGCAAAGCTTTCGCAACTGCATAAGCATGTTGCTCAGACCACGCATTCCAGTCTTGCCACCCTTCCCATCGCTGACCACCATTTTGTTGTGGGTCACGAGCTGCTTGTACAGCTTGGTTTGCAGCGCGGAGAAGCGACACTTGATGACCCGCTCCTGCTTGTCAGGCAGATCCTTCTCGACATCCTTCTTCAGGCGGCGAAGGAGGAAAGGACGAAGAACCTTGTGCAGACGACGAATCACAAGCAGCTGCTCTTCTTCACTCAGGTCCATGCGGTCTTGGCCACCGGTATTGGCAAATGGCGTATTGAACCACTCATCAAACGACTTGACCGACTTGAAAATGTTCGGGAGAACGAAATTGAGAAGAGCCCACAGCTCAGGCAGATTGTTCTGCAGCGGTGTACCGGTCAAGATCAAACGATAACGGCTGACGTAGTATGTAGAAAGAGTGCTGCTCAGCTTCGACTGAGCGTTCTTCATCCGGTGACCTTCGTCAACAATCATGTGTGTCCACTTGATCTTGCTGAGCACGGGACGATCCTTGATAATGTACTCGTAGGTGGTCAAGAGGACCTGGAAGTTGCCCCAACGAATCTGCTGCTGTTGCTGCTTGCGCGCATTGGGAGGACCCTTGTAGACGACCTTGCTGACCGAAGGTGCCCACTTCTCAAACTCAAGGTTCCAATTGGTCAGCGTACTCAAAGGTACAATGACCAAGAACGGGCCGTTATTTCGCTTCTTCTCAATGATGTAGGTGATCAAACTGATGGTCTGGATGGTCTTTCCAAGACCCATCTCGTCAGCCAAGATACCGTTCAGGTTATTGTTGTACAGAGAAATCATCCACTGCAGGCCCTTCAGCTGGTACTCCTTCAGAGTACCGCCAACGAGAATCGAGGGCTGCTCAGTGACCTGTTCTCGGATGCGATGGGCCACAGCGTAGTAATCAATCTTCTTCTGGCCGGGAGTCTCCTCGTCGTCACTTCCACCAATCTCCTCTTCCTCTTCTTCCTCTTCAAAATCGTCGTGTTCATCGCCATAACGCTGGGCCTGGTTCCGTTGCTGCGCCCGGACAGAGGCAGCCAGCTGCTTGAGGAAGTTGTCGGTCTGGTTGAGCAGGTGAGAGATACGGGAATCCTTGGCTTGTCCGAGCAGCTTCAGGTACGTCTCTTCATCGTTAGCCTTCAGAGCCTGAAGACGTTGCTTGGCGGTCCGCTCCACACGTCGTTGCTCCTCACGCTCCATGAACTGGTGGTGCTGGAGCATCATACGACCCAGTTTCTGCGAGCGAGTGCGTTGCTGGACAGTGGCGTTGGCGACCTCAGCGCCGTGGTTGAGAATAGCCTGCAGCTGGTCGTATTGCTTCTTCTTCTCGCGGGTCTCGCGAGCATCACGTTGTTGCTTCTCAAGCTTCTCGGTGATTCGAGCCTCCCGCAGAGACTGCTTCTTCATGCGACGATGACTCGAGCGGTTCGCAGTCATGCCAAGGTTCTCATAATGAAACATCTCGTTTTGAATCTGCTTGCGGAAAAGCTTCTGCTTCGGCAAGAGATTGAGCATCTTGTACTCAATGAGCGCCTTCAACTTCAGAGAATCGTCACCGGTGGGCGCATCACTCTTGCTGGTATCCCATGCGCCGAGGTTGGCAGGCAACTCAGCAAGCTCCGCTTTCCGCGCAGTGATCCTGTTGTACAGAATCAATTCACGATCCTCGCGCACTTGTTCCAAGTCGATGCCAAGGGGCATGAGAGCAGGAATGCGTGCGCGGTTCGCGCGAGTGGCATGATCCGTGTAGCTGATCGTTTTGGACAGCGAGTCGTATGGAGACTCGAAGCTCCCATACCAGTCCTTGGCCGGAGCGGCGGGCTCTGCGTCAGCGATTTTCTCGGCAGAGCTCTTTTCCGCATTTTCGATGGCATTCTCCGCCACAGCGACGGTCTCGGTAGGCGTCGGCGTCTGCTGTTTCTTGGACGCGAAAAGCTGCTGTTGGACGCGGGGCGGAATAGCAAGGTTCTTGGAGAGCATCTTGAACGCCAAAATCTGATTGCGCAGCGTGGCCAATTGCTCCGGCGAAAAGCTACTGCTGGGCCCCGGGCCATTCTTCTGTCCTGCAACCTGGGCCTGGTTCGGCGTAGACGAGGACTCCCGAACAGCGCCAGTAGTAGACGACGTTGAGCCAGTGCGCGCTGATTAAAAGTGTTAGCGGATCATCGCAATTGGACCGACGCGCAACAAGGGCTTACCATGGGCGCCATTGGTGGCGGCATCCGCGCCAGCACCATTCATTTGCTGTTGGCGCTGTTGCGCCTGGAGCTGTTGTTGCTGCTGCATTCGCTGCTTCTGGTAGGCTTGCTGCCGTTGGATGGCAGAGAGCAGGTTGTGCGCCTTGAGGTATTCAGGGTCGTCATGGCGAACACCTTGTTCTTGCATCTGCTTGAATTTCTGCGCGACAGCGAGGTTAGCATGTCGGGGTATAATGGGTGTTGAGGGTCGCGGGATATGTAGCGACAACTCACCTGAAGAACCTCTTGGACGTGCTGCTGCGTCAAGTGAGGCGGCAAGCTCACGTTGCCAGACGCCATGTTAGGCGCCGACTGCAAGGAAGCCATATTTGAGACGCGTGCTTCTTTAATTCATGGGCCAGGCACCGATGGGTGGGCAGGGCAACGCGACCGAGAAAATCGAAGCGGATGTTGTTAGGAGTTGTCGCGGTCTCCACTTATTGCCAGGTCGCGCCCGCGCAAGAGAAGGGGGCAGGATCGGGGGAAGGGAGGGTAGGGACGCGACGAAGATGAGAGGTATTTGGGGGGACCGATGCGACTAGAGAAGGCCTAGTCGTGGTCCTTGGCGATGGAAACGGAGATGTTTGGGCCCGTAGTCGGAGGTCCGGGGATGCCAGGCGATGGGCAAGATTCCCAATGGGGGTCACGGCCGGATGAGTCAAGAAAAGAAGGAAAATGGAAAAGACCGGAAAGGGGGCAACGGGGATGGGGTGGGAGGTCCCAAGTGGCAGAAACGCGGCGGGGAGGGCGCGTTGAAGGGAAAAATGGATGAAATGGAGATGGAGGGGACCGGGTTGCGCGACTCGCTGGACGGGGCTGGTGCTCGCTGAGTAGCGGACTAACAACAGGAGGCGGAGGAGAAGATTTCAGTGTGGCGGTCAGGTGACGCTGAGTCAGCAGACTGCCCTGTACGGCGCCCGCAGTACATGCAGGACTGACGACTGACGGGCTATAGATCTGGGGAGTTATACTTGTAACACTTAATTCGAAGCAAGCCTGTTTTAACTAACTTGTAGCAGCAACTGAGCGACCCTCCCCGATCGTCAGTTGAAACGAACGATCTGAGTCAGCATGACTACAATTACGGTGTGGCGGTCATGGAGTACTGCCTACAAAGTCGTACAGATCTATAGGGCTTTGGTGATGGTGAAGAGGAAGATGGATGGCAGTGGGGAGTAGATGAATCACAACATGGTAGATTCTACAGATTGGTGGTGGTAGGAAGATTCGAATGGCAGCGGCAAGTCAACTTGGAAGCCAAGTATAATTGTCTAATCACAGACCTCGCGCCGTGACCTTTAAGCTAGGTAGCCTGAAGTAAATACAAAACATATGTCTGAACTAATCTAATTTGAAACGATGATTAAGCTATGTACGGCACTACATTGAGTAGCTCCCTGATTAGTTCGTTTCGGGCTAAGTCTACAACCAACACGGGCCGGGATTATTTAGACATACACATGCTAACGGTTGTTTTTGAGTAGTGATGGACTCAAGTCTGGAAAATCTCAGCAGAGCCTCGGTCTACCTCTCTACCGAAGACATTTGCCTGGCAGGGTGATTCCAGTCAAGCAAGACGGAGATGAGATCAAGTTAGAGATATCTGGAGATATCAAACCCCTGCAAAGACGCTGATTACATCTTCGGAGTAAAGACGAAAACCACTGACGTAACTTGCTACTGTAGTTAGAGTAATGTTGCCAACGTGTAACAATTCATTTGAAGCAATGGTTTCTTTTCCCTATACTAGCAATAAAGCAACACTCGCACCCATCTCCCAATAAAAGAACGAAGGATATAACAATATTCATAACCCGACCCGTCATACCCAGTCATAAACCATTAGAACCACAAACTCCCAGACCCCACGCTCGATACCAAACACTATTCGTCGTCAATCCTCCCTACGCATCACCAGCAGCAACCAAACTGCGTTTCATGGGCGGTGGTGGGGGCGGGGGCTTCTTGGCCCGCGAAGGCGGAGGCGGAGGAGGCGCCTTCTTGGCCAAGCCAGTCGTCCCATTCAAAGCATTCGAGCTTGGCCGTCGAGAGGCCACGCTGCTGCAGTGCGAGGTCGCGGGCGAGATCGATCGGTTGTTACCATATGTGCGCTCGGGGCTAGACCGGCCGTAGGAACTGCCCTCGGAGTCGGCGTAGGGCTCGCCAGGGAATCTGCCGCTGCCAAGATGGACACTGTGGCGAACAGTCAGGTCACTCGCAGCCCGCTGCACCCACGGTGTTGGGGTCTGTTCCTGGCGCAGCTGGGCGGGCCCTTCGAAGGTGGGGGTGCGGTTGAAACTCGGGCGGGAGTGCCCATTGCTGATCGGCTGAGGATCGCGTGCAGGCGAGTCTGCAATGTACATCGACATGGTCTTGTGGGAGCGGATCGTGGGCCGACTCTCTGTAACATTCGTGATCTCTTCCTGAAGAGGATCGTATCGCTGCTGGAGCGAACTGCCGGTATTGGAACGGGCTCGGGTGCGACGCGCCGTAGTCTGCCCTGAACTGGACCTGTAAAAGGGGTCAACATTTGCTGGAGAAGATGAAGAGTGCCGATCTTACCCGCCAGGCCACTCGTTCTTGAGTTGAAGGAGCGCCTCACGGCACCGCTCGTGATATTCCAATTGAGCGTCCAGGAACGTGCCCAGATCCATGACATTTTCGGGCTCCGAGTCCCGGATATCTTGCATGCGGCGCAGCACGTCGTCGTTGGCCTCCTCGTATTTGATCTTCTGCGTGCGCAGCTCTTCCTCCACCCGGAAATCCTCTCGCTTCGCCTTTTGCATTTTCGAGAGCGAGGTATCATATGCCAATCGACGGCTGTCGAGCTTTTTGCGCGCCTGCTGGTATTCTTTCATCTGGGCCAGCGATCTCTCCAGGGATTCAAGCCAGCCCGAAGTCGCCTGCGCAATATAGGCTTCCTGGACACGTGCGATGCGTTCTTCCGTCCGACCCAACACTAATACGCTAGTCAGAGATCAAGGCTCTCTAGAATGTCGCTGTCACCACTTACTGGTCAAGCACTGGCCGTATTCGGAGCTGCAGTCGAAATCTTCGCCGTGGGCAACCATGCTGCTTCCCAGGTGGGCAATGGGGAGGGTCTTCTCCTTGTCGTCGCCCTCATTGCGCTTCGAGAGGGCCTTGACGTATCCGGTCATGGATTTGTGGATGCGGTCAACGCCTGGAGAGATCTAGCATCAGCGCTGGTTCGGGGGGTCATGTCATCCATACTGTCATACCTTCATGGCGCACGGCCATTTCCGTTTCCATGGCCTTGAAATTGTCAGAGAGATTGGTCTTCACCTCGCCGCCCATGCGCTCGCCGGCCCATTGCTTGAGGCGACCGATGCGCTTGTTGACATTCATGGTGGATGTGGTGGTGGGGCAAAGAGATCGGTGCCGATCGGGGGGTCTGCAGGTAATTAAGGAACGCAGTGGGATTAATGAATTTGCAAGCCGATACTAGTATACTGGATGAAAAGAGTGTGTATGTGTGGCAGAAAGAGAGAAAGGAAGGGGGAGGGAGCAGTGTGGTGGAAGAAAGGAAGAAAGAAAAGAAGGGAGGCTGTCATGCCAAGGGGGTTGCGCACATTGATTAAGGACTGGCGCCACCAAAGTTATTCGGGATGCATTCAGGTTGATCGGTGGGGACTCTTGAGGTGTCTACAGGACTAACTAGGAGAGAAGTAGATGGTGATTCCTAGGCTATTATTATCACTCCGATTGTTCTGATTGTGATTGACCAACAAAGCCCTTCTGGCCCTTGGGATTGCCGCCCAAGCCAGAACTGAAACTCCCAGAGCCAGTGTTTCAGGGGACAACCACGAAAACAGTGAGACGGGCACAGCCGTGACACGCGTTGGTGGGCCGGGGGTAGTGGGGGTGAGCCATGCCTATTGGTGAACTAATTATAAGTGTGCAGTTAAGATTTGGGATGTTGCCACCACTGATGAATGCCCGGATGCGGGCCTGGGTATCTGGTGGACGGTTCCACCCTTACAGCCTCCTAGAATGGACCTAGGTGGTGGTGAAAAGAGTAAAGATAGATGGTATTTGCACCGTTATATTATTGTCCTTATTACTTATAGATTTGATTCAATGCCTCCCAGCATCCGCGGATCAATATGAATGGCCGGCTCACCACTCAACCATACATCAAAGTCATTCCACAATATTGCCTCATCCACCACTCCTAGACTGTCTGAAACCCCCTCCACTCCCTTCTCCCCTCCCAGATTCCAATCAAGATTCCAATCCAGGCGCTCGCCATCCCCGCCACCACCTAGCCCTGACACAGAGGATGATGGTGATGACGACGAGTCAAGCATGCCTGACGACAATGTATCAGAGGAGCCCTCATCAACCCCCAGACTCACACGCGACTGGACAAAATCAGCGGCATACTGGCCCGGCGTAACGCCAACCCGTTTCTTAAACACGCGATGAAAGTGACTCGGCGTCAAGCCCGCCGCAGCAGCCAGATCATAAAGCCGCGGCGGTTTCAGGCCCTTGGACAGGAGGTCACGGATGGACGCGCAGGCGGTTTGGACCAGCACGGTTTGGGGGTCACTCTGAGACGCCGCGCGTCCCGCGTATTGCGGGCGGCAGCGCTTACAGGCCCGGAACCCGGCGTGCTCGGCCTGGGTCGGCGTGTCGAAGAACAGCACGTTGGCGCGGCGTGCCAGCCGGCCTGGACAGGCTGGTCGGCAGTAGATTTTGGTGGTGAGGACGGCGTAAACGAAGGTGTTGATGCTGGAGTCCCGGTTTACGAGGGCTTGCCACCGGGCTGCGGCGTCGAGGGTTTGGCCCGATGGGGGGAGGCGGGGGATCTTTTGTGGTGGGTTGGGGGGTTGGAGCATGGTGGGATGATATAATGATTGTAGAGTACTGTATATCAGATGGCCTGTTCTCTCTGGGTTGTTTGCTGGTGATGGGAGTGAAAGTGAAGGCACTGACGGAAGGTGAGTTAATAATGGGCTCGGGAGTGGCCGTTGATTGGTCACTTTGAGATCAGCGACTTTGTCATTGCCGTTTGGGCGTTGATAGGTCAGTGGGAATAGTCTGGGATGGTTAGATACTTAATGCACTACTACTATAGTTATGGATACATAGGGTGCAGGGATGGATTTGATTTCCAACTGGACGGTTGTGTAGAAACGGGCTTCGGATATATATTTTCAACCCGATCGGCATGATACATTTAGGTATCGCAAAAATCCATGAAGATTATAATTTTAGAAGGCCCGGTCCATGGAATGACGTTACTCCTACATGGCCAGTGACTTGCTACATTTGGATGTACACGGAGCCCTACAATGGCCCACTACCAGTGGAAGAACTGAAGATTCGAAAAGGTATGTCATTTCAGTGCCCCCACGGGCCTTTTTGCTTCTGCTTCCGTCCCAGGTTGAGAAAAAAGATGATGACCACAGCCTTAATTCGCTAAGGGTGCGTGGGACGCTCATCCGCAGTCGCCTAGATACATAAGTCTCATAGCAGAAGTCCATTTTCAACCCATCACAACACAAACTCCGTGCCAGAATACCCTTAGTCCTTGACCTTCTGGGTACCACGGAGCAGACCGGTCCGCCGGGCAGCGATGAGACCGGCCTTCTGACCCTTGGCGGCGTAGCGGGAGATGGTCGACGCCTTACCAATGTGCTGGTGGTTACCACCACCGTGAGGCTGTAGAAGGGCATGTCAGCGATGAACACAACAAAAAATATGTGGGAACTTACATGATCGACGGGGTTCATGGCAACACCACGAGTCTTGGGCCACGAGTTGCGCTTGACGGCGAACTTGTGCTTGGCGCGCGAAGCCTTGAGCAGGGGCTTGTCGGTACGGCCACCACCGGCGACGATACCAACCATACCACGGGCGGTGTTCTTGACCACCTTCTTGGCACCGGAGGGCAGCTTGACACGGGTCTTGCCCTCGTCGGGGTTGTGGCCAATGACGGTCACGTAGTTGCCGGAGGTACGGCCCAGAGCACCACGGTCACCAGCCTTCTCCTCGACGTTGGTCACGACGGTACCCTCGGGCATGGAGCCCAGGGGCAGGACGTTGCCGACGGTCAGGGCAGCGTTCTTGCCGGCGTAGATGAACTGGCCGGTGTACATGCCCTCGTTGGCGATGAAGGTCTCGGTAACCATCTTGAACTTGTAGGGGTGGCGGAACTGGACCTTGGCGAGGGGAGCACCACGGCCGGCGTCGTGGATGATCTCCTTCACGACACCGCGGGTGTAGCCATGACGCTCGGCATAGTCGAGGGTACGGAACTGGGCAGGCGCCTTGTTGAGACGGGTGTTGGCCGCTGCAAGTAGAGAAAAAAAAGGACATCAGCACTCAATTCCCTTTTTTACCATTTTGTCCCAGACTCGAGTTTTCCTCGCTGCTCCATGCTCGACAGTGCAGCGCACTTTCATCCGGGATTGATGCGGTCGGACTCACTGAAAATGGAACCACGGCCCTTCCTCTGGTTGCGAATGACGCGACCCATGGCGACTGTCTGGAAGGAGTGTGTGTCAGTATCGTCGTAGGTGGCAGCAGGAAAAGTGGTGGTGGTGGGCGTACCTTGATGTGATGGGCTTGTTGAGGGTTGAGAAAATCGAGTTCCCGGACTGTGGGCTTTTGCGTGCGGTCGCTAACCTAGCCCAAACGGGACTAGCCGGCATTATGTAAGACCAGAGTCACATGACCCGCCATGATCGGAAATAGGGTTGAGATCGGAGGAGTTACTAGGCAAAGTGATTGCACGACGAGCTGTTCGGCGATGGTATTTGACCGATTTGAAGATCGCGAAATGGTTTGTGAACCAGTCTGAACATCTCGGGTCGACCAACTTGTTCAGTGCTGGCGATATAGATCGATATACAACATTCGAAAGTGTCTATAATGCTTCAAAATAAAAAGAAGAAAACTAGCTATTTCCCTTTCAAAATAACCAATGACAAAGCCATCCCTGGTGGCGTAGGAATCCCATAAAATAATCGATCGGGCGTTGGAGTGAAGGCGCGATACACGGGACTCACTTCGGACTCAACTCACGTTCTCTCCCCCTTCAACACCACCACCCACCAACCACATCCAACCATGTCGCTTTCAGACGTTTCATCGCTGTCGTCAGCACCACCGACAGACGACGAGGCTATGGCAGATGAGGAGCCGGTCGGCATCACCAAGTACTTCAAGAAGCAGAAGTCCGAAACACCGCCGCCCAAACGGGAGCCCTCACCACCTCATGAATACGTTCTAGCGGACAACCCGAGCATCGCGGTGAGTCTTAGGAGAGATTTCCTTGTTGGATCGACACGTCCATGACGCGTTCACCCTGTGTTGGGACACGTTTGCTGAGTTGTCGCAACTTTTAGTTCATTGTCATGTTCCGCGCGCGTTTCCACGATGTGTTCCCTCGCCATGTGCCACACTACGGCCCCCAGGATATCGAGCGAGGCGTAGAGGAGTCTCCCCCGGGCGACTACATTGAGAGATTATTATGCGCATTGCTGGGACTTGTGCTGAACCGCAAGAAGGATGTTGAGTATGGTCGCCACCCAAATACCTCCATGTGGGGAGAAGTCGAAGCTTCCACGGAGCCCCAATTGCACTGGAGAACACAAGCTAATGCGATTTCCCGGCTTTTACAGGCGGAATCATTACACGCGCCCTCTCGAAGAAGCAGTCCAGACACATGCGGCGCAGTGGCCAAAGGAGTGGCAGGGCAAGAACCCCCTTCATGGCGGACGCACCTTTGCGACCCTGTCGCCCGAAGAGCGCGTAGGTCTCACGGTCTTACCGCCACATGTCCACACCATTGATTATTTTTACAGTTGCAATTGCTCAAAGCCCTCATTCTCTGGTCTCTGTCGTCCTCTGAGGCGGTTCAGGCAAAGATCAAGGAATCTTACAAACAGGCGCGTCACGACGATGATCTCAACCAGCCTTTATCCGTTCAATCATGGGGCCGTGATAGCCTCAAACGCCGGTATTGGCTCATCGAGGGACAAGATGATACCAACTTCCGGTTGTATCGAGAGAGCAACCCGGCTCTGAAGCATATCACTTGGTGGAGTATCGCAGGAACTATTCCAGAGCTGCAGGCTGTTGCGGACAAGCTGGGAGAGGAGAAAGGAACCAATTCGAAGAAACTGTGTGAGAGAATTCGGGCCGCCATTCCTCGGTTTGAGGCATCAGAAGAGGTAAGTCAATTCATTCAAGTAGCCGGATTAACTGTGCTAATACACATCCACTAGAAACGGAAACGCCGCGACTATCGTCTTGCTCGCAAAGCTGCTTTTTCTCGGCCCGAGCCGGGCTTTTCCCTCTACGAAGGTCGCACGCGTGGCAAGAGGCTGAAGTATACCTATTCTGATGACGAGGATCTCTTCTCCGATGGCTTACCATCAACGAGACGGTCAAATCGCAATGTACCCTCAGCAGACGAAACGGATGGTCCTCGGTTCACCGCGAGTGGCCGGCAGATCCGATCCCGTGCTGGAGGCCTTTATGGTGCATCGTTGCACAGTGGCCAGAGGGAAGATTCTGAAGAAGACGACGCCCCGAGGTCGCAAAGGATCCGGACTTCGCTGAATCCTAATGGATACTCGGGATACAATGTCGAGGATTTGGAAGATGCGTCAGAAGCCGAGGGTAATTCCAGCGGAAACGAGTGGAGGAGCGGTGAAGATGAAGAGGAGGAGAATGACTTGGAAGGTGACGATGAAGATGAGGAAGATGTGAGCGGAGATGAATCAATCATCAACGGGGAGCCCCAAAGCCTCGTGGTACAGCTTCGCTATGGCAAAGAAAATGCCCCCAAAGTCCCGGTCGACAAGCCGCCACCACCTGCACAAGATCTGCAGACGAAGAGCATTACAGACACAGGACCGCCGGGGAGCCTGTCTACTCATCTCCCGCCCATCCAGCCACCACCCGCTCCGGTGTCTGCAGCGCAGTACTATTCAGAAACCATGCGACAAGCTCCCATGCCTGGCATGGCAATGCATTCTGCTCCACCACTACACTGGGCTCCTCAGCCGGCACAGATTATGAATGCGTCTTCCCTGACACCTACACCTCCGTCCCAAGAGGCCAAACCCCAGCTGCCCCCAATGACCGCGCATTTGCATCCCGTTGCACACCCTCAATCATTTTCACGACCTCCCGCCATGAATGCATCTGCTATGACTCCTGGGCCACCTGCTCCGCATCCGCCGTCGTTCTATGGGACTGATAGCCAGAGACCGACAGTGGTAGCGCCTTCAATGCCGTCTGCACCAATGAGCGGTCCTGCTCCTCTCGAGACACCCAAACATACGCAACCGGCAGAATCAAACGGCGTTACCCAGGCCAAACCAGCTGAGCCTGGTTCTTACTATCCACCTGGGATGCCTCCGACGCAGTCCCCTTTCTTTCAAGGAGGAAATCCGCCGCACTAGGTGTCCGTATTGTGCTATTTGGTGCTGCCTTGAACCCGCCAACAGGAGTGGATATTTCATGCAAAATGAACTAGTCAAATCCAACCACTCTGCCCTATTGGTTCGCCAGGGGATTTGTGTGACGACGGCGACTCTCGTCCAATTGCTGTACTTTATACATGAGAACTCTTGCTAATAAAAAGATGCTCATCCATGCCATTTTCTTCTTGTAAGCCACCATGTCATCTAGCCCAAGTCGAATATGTGATATTACATGTAAATAAAGACCAGACAGAGTCTATCTTCAGCCCCCTGTCGAGACAGTAAAAAATCCAATCTGCTGCAAAACGAGGGATATAGAAAATGCGAAGGAAAAACTGCCAAACCCTCAACGCCAATTATGCAAAACCACGAGTCATCACCCTGGTCAAACGCTCCTTACGCAATCTATCACACCAACTTTTGGATTAATCCGAGCCCGTATTCGAAAATTGGCTCGTGTAGAACTGCAAAAACTCCGACACCGTCAGTTACTTTTGAATTCTCGCAAGCGCATACGGTACTTCAACCACCGGAAGAAAAAAGGATAGCTTACTTCTTCGACCTGCGAGGCTGTTTGTTCGCGAACGGTGCCTTGTTGAGGCAGACGCCAGTTGTTGACTTCGTACCACCACCTGCGGATCCTACTTCCGAGCGTGTGCCCGCTGAGGGAGGCATTGCGGTTCCAGAACCGCCACCCCGACAGCGCGAGAGTCCATATGGTGCCTTGGATGAGGGGTAGGAGGACCTAAGCAATACGATTCGAGCATTAGTCATATAGCCTCTCTTTTTTGGTGTACTTTTGCAGGCGTGGTGGCATACCTGATCTCTCACGGTAATCCACCCGACTCGTCCCCAGGTCTCGGCACCCTTCAAGCTGGCTAGGTAGCTCTGCTCGAAGCGCAGGTCCGGCAGAGGTGGAAGAGTCTGTCGGCGACGGAGAGGACGGACAACTCGGCTCGCATCGACGATGTCTGAGGAAATGCTGCCGGCGTCGGAGGGCGGAGCGGCGACGACGGGCTGTTTTTCCGAGGCGGCGGTGGGTGGGTTGATGTCGTGGGTTGGGGATGGATGCCGCTTGATTGAGGCAGTCTGGATGGTCTCAGCGACCCCCAGGGCGTGGTCGGCCATGATGATGCTTTGCTGTTTGTACGTAGTAGTTAAGGACAGGCAGATAGCCGATGATGTCGATTTCTAGGGGAAAGCAAGCCGCTCCGTACTCCGCCTTCCCGTTTTCTGCCGCCAAACTGCGCACGCCAACCCCTCCAAGGCCCACCTTTTCGATTTCTTCCTCTTTTTCACCCCGACAATTGTGTTCTTATCTGCACGAATTTCATTGCAATCATGGCTGCTCCCCAAGGATACCCTCTTCTGTGCTTGGAGAACCCTCTCCTTGGTGAGTAGATGACCTTGATAGACATGGAATGTTAACTCATACTAACATACCCCTCGACAGACATCCAGGCTCGTGGGTAGGTGATATTTGACTCGAATTCTATCGTCTGGAACTAACAGGTGTTGTTTAAGTGATGCCGCCCTTCTTGAGAAGTATGGCCTGAAGGATAACGATGCCATTCTGGCCGAGGACCAGCACATGGGTCTCTACGAGGAGCTGCTCTCGCGGGATGCCAAGCTGATTCCCGGTGGTGCTGCCCAGAACACTGCCCGTGGTGCCCAGGTAAGCATAATAGTGATTATTATCCCGGTATTGGTCCATCAGTTGACAATTTTCTGTTCCTAGTACATGCTCCCCGACAATCAGGTGCTCTACATCGGCTGTGTCGGCAAGGACAAGTACGCCGACTTGCTGAAGAAGACCTGCGAGGAGGCCGGTGTCCACACCGAGTACCGTGTCGATGATGTCCAGCCCACTGGCAAGTGCGGTGTTGTCATCACCGGCCACAACCGTAGCATGTGCACCCACCTTGCTGCTGCCAACGAGTACAAGATCGAGCACCTGAAGCAGCCCCAGATCTGGTCGCTGGTCGAGAAGGCTCAGGTGTACTATGTCGGTGGCTACCATCTGACTGTCTGTGTGCCCGCCATTCTGGCTCTCGCCGAAGAGGCCGCTGCGAAGAACAAGGTAGGTTCCGTTCCGGTGTTAAGGGGATTTGTCTGATTGACTTGGCTTGATATAGGTCTTCATGCTCTCGCTCTCCGCTCCTTTCATCCCCCAGTTCTTCAAGGACCAGCTGGACAGCGTTATGCCCTACACCGACTACACTTTCTGCAATGAGGCCGAGGCCCGTGCCTTCTCTGCCAGCCACGAGTGGGGCACGGAAGATATCCCCGAGATCACTAAGAAGCTCGCTCAGCTGCCCAAGAAGAACACCCAGCGTCCCAGAATCGCCATTGTCACCCAGGGCACTCTGCCCACCGTGGTGGGCATTGCCTCGGCCAACGGTGATGTCCAGCTGAAGGAGTTCGCCATTCGTCAGGTTCCCAAGGAGGACATCGAAGACACCACTGGTGCTGGGTGAGTATTGACCCTATCTTCTCAAGTTCTGCATATGTGCTGACCTGTCAATCCTTCAGCGACGCTTTCGCTGGTGGTTTCTGTGCCGGTATCCTGCAGGGCAAGTCTCTGGAGGACAGCATCGACATGGGCCAATGGCTGGCCAGCAAGAGCATCCAGGAGCTGGGAACCTCGTGAGTTCTCCCTATCAGATATATTCCCGTGATGAAAAGACTAACCCTAAATACAGGTTCCCCCTCCCTAAGCAAACCTACTCCCGCGCCTAAAGAGCCGCTATCTCTTTCTTTCCTTGAAACGAAGAAACACATAGACAACACACAACAAACCAGCCCCTCTAACTAACTCAAACCCGCACCCTTCAACACAAAATCATCTTCAACCTCCCGATATCACTACTGATCTCGTGCAATGAATTCATGTCTCCACACCTGAATTTCGCACTCCCCTCAACGCTTGATGATTCAACCCTCTATCTATACCCTTTTTCCTCTCAATTTCTTTTGTCCCATATCTTGAGTTCACACTCGTCTGAAAACCAAACCAAATAGAAAACGGACAATAGCTTCAGTCATAACGTACACACCAGGTAATCAACCTGCAGCACTACTAGCTCTCCTCTCCTTGCACGTCATTATCTCTGGTCATATCAACACCCTGAGTAGATCTCAGGAATTCCGCGCCCCGAGCCTGACCTCATTCCAAACAGATCCAGCAGACCCGCGCTTCAGGACCCCCTACTAGTAGCATCATGAGGATACACTGGGGATCCAGACAGTCCCGATCCCGTATCAATAACGATAGCAGGAGTATAAAGCTTAGATCCTCTATTACCGCACCCACTGCCGCCCCAAACCCCTCACTATTGGCTCCAGTGGAAATAATTTGAAATGACTGTCCCAGCCTATGTAGACTGGTTTGCTCCTAATACTGCGCATATCACCCAGAATAATCAGGACAACTTCGATTTTAAATCCATTCCCGCTATGAATAAGGATAGTATGACAGCTGCTCGCTCCCCGTGGGGTGTGGAAATAGTCGCGAAAGCGGATTTTCCGAGGCGTTCAGCGGGTGGTGTTGTGCACCCTGGAGATATTGGATCGCTTTTCCCATTGATCATATAGCCAAGGGGAAGATCTAGTAGTGAAGTGAGTGGTCTTGTTGTGAATATGAGTTAGTGAGGCAAAATAGGGGATAGTGATTCAAGATACCCAAGATGCGGCGCAGTCAACAGGGATAAGTCTCTGCCTGCTGGGTGATCTACAAAAGGGCTCCCCTCATTGCGAATCATCCATCTACAAGGCTCAAGAGATTTAAAGCATGGCAATGTGGGGAATGCTATTTCCAAGTGCCTGGGGATAATACCGCTATCTGCATAGACAATGGCGAGCCCTAACCTCAAGCCAGTTGAAGTTTGGCAACCTGCAGTGCAGTCGCTGAACCTCGGGCGCCGAATGAAAGGGCTCCGCAGTAAAAACAATAAAGGCAAAGAAAAAAGAACAAAAGGTTTGCACCAGGGGTCATTTCGCATGAAAGGAAGCCAAAAGAAAATAAAACAAAAAACTGAACGAGGCAAAAGGGAGCTGCCGAAGACGGCGCCTGCACTATCCATCTCGATGGCCGTCGAGTTCCCTCTGTCGCGTGTTGAACGCGCAATGCATGCATCATCAACGATGAAAGTGCCACATAGAAAGAAAGGAAGATCTCAAGATCGAGTTCCGGGGATCCGTGGTTGTCCACTCGCTCCACTACCATAATTTACCTGGCGATAGGGCTGAGCTTCGTCCCGGAAAATGTAATCTGGGAATATTCTCACGACGGTGTTGGAGACAGGTCATGGCAGGCTTGAACGGGGGATGCAGAGTAATGCAGAGGAGCACATCACTGGGCTACTGGTTCTGTCGAAAGAGCCGAGCTTAAGAAGAAGCGAGGTTGCCCTCAGAAGGGCCATCGGTTATCCGTGTGCTAATCTGCATGCTATCTGCATGCACGAAAGTATCATACAACCCGAAATTGCCGTGAAATCAACCGCCTTGACCACACGGCGGAGTTGGGCCAATGGCGCTGATTTGAGTAACGGATTTGCGGTTCCCACTGAGACCGGAACTATAGGGATCAGTCCCAGAAGACAGGCTGCTGCCGATGAAGGCGTTGTTGGCCCACGAAGCATCTGTTGTTCCAGTCGACATCGGTTGGCTAGGGACGTCGAAAGCGCCAAATGTCGTTCGACTGGTTGGATTCCGTTCCCATCCTTGTCCAACAGGGGGTGGCATGCTGGACAGGTTTTGCGAGGGCACCAGCGAGGAAGGGAATGAGCTTCCTATATCAGAAAATCGAGTCTGGGCTAGCCCCCGATACGGGGAATGTTCTTGGATATTCATATTGGTGGTGGCCATGGGATGCAAAGGCGCCTGTTGGCTCAAACCAGGAGGCGGCCCGCGTGACGAGGCGGAAGCAGGGGAGCCAGTACTCCAGATGCTAGGGCCGCCGATGCTAGGGAAGCCAGACAGAACGGGTCTTGGAGTATTGACTGCTGGCTGACCAATTTCATGACCGATAGGCGTACCCGTGGCCTGCGGACTGCGATCGTTGAATGGGTAAGCATTGGCGTCGGGCCCAATCTGGGTCGGTGTCGGCATGGTTGCAGCTCCGCCTAGGAAGGAAGAAAGCTGGTCATTGGGCGAATTCTCGTACGTGTCCGACTCGACCAGCCGCTCAACACCTTCGACGATGCGGTTCATATTGGCAGACATGGACACCGAGGCCGACTGAGAGTCGCCAAACATACTCCGACCCTCTGCAACAGAGTTCGTATCTTGTGTTCCTTGTGGGATGTCCTCTCTTTGAATGCTCGCAGTCGAGAGTGTCTGCTGATGGCCATGCGGGCTTGAGAAAAATTGAGACGGAAGCCCTTCTTCCTGGAAGATGAAAGTCTTCTTGTCTTCGTCATCGACAAGGGCGACGGGGATTTGCTGTGATGATGTTAGTCAAACTCATGTCTAGATAAAATAAAAAACGGATTGTACCTTTCTGACAACCAGGTCGAGTCCATCAATGACGAACTCGCGGATGCGATAAAGCATTTCCATGTTCGGGTGACTTCGTTCCACCCCAAGGTCGTTCATGCGAGGCTTTGGCTGACTATTCACACCGGCGTAACGGCGGGAAGTAGCCTCCTGATCCAAAGGCGCAAACCCGAGGCTTTCTTCGTCTTCCTCCAAAAGGTAATCAATCTCGGGAAGACGCACAATATCAAACGTAGATGCGAGGAGGGACAGAGTGCTCGCATAGATCTTCCAGAACTCCTTGATTTGAATGGAAAGAGACGAGTCAATTTCTTCCTTCTGTGTAGCCAGGAAATCGCTGGTCGTCAGGAGCCAGGAACTATAATGACGAAGTGCTGGCAAGATCCGGCGAGCAACCACCGTCACCTTATCCGGGCCGTTCTTGTTCTCTTTGTTGCTCGGATCCTCGACGGCAAATCGCTCGAGTTCGACTAATAGGATTTGCAGAAGGGTGAAGAACGTCTTGACGTTGATGCGCTGAAAGAAGACGCTAGCATTCGAAACCGGTCCATCTGTAATTTTGGTTAGTGCCTGGTTTGGAAAGAGTAGTGCTGCCAGTACTTACCAGTTGCTCGCGTGCGGGCAAAGGCTTCTGCCGCTATGTTAACCAGGCAGAACTTTTGGAGCGTGCCTTCGAGCGAACGCTCTCTGATATCAACGGCAAGTTGGCTAAGTACTTCACTCTCCAGCTCATCATGCTCGGGGAAGTCGGTTCCCTTGTAGCATTGAGCATGCAGATAGACAAACCAAGGAGCTAATGCTCTTCCTGGAATGCCAGCATCCTCCGGTCGAATCAGCTCTCTTTTGGCCCATGCATTCATTACCTTCTTGAACTCAATTTCCAGGTTTCCTTTCGCCGACGGATGAGGTTCCTGGGCGGACAGTGCTCGGTAGAGGTGGTACGTAGCCCGAAGGTGATTGGCATCTGCAAGAGCAATGATGGCCAATTGATTATGAGATGCCCCAGACGCGGGATATATCACCGAAGCAAGATCATAGTATCCGATGGCAGGGCCCCAGTTGCGATCCTTGCTCACAAGTTCAGCTTCACGATAGCGGGAGAGGTCTCCGAGGCGAATGAGCGTCGCATGGCATGATTGAAGAATGCGCTTGCGCAGATCGCTTGAAACACGAGTTGGAGGCTGCGCCGAGAGATCTGTATGAAGCACCGTTAGCCTGGCGACCGGGTAATTGAGATGATAGCACAGGAAGGGCTCACTCTCGAAGCTGAATTTCCGCGCCACTTTCTCCAACTCCACGATCCCGCCAAAGTGCGATGACAGATGTTGGATATATCCCCGATAGAATCGTTGGCTCGATTTGATAAAGTCCAGGTAATGTTTCTCGAGCTTCCGTTTCTCCACCGGCTTTTTCTTTGTGGTCTCCTCGCGGTACTATCAGGGTGCCTTTGATCAGAAATGCCACACGCCATATAACAGATATTCACTCACCCGAGCTAGCCGTTTGCGAAACCGGGTGTTCAATTTCAGGTGCGCATCCCATAGACGATCCTCCACATTGGCGTCACGCGCGGAGTCGAAATCCAAGAGGATGGCATTCTGGCAAGCGATCCGGAACCTACAAAGCAAGCAACAATGTCAGATCTGTGATGCGCACCGGATGGAGTACATTTTCTAGGTACTGACTCGGACAAGAAGTGGGATAGGTCTGTGAACGCGGGCCCTTTCTCTTTCTCAGCGAGGCCCTTGGACAGCACGCTTTCGGCTGCAAGTGCAATCCTAGATAATGCGACTGATCAACGACCACTCACTCTGCCATTGCAAAAGGAGGTAACAAGAGGACTCACTGCCATGAATCCTGGAATGAGGACGCCATGCTTATGAGAAGCCCGGTCCGATGACCTTCGCCTGTCAGATGGCTAATGGCTGGACGTCGGGCGAGGACAGAAGTAAGCCAGCCATCAGTATGGCCAGATGGACGAACCAAAGAAGATGAAGGAGAGCAAGCGCAGCAGCAAAACAGGAAGATCCGAAGCATGCGCCTGAGGCGGAAAATACTGGGGGGAAATAGAGGGCGGTTATTGGCAGAAATTCTGGGCGGTGAATCATTCTATCATTTGTGCTATGCGTTTTTGTGCCTGTACACAATCACGATCATGGCTGGATGATTATTATCCTAGTGACATCCCTCACAATTGCACAGGACAACATGCTGCGGCATATCTCAGTGTGCTAGTGAGCAATCTCTCAGATGGGAGCCCATATCGCCTATTGATCAACCTACATGGTGCTGCGGGACACTACGCAGCATGGCCAAGCGCTCACGGAGCCCCTCAAGCGACGGGCATCTCGAGGAACCGGAGTTCTCAAGGTCTCCAACTCCATCATCAACCACCGCCACTCCACCTCCAGCACCATTTGAGCGACCCAATTTAGACCAGAATACAGTCAAAGTCATGCACTGTTCTCTGCCCCCCCACCGAGAGACGCTCTCATTTGCTACTTACGAAGACTACGAGGTCCACTATCGCCAGGCTCATGTCAATCGCTGCTCGGAGTGCAGCAAGAACTTCCCTACCGGTCATCTCCTCAATGTTCACATCGAGGAAAACCATGACCCACTCTTTGCTGCTCGCAAAGCACGAGGGGAGAAGATGGTTAGTCTGCAATTGCATTGTAATCCGACTGTGCTGTAGCTGACGACTCCGAATAGTATGGCTGCTTCATCGAGACATGCGAGCGGAAATGCTCCACACCCCAGAAAAGAAGACTGCATCTGATAGATAAACATATGTTTCCCCGGGTATGTAGTATCACCCATTACTTCAACAAGCCAACTGACTGAAAGCTTCCCCACCAGACCTACAATTTCTACATCGTCAATGATGGCATTGACAAGCAGACGTCCCTGCTACGGCCCTTGAACAGCCACCGGCGACGCATGTCTATGACGTCCGTCTCGTCTGCCCAGGAAGGTAGATTGCGGCGGAGGAGCTCTGCTTCTCACTCGAATACGCCTGTTCCCCCGCCGCCCCTGGGCGCTCATCCGGGGACACCAAAGGACATGGAGATTGATGAGCTGGAAAAGTCCATGTCTGCGCTACAATTTGTGCCGACGAGCGTTACAAGAAACCGAGAGAGACTTCCTCGGGGCCAGCCTTGAAGTGGAAATCAATTAGCCTGGTCGTGGATATAACAAGAGTGCGCCTAGTACCGCAATCAACTATCGTCCGAACGCGATGGATTACTGCCCCTGCAAATAATCCATCTGCACAGACTGCTCAATGATAAACGAGAGGTTATACCGCGGGTCCTGGCTTCCACCAGCCACCCATCCACCGCCATAGATCCACACCGCGACGGGCAGCTTGTCACCCTCTGCAACACCATGCGGCCGCACCACGTTGATGGCAAGACAGTCTTCCGAGAAAGGATTGCCCAGCACCCAACACTCGGGATAATTAGCCGTTGCACTTCGACTGCCGTCCCAAATCGCGTTTAATGACCGTGGCTGGCGGAACCGCAAGTCTCCCACCGGAGGCTGCGCAAAGGGCATCCCAAGAAACACGTCTTGGCCATAGTGCTGTTTCAAAATGCCGTGGTAAGGCCCATTGCGGACCTTGACGCTCGGCGGAGTGACGCGTGGATGTGCTGCACCACACGCCGTGCTGGATAACAGCGATGTCGCCGTCATCAAGGACACGGCTAAGGAGAATACATGGCGAGACAACGCTTATCAGAAACCAGTCCTTTGAAGTTATTAACTTGACTAGTCACCTCAAGTGCCTACTTGTATGCAGCAGAAGCCAAGACCAAATGCCGCAGCCTCGCCTTTTATGTTAAATCCTTCGTGCCATTAATCAAGTCAAGAAGAACCAACTACTCAGTCTATCGAGCTCCCCGCTTCGGAGAAATGAAATATTCTCATCTCCTCAAGAGTCGGCTCACCCCGACAAATGTAATCTATTCTTGATTCATCAATGGCGTACATGCACTACCCAACTAGAACCCCACATAATACCCCAGTATGGTCCGTTCATATAGACCGAGGGGATGAAGGACCACAGACGGGAGAAGTATTTCCCACCATGATCCTAGCGCAGCAAAAGTTCCGCAGAAAAGGATATGAATGAGGCAACCACGTTAAGAAACGAATGCTGATTGGTACCAAAACCCGCTCTGGCTGGTCTCTAGGTGCTCGCTCAACTAGTCTGCTCGGCGCTTACAGTCTCCGTAGTGACTAGTAACTTAGGGCAAGGGCAAGCAAGTCCTCCCAGCCCGAAGCGAGCTCCTCCGGCTGGAGCGAGGATATCCGGCTCGGAGACGTACATATGTTCCTATTTCGGACTATTAAGTCAATAATTAATGAGTCGGGGGTTAGTACAAGGCGGGATCTATGGGTGAGCTTGGACGCTTCTCCGCTCCTCTGTTGTTATGTCCGGGCGGGTCCTCCAGCACTAGCCCTATCAAGTAGTTTCGGCCGTACAAATGGAGAAGATTTTGTTTGGGGTAATGATAGCAATTCATCAATGTCCGCCTAGTTCGTAGCCATCCTCTGTACACAAGTCTTCTCAGACAAGGATTGGAGCTCAGTTCGCAGACTCTCCCCACCCATCTCTCTCTCTCTCTCTACAAGTTAGTCCTCCGGATGAAGAACCCGAAAAGAACCCAGATATACAGAAGACGAAACGAAATGCGCCATAATTCATTTCTTCCCGGTTCACAAAAGTTGTTATCATAAGAATTCAAAATCGTTTTAATAACGATGAAACCGAAGAATTCATCTCACGTGTCCGGGCTCATAAAAGATAATCGCATCGCATCAACCGGGGGGTATAGACGGCAACAACAAAGGTGCTGGAGTCGTAATACATGCAAACCGGCCCAACAAGAAACTTGACCCAAATATCAAGAAGAAAAGACAAACACCCGTTCCTCATCCCGCATATACATAAACGCCATTAGATATCATATGGACCAAGGGAAAGTAAAAAGTAAAGGTATGCATGCACGCATGCATGCCCATTGACAGCGCATCTGCTCAGCTCTCCAGGAGATCAGCATAAGCATCCAAGCTAGATCCCACCAGGTCGACAATAGCCCAGCTAGTATTCCCCTTGAAAGTTCTCGCCCAGACGCGGACGATGGCCACGCTAAGCTGGCGGACCTTGTAAGGATTAGCGACGAACTCCGGGTCAGGAGCACCGGGCGGATCAACAGCCATGTCTGTTTCGTCCATCATGCTCTTGATCCACAGGAGGAGTTTGCGCTCGTGCTCGGACAGGCGCTGCTCGGACTGTGTTGCGGGGATGGCGAGGAGCCAGCGACTGAGCAGGAATGCGCACTCGAGACTGCAGAGGGAGTGCTGGATGCTCCAGAAGAAGGAGTGGGTTCGGGCCACGAAGTCGATGCCCAGGCGGACGGGGATGGAAAGAGCGTGGGCGGAGTGGAGGAGGGCCATGATTAAGCGAGGGCTGCGGGCGATGGGAGGCGAGGAGTTCAGTGCACTTGCGATTTGCATTGGGTCTTGGGTGATGAGGTGGCGGCACGGGCCGAGATCGACGTGCAGGCGGATGTATGCAAGGCCCAAGAGTGCGGTGGATGTGAAGGCAATAGGTCCTGCGGGATTTTGAGGGTCGATGCTGGATTCTGGCGTGCGTTTCCACAGAGCTTTCCAGGCACCCAGAGAACTGTCCAGCGCGTTCAAATCTTCCTGTCTCAAGCTGGTTCCTTGCATAGTCGGGGCGGAGAGACATAGCTGCCGCGCAAAGAAAATTTGTTGAATAATAGCATGGATAAGGATGTAGTTGCCCAGAGGGGAGATGGGTGCCGAGGGGACAGACGTGGCAGACTTCATGAACAGCCGGGCGAACGCTTCCTGGAAGGGCACGTCGGACCCAAGCCGGTACCGATGCGCTCGTCGCCATTGAATGGCATTGTTGGCTTTCCAGAGTTCATGCGAACAGGGCATGTTCAACTTCAGCTCCCCGTTCAAAATCAGGGGAGGGATGTTGTACATGATCGAGTGAAGGTTGAAGAAACAGTACACGATGAGTTTCGTTCGTCGATTGCCTTCTCTTCGTGACCATTCTTCCCAGGTGATGGGGTCTAGCGTAGGAGCGGGTTCGGATAAGCCGTGTTCTCGAACGAGTCTGGCCAAAGTGCTCTGGAGCGAAAGAATCTCCCGCAAGAGTTCCGGATGTCGCTCCCAGGATGCGAATACGGTCAGTAGCAAGAATGTCCGAATCACCTCCATATGTGCGTCGGAATCATCCGGTGTGTATATGGACGGGATCACTGGAGGATTAGGCATCGGTTGGTGATGCTGCTGGAACGGGCTGCTGGCCGTATTGGAGATCATGGATGATCCACGCGAGTTCTGGACAGCGGATGGGGGGGAGAGATAGTTCCATGAAGGATAAGGCACTTGCCTGCTGTCTCGGCGGCGCAAGCGCTCCAGAAGAATTGCCTTGGCCGCATAAAATAGGTCAATCCCGCGGTTATTCTCGAAGCGGTAGTGTGAGCCAGCTGCGGCCAGCGCTAGCGTCAGCTCCGGGGAACACTTGGCAATCGAAAGCGTGGGAACATGTACGAATGGAAGATGTTCATTCAGTCCATTAATATACCCGGCGAAGAACCGAGATAGTGCATGTCGTGATGGCGGAACAAAGCCCTTGGGGAGAACAAAGGAGAACTCCTCGAGCTTTGAGATGAAGACCTGCCGGTCCGAATTTGAGATATCCCATGCCGGTCGGGGGCTGTCATCCGACAGGCCAATGCGCTCGTCAATCTCGTGGGATTCTGGCTGGAGCGAAGGCAATCGAGACCCAAAATTCGAAAACGATGGTGGGTCATCGGTCACTCGCGGGTCACTCATCAACTCACCCCCGAGTCGCGCCGTCTCGCGAACCGGTGGTTTGGAGTCGATCGACATGTTATGCGGCAGCATCGGTTCCTCAACCGATGAGAATACCCCCGAGTCCCAATCCGAGGACAGTCCTACGCTTTCCAGAAAGACCGTGAAATCTTGGACAGGATCTCCTAGGTCCGTGAGGTCGAGCATCGACGGTTCTACCCCGTAAGTGTCTGTGATGGTTCGTTCCTGGGCCTGTGGCAGTGGCTGTGATGACTGGCTGGCTGAGTGCGCGGGTTTTCTCATCGATTCCAGGCCTTCCTGTTGGCCCTCCAGAGCGACATGGCTCGCCGCATGCGACAGCAGATTCAAGTCATAACCCCAGGACGGATTGAAGTGCGGTGTATCGACTATCGACGGTTGCTGCACCTGGACTTCTGGCGCGGGTGGGGGAGGCACGGGCTGGGTGTGGACGGGGATGGCATCCGCCAGCTCCAACATTCGCGACTCGTGATGCGGCGGATGAATGATGTTGGGTTGGATGGGGAGATCATGGTGGGGTTGGTGGTGTTGGGGGTGCAGGTGGTGGTTCTCGTGGCCATTGTGCTGTGCCCGATGCTCGCGGTTGGCGGCACTCTCGGCGGGATGGACTAATCGTTCATGGCGCACCAGGAGATCGCTGTGCCGGATGGTCAGCGAGGGGACTGCGGGGAGAGGGGGCAGAGAGGGGAAGAATGATTACCTCCGGGCAAAGGACTTGGAGCAAATGTCACATGAGAAGGGTTTCTCCTTCGTATCTGTTGTCCTACATTAGGAATGGAAATCCAGCGAGGGGAGCCAGGGGGTTACTCAACGGGTGCGGAGATGGCGTTGGAGATGTTCCAGCCGGGCAAAGGAGCGACTGCAGTACTCGCAGGAGAGGGACTTGCGATGCACCTGTTTCTTCTTGATCTTGACCTCGTCCTTGTCGTCCATGGTGGAGGGCACAGGGACTACGAAGGCACGAATCCGTGTAGAAGCAGAATTTGAGGCTGTCGAGCGGGGAAATCTGTGGGGATGAGGGGGAGTCATGTGACTGCTACGAGGTGGGATCCGGATGGTTTCTTAGGTGGTGATAGGAACTGGCGATGGAGACTGGTCTCGTCGGAGCACCATTGGAGCATGACTCCATGATGATTCCGTTCTGCGTGCTATCCAGTTCCTGTGTCCGGGCGGAGCCGGTGGGCCATGCTTGGGCGGTGGACGCTCCCCTCGACTTAGGCACCAACGAGACTCGTTTAATATTATCCGACACGTAAATAACTACGAGACAGCCCTAGGACGAAACACTGCGGTATGTCCGACTGATTCGACGCGTCTCATGCGTTTCAAAGCCCGCGCAGTGGGTCAATCGGTTTGCAAGGGATGAAACATGCCCTGAAACCCGTGGGGAACAGGCTCGATCTGACTAAGGCGGTGTTGTTTCAACGCCGATCGCTTTCTTCTCTTTTGCCATCTATTTCGTCTCCCATTTGAATCCAGCCCAGCTCATTCATTGATTCCATTGACCCGTTGCGACTCCCTGGTACGTGATACACAACCCCTTGCCCCTGGTTACAGCGTCGGGCCGACTCCGACCATCTATCGCCCTCCCGCCCCCAACCGCCGTCTCTTCTCATTTGCACACGCCATCAACACTAATGCAATTCCCTGCTAACCGACCAAGAGCAGGTTGTCGAGACTATGCATTGACTACGTCACCCTTCTCCTCACCGACGATCGATTTGAATCATTCCACACCACGGTCGTCTCTCTAGGTGGGAGATCAGGGCTCTGCGATAGGAAGGTAGTGTCAACCAGGCACTGACCGGTAACAAGAGCTGGGGATCACAATGCTGGCTTCCAAAACGCCCTATGCAGCGCCTCTGGGCGGACCGACCACCCAGACACCAGTGACATCCTACATTCCCACCACATCACAACGGCCGACGATGAACACGAAACCTCAGGAGGGTGTGGGGTTTAGCAGCCCGACAAAGTCGGAGTTTTCAGATGGCCAGGACGAACTGGCGGCCGTGAGGTACGACCCGTCATCTATGGGAGCAGCGATGCGATGGCGATGATCGTGCTGACCGGTCTTTCTACACAGGGCTTGGGATGAGAAACGGGTCATCACCTGGCTTCACGGTATCAAGTGTGGCCAATATGAGCCTATTTTTAAAGGTATGACCGCCCCTGTCTCTTTGCCACAGCTATTGGGGCTAATCCGGGACAGCCAACAACTTCACGGGGGATAACTTGCTCGAATGTGACCAAAAGATCCTGCAGGAAATGGGCATCAAGAAAGTCGGGGACCGAGTGCGCATCTTCGTCGCCATCAAGCAGCTCCGTACCAAAACCGGTCCGACTTGCCGGGCAAAGAACATGGTGAGATCGTCTGCCCTTCTTACGACGAACCACGTGCTGACGTCGGAGGACAGCAAACGTTGGCTGCACTGGAGAAGGCAGCATTGGCCACGAAGGTGCCGACTCGCCGCTTGTCCCAGCAGGATGATGGATACTCCCCGCTTGGCGGCGACTTTGGTCTCCGTGCTGGTCGCTACAACAGTAGTAGGAATCCGAGTACCGGCGACGCTAAGCACCCACGGAATCCGAGTCTGGATGGTATCACCATGGGCGCTCTCCCACCAAACTCCCCGGTGATTCGGGTCATCTACACCGGTGGACAAACCAAGGTTCTCGATATCCGCAACTGTAAAACGCACGACGAGGTCATTCTGTGTGTATTGAGGAAGCTTCAGCTTCCCGAGCACCAGTACAGAAACTATTGCTTCTACGTGCTGGACGGGTTGGATCCGGATTTGTCCAATTGCAGGAAGCTTACGGACAAGGAGCTTATGGAAATCTGCGAAGGCGTTAACAAATCTGAACGAGGCCGCTTGATTCTCCGGAAAGTCCATGCAGGTGAACCCGACATGGACGAGATTCGCCGCGCCTCTCAGCTCGCCGTCGACGAAAGTCAGGCTCAACATCTGAGTGCTTTGAGTGGCTCGAACATGCGCAACCAGCTCAAGATCCAACAGTTGACGGGTGAATCTTGGCATAATATCAAGCAGCCCATTTCTCCCCGGGGCTCTGGTCCTCGGCATCGTCCGTCTAATTCCACCGATCAAGATGCGCTACCACCACCCTATGCCATTGAACGCCATCCCGAGCGTCATCCGGTGTCTAAGCTGCGGTCGTTCTTTGGACAACGACCTCCGAGTGAGATGATCATTCACGAACTTCCATCCTTCTTCCCCAGTCACGACAAGGAGGACATCGAGAAGACGATGCGTATGTCTGTCCGGAGATCTCAACGCCTGAGTCGCGCGGCGAGCCGCATGAGCCGCATGAGTGTTGTCAGCAATTACAGCTACGCGTCCAGTCTCAAGGACGCGCCTCCGTTACCGCCGCTGCCTCAAATCCCCCCAATTCCCAGTATTGCCGACAGCTGGCTTCAAGGCCAGCCTGGAGCACAGCCAAACCAACAAAACTCCCGGCCTTTGTCGGTCTCCAAATTCAACCTCCCTCAATCCTCGTATCGGGATTCTGTCGCCTCCAGTTCTCTGCAGCCACTTCAAGAGGAGTCTCCTGTCGAGCCGAATCGCAAGTCGTACGTCTCCTTTGACAGTGGCTCCTCCGATGAGCCGAATCCTGCTCGCCAGAGCTTTTTCGACGAGAGCATGAGCGTCGCCGCTACTGATGGTGGTTCGTTCAATGACCGTTTGAGCGCGTTCGTGGCCGAGGATGGCGAGGAAGAGGACGTGGACCTGAGCGATTTCTTGGCTGGGAATAATTTTGCGCCCAAGAACTGGATGAAGGGTTCCTTGATTGGTGAAGGTTCTTTCGGAAGCGTCTTCCTTGCCCTCCACGCCGTTACCGGTGAACTCATGGCTGTCAAGCAAGTCGAGATCCCCTCGGCCACGAAAGGGACCGAGTTCGACCAACGGAAGAACAGCATGGTCACGGCCCTCAAGCACGAAATCGAACTCCTACAAGGGCTTCACCACTCGAATATCGTGCAATACCTTGGCACCGCGACCGATGACCAGTACCTCAACATTTTCCTGGAGTATGTGCCTGGTGGCTCCATCGCAACGATGCTGAAGCAATACAACACCTTCCAAGAGCCTCTGGTGAAGAACTTTGTCCGACAGATTCTCACCGGTCTCTCCTACCTCCACAGCCGGGACATCATCCACCGCGACATCAAGGGCGCCAACATCCTCGTGGACAACAAGGGAGGCGTCAAGATCTCCGATTTCGGCATCTCCAAACGCGTGGAAGCATCCACGGTCCTGGGTTCTCGCGCTAGCGTCGGCGGCGGTGCTGGTAGCCATCTGCACCGTCCTTCCCTGCAAGGCAGCGTGTACTGGATGGCACCCGAAGTCGTGCGCCAGACAGCGCACACCAAAAAGGCCGACATCTGGAGCTTGGGCTGTCTCGTCGTCGAAATGCTGAGCGGCGTCCACCCCTTCCCGGACTGCAGCCAACTGCAGGCCATCTTCGCCATTGGCAGCAACCAGGCCCGTCCGCCTGCTCCAGAGCACGTCAGCCAGGAGGCTGTCGAGTTCTTAGACATGACCTTCCAGGTCGACTACCAGCTGCGCCCGAGTGCGGATGAGTTGCTCCAGTGCAAGTTCCTGGCCAACACGCTTCCTTGATGGGGGCTGGGTTCTACTACCTATTAACTCTGTAATACGATCTTACGCATGATGGTGATTTGGTTTTTGTCGTTTTCTTCGTTTAATGTGGATATCTCTCGGTCTGGGGTGACGGTGGAAATGCAATCGAGCTGGTTTCGTGTTGTGTTTCTGCCTGGTTGATTAGATGAACATGGAACTCGAATGAGGAATTCATTCAATATCTAATAATACCTTTCTTTGTAGGCTGTTGCCTCATTTCTAACAAGTAGCTGCATGCATTGCTGCCTGCCAAAGGTATGAGTACAAAGTGCCGCCATCATCCCTACGCTACAGTGTTTGAGGGCCAGGTCGTATCAGGCTACTATAATATCGGATCTGGATATGCTGAATGGGAATGAATTGACGTAGGAAAAAGAAATAGTACATATCCGCCAATCACACTGGCCACTCTGCAGGCCATCTCTAAGGTTACATATTGAACAAAGGAAAAGGATTCACTAAATGACAAGAGGCAAACTCAGGGCTCATCTAGTTGACGATCTTCCCATGGAAGGGCACACCCATGGCACTAAGGAGCAGGCGTGCATCCTTGTCCGCCCTGGCGCTGGTGTGGATGGTGATGTGGCAACCGGGGATCATCTTAGGAGGGTACCTATTGGCACAGCGTTAGATCCAACCAAACCGAAGAGAATAATGTGTAGCACTCACATGTCATAGTTGACTTCAATCTCCGGAAACAGAGCAACCTGCTCAGGCTCCAGTCCAAAGGTAATATTCCCACTACTATCACCACTCGTCCCCTTCACACCAGGCCAGTCCTTCAGTCTCGGCAGAACAACATCAACCAACTTCCCGAAGAAGTGATACATATCCTCCCCGCGCAGCTCCGCCTTGACAGCAACAGTATCCCTCCCAGGGGCAATACTCCAAGTCGACACACTAGCGCGGGACTTGAATGTCTCGACACGCTTATTCGAAATGGCCTGCACGGCCATCCCGGCGACGTGCAGCCAGCCTGAGTTCTCCTGAGCAGCCTGCTTAACGTAGCTGTGGATGGTAATGCGCTCTAGCTGGGGGATGCTGTTGAATTTAATTGGCTTGCGCAGGAGTCGTAGGACATCGCCGCCGCGTGGCCCGCGTAGAGGACGGTTCTTGTGGTAGGGGGAGCTGTCGTCCCATTCGCGGAGACGGGGTGCCTTGGCTGGTGGGGTGAAGCCTGGTGGGTTGTGCACGTAGCACAGCGTGAGGATGTCGGATGATATTGTGGCGTCGTAGGTTTGTTGGACGCGTGGCAGGGAGAAGGGGCCCGGTACGAATACGCGCGAGGACGGGTCTGATGGCGGTGGTGGTTGATGCGGGTGGAGAGGGCCGCGGTCGTATTTTGGGGGTCGGAATTGGTATCTAGGGTTGCATGTTAGAGGCTATATTATATAATTGCAGGAGAGTTTGGAATTGCAGAAAAGATCAAGGTCAAGACCAAGCGCCAGGGGAATTGTCAGAGACATAGGACATACCGACTGCGTGGGAGCTGAGCTCTGCGGGACTTTGCGGCTGCAACGGGGTTGAATGATTTCACTGCCTCCTCTGGCAGTGGTGTGGCCAGGGAGGACTCGGTCTCCAGCTCGGCCAGATGGTTGGACAGACGCCTGGCTGGCGCATCATCAGAGGCATTGCGCCGGCATGCTAGGGTCTGCGGACGAGCCGACGGGACAATCGCCCGTGGCAGTGTCCGTGTTAGGTATCTTGATGGCTCTCGGGCAGCCATGTTGTGTCGAACGAACGTGGTGAGCACCCGAGCGGAGATGGAGGTCTGGCTCCCGAAAATTGTTTGACGGGTCCCATCCAGTCACGTGAAAAATCGCCTTACCCACCAGGCATCCAATTAGTGCCCCGCGAGTGATGATCGATCTACCTTGTGATCTGCCTTCGTGATCTTGTTGCCATGATTCCCTGCTTGTGTTTCGGTCAGAAGAGTTCATTTTGCTATCTCATACGCCCTTCATGTTCCCTGTCATCTTGCATCCTTTTCTAGCTCTGTGCTAGTCTCCAATTTTCTCTTCCACTTCATGTCCCCCCACATCATTGCACCTTTTCACGCGTCTTTTCTTTCTCTCTAAGATCTCCTTGTTTTCTTTGCATCTCCTGCATTTGTTACAATGAGTGGCATCCACCGGTTTCTTGCCCGACGTGATCGGCACAGCAGGCATGAGAAGCACGGCAAAGACGAGGTATGTATCTGATTGTCAGACTTGTAGCGATATACTTCTCTATGAAATACTAAATCTGGATTGCTATAGTCGTCTCACATTCTTTCAAAGCCTCTCTTTCAGGGCTTTTTCACATCAGAAGTGGTTCCAGAAAACGGTCCGGAACACAAGAAGAAGGTACGCGCCAGATCTCCCATCACCACTTTACCCCGCTGACCCGTACATAGGTCAAAGAGCTAGAACGTCGCATCAGAGAGATTGGGATCGTGGGTCTGAGAGAAGAGAATTGCAGCTACGCCTTGCTATCCACCCAAGGGGATCTGGACAGGGCATTCCTCTCCCTGATTCTGCTGGAGGATTCCATCGAGGGCATCATCAGACCCTACTCTCCTACCACCAAACTCCTTGGTGCAGAGAACCGTGAAGGGGTCACCTGCTGGCTGGACTCGCTGCTATTTGCCATGTTTGTGCGTCTTGATTGCTTTGAGGCCGTCCTGTACAAACAGTTCCCGGAGGAGCCACGTAACAAGCTGGCAGTTCTAATCCGGTACTGGGTGAATATGCTACGGTCCGGGCAGCTCATCACTACAGATATTGTAAGTGATTTTGATTGCGACCTACGGCGATCGCTTTAACTTCACCTCGACTCACGTGTGCTAACGCTTATGTTTCTAGACCAAACATCTGCAGAATACCCTTGCCGAGTGTGGCTGGGCCTCAGCTGGTGAGGTGCGCCAGCAAGATGTCTCTGAAGCCTTTACCTTCATCACGGGCAAGCTCGAACTACCTCTTCTCACGTTAATGATGAGCATCTATCACTGGGGGAAGACAGATCTGAGCAGCGATCACAAGTTCATCAATGAACGGCTGCTCGAAGTGGCTATCCCGCCTGAGCGCGCCGACGGGCAAACTCTTACCCTAGAAGATTGCTTAGAGGCCTACTTCAACAACCGGATCGAAGTGAAACGGTACCTTGAGGAGAATCGGGAGAGCCTTCTCAGCTCAACCGAATCGACTGAATCTCTTACCAAGGGATCCTCCGCGCACGTGGAGGAAATTACGGGAACACTGACTCCGACTGCTTCCAACACCTCACAGTCTTTCAGGGCATCTCCCGCGTCGTCGACCACTGGAATTGATGCGACTGGCACGGCCACCCGGACTCTCCCTCGTCGGGACAGCATCGTTCGCGAAAGATTCATTCCGGACCCCACCGATGAAAAGGCCGACGCCAAAAGCGATGGTTCACAGCCCCGGAAGGGCAGCTACCGCAAAGAGGTTATGATGCCTGCGTGGCAGTTCTTCAGCCTCATTCGTGTGTCCTCCCCTGAAATGGTCAGAGATCTAGTAACTGACATTTCCTTCTCAGCTTGGTACACCGATAACACGCCGACCAATGACGCTCAGGTCGCCGACCACTTCTCTTCTCAGAGACCAATCCTCGGCATCTGCTTGAAGCGTTACTCCTACCTGCCAAATGGACGAGCCATACGCCTCAATACCTTCATCGACATCCCCACCGAGATCGGACTTCCATGTTTCATCAAGGATGACAAGCTTGACGATAAAGATACCCGCCTGTATGGCAACTTCAAGCTTTCCTTGCAGTCCATGGTCTGCCACAGAGGTAACTCGGTCGATTCCGGACACTACATCTCCATCGTCAGAGGGACAACTGCCGATTCCTACCCCCTCGGCGTGGAACCGGGCAGGTTCTGGATACGGTTTGATGACCTTGCCGCTGAACGAGTCACGCTTGTCGATATTGAGGAAGCCATGAAGACGGAATCTCCCTATCTACTCTTCTATCAGATCCTTCCCATTGGCGAAGATGCGTCGACTTCTTACTTCCAGAACAGACACTATGCACCATCTTCGCAGGCGTCGGAGGACGCTATGGTGCATGAGAATCTGGCGGGTGTCTCCGCTAGCTTGCTTGCCTTGTCTGACAATGACAAGACAAATACTGATGACCACAACGAAGAGCCGGCATCTGGTCGACCCAGCCTTGAAGTGACGGCGCCCAACAACGGCAAAAACACTGATGACCACCACACCGAAGAGCCAACCTCTGGTCGACCCAGCCTCGAAGTGCCGGCGCCAGGCAGCCCCACTGCCCAGCTGGCCAGAAATCCTGAACGACGATCTGGCGTGGTTTTCTCGGATCGCACCAGCCCTCGCCAAGCACGCTCGATGCCATCCACCTCCCCTCGAATGGCGCCCACCACCGAAGAAGAAGGCAACAAGTTCTCGTTCTCTCGCCGTGGATCCCGTTCGGCGACGAAGAGTCAGTCCGGAAGCCGTGCGACCAGTCAATCAGGCGACAAGCGCCTCAGTGCCACGTTCTCTCGCTTCGCCGGACGGCTTAGCAGAGAGAAGATGAGCAGCGATGGGTCCGCTGCGGACAGCGAGGTCGATGACTGGGTTCTGGACAGTGATGAGGCCATGCCTGGGGACATGAAACTTGGGCTGGCTGCCCATTCCGATGGTAGGACCCATTCCAAAGATTATGATCGCTTCAAGGAGAAGAAGGAGAAGGGTAAGGAGAAGAAGCTGGAGCGGGAGTGTCTGGTGATGTGATGCTACGATGTTTGACGACTTACGACTGTATCCGTTGCATATCTTTATGATGGATGATACCCCAATCTGTGATTCGAACTGTGTATGACTCTGTTTCAATATTTACATCTCGAAATCTTTCATTATTGTTTCTCTGTCCTTAGTAGTAGTTGTTGCTAGCCTCAGGCATCTAGGCAGCCGCCCTCCGCACCGCCGTCCAGGCAGCTCCCTGCCGTGCCGCATCATCACCTTCGATCTGCCTGCTCTCACTGTCTCCATCTCCGACCCGGCATGCGATAGTCTCTGCACAGCTTGCGCACCATGGCGCTGGACGGATCCAGCAGTTATATTGCTCCCAATAACCTCCAGGAACCCTCGGACTCCCTGCCCATGTTCGATGTCCAGCGGGTGCAGCTCCAGTTCCAGGTCGCGGCCGACTTCGTCGCGGCCCAAGTCGCCAACAATGTGTTGGTGTTGGCCCTGTCAACTGGCCGGATTCTTCGCATCGATCTCGACAGCCCAGAAGACATTGATGGTGAGCTGTTCAGCAACCCTTCTTCCCCGCAGACGAGACTAACCTCGTGTCACACCGGCAACAGACATCGATCTCCCCAAGAAGTCCTCCGAAGTCGGCCTGATCCGGCGCATGTTCCTCGATCCCTCGGCTTCGCATCTCATCGTCAGCACCACCCTCGGTGAAAACTACTACCTCCATACCCAGTCCCGGCAGCCGAAGGCGTTGTCCAAGTTGAAGGGTGTCTCCATTGAAAGCATTGCGTGGAATCCTTCGTTACCAACTGCATCGACTCGGGAGATTCTGTTGGGCACAACCGATGGCAACGTCTATGAAACCTACATCGAGCCGTCCTCGGAGTTCTACCGCCGTGAAGAGAAATACGTCGCGTCTGTCTACAAGGCGCCGGATGCCTCGCCTGTGATAGGAGTCTGCGCAGAACTAGTACCCTCAAGGCCCGATCACAGAAGGGTTTTTGTGGCCACTTATGCGAAGTTGGTTCACTTCCTTGGTCGGACAGCAACTGTGAAACATGGACGAGAAGGCGGCGGTTCTATCTACACAGACCTTTTCCAGCGCGGGACATCGTCGATCCATGAGGCCCAGAACCCGTCTGGCTCTGCGCCTGCTGTGTTGATGGTCTCCCCTTCTCTCTCGGAGGGACCTCAAAGCGACGAAGAGAGTCAGAAGGAATTTGCGTGGCTCAGCTCCCAAGGAATCTATCATGGCCAGATCGAATCGGACACCCCCTTTGAGAATGGTAAAATGCTGCAGCGTTCAATTTTCCCCGCTACTGAGTCCTACCGCGGAGGCAAACGAACAGTGCAAAAGCCAATATCCGCAATGACCTTGTCGCAGTGGCATGTTTTGGCACTCGTCGAAGGTCGAGTGGTTGCTGTCAACCGTCTCAGTGAGGAAATTGTCTATGACCAGTCAGTCTTGGAGCCCGGGCAGCACGCACTGGGTCTGTTGACGGATGTCACGCAAAAGACGTACTGGCTTTTCACCGGCCAAGAGATCTACGAAGTTGTGGCTAACGACGAAGATCGAGATATTTGGAAGACGTACTTGCGCGAGCAGAATTTTGATGAAGCGCTCCAATATGCCCGCGGCGCAGCGCAACGGGATGCTGTGTTGACTGCTTCGGGTGACTTTTTGGCTGGAAAGGGTAATTTTTTCGAGGCGGCCAAGGTCTGGGGGAAGAGCAGCAAAGGATTTGAGGAAGTCTGTCTGACGCTCATTGATCACAAAGAGCACGATGCTTTGCGGAAGTATCTTCTTTCGCAGCTCTCGGCATACAAGAAAGCGTCGACGATGCAACGGATCATGGTTGCGAGTTGGCTTGTGGAGCTTTTCATGTCCAAGTTGAACTCTCTCGACGATAACATCGCTACCAAGGCTGAGTTGGCGGAAGATGTGAGTTCCGGGCAAATCGAAGAGCAACTGGGCAGGGTCCGCACCGAGTTCCAAGAGTTTGTGAACAAGCACAAATCCGACTTGGACAAGAGGACGGTCTATGCCATCATCAGCAGCCATGGCCGGGAGGAGGAGCTGCTTTTCTTTGCCACCGCCACGAACGATCACAGTTATGTTTTGTCGTACTGGATCCAGCGCGAGAAATGGTCGGAAGCGTTGGGCGTGCTGCAGCGGCAAAGTGACCCCGACGTTTTCTACAAGTACAGCAGCGTGCTCATGACACACGCGCCTACGGGGCTGATTGAAATTTTGATGCGCCAGACAAATCTGGAAATCGAACGGCTCATCCCTGCGTTGCTGAATTATAACAAGTCCGCCAACGTCTCTCTTGACCAGAACCAAGCTGTGCGCTATCTGAACTTCATCATCTTCCACCATCCGAAACCCTCAGCGGCAGTCCACAACACCCTGATTTCAATTCATGCCTCGAGTCCATCCCCCTCAGAGGCGGGGCTGCTCACCTACCTCCAATCGCAGCATTCGTCACCACCCCCATACGACGCAGACTTTGCCCTCCGTCTATGTATCCAGCACAAACGGGTGCAGTCATGCATCCACATCTACAGCGCAATGGGCCAGTACCTGCAAGCCGTGGAACTGGCTCTCGAACACAACGACATCGAGCTCGCCGCCATCGTCGCCGACCGACCAGAGGGCAACGACAAGCTCCGCAAGAAGCTCTGGCTCCTCGTCGCCGAGAAGAAGATTCAGCAACCCGGAACCGGCATCAAAGACGCGATCGAATTCCTGCGCCGCTGCAAGCTCCTCCGCATCGAAGATCTCATCCCCTTCTTCCCCGACTTCGTCGTCATCGACGACTTCAAAGACGAGATCTGCACCGCGCTGGAAGACTACTCGCGCCACATCGACGCTCTCCGCCAAGAAATGGATAACTCCGCGCAGACGGCGCACCAGATCCGCAGCGAAATCGCAGGCCTGGACTCACGCTATGCCATTGTCGAGCCCGGTGAGAAATGCTGGATCTGCTCGCTGCCCCTGCTGAGTCGCCAGTTCTTTGTGTTCCCCTGCCAGCACGCCTTCCACAGTGACTGCCTGGGCAGGGAGGTGCTGGAGGGTGCTGGGGGCAAGAAGAAGTATATTCGGGACCTGCAGGCTCATCTGAGTACAGGTGATTTGTCTTCTTCAAGGAGAGACGAGATTGTTAAGGAGCTGGATGCGCTGGTCGCTGAGGCTTGGTAAGTTCTTTCGATATTCTCCAGCTCCGCGTTCTGTACTGATCGTTGCTATGCAGTATTCTCTGTGGGGACCACGCCATCAAGCAAATCGATAAGCCGTTCATCACGGATTCGGAGACGGTCAATAATGACTGGGTATTGTAGAGGAACTCACTGGGCAGTCGCGCTCGCTCGTACTGTTTGTCGATGTTTGGGATCGTTCGAGCTTTTACAGTGCTGGCTAGAGCATGGCAGGGCCTGTCCTTGAATACTGGGGTGTGGCAGCTTTCTTTTTCCATTGCCTGCGCAACTAATACCCGTTCTTGTTATATTCCCCGTATATAGCCTCGATAACTCTCATATGATTCGACTCGGATATTCAATTATGTATTACTCCGTTCATAAAAAACTTGGTATAAACCAACGCCATGCAGATAGATCCATATGCTCCCTTCCCAAGACGCCACACTCATAGAATCATGTCATATCGGAGAAAATAAACCGAAGATGAATGGGGAAACAATCAGTCATGAGCCGGCCACAGCTCGCGCAGCAACTCCAGATCCTGCGCAACAGCCGGACTATGCGGCGCGCAGTCTTCCAGAAACCGCATCATCTCCTCGTTCCAGCGCTCCCAGCCAGCAGGGAGTGTGTCGCGCACGCGCGGGCTGGGGGAGTGGGCGATGCAGTAGAAGAGGAGGATTTGGCCGAAGAACCTAACAATCACTCGTCAGTCGGTTTATCACAAACAGATAAAATGGGGATGGGGGGATGCATCAATCACTCACTGAGAACAAAAAGCAAATTTGATAGGAATGCAACTCTTCATCTCCCGGAAAATGCCCTGCGTGACGGGCCAGTCCATCGCGTTCCGCAGGCCGCTCTTCACCTGCTCGAAGTCCTCGTCTGTTAACAAGGATGGCGTGCGCAGTGCTTTGTACAGATATGGCCGGCCGATGTGGAAACGGGCGATCATGTATCGGCCCCGGAGCATGGCGTCTATCACTGCTGTGGCGGGGGAGAGGGGGCGATTGTGCTGGAGGTGGTGATTGTGGTGGGAGATGGGGTTCAGAGGGGATGGAGCGGGAGATTGGGATTGGAGGTTGCTGGATGGGGATGGGGGCAGATGGTCGGTGAATTGGATGGCGGTGGGGAGGTTAGTGCGCCATTGTTCGAGTTGGTGGTTGAGTTCGGCGTTGACGGCTGGGAGAGGGAAATTTCCTGAGTCGGCTGGAGAGGAATGAAAATTAGGGACGCCCTAAGGAATGACTTGGATGGAGCGGATAGAAGACTTACAGTAGAAGTAGAGCGAATGCCGAATCCGCGTCAGGATAATCCGGTGTGCAACCTGAGCCAGGAAATGATACTGAAAGTAGGAGTCGTCGACGACGCTGGTGGATGCGTATCGGGTCGAGACGTATCCCGTCGTCTCGAAGCCGATGAATTTAGGGATGGGGACGAGTTCTTCGAGGCGGGAGAGACCGCTCGGCGGGAGATGGAGCTCTTGCACCAGGATGGTCTCGTTCATCAGCGTGTTCCAGAACACGCGCGATTTCATGTCGCCTTCCCATTCGTCGTAGTTCACGTCGTGACTAGTACAGATTTAGATCTGGCTAGATCGATACGAGAGAGAGAGACTTACTTGGTCAGCATGGATAGGCAGCATGTCGCTGCGCGGTGGATCATGGCCCAGGAGTCCATTGGACGGAGAATCTGGCTGTAATATACACTGCCGGGGGTCAGTCAGCGTTGCTCCACGTTGACAGGAAGGGGTACATACGAAGAGAGGAGATAGAACTGGCAGCTCTGAATATCATTATCGCACATCAAGAACCCAATGCGTCGCCTCGCCTCATTGAAGAACCGCAGGCCCGGCTGTTCTTCATAGACGACATTCATCCACTCCGGATCCTCAAAACCGTGACCCTGAGATCCCGGCAGGGGATAGTCGCCTTCCCGGTGCGCCAGAACAGCAAGACACCCGAGGGCCAGAACATTGAGCACCAGGCAGCTTTCGACGGTATACCCAAAGCCGCTCTCGATGGCGGAGCCAAGCGTAAAAGAAAAGAAAAACGTCTTGTCCATGATGGGCGTGAAGGGGTTGAACACGGCGAAAAATGCATCCGACAGACCCTTGACCAGGGCCAGTGGCAGAACCTCCAGCCAGTGCTCGCCGGCCTGCAGCGGGAACGGGCCGGAGAACATGGGTAGGTAGTCCCGCGTTGATTCGAGTTCGATGACATAGTTCTTGCCCAGCCGCTCGTGCGCTGTGAGGAGTGAGTCCGGCAGGATCTGGCGAGCACCGGGCCAGAGAATCACGCCGTGCTGACTGAATGAGATGGAGACCCGGCCTGCGGAGTCGGGCGTGGTGTTGTTTGCTTCTTCGAAGTCAAAGTCATCTTCTGTCTCCCTCGCGGTGGCGGGGGTAGATTTTGATGCTGCTGGTGTGGACTTGGCTGGTGGTCCTCGGGGCTCACTGAGGTCTGGTTGGGCCTGGTCGCGCAGATCATTCAAGATGGACGAGGGAATGCACTCTAGCTTAGTCTCGAGCCGGTGGAGCGTGCTCATGATCATGGAGAGCGATTGATCTCGTCTATTTGGTCAATTCATGCATTATACATCGTGTATCAGAGGGCAACTCGACTCACTTGGATGATTTGCGCTCCTTGTAGACACAGTCCAAACCTAACGACTTGCACAGCCCACATTTCGGCCTCGACTCATCGCATCTTGTCTTCTTCAACCGACAAGTCTCGCATGCCTATAGATCGTCAGGTCCCATGTACGGTATCGGGAGATGAGTCAGGGTACTCACGACAGAGGCAATGAAGTTCCGGGGCCTCTTGGACGGACCGGGGTGGGAGTGCTCCTGTTCATCGGCCGAGAGCAGGTCCTGGGGATGCAGGCCGTTGTGCTCGAAGGGCTCCGGGTGCGCATCCATGGGGTCGAGCGAGCGCTTGCTCATGGTGCCTGGATTGGCTGGCGGCAGCTATACTGCGTCGGTCTTTTTTTCGAGCATGTGGGGCGATTATTCGCGGCCCGGCGGTGGAAGGATGATTCATCCTGGCCAGGCAGGGTTGTTAGTTAGAGAATCGTGTCACTAGAGAGAGTCTATTATTTTTGGCTAATGGAATTAAATATGAAGTATTGAATTGATTTTAGTTATTGATTGTGGTTCAACGGTTTAATGTTGGTTGGGTTGTTGCGGCGTAAGGAATGTCGGGCCAGAAATATATATCGCTAAGCGTACACCGTTGTCGGACATCAGAGACAGCCATTTTAATTCAAATCTACCCTATTTTTGCAGAGCATACACCTCTACCAATCCTGATCAGTAGCAGGTTTTCACTGTGGCGAGCACCAAATTGGGTGCCTGCAGTACAGCCCCAGTTCCAGCTGCAGCGCAAGCAAAGAGCTTCGAGCTACCCCATATATTCAGGCTAATCCGAGACACCAGTCTTCGCCTCAGACAACACCGTTTGCCTTGCCCACGCATTAGCAACCAGACCGACAATCCACAATATTACGCCATCCTGGTCAGCCACCGGAGCAAAGACAGACTCGAGACACAAACGAAGTCGTCAGCATGGCTGGCCGCGAGCGGAGCTACTATGTAATCATTGAGCAGAAAATAGAAGCAAGCACGAGAATAGAACCGAATAGAACCGGTCGTTTGGCGCCGGTCTCCACCGGGCGTCTCCAGCCTCGTTTCAGACAATTGTACGTGCACTATATGACAGGTGGGCATGCATAGTTAATCGAGTCAGACTGGTGTCATTGCGATCCACCAGGGCAACCTGTGCGAAACACAGCAATGCGACAGGCAGGGACGGAGACGGAAGGGGACGGGCATGGATGACGCCGATCGACACCTGTGGAATGTGGATTGGTGAATGACCTTCTGCGACACATACCGTGTACCATGGACAGATGTACAACGATAACAGCCAACTGCCGGTGGCAAACGATGCAAGAGGAATTGTTGGGCTGACGCCGGGGGGTGGTTCTAGCCAACGCCTCGTCAGGCACGATCCAGTTGACGCGGCAACCGTTTATCCGAAATCGACCCAAATCGACCAGTCAGTCGTCTGCACCAGTCACAATGCAGCACCCAGCTCCCCCCAGACAGCCCTTGCTGGGCCGGCTGCAGGGTGACACAGTATGTACCCAACTCCTTTTCTCCGTGTCCTGTAGCATGAAGTAATGCATGGTGCGGTGCGGTGCCCGGTTCTGCAGCAGCGATCCCGTGCGACGTACCTGCGATCGGCTCTACTCTTCTTCGAGGTGATTCCATTAGGTACTCGTAGGTTCGCTCACGGGGGCACGCGACAGGGAGAAGGGGTCATTGCACGGAGCCACCATGCTGGTTGGAGGGCGACGGTCCAATGAAGAGGATTAGGGTTAATTAGAACGAGTTGGTGGTTAGTGGGTTACCGCATTAGGGGTGCGTTGGGACCCGGAACCTGGGGTAGGTGGCCGAAGTAGGAGTGCTCCAGTGCTGGGCATGCGATTATTCGCTGCTTGCTCGTCGGTCCCTGGTCGGGGATGACGAGAAGCTTGGTTGATCCTTTTGTTGTTCTCCTTTATCGGGCCCGGTACCACATACTTTGCCATCTTATCCGGCATACTTGGGCTTGAATGTAATGTCCGCCTGACTGGTTTGAACGTCAACCGTGCGGGGTATGATGGATCTTTGGTTGTCTATCTGATCCGGGGGACGCAGTTGAGTAGTGGCCAGAGAGATAGGGGACTCTCGGGGGCGACGCCGAGGTTCATGCTCCCCGTCGCGGGACTAGCAGATAAGAGCTGCGTGTTATCAAGTCCAGGACTAGCCACCGACAGCAGACACGTTTCAGGGAGTCCGTCGATCGGCGGCATCACACGATAACTCATGGAGGGGGCGATCTCAAGCTGAGCCGTGCACTGCTGCATCGGTACAGACAACCTTGCAGGAGGCGGTCAAGGGTCTTCCCTTCACCGCTGGACTCGAATCCTCACCCTCTGGCCCCCGACTCCGACCCGAACCCCTGAGTTGTACATACATAGTTCACTAGTAGTGGTGGATCAGAAGCAAAACCCCGCAAACTCGTAACACATCGTGTCTCAAAGTTTCGCGCCCTCTTCTCGCCCATCGGTAGGGGCCGAAACAAGCACGCCTTCGTAGGTACCACAGTACCTGGATACCTCAGGCACGGTGCCCAGTCAGCGTCCTTCACGCCCGGTCGAATGCATCGCGTCATGCATCTGGGCGATAGCGCCAAAGCGTGGGGTGCTGATTGGTTGCTGCTCCAGCATCCACTGCCGGTGCCTCCGCATGCGGTCTAGCGGTTGCCACTTTGATCCGCCCTCGGCCGGCGAGTGATGGACAATCGCAGAGAGTGATGGACAATACAGTATGGTACAGTATTATCCACGGCGGGAAACAGAGTGAGAAAAGTATGTGTCCGAGGACCTGCCGACCACGTAGTATGTCGATCAACGGGACAGGATTGGCAGAGACAAGAAGACGACCAGATAGGAATTCTGTGTAGCAGGCAAGAGCACCAAGAATGTGTCTCGAACATTCGAGCATCTTGCGTGGACCACCACCCCCTTTGATACGGTAATGACACAGGCAGCACCACAACCGGCTGTCGATCCCTGGTGGAACGGGCCCTCGTGGGCCGGGGTGACGGTATCGATACCGTCACAGCGATCCGACTTGCCCCCCATCAAATCAACAGTCTCCTGGCCATCACTGCCTTCCTGCTAGCTTAACTCGCCCTTCTACTTCCTTCCTTCGTTCTCCCATCCTCCTCTTTCCATCACTCACTCACTCTCTCTCTCTCTCGCTCTCGCTCTCTCTCCTTCTCTCCCAACTCTCCTCCCATCTCGTCCGCTTCCTCCTCTTCTCTTCTCTTCTCTTCCGCCACCTTCCGCCCCCATTGCTCTCGTTGAGTACAACAATCATCAACGTCAACGGACAGAACAACAACGCTGGCAGCCCCCATCAAACCAACCCTGCCCCGTGTCTGCTGATCCAACGAGTTGCAACATCTGTCTTCTCCTCGACCGCTTTCGACCTCCCTCCTCCTTCTACCTGCCTTGGGGCACTCCCGGAGCTTCGGTGACTCACCCGGACCCGTTACCCCGGAGCGGCCTCATTCCCACCTTCGTCTTGCCAATTCTCTGCACGAAGGTTCTTCATCGCGCACATACCTCACCTGCCTTGAGGGGTGAGCATTGTTTTCGAGCGATTTCGGTTGGAGTATTGCAATCTGGGCGGGATCCTGGCTTCGAGTACTCTTATCTCTTCGGATTTGAACAGTGCTCCCTGCTACCCCCCACAAAGCTCTCCCTCCGCCGTATATACTGTCTCTGAATCTCATCGATCGGCCAGCCGGGAATCCATGACTCAGTAATTCACCTCGTTCGCCATTTTTGAGTCACGGCCACGGCCAACCTTGAACCAGGTGTTCAAAGGCTCCCATTTGCTTGTCGCCATACCTGTTTCCACCTTTCGATTTACGATCTTACGCAGCGCTATATCTCAACTCTGTCCGCATTCGATTCCTACCTTTCGTCGGTATCAGTCGTCCATAACACTCTCGTCGATCCTTCTCTCTGAGACGCCCTTCGTCTATTTTTCCTTTTTTCTTTGACTTGGCCACCCGTCGCCTTTACTACGAAAACGCCATACAAATGAGCACATAACGGTCTTTACAATTTCCTTAGCGTCCATCACCCTCTCCGGGTATCAACACAGCTCGCGCCGTCGCGCCGTTTCGTCTCCTTTTTTCCTTTTCTTTTTCTGTGGATCGACTTGCCTTCCTCCGGTATATTCTATGTGACTCTTGAACCGACAACCGGAAACCGTTCTACCATTCTCATTTCCGCCTGTCGCTCGGTTCCTTTGGCCTTTATCCATCTTGGGATAGCTGGCCTGATACTCTCTTCTTGCCTCTACTTAATCATCCATTAGCCTGGCTGCTGTTCGCGTCATCGCGTCCTGATACGTGCGACCCTTCTTTTTTGAGCGACTATAGATTCTTTTCATCCTCTTTGTTTTATCTTTCATCCTCGAGAGCTTCCGCCACTCTCGACATCTCTCTTCTCTTGACCATTTCTTGGGATTATCTTGCACAATGTCGACCGTGGATTGCATGAAGGACTCGTTTGTGGAGGGCCAGCTTTTGGATGGTCGCTTCCGCACCGTCCGCCCTCTCAACCATGGCTCCTTCGGCATGGTCTTTCTTGCGACTGATAACACCACCGGCCAAGATGTTGCCATCAAATGCTTGACCAAAGCTTCCCCGACCGACCCGTCGGCCCCGTCTCCCGTTGAGGACCGTTTCGAAGAGCTCGAGTGCCATCGGCGTCTCGCCCATCACCCCAACATTGTCAACTTGATCCATTCCTTCGAGACCGAGGCCCACATCTACCTCGTTCTGGAGTACTGTGTCAATGGTGATCTGTACGAGGCCATCCGGCTTGACCGCGGTCCTTTGGAGACCGAGCACGTTCGGGATTTCATGCTGCAGTTGGTCAGCGCCGTTGAGTTCATGCATGCCAACGGCTTGTACCACCGTGACATCAAGCCGGAGAACATCTTCCTGACGCAGGATGGCTCCATGAAACTTGGTGACTTTGGTCTGGCATCCCGCGACCCTTGGTGCCACGAGGCCTGTGTGGGCAGTGACCGCTACATGGCTCCCGAGCAATATGAGCCCACTGCTGCCGGTTACTCCCCCGCCAAGGCCGACGTCTGGTCGATTGGTATTTGTCTGTTGAACATTTTGTTTGCACGGAACCCCTTTGTCACTCCGACCGAGACCGATGTGCTCTTTGCGGACTATACCCGCGATCGTCAGTCGCTGTTCGATATTTTCCCCAACATGTCTCAGGACACGTACGAGATCCTGACACATGCGTTGGCCCTTGATCCCGAGAAGCGTTCCTTGTCCGGTGTGCGCGAGTGCATCCTGCGGGCCCTGTCGTTTACTACGGATGACGACGCCCTGGATGACTTCTGCACCGAAGATCGCGAGGTGGTCCCCGCCAGTGCCAACCGCGAGCCTCTCCGCACGCCCTCCATCCAAAGCCCGCATGTCAACCAGGGAGACTCCTTCCCTTGGGCCAAGGCTTTGCAGGCGAGTCCTCCCCAGGCCATCCGGCAGCTCTCCGTCATTCCCGACACCGAGAGCTACACCGAGGACCTGTTCCCGCCGTCCGAGACCGCCGGCACTTCGTGGTTCTCCGCTGCCGCGGAGACCCCGTCGATGGCCTCGGTGTTGGGCTCGACCATGGGCTCCTCGTTCCGTTCTCTCCACCTCCCGCGCAAGCATGAGGCACCCTTCCCTCCTCGCTCTGATCCGGTTCCGATCACCGGTTCCTTGCCCAGCAATGCCTCCAAGCCCCTACCGTCCCTGTCGATGGTGTTTGGACGCAACAAGAGCAACCAGATCTCCAAGAGCTGGAGTGATCTCTGGGAGGAGGAGGAATCGGAGAACGAGGATCTTGAACTCCAGAAACGCCGTGAGCAGAACTCTCGTAGCTGGAGCCAAGAGAGCCAGAGCACGCCTCTTGCGACTACTGCACTGGGGGGACTGCGCGAGCCGGACTCCGCCTCCTTTCTCAATGAGCGCTCCCTCGCTCAAGCCTCGCCCCCGGGCAAGCCGCGTCAGACCCGCGCCCGATCGTTGGACGGTAACAGTGATTCTTCCAGCAGCACGCCGCGACCCCTGCGTCAACCCTCGCCCAAGAAGGCCGATGGCGACAAATGGGCCCAGCTTGGTGATCGCCGCCGCAAGTACCAGCCTCGCGAGCTGTTTGGGCCCCGACGCGCACTCCTCGCCAGCAACTGGCGTCGCGACTGGGGTCTTGGTTCTTCCGGATTCGATCATGGACAACAAGCCAAGCCGGTTTCATCCCCGCGGACTGATCGTCGTCGCCAGCTGTTCCTCGAAAAGGACTGGCGCCGCGATGCCGTGGAAGTTCCGGGACCGTCGCCTATCAAATTCTCTACATACGACGGTAGCGTGGACGAGGATCTCGACCTTGTGGGTGGGTGGCATGACCTTCACCTGTAATACAATACGTCGCCACTTGCAATTCACCTACTCTTCGACCTGCATTTTTCTTTGCTTGATTTTCTGTCTCTCCAGTTCCCCGTGCCCCGTTGCGACGTTTTGATTCAAGTTGGGAAAAAAAAAGTTCAAAAAACTACCGACTATACACTAATGTTCTTTTCTTGTCTTGTGTTCCTTCTGCTTTCGAGACCTTGGAGTGTGTGTTCTCCGGTGCTGTCAAGCTGTCAGCACACCGTTTCTGTCACCGCGCCGCTTTGTTTCACCCCGAGCCGTTTGACCCTGTTTCTCTTCAATTATTTTTCTGTACTATATGGGCTCGCGGGTTGTGCAGGACATCGCAGACGGAGACGTTGAGCACCTCAAAAAGACTAGAAGGGGTTGGTTGTTGTGGTGGTGAGATGCCTTTTGCATTATTTTTTTTATTTTTTTCGGAGGACTTTTTTGTTCGCATACGGGAATCAACTGGACGGCACTGAGCCACAAAAGGAAAAAAAGGAAAAAAAAAGCTGGACGCAAGAGGCGTGAGCTAGTTGACGACGTGGAAAAGATCCCTGGCCGTTTTCTCTTTCATTCGTTCGATGTACCGAGGTGCCCCTGATCTGTGTACTGTAACTAGTTGGGACCGAAGGAAGGGAAAATTGATCATATCCGTGAAGACTTGTTCTACTAGTAAACTATGTACCTCCTAGTAAGTACTCCGGTATTGTTAAACCGAGTCTGTAGGTGTATATTCTGCCCAGCGGTGATAAAGGCGGTCACCCCAGATGACACTTTTCTTATCTGTGGCCTCAGTGACCAACTTCTGCTAGCGGGATTCCGAGTACCCTCGCCTGTGCCGCCGCTCTCCTCTCCAGAAAATGAGCTAGAGAATGACGATTGATACAGTCTACTGAAGAAGAAAGAGACGGTTGAAGCAGACACCTCGTGCGCTATTGCGCCTGCAGCTGCCGGCAGAATGTTGGCCGCGGGTCGGTCATGGATCCTCTTGCTCCACCGTGTCTCGATACTTCTCGCACTCGTCGGAACTGTAGTTGGCGATAACGCTGTGCAGCAGCCGACTGGGACGAATACCACCACGCCGGCGCCCTCTGAAACCGTGACCACGCCGGTGCCGCCAACATGCCCGGCGAAGAACGTGTGGGCCGTGGAGCGGGAGCGGTTCGAGCTTCCGATCTGTCTCGAGACACGGTGGGGACGAGGACGAGAACTACTACGACTTTCAGATGAATCGAATGCAGCAGCCTCTGATCACAGTACCTCGGTTGCAAATTCGGCGGCTACTGCGCCGTCGTCCAGCGGGACAGCGGAAAACACCACGATCCCGACATCGGAGGAGGATACCGATTCGCTTCTTGACAGTGCGAGCTTCCTCTCCTTTGAAGACTGGAAGAAGCAGAATCTAGCCAAGGCTGGGCAGTCTGCTGAGAATGTTGGGGGTAGTCGACGCTCTGCTGCGGCTGGGAAAGAAGGGAGACGGCAGCCGACGGGGATTAATAATGCCTTGGATTCATTGGGAGATGATGCTGAGATCGAGCTGGAGTTTGGTGGGTTCGGGGCTGAGACGCCGGAGGCGGCGCATCCTACGGATTGGATGCCGTCAAGAGGAGAGGCGGGTGAAGATGGCGCGGATGGCAAGGCAGATGTCGATTCTCATGCGCCGCAGGGTGGTGGTGGCCCCGGGGCAGACGTTTCTCGCCGTAAGGATGCTGGAACTACCTGCAAGGAACGGTTCAATTATGCCTCATTTGACTGTGCCGCCACGGTGCTCAAGACGAACCCGGAGTGCAAGGGTTCTCCGTCTGTCTTGATCGAGAACAAGGACAGCTATATGCTGAATGAGTGTCGTGCTCACAACAAGTTCCTCATCCTGGAACTATGCGATGACATCTTGGTCGACACTGTCGTGCTTGCGAACTACGAGTTCTTCAGCTCCATCTTCCATACCTTCCGGGTCAGTGTTTCGGACCGATATCCCGCAAAACCGGACCAGTGGAAGGAACTTGGAGTCTATGAGGCTCGGAACACCCGCGAGGTGCAGGCGTTTGCGGTCGAAAACTCGCTCATCTGGGCTCGGTACCTGAGGATTGAATTCCTAACGCACTATGGACATGAGTTCTACTGTCCTGTTAGTCTCATTCGAGTGCATGGGACGACCATGATGGAGGAGTATAAGCATGACGAGGGAGCTGGCCAGGTCGACGTTGAGATGATCGATGAGCCGGTTCAGACGGGGCAGCAGCCTAGTGATTCAGAGGCCGAGCGCCAGGAGATGCCGGCTCATGTCCATGATGAGGAAACTTTGGTTGGTCAAGTTTGCCCCAAACCACTTTCCGAGGTGGAATCGCTCCTCTATGGACAGCAGCCTCTCTGTGCTCCCACCGACCGGCCAACCATCGAAAAACCCGAGGGCCAAGTTACTGTTGAACAGACTAATCCCCCATTAGATGCGAACTCTACAGCCTCTACCGGAGATAGCACGACGGACACACAGCCTAGATCTTCTATCCCACCCAACGCTGCCGTGGACACGCGAAAGACCGGGGAAGTTGGCCAAGTCCTTTCCGCGCCCTCCAATTCCTCGACGGTGGCATCGGAGGCCACAGCACAGAACGCCACTGAAAGCACTGGCAAAGGCACCGCCCACTCCAAGAACGAAACCAATACTTCTCCGGAGTCAGTCCGATCCACAAGCACCCAACCTCCATCCTCCAACCCCACCACCCAAGAATCATTCTTCAAATCCGTCCACAAGAGACTCCAGATGCTGGAGTCCAACTCGACGCTATCCCTACTTTACATCGAAGAACAGTCCCGGATCCTCCGCGATGCATTCAACAAAGTCGAGAAACGTCAACTATCCAAAACATCCACCTTCCTGGAGAATCTCAACGTAACCGTCCTCAGCGAACTGAAACAGTTCCGCGAACAATACGACCACGTCTGGAAGTCTGTCGCTTTGGAATTCGAGCACCAGCGCCTGCAATACCATCACGAAGTGCACTCCCTCAGCGCCCAGCTCGGCGTCCTAGCCGACGAGCTCGTCTTCCAGAAACGAGTCACCGTCATCCAGAGCATCATGGTCCTCTGCTGCTTCGCGTTGGTGTTGTTCTCCCGCAGCTCCGTCGGCAACTACATGGAATTTCCCAGCGTGCAGCGCATTGTGGAGCGATCACACAGTCTGCGCTCGTCATCGCCTTTCTTCGGTTCTCCCTCTGCCAGCCCGGGCTCCACCCGCACTACTTCGTCGTATCGCAACAATACAACGCATCGCCGGAACCTTTCAGATAGCTCGTCCTCGCAGGATGGTGTTGATGCGTCTGTCGATCCAGCCGGGGCTTATATCCCTCCAACACCAATCTCTACCTCGGACAGTTCGCAGGAGATGATGGAGGATGTGGCCCAAGTTGGAAAGGTGGACGTGGTGGATCACGCCACCGTGCCAGAGATAGAACCACCGCAGGTCCGGCCCCGAAGCACGCCGCCCGTTTTAACTGGCGGCCACCTTGCGATGACGACGGCTGTGGACGCAGACGACGAGGAGGGGTTGCGGCTGCCTGAGCCGCCTAAATCCGCGTGTGAACCCCCAACCTCGTTGTGAATGTTTTCCAATTTTTGATTGCATGCTTGCGCTGTATTAACATTATACCTCCCGGCATATCTATCGCCGCCTTGCATTGTCCTTGTTCTTCGAGCGATCTCTTTTTTCCATCTACACCTGGGGTGTATGATAGGATTCATCTCACTAATAATCCTCCTCTATGAAATAAATGCTGTAGTCATGTGCCTGAGTAGATGTACAATTCCAGCCCAACTATGTGACAGCGTGGTTCTATTCATAATTTCATTTTATGAACCAAGTTAAGTGTGGATCCTGGAATGCTGACATCCTCGGTTCTGGGGTTAGGGCAGGGAATCTCAAGGATCACACTGTACATGGGGGTGAAGAACATGGGATCTTCAACTAAAACTCTATCGAACAATAGCTCAAAAATAAAGAACCAACAAGTGATTGTCTCCGCTTCAGGATCACTCGTTACATCATCTGTCTGACGTACCCGAAGTGGTAAGGGTCCGTGCCTGAGCCCCTGTTCCCTTACAGTCGGGAAAAGGGGGGATCACACCACCCTGGACATCCCCATGTGTGTGTGTGCACCGGGTCTCTGTCAGCATAGTTGGTTATTATTTATAGCATGTAAATGATAGCCTAGATCGATGGATGATTACTCTGAGACATCTCCCAAACCGATCCTGGCGAAAAGGCAATGCCAAGAAGTTAGGGCCGGGACCTGAAGCACTTGCACTGCCTCTCACGCCCCCAGTCGGCCCACCGGCCGTGAGTTAGTTGGATCGACTCGCCGGGGCAAGGCAGTCACTTTTCGTATTTTTCTCATCCCCGGCCGACTTAGTTACTCCCCCCTGTGTCCTAGGTTGAAAGAGAAGTTGAACAAGCTTGACCAGCAATGCGTGTACTAGGCACTTTGACCGGCCTACTGGCTGGGACGAGGCTCCTGGCCCCCGCGCAGGCCATCGAGTTGGATCTCTCCAGTGAGGGTGAGCGCGAACCCTCCTCCTCGTCTCGTCTCTCCCTCCCCGCCTCGTCTGCTAACGGTCCGATCACAAATAGAATCGATCAAAAGCGCGGCGAGTCTAACAACATGGGGCGCCATGTCATATTACACGGGCAACGAAACGGACGGGAGCCCAGGCATCATCCCTAATAAATGGTACGAAGGGTCGGTGCTGTTCATGTGCGCCATGTACTACTGGCATTTCACGGGCGACACCACATACAACCAGGAAGTCCGCGTCGGACTGGAGTCCCAATCTGGCAATGGCGACTACCTGCCGGAAAACGCGGCTCAGTATATGGGCAATGACGACCAGGGGTTCTGGGGCGTGGCCGCCATGACGGCTGCGGAGCTGAACCTCACCGACTACGGCCAGTACTCGTGGCTGTCGCTGGCGCAGGGGGTGTTTAATACCCAGACGCAGCGCAGTTCGGGATGGGATGCCTCGACCTGCGGCGGCGGCGTGCGGTGGCAGCAGTTCAATTACATGAGTGGGTATACGTTGAAGAATGCCATCTCGAATGGACTGCTGTTCCAGCTCTCGGCTCGTCTCTATCGCTACACCAATGACAAACAGTATGCTCAGTGGGCGGAGAAGATCTGGGACTGGTCGAACGAGTACCTCATCGACAACCAGACTTGGGTGATTGCCGACTCGGTCACAACCACCCAGGATTGCAAGGTGAAGGGCATGGGTGATAATTCATACAACGATTCCTCATTTCTCATGGGGTTGGCCTACTTGTATAACCATGTGCGTCCCGCTATCTGCTCCATTCATTCCCTTGGTTGACCACCTAGCTAACGAACCATTCGCACCGCTAGACAACGGGCGCCGAGCAAGCTAAATGGGAACAAGCTCTCAACGGACTTGCCAACAAGGTGCTGACTTTGTACTTCCCTGCCAAGTATGGCGACGTTGAATACGAGCCGTCCTGCGACCCGTTCCCCACACAATGCTACGACAGCAACAACCTGTTATTCAAGGGCCACACCTCCTCCTGGCTCGGCTGGGTCTCGATCCTAGCCCCGCAGCTCTCCGAGCAAATCATGCAACGACTCCAGAAGACCGCCACAGCCGCCGCCGCGGCCTGCACCGGCCCCGGGCAGGACGGCAATCAGTGCGGCAGTGCCTGGTACCAGAGCAAGTTTGACGGCCGCACGGGAATGGAGCAGGAGATCTCCGCTAGCGATCTCTTTTCTGTCAACTTGATTCCGTTCATCCATGGCGCGCCCCAGAAGATCTTGGGGCCGTTGACCTCGACGACCGGTGGCTCGAGTACGAGTAACCCGAACGCGGGCATGAATGATAATTCGAATGAAGTTCGGTTCGCACCCATTAGCGCGGGCGATCGAGCCGGCGCGGGGATTCTGACAGCTATCTTTGTGGCTGGGTGGGTTGGGGGTTTGGCTTGGATGTTCATGGAGTAAGCGTTTGATTTCTAGCTTCTTTTTTTCATTTCATTGTCATGTATTCAATATTGGTGCTACATAGTTGATCGACTATTGATCTATTGATTGATTTCCTCTACTCTCCTTCCCGTAGTTCGTCGTCCTTACAGTCCTCTGCTCCCATTGTCTCAGACATTACTCTGCGTCATCCGTTGGTTGCCCTGACAACAATCGCCCGTTTTGGTCTCAGCACGCGCACACCAACAACCCTTATCCGGTCCAGAACTTTCCTCTTCCCTCATCATTCTCTGATCCTGGACTCCTATCCTTCTGCTTTCCTCTCATACCCATATCCACACACATACTCATCTCACAATGGATGCAGCAACATCCCAGCCTCTGGCCGACCGACCCACAAACACCCACCTGGCCAGCACAACCACCACCACCGACAAGAAGGGCGACGTCTCCATGGACTACCACCGCCAGATGCTGCAGGGGAAGCTGGAAAGCGCCGACAAGTGAGTTTTCCCAACACCGACACCAAAGAAGAACGCATTGTATATTAACCATCTCTTCTTTGCAGACAGCCAACCGCCTACGTCTCCCCCTCGGACGATATCATGAGTCCCTGTACGAAGAAGCTGAGTGATATCAAGGGCAAACGGTTTAAGAAGTATGTTTTTCCATCTGTTTGTTTTTTCAAGTCCTTGTATGCTAACAAATTCTCGTGAATAGTGCCGGCAAGCCACAGTCTCTGTTCGCTAAGTTGGGCAAGAAGAGTTACGAGCAGTCTGCCTCGACCTCAGCCGCGACGGAGAGCCCAACTGCCCAATAGAATACACGCGTCAATGTCTTGCCTTTCTCCTTTCTCGTCGACTGCCTGGCATCTCTCTCTTTCTCGTGTCGTTTCATTCCGAATGCGGCGGTCCGCCGCTGGATGGATAGATGCACTCGGTTGTGGTTTGAAGTGTCTACGCCTCGGACAGCTTCATGCCCTCCTCTCTCTCTCTTCCTTCATTTTCCTTTTTTTTTTGATTCTTGCTTGTCATGACTGCAATGCCTTCCCTTTTTCCTTTGTGGCGGACTGCCTGCTTTTGTGTGTCTACTCGTGTCGGGATTTTTTTTTTGTATTGGGGGTTCTTTCTGGCTTGGTTATGGACTTGGGTAATTGTGTTTAGTAGACTGTGTACTGTAACTGAATATCCTTGCATTGATCAAGGTCTTTTTATCTGGTTGGGTCTTGAGGTGTTGTAAAGTGTCTACATAGAGTATAAACAGAAGCACAAAAGAGAAATCTATCGGATTGCGATCCCGGTTTCCACCTAGCGGTCAAGTTCAGAGAAATCATTGGGTGAGGTGCAAATCAACACTTTCTTTATTGATTGACTGATTGATGATAATGTCGGCTACATCACCGAGGCACCACCCCAGCACTTCAGAACCTATGCTGAGTGTCGCAATATTGTAGAACAATGATAAAATGACCTAGACCGACCGATCTATGTTGTTTCCTTTCTTTATAGCCTAGGTTATCCAGCCGGGTCTACACAGTACTAATCGTAGTAGTACAGTACGCAGTAAGCGGCGAGCCGAGGCAATGACCGCGCTCGGCTTCTCCACGCCTTCTCCGCAAATCCTCGGCCAGAACACTTAAAAGTCACTGCTTCCTTCCTCTCTTCTTCCTCCTACTCTCTTACCACCCATAAAACACACACAAACATATAGTCATCATGGCCGCCTCTACCCGTATTCCTCCTATCGCCCAGCCCTTCGTCAGCGACCGGGCCAAGAAGACTCTCGACCTGGTGCGTCCCCCACTCACATCATTCTCTCTTGTTCAGATCCAGCCAATCAACTAACCCACCCTCCCTCCGTCCATCCAGGTCGAGCAATTCGTCGATAAAGAATGCATCCCCGCAGAGGCTGTCTTCCAGGCCCAGCTGGGCCAGGGCGAGAAGCGCTGGACGACCACCCCCGCCGTGCTGGAGGAACTGAAGGCCAAGGCGAAGAAGCTGGGTCTGTGGAATATGTTCCTGCCCAAGAACCACTTCTCCCAGGGCGCAGGATTCAGTAATCTCGAGTACGGCCTGATGGCTGAGTGTCTGGGCAAGAGCAAGATTGCTTCCGAGGTGGGTGTTCCTGATATGTTGTCGTTCTCGCAATGCACTGGGGATGATGGGTTGCTGACTGCTTGCGATTATCTAGGCTACTAATAACGCTGCCCCGGATACCGGTAACATGGAGGTGTTTGCCAAGTACGGCAGTGAGGCCCAGAAGCAGCAGTGGCTTGCTCCCCTGCTGGACGGCAAGATCCGCTCGGCGTTCCTGATGACGGAGCCCGATATTGCTTCGAGTGATGCGACAAACATCGAATTGGATATTCGCCGAGAAGGCAATGAATATGTCCTCAATGGCTCGGTGTGTCTTTCTTTTTTTTTTTTTTGCCCCTAACACGCGTTTTACTCAACGACATGCCCTAATTCCCTTCTTCTAGAAATGGTGGTCCTCCGGCGCTGGTGACCCCCGCTGCAAGATCTACCTGGTAATGGGCAAGACGGACGCCAAGAACCCCGATCCCTACAAGCAGCAGTCAGTGGTGCTAGTCCCCGCCGACACGCCGGGGATGACAGTGCACCGGATGCTGACGGTGTACGGGTACGACGACGCGCCGCACGGCCACGGACACATCACGTTCAAGAACGTGCGCGTGCCCGTGAGCAACATGGTGCTTGGCGAGGGCCGCGGGTTCGAAATCATCCAGGGCCGTCTTGGCCCCGGACGCATCCACCATGCGATGCGGACGATCGGCGCCGCGGAGAAGGCGATCGAGTGGATGATTGTGCGGATTAACGACGAGCGCAAGAAGCCCTTTGGCCAGCAGCTGTCGTCGCATGGGGTTATTCTCGAGTGGATCGCCAAGTCGCGTATTGAGATCGATGCCGCGCGCTTGATTGTCCTTAATGCGGCGATCAAGATCGACCAGGGTGATGCTAAGTCTGCGCTCAAGGAGATCGCGCAGGCTAAGGTCCTCGCGCCCCAGGCCGCGCTCACCGTCATCGACCGCGCCGTTCAGTCTTACGGTGCCGCCGGTGTCTGCCAGGATACGCCGCTTGCTTACCTCTGGGCTGGCATTCGGACTCTGCGCATCGCGGATGGACCCGATGAGGTTCACCTGCAGCAGCTGGGTCGTCGGGAGAACCGCTCCCGGAAGGATGCGGTCACCAAGAAGCTGAAGTGGCAGCGTGATGAGGGGGATCGCCTCCTGAATGCTAGCGGCTACAAGCCTAAGAGCTACCTGTGAGCGCTTCTTGATATCAAATAGTGTTATCTAGTACATACAAGGGTGTAGCCCAGAATGAATGTATACTCTCGTTTCGGTTTTACTAGCTCAGATCCATTCGTCGCATGTAGCAAAGTTCAATTCAAATAAACGCCGGGAAAAACATGCAATTCCCATATGTAGGTAGCACCGACTTGATTTATCCTCCTCACCTTCCATCTCCGATCAGGTATCAAACGCAGCCAACTCGACTCGCCCGCGAGTTATTAAACCTCCATCCCCCCACGAACGAACCAAAGAAAGCACTTTTAATAATAATCATTGTCCTCGGCCTTCTTGCGCGTGGCCTTAGCACGGCGCTTATTCCCCTTGAAATGCTTCTTGGAACCCGCCTCGCGCACCTCGGAGACATCGACGCCCCGCTCCAGCGCAACCATCATCCGCTCCTTGCGGCCGGTCAGCTGCTTGCGTATCTGCTGGCCCTGCTCTGTGTACTGGGACTGGAAGGGCAGCATGAGACGGCCGGACGACGGGCCGGTTTCAGTCCCAAAGAAGCCCGTGTCGATGTTGCGGGAGCGCTTGCCCTGCGGCTCGGGGGCGGCGGTGTGTCCTGACACGAAAGACGCAATGTCCGCGTCCAGGTCTTCGTCGTCGACATCTGCGGCGGCCTTGGCGAGAAGCATCTCCTGCCGTTTTAGGGGCAAGTGCGCCATGTCGTAGAGGTCTTGGTTGAACACGTCCGCGTCGATGGGTTCCTCGCCATCTGGGGAGGGGGGCGGGTGCACGAAGAGGAGCTTGCCGTTCACGTAGTCCTTGAGCACGTAGCGAGCTGCGCGGGACTCATCGGGTTGACCGATACCTTGGGTGGAGAAGCCACGGGCGCGGGCGTAGGCGCGCAGGACCTCGCTGGCGGTTGGACGGCCAGTGCCGCCCTCCTCCAGTGGGCGGGTGTGGATTTTCACGCCGTAGACGTTCTCCAGGAAGTGTTTGGGGATTCGCTTCGCGACGAGACCCGCAGGGCCGGTGAACTCGCGCTGTTGGTCGATTGGCAGAACGCCGTTGACGACTAGCTCGGCCTTGGTCGTGGCGAAGTTGGGGAACACCAGACCGGGACAGTCGCACAGGAGAATTTCGGGCGAGAGATAGAGAGTCTGGAAATGCTTCGTCTTGCCAGGTGTGGCAGACACAGACACTTTCTTGGCTCCTAGGAGAGCGTTGATCGTGCTTGACTTACCCACGTTAGGGTAGCCGACTAGACCGATGGTCGTCTTCTGCTTCGGCTGCTCACCCTCCTCGTTGTTCTGCGGTAGTGTGTCTGGCGAGTTTGCCAGGAAGAGTTCTTCCAACTCATCCACATCCAGAATATGCGCGCCCAGGGACTGGTCAGGGTCGGCCAGCTTGGCCTTGGCTTCTTGGTCGATTTCTTCTTCTTCCTCTTCTTCTTCGCTGTCCTCGTCTTCTTCGTCTTGAACGTTCATCTTCTGGGCCGACTCTGCCAGATCTTCATCTTCACTGTTCGCCTCAGATTCCTTCTGCAATTCAGCCTCAATCCGCTCTTTAGCGAGATGGGCCGAGAAGAAGCGGAAGTTGATGCCGTTCGCCTCAAAGTACTCCGCCCAGGCCTCTCTTTGCTTATCGGTCAACATATCTGCCTTGTTGACGAGCAAGAGATTCTTCTTCCGTGGATCAATCTCCTTGACATATCTCTCCAGATCCTCTGAACGGAACTGGAGCGGGTTGCGCGCATCGACAATCTGCACAATCAGATCCGACCGCTCGATCACACGCCACAGCTGCCGCCAGACCTCCAGGTTGCGCTCGAAGGGAGTCATCAGCAGATCATGGTTCTCCTGCAACTCCGCCAACCCTCTCCGCCAGTCCAACAGACTTTCCCGCTCCATGGTCTCCAGCTGCTGGGGGGTCGTGGACTGATCCCACTTCGGCCGCCTGGGAACAGTCAGACGACCCTTGTTCCTCTGGTGTTTCTTGACAGCCGACTTCTCCTCGGACGCGGAGAGGAGGTAGGGGTTCTTCTGGTCGGTGTGGATAATCTTGACGTTGTTAATTTTTTCGGCCGTGAAGTCGGTACCGGCCAGCTCGGCAGTGCTCAGGAATTCATCGAGGGCGGCCTGCTCTGTGATACTGCGCATCTTTACCCATGAGGCCTCCTTGGCTTCATTTGTGACATAGGTCTCGCCGTTGATGCCCTTGCGGGCAATGGCGTTGTTGTGCGAGGCCTTCTTCTGGTTGGATGCTTTGCCCTTGCCGAAGCGATCGTTCATGAGGCTGTTGCCCAGCCCCACGCTGTTTTTGGATTTTGCCAGCACCATGATGACGGATGCTGTCGAGGAATATTGTTGCTGAACAGAGAAAATAATGGCAGCCCCGCCTGATCATGGCGAAATTCTTTTGGATTGAGTCACATGGAGATAAGATACGGGCTGACTCAGCACGGCTGGACGGACTGCCAGTGTCTACTGTAGAGTGAGCAGGGGAGAATGAGACCGAAACCATAGAAAAAGCAATGGTACTATATGAGTACCATATGGACATAAAAGAAGAGAATGGCTAGGACCGACTCGTATGCACTTGTAGAGAAAGAATCTGTGAGGACCCCGAGGACGATAAGCCGCACGTGACCCCTATCTCACCCCACTCCACGGGATTTTTTTTTCGACGGACAACTTTCCAACAAACAACACACACACCATGCCGCCTCGCAAGCAGTGGATGTACGTGAAGTGACCCTGTTGTTCAACACTAGAAACACTAACCCCCCAATTACAGTGACAAGAAAACCGCGAGCACCTTCCAGCTCTTCCACCGGTCCCAAAATGACCCATTGATTCACAACCCGGACGCCGATGACCGCGTGCTGCACCAAGTCTCCGGCCCTGCCCCCGCCCCATCCTCGGCCGCGTCAACGGCATCAAACAAGCCGTCGCGCAATCTATCCGAACTAAAGTCCGAATTCGGCTCGGATGCTATCCGTCAGAATGAGGGCGAGGCCGCCAACTATGGCATTTTCTACGACGACTCCAAGTATGACTACATGAAGCATTTGCGGGAACTCGGCACTGGAGGAGGCGACTCGTATTTTGTCGATGCCAAGGCCGAAAAGGGCAAGGCGAAGGCCAAGGGGATGAAGCTGGAAGATGCCCTGCGACAGGTCTCTTTGGATGAGGAATCACAAAGCGCTTTTGGTGGCCCGAGCGTGTATGGGTCCCAATATGGTGACATGCGGTCGACGGCATCTTCGTATGTCCGGAAACCGACATATCAGGACCAGCAGAACATTCCTGATGCCATTGCAGGCTTTCAGCCTGATATGGACCCGCGGTTGCGAGAGGCTCTGGAGGCTCTGGAAGACGAAGCCTACGTGGATGATGGCGATGATGACATCTTCGGCGAACTGACAGCGAATGCCGAGGAGATTGAACCGGGTGATTGGGAAGACACGCTGTTCGACCATGACGAAGAGGATGATGGGTGGGAGTCGGATGCCACCGAGAAGGCACCCGTGCAGGCGTATACGACAGAAGCCCAGAATCACCTCGAAGATGATGATATTCCAGAGAGCCTTGCGCCTGGCGAGCTGCCAGAGCATGACCATCCAGCCCCGGACCTCCACCCGCAGGACCAAGGATGGATGCAGGAGTTCGCCAAGTTCAAGAAAGACGCCAAGGCAGGCAACGCCCCTGGACCGGCTGCGCCAACTATTGCACCCTCGGAGCAGCGCACACTTGCATCCACTATCTTCACAGCCGGAGGGACACCGATCCGCCGCAAGAAGCGCAAGGGCGCAATGACCAACCCCTCCGCCTACTCGATGACATCGTCTGCTCTAGCACGCACGGACGGCCACCGCCTGCTGGACGACCGGTTCGACCGCGTCGAGGCACTGTACGCGCTCGATGAGGATGAGGAGTACGACGACAGCATGTCCATGGTCAGCGGAATGACTGGCGCTACGGGAATGACTGGCATGTCCACGGCATCATCTCAAGCGCCGAGTCTTGTCGACGCGAACGGCGAGGTCATCTCCTCACGCAGCGACTTCAACAACGTCATGGATGACTTCCTGGCGGGCTTCGACGACAAAACCAGCTCCCAGGCAAAGCGGAAGGGCGCCAAGGCAAAGCGCGGCAAGAACGGCAATGAGGCAATCGGAATTCGGATGCTCGACGAGGTTCGCCAGGGTCTCGGACCAGCGCGTGTGTCGGGCAGTTCTCGCGGTGTGCCCGGACGAGCATAGGGTAGTGGATGGAACTGCATATTGATACGACTTCGAACGTGAACCACTCATGACTCGGCGTTAGGCTTTTATTTTCCTATTTGTTTCTTTACTATGATGGCTAGACCAAAAGTTACCTACAATATATCCTGCTCCGTGCAATATTTAACGACTAATTCCTCCACCGTCCCCCAAGAATCAACCCGCAAATCACCCAAATCATCCAGCCTCGCCTCTTGCCTCTCATCAAACAGCACGGCCGAAATCCCCAGCTCTCTAGCGGGGATTATGTCCCGCGCCAGATTATCCCCAAAATAAACCATATCCGGTGCAGGAATAGCATACTTCTCCAAAACAGCTTGAAACAAGCCATCAACCTTGGACCTCCGCATCTCGTTCGTGGGAACAAGCACATCTACCCAAGGCATTAACCCTAGCTCTTGCAGCGTCCACACCTGCGCATCCTGCGGTCCCTCCGTAACAATCAAGATCTTTTTTCCCTCGGTCATGCAGCGTCCGTAGAAGAGACTGCACCCCAGGTTTAAGCTTGAGATATCCCCTTAGCGAGGTCCGATACATATCCAGCAAAGACTTGACATGCACAACCTCGGCTACGCCGTGCGCCTGCAGGAGACGAGAGAACCGCTCCCGCCGATACTCGGCTGATGAGCGGCCGTCGGTGAATGCATTGGTTGTTGATGTGCGTAGGATATCGGTGTATGTTTCTTCAAGGCCGGAGACGGTTGCACCTGTCAAGGCGTGGATTCTTTCGAAGACGGCTATTGAAGCCTGCCCTGAGGCGGCGCCGAACTCATGGAGTGTGTCGTCGAGGTCGAAGCCGAACCATGTTTTGGTGTGAAAATGGATTGAGATTTGGGATGACATGGTTTCTTCTTGTGATATTGGGAGTCTCAATTAGATATTGGTGTTGTATAGTTGTATTGACAGCAAATGCTGAAATGACTCAGATTATAATCGAATGGCGTGATCTGATTCCATTGCCCATCTGTTAGGCTGTTGGTCACATTCATATATGCTGTAGTATAGTCCTCAAATCTATTGGACACGGAGTGAAAAGAAATATATCTCTGACCAATAATGTTCATATATATACAAGTATATCATCGCAGCTAAAGCGCACCACCAACCTTCTCCACAATCCACATAGCAAGTCGAACATTCCACCCAACGCGGCGCTCAGTACGTCTCAGGTCTTCACGCGAGATAGCCTGAGAGTCTTTCTGAAGCCACTCGGTCTCCTCACCAAGTTTGCGCTTCAGGTCCTGATCATCCGTGACGACCAATGCCCCAATTTCAATATCAAGACTGTAGCTGCGCTTGGTGTAGTTGCTGCTCCCGACGAACGTGAGACTGGGATTCTCCTCGCGCGGGAGGGTGATCCATAGACCCTTGGCGTGGTAGGTCCATCCGCCTGGCGTGCCGACTGTGCCGCGGCGCCATTCCTTCAGCTGGATGGAGTTTGTGCACTGTGCCTCGGCGACGCGGTCGAGGAAGCGCGCTGAAAGATGTGTGTAGGCCGCGGGGAGCATGCCGGACACGCCTGGGGAGCCGTAGAATCCATTGGCCCATGGTGAAGCGGTTAGGACTGTTCCCTGGGTGGTGGATGCGGCATCAGAGCTGGTAGACGTGCTGGAAATAAGGAGGGAGGAGAGAACGGGGTGGATGTTGAAGTAGCCGGCTGTGAAAAGCCAACGGGCGCCTGTGAATGCTGAAGATTCAGACAGCAGGCGCAGGATGCTGGTGACGGCTGGATATTCGGTGGAGGTGTCGGGTTTCAAGAGTGGTGTGAACTGTGAGACGGGATATACGAATGTCTGACTTGATGAGGATGGAAGGGCGGGTTTTTGCTCGGCTGGTTGGATGAGTGGGTTGAGCACGGTGGATGCATATGCAATAAAGTCCTCAGGGCTGTTGAGCGGCGATGGTGCTCCATTAGAGGTAGGCCAATCCAAAAGATAGCCTGAATGGTTGTGAGGATCCGGCAAAACCTTGAAGCTCAGGCTGCAAACCGCATGATGGATGTCGGCATAGTAGTCCGTCAACGCTTTGGAATTGAACACATGGTATCGATCCAAGCGGTTGGTGAAGTAGTCTTGGGACAAGTTCGCTCTGAATTGGAGGGAGAAATTAGCACCGCAAAGCCCGGACAACACCCAGAGTGCAACAACATACCCCGAAAGAATAATCTCATCGTCAATACCATATAATTTCATATGCTGCAAACCCCATCCCTCGTTAATCCTCCGGGGAATCCACTTCTTTTTCAGCCCTGTAAGGTTTGGCGTGTGAAACATCCGAATATCAACCCGTTCCGGCCCATGTTCTGCGACAAGCGAACAGAGAAGAGAAGCGCACGACGGATTCGGCGTCTCGCGGGTGCCTCGCAGCGCATCGGTCAGGATGGACACTTTGAGCTTCGGGTTGTCGCGCAGGGCTTGATTGATGGTCTCAATAAGCTCGTATTCTGTCTTGCCAATGTACAATGTGGAGAGATAGATGCGGCGACGGGCATTGCGAATTTTGTTCTACGGAGTCGCAAGTTAGCTGGGGCGCCGCATGGTCAGAGTATAGCACTGTGTATACCTTCAGAGCCGTATAGAAATTAGCTGGAGAATCCAAGATTGTAATCTGAGATGCTGGGACCTCAAATCGCGGCGCAACGCGGTCGAGTTCGACGGTGATGGCCCCGAGCGGCGAGGATGGAGACGGCGCAGGCGCAGAACAATGGGCGCTGGACGCAAAGCACTTCCGATCCCGTAGACGACGAGAAACTGGCCTTCTGATGGCACAGCGAATCGTCTGGCCTCCAATACGGCCGAACATGGTGAAAATGCAGCACGGAGCAAAGATAGCTGGCTGCCGCGCTCCTGTAGAATTGGGAAAAGTCGGTGCAAACAGTGCAAACGCCAAGCAGGAATTGATAGGGACAGGGAATTGCTAGGGACACCACAACTTAGGTAATACCATGAGTCATGTGATTGTACCTGAATCTCATTCTCTCTTAGTATTGCCAAGAAGAAAGCTGGTTGCTATACATCAGATGGACGGGCAATACATGCGGGGGTTGCGAAATGCAATACATAGAAAGTATGACAAGGGAAATGTGTGGCGGTCTTAACACACGTGGACTATATCTGCTAGGAAGATAAGGGTTGTGTCACACCCCTGCTGTCTTCCCCTCTTCTCTGATCTTTCTTTTCTACTCTCCACATATAGTGACTTGCTTCCTTTCAGCTCGTTTGTCAAAAGGGCACCGCAAGAGCCAATTAGCGGCTTCTTTCTACCTAGCCAACGTTACGGGCATTTTCTTCTGCAAATGCCCATTACGAGCCACGCAGCGAATCTCCTGAGCATCGACGGCCATGAATTCCGCGTCAACTACGACGTCCCAAAGGAAATTCCTGAGGAACTAGAGGAACTATTCGATAGGGATGCAAAGTATGAGGAGATTCCGGAACATCTGAAAGCATATGAGACTGAACCAATCGATTCGGATGAAGAAGAGGCTGAAGAGATCGCACGACGAGAAAAAGCAACAAAAAAGAACATGGAACAGATTAAAGAGATGATGAGGGTACGACGGAAAGAGAAATCAAAGAAGGAAGAGCAACAGCTTCAAGAGGAGAAACCAACAAAATGAAGCATTCGGGTGGTTACTATTAACTAGCATATGTGATCTGATATTTTGGAATGTCATTCTATGCGGCCCGACCACGTGAGCATCACCAATCCCGGCGGATGCTCCTCTGTTAAATACAAAGACAAAATAGAGGTCAAATGATGGCTATGAAAAAAGAAGGATCTACGGGAAGTAAGGAATGACGGCCCTGCGAAAAACAAAACGTTTCCTCCATTTCTCTTAACTGAGTGTTTCAAAACAGAGGGCGTGAAATACAGGGAAGATGCGGTTCAACCACCGTTTGTCTGAGGAACGGCTATAGTAAAATTGAAGGTTGATCGGAAAAGATAAAGATATTCAGTGCTCAACTTGGGGAATTATTTGGCATTAAACCCCTTCTGGACCACTTAAATAGACCGTCACTGTATCTACCAGCTTCCTTTGCTGAAGCTGAGCAAAACCATGAGCTTGGATATCAATTGATGATATACTACTGTCCTTAAGCTCCCGCACTATGATGAGGTGGTCGGTTGGGGCTTTAGTCAGCAAAACCAGGTGACCATGACTAAGGAAACCTCCTGCGACTTCAATTCGTAACGACTTTCATCTTCGCACCCCCATTGCCGCGATGTCGACGATCCTGAGGACGCTGCGCAATCTGCGCCGGATTGGACTGAAGGTTCGTGCTACGATGTTGTGGACCGAGATCCCTCGCTAACTCCCGTGCAGGAATATGGCCACCAGATGCAGGTACGCTCGCGACTCGTCGACCAACCGAAGCAATGGCTTGGCCATGAGACTAACTAGCTATTTTCTGTTGCTGCTTTATAGTACATTGGTATGTTGTTTGGTTCCGTGGTGCAACTCCTTACTAACCTAGCGACTGCAGGCGATACCAAAGCCGGAACCCTGATTGGAGTCGACCGCTTCGGCAACAAATTCTACGAGAACATGGAGGAGGAGCTGCCCCGTAAGCAAGCCAATTTGTGACAGCGCAGGAGGGAAATATTGACTTCCGACCAGTCCGGACACGATGGGTCGACTACAAGGAGGTTGAATACGATGCCTCTCACATTGAGCCTGGCTGGTAAGGCTTGACCAACGACACCGATCTCACACGCACAGCTGACGGGGGAATATAGGCACGCCTGGATTTCCTACATGGTCGACTCGCCCCCGACTGTCGACAAGGCCATGCAGTCCGGTGTTCGCCCCTGGGAGCTGCCGGAACATCGGCCCAACCAGACCCTCTCCCGGACTGCTTTCAAGACCTACTCGACGTGAGTCTCATCGCCAACTTGTGTGCAGACCCAAACTAATCGATGACTCGCAGCACCCGGCCCAAGTACGCTGCCTGGACTCCTACTGCTGCTCCGCGGTAAATGAGTAGCTGAATGAACCCAACTTTCTGTGCTTTCACCTCTCGTTTGTCTTGCCTCCTTTTATACTCTCAGAACATCATCCATTCTGGAGAACTGTACATAAGCAATGTGCGACCGAGTACTGTTCCAATGACTAGAAAAAAAACCAACAATATCTCCAAAAAATCATTTCGTTTTCATTCCAGGATTTTCCAAGAAATAATAAATCACAGGGTATGAACGAGGTATCACGGTTGTTGAAAGGGGCAACAATTGCCAGAAACCGGCAAAGCAAATAGATAGATACAAGAAAGACGGAAAGAAATGGCTTTTTCCTTTTTTTTTTTGGCACCCCTTCCGACCCTAGAGCACATACAGACCAGATCCAATGTTCGACCAATGCCGAATAGGACGTCGGTCTTCGAGCTCAATGCACCACCAAAGAACCGACTTCAACTTGTCGACCTGGTCACCGGCCTCGTAGGCCCGTGACAGCGCATACCACGCTTCCGAGTTGTCCCACGAGCTGCCGAGCTTGGTCAGGGACGAGAGCAGGCCATACGCCCGATCCCGAGCGGCCAGACGTTGCAGGAGCTTGGGGTCGACGTCGTGGGCGGAGTGGGCCGGGTGGGCGGGTGGAGGATCCTGCACCGTGTCGGTTGCTTTAAGCTCGTCGGTTGAGATGGCTTTCGCGGTCTTGGGCTTGGGAGTATCCGTGAGCAATGACAGACGTGACAGGTTGACATCGGCTTCTGCGTTGACAGGCTCCGGAGGCATCGTCTGGTCCCAGATGTCCAGGAGGAGATTTGCAAGTGCGATAGTTGCTGTCGGATGGTGTTGATTGCGCAGAAGTGCTTCTTCAAACTGCTTGATTGCTTCCCGTGGCTTGGACTGAGCCTGTGTCAAGAGACCCTGTTCGGCGTAGACGTCGGCCCAAAGCTCCTCCGAGCTCTTTGCGACACCCCAGCCGCGTTTGTTGAAAGATCGAGCCGAAGACTCCTGCGACGCGACAAGTGCCTCGACTCGCCCGGCTTGTTTGGAAGCCTCTTCGCATGCCTCACGAGCATCATCGAAGAGCGATGCCCGACGATAGAGACCGGCGATGATCAGCCAGATATTGACCAAAAGGCCGAGAGCATGCTTCTGGCTTTGAACCATGGAAAATTTAGTGATGGCATTAGTCGGCGAATTGAACCGGTGGGAGACTGGAAGCTGCACATCTGGCTCTGAAGTTTGCGTCCCATGGCCGACTAGAGATGGTTGTTGTGCGTGACTGAAATTATGAGCAATCGGGCGCAATGGTTGTTTGGCAGTCGGGGAGTGAGTTGCTGACACAGGTGTTGTATTCCCAGACACTGCGATGCCAACCATATCCGGAGAGTCGATTGCCCCGTTGGGGAGTGGTGGCTCTGAAGTCCGTGGCTTTTCGTTTCTCTGGGCACTAAGGCTGCGCTTCCGCAATTTCTTTGAATCTGAGCGCCCCAAAGAAGAACGTTCATGACGGTTGTGGCGATCTTCGTCTGTGACCTGGATTGTCGGCGCCTCTGTGCCATTGGTTTGGCCGTTTGGAGCCGTGGGGACCGGTGGCGCGGTTGGACTTGCAGAGCGATCGGTTCGCCGATCTGGCATCTGGGATGCTCGGTTTCGATGGAAGATGCTCCCCCGGAAACTTCTGGTCGTGCCTGAAGTCTTGGGTGGAATCAAATGTTCTTGCTTGCCCGGCTTGCTTTCCTCAGCGTCAAGATTCAGATCATGGAACAGAGAGCCAAAAAGACTGAGCAACTGCTCGCTCTGATTGACAGCCGCCTCTGGACCCTCGAGGATCTCAACGAATGCGAGCTGTGTGATACGGGTCTGAATGATGCGCTCTTTCTCCCGGCCCTGCAACTGGCTGATCACAGAGCGTCCAGTGGAATCTTTACCATGATGTGAATGTCTTGAATTCCGTCTTTCACGTTGGTGCGTCGAAAAGACTTCTCGGGGAAATTGCTCGAATGCGGCTTCACATGAATGCTCAGCAATGTCGAACTCATGCTTTGCACTCAGCAGAAGTGCAAGCAGGTGCCACAGAGAAACCAGGTCACGCTCCTTCAAGAGACCTTGCGTTGGCATAGTAGACGAGGTTTCCGAGGACAACACGGATTTGACATAGTCAATCGCGCTATCAAGATCTCTGTTCTCGGCCAAAACAAGGGCAAGCGTGTAAATAGAGGAATTGTTCAACGAGTTCCCCAGATCCGGGGAAATACTTTTCTCCAGATACTCAATCGCCTCTCCTCGGATATCGTCCCTGGACTCGTTCATCGGCGTCCAGCTGGCCCAGTTGGCAAGACCGACACCGACTGCTCTGTACGCGGTGGCAAGCACAAAAAGAGAAACTTCTGGCGCCCTGGGCGAATCCGGGTCATCTGAGAGCAGCAATTTACCGTTGGCCTCGCCATTGACCTGATCCGTGACATGCTTGCTGGTATACTTTCGGATCAGCTCCGTTAGATCCTTGGCCTTTTCGGCTTCTTCGAACGACCCAAGGCAGCTCAAGAGCATAACACCCTCCGAAAGGGTTTGCAGGAGGATCTCGTCTCTCTCCAGCTCTCCGTACTCCGCGGATTTTTCTGCTCGGTCCTTGGCCGCGGTAACGATTTCAATATAAGAGTCGAAAGCCTGGATGGCAAGATCAAATTCAGCTAATGCAGCGTGAACGTGAAACAGCCGTCGAAGGACCAGATGGGAGTGATAAGTCTTGGCGGCCGCACGGTACAGCATCTAAGAAGCCGTGTCAGCAAACAGGAGAAGACACGAATTTCGTCATCAGATACTCACATCTAGTACATTGCGGCTCGCCACAGTCTGACCTCCTTCCCCAAGATCGTCATCTTGCCAATGCGGCCCGCAGAGAATCTCCCAGTTGCTGATAACCCGCTCAACCCACTCTTCCACCTGCGAGTTTCCGGAGCTGGCCGTAGGGAATTTCACCTCGCGGAGCAAGTTGCCCTCGCAGATTGTTTCTACACGACGCAGCTCGGCGGCTTGTTGCGGGCGTCCTGGCCGTTCGGCAGAGGGAGGAGGATATGTCAGATTATCCTGGAGGACTATGGTCAGAAACCCATAGTAAGAGTTCCATAGTGTTGTTCTCGAAATTGGGCTGGAAAGATCTGAGGCCGTTGACTTCTGCGTGGCAAGCCCCTGCTTGACCGCGGGATGGACAGCCCACTGCCGGAATAGCCGCAGCGCAATTTCCACATGTCTGGGATTTGAGTATGGTGAGTTTTTGCTAGCCTCCTTGCTTGCCATTAGAGCGCCTTTCCCGAGAAGGGTTTCGGACCAATTCAGGAACTGTGCATTGGCGACTGATGCCTGCTTCCCACTACTCAGCCACGGTTCAAGAGCGGCGAAGGTATCTAGGGTCTCGTCGATCCCTCCTATAGTCGACTGGGCGGTTGCTGCGGCGATGTCAGATGCACTTTCCTAGCATATCTTGGAGCTAACATACCCTTGATATAACATCCCTTCACCAGACAAACCTCCGTCCAGGGGGTTAGAGCTTGACCGTCGCCGGTGAGGCTGGAGACTGTCGCCGCAAAGTCCTTGGGAAGACGCGCCGCGGCCAATGCCGGTTCGTTCAGGGCCCAATGGACCCATCCCAAACAGACCTGCGCTTGAAGGATCTCTTGCGGGCTCCCGTCGTTGTTTCCGATGGTTACCAACAGCGCGGGAATCAGCTCGAGGAGGTTCGGAGAGGGCTTAGTGGTTTCGGCACTAGCCTTGTGTTGCAAATACACAATCACTCGCGACTCGGCCGTTGCGGTCTGGATCACACCTATTTGTTGATTAGTTCGATTGTGTTTCTTTGTTGACATCGGAAGTCGGCATACAAATCCGCTGAGGAGCATGCTTTGTCACTTTTCGAATCAATTCGGGGACCTCATCCCATTTTCCCTGACTGCGCGCCTGCTCCAAGGCCGCAATGTAGCGATTGCCTTTCTCAACATTGCCTCCCTGATCATACGAGTGTCAGCCTTGTGCGGAAATAGAGCCCCTCGAACAGTGAAACCCGGAGCTAGAAGTCAAGAGTAAACGGGGGGTGTCATACTGCCATGGTTCAGGGGAGAAGTATGGATGACGGCAGAAAGGAGACAGCCATTGCTTAAGAGGCGTTCCGCACAAGCACCAAGCGCGCCGATCCAGGGGGGTCACGAGCGGGCGGTCAGAGGGTATCGGCTCCGAGGCTAACTTTCACGTGATGGGATCTAACAGGGCATGAATACGAGCAGGACGGGATGGATTCAACCCATAGGGATCATATAAATTTATTATCGCTGTACTCATCATCATATCACCGTGTTTGTCTACTGCTGGAATAGTCTTGATTATGAAAGCTTGGTCCTCGGGATGGAACGATCCCAGAGTAAGTCGCAGTTTCGCGAGGTCATTATTGGAGTAAGTGAGCTTTGGCTCCGGTTTTAGAGCTTGGAGTCGGATGGAGACTGCTTGGCCGTGCTTGTCTCTCAAGGAGACAAGTCGGGCCTGATAGTGCAGGGAAAGAGAGTGGAGAAGAAGGAGTGAATGCACGGCACAAACATGATCAACATGACTAAGTCCATAGTTTACCGCCCTCCAATCCACTTCCGTGGCCCGAGCTTCTCAACTATTTTTACTTCGGTTTTTTTTTACCCAACTAAATTCGTCCCCGCTCGAGCTGTGTCGGGTTCAAGATGGCCACGACCACATTGCGCGCAGTCACGCATCGTCTGACCACCACTCCTGTCGAACAATTACCCCCAATCGCCTCGTTCCTGGCGACTTCGTTGAGCGACTGCGCCGAGCTTCTTTCTGCGCCGCAGACTCAGAAACCGGGCAAATCCGACTCGGACCATGCCGTGCAGGTTCATAAGCTGAAGACTCGACTGGCCAGCTTACTGCAGGATCGCAGCGTCGAAGGCAGATGGACCGCGGTGGTGCTGGTCAAGGCCGCCGTGGAGGCGGGCCAATGGGAAATTCTCCGGGGATACGAACCGATCGTTCGCAATTTGGTTGGAATACTGGCGGTATGGAATTGCACTCCGTATGAAAGTGGAAGTGTACTAACAGATCTGGCTTGTAGAAACCAGACCCTATCTCGACGAGGAAGATGTGCATCATCACCTTGACTCGCATCTTCCACCTCACCTACCAGTACCCGACCCTCGTACGAGAGATCACCACCCCACACCTACCGGGATTCATCACTGCCACATTGAATTTGGTTTCTGTCTTGGTGAAAGGACCGTCCGGATCGAGCAGGAAATCGAAGCCGAACAGCCCATTCATGGAGACGGTCCTGCACGCTCTGCTGGAATTAATTAGCAGACACCCAACAATCTTCCGTCCCTTTATTCCTCAACTGCGATCATTACTGGTAGAAATCATTGGATCCTCGCCACCGGCTTATTTCCCAGAAAATGTGGTCGATGCGGCGGAGCATCTTTTCACATCTCTGCACAAATGCGCGCCGAAAGACAAATCGGACGCGGGCTGGAATGAGGATTGCAAATCGACAATTAGATCTATCCATCGGACAGCTGACTACCTCTTCCGGGCAGTGGTAGAGCAATGGGAGTCCGTTGACATGACGTTAATCGCAACTCGGCTGAACTACAGCCAGGACATTGGCGACCAGGAACCAGATCTGTTGGGGCTTCCAGGATGGACGGGGGTGCACGCAGGCGCCGACAGATTGATTATGCTCCTGGAACTTCTGTCAGATTTCATCTCGATGCCCTCTACATCTGCCATTCCTATTCCACTGGGATCCATCCTCGACCTGACCTCGCGGCTTACCTCTGTAACTGTGCCGCCGGAGAGCGCCGATCCCTCCCAGAGCAGTGTCCAAATCAACTCGCAGATTGGCCGTGACGAACGGCAAATGCTGTGGGCTGAGCTTCCTCGCATTCATACTACATGTATGGATCTGGTCTGCAATGTGATCAATCTGCTAGAAAGCAGCACCACTCCCGTGATGCAAGCCATTTTGGATCAGATAACATGGGTCTTTCGCAACGAAAAGTTTAGCCGGGATATTCGCTCTGCTGTATACGACATACTTTACTCCTTGGTCTCGGTGAATGGCCCAGCAATGACGAAGCAGAACGTGAATTCACTCACAAACGTCCTTCGCGCTTGCTGTCTTGACGTCTCATGCTCGACTGAAGAATCCACGCCGCCTCAAAACGCACAGTCTGATTCAAAGTCAAAGTCGAAGACGGGCCAAGCTACAGCAAACGCGGACTCATTTTTGAACCCCGAACTGCAAAAGGCCCGCTCTGCACAGTTATCATCTCGATTCCCTGAACTCCGACAAGCAGCATCTAGACTCCTGCAGACCGTGCTTGTCTCTGTTCCCGCTGAACTCCTTACACCTTCGTTGCGGGCCGAGATCGACCGTACAATCATTCTGACTGCGGACAAGAACGCCATGCTTGCTAGTGTTCTCAACCCTGTCCCGGCCATCAAGGGCCGCGGCGCAGGCTCCAGTATCATGCCGTTCCTGGTTCGGGGCTACGCCGACCAGATGGAGGTGGAGGCGTTGGTTCGCCCGCGAATGCCGGTGTTGATGACTGCACCTGAGCTCGACGCCCAGGCTGATGCCGAAGATGAGGATGAGGACGAGAACATGCCGGAGGAGATGTACGATGCTGCCCCTAAAACTGCCGACTTCCTTCGACAGCCTGCGCCTGTAGTTACTCCAGTTTCGCCATTGGGGTCTCCCGCCGTGGCAGATACCTCGAAACCGTTGCACAAGCGGGCATACGCTGAAGAAGCCACCATTCAAACTGCCACCTCTTCTAAGCCATCAGAGAAGACAGATGTGCAACCCAAGAAAGCAAGGTTCGGAGAAAGTCTTCCAAAGGGAACGGATACACCTGTGACTGAAGTGCCTGCCACTTCGGTCTCACAGGCAGTGTCTGCCCCCACGCCCGTGTCCACGAGCACCCGGCCTGATATGCCGAGTGCACAACCACAACCTCCATCCACACTCCCAACCCCTACATCTGCTTCGGCGGCATCACTACCTGTCGATGACAGCGACGACGAGTTGCCCACATTGAACATCGAGCCCGACACTGACTCCGAGGACGAAGATGACGATGTCCCCATGTCGGGGTGAAAAATCATGTAAGAATAGACGTACAACGATATAAAAAACTCATTCTATTTTCTGTATCATCCGAAACAATATTCTGTCTATGTGTGTTATATCACTCGCATACCACTCCCCCAGTAGGTTCCATCACTCCAATACCGAAACCAAGGCCTCCGCCAACACCACCAGCCCTCCCCATTTGCGAGCCCGAACCCGCGAAGGGGGCTAACAGGAACCGGCTCCATCAACCATAGACCACCCCTCGCAAGATCATCTGCAATGCAAGCGCCCGAGAAGAGCAACCAGCAGAAAACAAAGGTTGCATTTGCAGCGCGCTTTAATGAACGCGGCACCGCATGAAGAGGCAATTTCGGGAGGATACATGTCTTGAACACATGCTCCGCCATGACTGCGAAACTCTGCATGCAGAAGAACAACATCGGGCCCGAGAGGGGCCGCGTGTTTGGTAGCTGAGTATAGCTTCCGCAGGTATGCACGAAGCCGCTGAGCGAGAACGCCACCACAACATGCGTTATGCGTCGGATCTGCACGTGTGCGGCCCAATTTTCTGGTAGGTGGGAGAGGAGCCAGTTGGCTGTTGCGGTGAATCCGTAGCGGAAGAGCTGATGCCACCATCGACCCCAGCAGCCTGCAAGACCGTGATCGAGGATTGGGGAGAGGAAGGGCCCGAAAGTATCACTGTAGAGCCAAGGGGCATCGAGCGGAGCAGCTGTTAAGGCTCGGGATGCATTGGGGAATGCGAGTGACAAGCCCAGGAAGACGAGCGGGTTGAAGGAGGTCACAAAGTTGAGTGCGACGAAGATACCGGTGCAGCTGAACACTAGGTGATAGAAGCGCGTGAGGAGAGGGTGTAAAGCAAAGTGGTGGAATGGGAATGGTGGAGGGGAGTCCGGAGGAGCTGTGCCTCGGAAGTAGGGATCGCGCATCATCAGAACCTTGAGGATGTCTAGTAAGAGGTATGTTTTTAGGCAGGTGAGGAAGGCGTTCTGGAGGCGTTGCTTGGCGGTTGGATAGGTGGTGTCGTCCGATGCTTCCAGTCTGTTTGAGTCGAATCCCGGATACAGTTGGGCATGCACGGATCGAGGGAGAGGTCCTAGATGGGGCGCTCGCCAATTCCATTCGGGACCCCGTAGGTTGAACAGGAGGCCAGCGCACCAGTCGATGCGATGTCCCAGATTCTGGGGGTATGACTGCCAATGTAACTGTTCGATTTGTCGTGCGGATGCTGCTGTCGCTTTGGTGTCGGGATTTTTGGAGGTCTGCCTGACCACGACACCTCCATTGCTTTGGTCATGAGCAAATTCCTCTGTTTCAACGAGCAAACAGTCTTGATCTTCTTCCGGATTGCTTTCGACCTCTGTCAATGGCACACACTGGGCGCTGCCACGAGACTGACCGTCTCCAACAGGCCATCGTTCCATCCGCTGGAAATCACGTTCGAGGTCGCTAAGCACAAAGAGCGTAGTGCCCCACACGAACCACCACGCGGTCAGCAGTCCAATCATATATCCATTTGCCCCGAGCAAGGCTCGACGGCTGCTGAAGATGTCCGCCGCTAGGGCGAGACAGAGCGCAAAGGTCAATGGCCGAGCATACTTGATATGGCGCGGAATGACCAAGCCCATCCACGGCAGGATATTGAAGAGGACTGCATGGTAAAGGAAGACGGGTTTGTAAATGCCCTTTTCTAGTAAGGCATCAAGCTGGCGTTCATGGTTCTGGACGATCTCCCAGTAGGGTCGAAGGAGATCGGCCATGCGGGAGTGGCGTTAGGGGCGCTCTCAGACGCGCTAAGACAGGCGGGCGATCCGGGGTCTTTGGACTAGGGGACAGGGGTGACGACTCGAGCTGCAAAGGCCACGAGTTTTGCGGCGTAAAGGACCTGGATCTCTTTCCCTTTCCTTGCCAGTCATGACGAGTCAACAAACACACCGAAACAGGTACACACGACCCAATGACGTTTGTGATAAGGTCACGTGATTCCGTGTTTCCCACGCGCCGTGTTCCTTGGCGCTAGGCCGGATCGAATCGTCTTTCTTGCCTATGTATTTTCTGTTTCCCTTCCAATGTACTACTCGCCGCCACGATGACCGGCTTCTCTGGAAAGCGCAAGTCCGACGTGCTGGATCTGACAGGCGACTCCGATGATGCATCTGAAAACCATGCGCATAAAGCCAGCCGCACGGGCCCATCTTTGTTGGACCCGCAGAGCATCAGCACCGCGCAGCGATTCGGTGAAAGCGCGGATTATATCCCCTTGAATCAGCTTTCACAGGTTACTGGCGCGGACGAGGAGGATGCTCAAGCCACGGACCTGGTCCAGAGCAGCCAAGATGTTGATGAATCCTCACTTGCCAGCTTCGTTCTCTACGGTACTTCGCTCCCCTGACATCATATATTCAAGACTAACCGTGCTGGCAGGCCTCCTGAATACAAAGATTGTCGGTGTCCGTTTCTACAACGGATATGCCAGCCCGGGAGAGCATGTCACGCTCAAGCGGGAGCCTACTAACCCGTACGACCGCAATGCCATTCGGGTCGACAACGTCATGGGCATGCAGATCGGTCACATTCCGAAGACTATGGCAGTAAAGCTGGCCAAATACATGGTATGATGATCCTATAACTATCTCTTCCCACGATAATGGCTGACTTACATTTCGTAGGATGCCAGGGCTCTTCTGATCGAAGGCGTATTAACTGGCCATATCGGTGCATATGATTGCCCGATTGCATTGAAACTCTTTGGAACCAATGATCCAGTCCAACGAGCTGGGCTCAAAGCCCAAATGAAAGAGGATAGACTCCCTCTGACTGATATCAACGGCAGAGAGCGCGAAGAACGTCAGCGGGAAAAGCAGCTCGAAAAAGAGCGGAAAGACGCCGAGAAGAAGTCTCGTGCCATGGCGCTTGGTAAGGCGGCAGCACAATGGCAGGCTTCAGACAATCCCATGTTTTCCAACCTCTCCACTCCAACCGGCAATGGCGAAGAGGGCGAGAGCTTGGAAGAACTTCTCAGCCAGAGTAGCAGTTTCAACCCAAGAGATGTGGGTAAGGTGGTGGAGAACTTTGGTCAGAAGGAAGCCGAGTTGGAAAAAATGCCCATGGTCGATACGCCGGCTGGTCTGGCCACTCAGCTGCTGCCATATCAGCGCCAGGGACTCGCCTGGATGATCAGTAAAGAGTCTCCGAAACTTCCTGCGGCCAATTCTGAAGATATCGTGCAGCTCTGGAAGCGGAACGGAAAGATGTTCACCAATGTCGCGACTAACTACTCCACGTCCACTCCACCTCCCCTTGCGAGCGGTGGTATCCTGGCTGATGATATGGGGCTGGGCAAGACTATCCAGATCATCTCGTTGATTCTTGCCAATACTCAAGCGCGGACTTCCTACTCGTGCAAGACTACTTTGATCATCGCCCCGGTCGGTGTCATGAGCAATTGGAGAAACCAAATCCGAGATCACACCCGCAGCGAAACTGCTCCCCGTGTCTTGATCTACCATGGCTCTGGCAAAAAGGAGGCCGCGAACTTGAGCCAGTATGATGTTGTGGTAACCAGCTACGGTGCTCTTGTTATGGAATTCAAGGAGAACGAGAAGACAATGCCCAAAAAGGGTATCTTTTCCGTTCACTGGCGTCGTGTGGTGCTCGATGAAGGCCACACTATTCGTAATCCCCGGTCAAGGGGTGCTCTCGCTGCTTGCCACCTGCGCGCAGACTCGCGCTGGACATTGACTGGCACACCGATCATCAACACACTCAAGGACTTGTACTCACAGGTTCGGTTCCTCGGTCTTACCGGTGGTTTGGAAGACATGGCGGTATTCAATAGCGTCCTGATCCGCCCTCTTACAGCCGGAGAACCTGAAGCTCGGCTGCTTCTCGAGGCTTTGATGGGCACTATCTGCCTGCGGCGAAGAAAGGACATGGGCTTCATCAATTTGCGTCTTCCCGAGATGACATCTCGGGTCCTTCGCGTCAAATTCCAGGCTCACGAACAGGAGAAATACAACGCACTACAGTACGTTTTGCAAGCCTTTTTTCTACCTATGGGAATCTGTATGCTAACTTCAATCTCAGGGACGAGGCAAAAGGCGCTCTTCTGGAGTTCAAGGACAAGGAAGGGAAGTACTCTCATCTTCTTGAGGTCATTCTCCGGCTGCGTCAAGTTTGCAATCACTGGGCCCTCTGCAAGAACCGGATTGATAAGCTCATGGACACGCTTGAGGAACACAAAGTTGTTCCTCTGACCCCGGAAAACGTCAAGGCTCTCCAAGACATGCTGCAACTTCAGATTGAGAGCCAGGAAGTGTGTGCCATCTGTCTCGACAATCTTGAACAGCCAGTGATCACAGCTTGCGCCCATTCATACTGCCGAGGGTGCATCGAACAAGTTATCGATCGACAACGGAAGTGTCCGCTCTGCCGTGCCGATATCAACGACCCTTCCACTCTGGTTTCCCCCGCTGTCGAGCTCGGCGAAGATACCAACGAAGTTGTCGCTGATCCCAACAACCCCAGCAGTAAGATCGAAGCCCTCGTCAAGATTCTGACGGTCCAGGGCCAGGTACCCGGAACCAAGACCGTGGTCTTCAGCCAGTGGACTTCATTCCTTGACCTTGTCGAGCCTCATCTCGAGCAGCGCGGCATCAAATTCGCCCGCATCGACGGCAAGATGTTATCCGTGAAACGCGACTTCGCTACAGACGTATTCTCGAACGACCCTTCTTGCACCGTGCTCCTCGCCAGTCTGAGCGTCTGCAGCGTCGGCTTGAACCTAGTGGCGGCTAACCAGGCGATCTTGGCCGACAGCTGGTGGGCGCCTGCCATTGAAGACCAAGCCGTGGACCGTGTCTACCGTCTTGGACAGAAGCGCGAAACTACTGTCTGGCGTCTTGTCATGGAGGACTCCGTTGAGGAGCGTGTGCTGGATGTCCAGGAACGGAAGCGTAGTCTCATGCTGGCTGCTTTCCGGGAGACTGGGAAGAAAAAGGCTGAGGATCGAGCTACTCGGGTTGCGGATCTTGAGAGTTTACTGGGTTGATTCTATGGTGTGTATTTGGCGTGGTTTGCATTTCTATGCACATCTTATTATCTTCCTTCTTGTACCCTGATACTTTGTTTCCACCAGATATTTCTGCGCTTCGGCTTGACTTGTATGATTAGATTCACTTGTTGATTTTTATACCCCCTTACTGTGTTCAAATCCAAGTCTATTTTCGCTGCAGATGTAAGCTACTTCTTTAGTCCCCAGCAAGAATTCTACACTATGGTTACACACCTGCATGCTATCAAAGAACCACACATACACCATACATCGTACATTCCTGCAATAGTGATACATGAAGAATCTGAATCCATCCACAGGCGAGATCCTGCGAATGGACAAGCAGAAAAGCGAGAAAAGGAAAGAGATAAACATCTAATCGTACAGTCGTAAAGGGGTATCATATTAACATCAAATCAGCAAGGAAAAAAAAAAAAAAAAAAAAAAAAAAGGCATGAGCGGTCATGGAAGCCGTAAATGCAGCTTTCAAGCGCAAGAAGAAGAACAGTGTCATTTAGTGGATTAGGCCTTCGTCGTCACTCATCTCCATCGGTGCCGACTGAACCGATGCGTCACTTCCATGACGGCCGGTGGGTGGCTTTTCGGGCGTACTGGGATTTAGAATCTGAGCCACAGCGGGCGGCGCGCCCTGGCCAATCTGGCTGGCGCTTGCAGGCCGCGGGGGCAGAGGGAGAGAGCCGGATTGCAGCTGGTACGGATTCTGAGAGGCGGGCCTGGACACTGTCTGTACTGTCGTGGCGGGAGATTCGTGGCAAGCCTGCACTTGGAATGGTTTTTGAGAAATCAGACTTGCATCGGGCCGTAATGGAGGCAGCGTCCGGTGGCCCGGGGATCCAGACGGCGAGATCGGGTTACCCGAGGCTTGGACTGGTCCTAGGGGAGGCGGACCAACGTTGTGCCCACTGGAAGGAACAACAAAAGACTGAATGGATGGCGGATGTTGCATTGGCTTAGCCGGTGGCATCATCGGTGATGCCTCCTGCATCGACAGCATCACGCCATGCTCCATGAGTTGTTTCTGTTGAAAGGCGATGATTGCCAATCGTTGCTGAGCATCTTGTCTGACGGTCTGCTGACTAGGATCATCTCCGCAATTCTCAGTTAAGACTGCCATTGCCTGGGCTCGGTCCTGCTGAAGAGTTCGTAGATACTCCTGCCGCTGCTGTAGCTCTTGTGCCAGCGTCGCCTGACGCCGTTGTTTCTCCACTATGGTTGCTGCATGTTGCCGTCTCTTGTACTCATCTGGGTCATTTCGCCGAATTTGTTCCATTTCCAATTCTTTCGCCACACTCTGGTGTTCCTCTTCGGTGAGGCGGTCGTTCTCGTCGTCCAGATAATCAGTGAGGGAAATCTGCATGATTGCGTCGCTCAGGCTGCTGGTGATAATCTTGTCCAGAATATGCGGGTCTCTCCCGAACAAGGAATTAAAAGGCTGGCGCTGATTTTCCTTCACTGAGAACATGTACACGGCCGCGTTGCTAGAGGAATCGCGCACCATGTTTTTCTGGTCGACAACTCGAGTAGCAAGTTGGGTTTTGAAGCGCGACCTGTTCCAGACAACCTCCTCGAACGTCCCACTGGAAAGGAAGCGATAGACAAAGACGCACTTTTTCTGTCCAAGACGATATGCACGCCCGATGGCTTGCTGCTCCCATACTGGAGTGAAGGCAAAGTCGAAAATTACCACGCGGTTTGCCCCAAATATGTTCAGCCCAAGGCCCCCGGCACGGGTCGAAATCAAATAGACTTGATGTTTGTCGCTCTCGTTGAATTTCTGCGTGGCCTCCTGTCGTGCCGCGACTGGTGTCCGTCCGTCCAGGCGGCAATAACTTCGATTCGCTTTGTCCATGTGCGTCGCCAGAAAATCCATGGTAGGAATACTGTGAGTGAAGACCAAGACCTTGTCGCCTGCTTTGTATGACTCGTCAAGGATTTTGTCGAGTAGAAGGGTTCGGTTGGACAGATACGGGTCTTGAAGGTCAGGAACTGAGTTGAGAAGCCGAAATAGCCGGGCAAGGACAGGAGGTGGGAGCTTCGGGTCTCTCGAAACTTGTTCAACCCCGCTATTTGCACTTGGGATGCCTCTATTCAAGAGTTTTTCCCGGAAAGCGTACGGGTGGTTGCAGAGGATCTGCAGAAAACCAATCCACTCCCAAAGTTGGGTATTTGGCATCTCACCATCTTTCATCACAGCATCCACGTATGTATTGTAAATCTCTTTTTGCAAGGGCGTCAAGGGCACAGCAACAAGAAATTCGGTCTTGGGAGGAACATCCGCCGCGATCGCAGAAACATCGGCGCGGTCAACCTTGGGAGCCAATATCCCGTTCAGCACTTTTAATTTCATGAGACCCCTTCTTCGTTGGCTCCGAGTACTGTCAATGTCAAGTCCTGTCACAATTGGCTCCATGTAGATATGCTTGAATGTCGCAGGGTCGTCCAAATAGCCGGGTGCAATCCAGTCAACCGCGTAGTAATACTCCTCGAGCGAATTGGAAAGAGGAGAACCGGTCATAGCAATGCGGCTCTTGGTCCTGAAGGTGCTAGTGGCCTGAGCAACTCCACTTCCCGGATTTTTCATCTTGTGCGCTTCGTCAGCCACGACGATGTTTGGTGTGTTGACCAAATAACCCTTGACCTCTTCATGAACCTCGTCGGTGAGAGGTTTCGGCCTAGACTTGGTTTCTTTGTTCTGGACCAGCTGCCGAAGGATATCGTAGCTAATGATAAGCACGCCGCCTTCTTTGCCCCAAGCTCGTATTGTTTCAATTCGCTTGTTAAAGTCTCCAAAATGTTTCGTTATGTCGATAGACCTGACTGTACCGAGATGGCTGTCCGCCGAGGTCCATAACATAAACTCTTGACGCCAGTTATGTATCAATGAAGACGGACATATGACTAGCGTCTGAGAACGACGAAGTCTATCGGGAATCTGATTGCGAATACCGGGGTTCTCTGACGCCGCAGCGGTTGCGATTGTGACCAGAAGGGATATCCTATGGGCCTGTTAATGGGAATAGATCATAGCGCGATACGATCCATTGACTTACACTTGCATCGTTTTGCCCAGTCCCATGGTATGGGCGAGCAAGCAACCCGTACCGGTCTCATCTTCGATCAGCTCTCTCCACATGAATTGGATGCCCTTCAATTGATGTGGCTTGACTTGTGCTCCAATATGCGGGTCGAGATAGATGATCGGATCTTTGAAAGTGACCGCCTGGTTGGTTGGGTCACTATTGCTGATGCCCATGAATTCTCTTGACTTGAGCAGGGCTTCTCGTGCCTTGCCCTGTTCATCCTGCCGTGCCTTCGCTCGCCGCTGCGCGTTTTGGGTCTCCTGTCTCACAGTAACATGTCTCTTCCGCTTTTTGGACTGCGAGTCCAAGGCGTCAGACGGAGTAGTTACACCGGAGGATGTATCGGTGGAGATTTCAATCACTTTCTTATCCGGGATCGCTTTCAACTGCCCAGGCTTGTGAGCAAGGACGAGACCCTTTAGTGCCCGGTGGAATTGCGCAAATTCAGGACTGTCCGGATCTATTTTGTTGAGCGCGTTCTCGGCATGCTGTGGATCGAGGCCTTTCTCCTTGAGCGAGACACGATTCACCCAAGAAATAAAAAAAGCCGCCATCCGCGAAGCAAACTCCTTCTCATCCTCATCGGAGTGTAACTCCCATTTCTCATCTATGAATGACAGCAGTGCCTCCTGAACTAAGCCCCGATGGCTTGACTCGAAAAATCCGGACAAGAACCTGGAAAACTTCGCGAGCTCGTGTGAAGGCAAAGAGGTAACGCTTTTTGCCAGAATCCCCATCCGGTCATGGATTTCGTGCCAGCCGCGTCTTGCAACTCTACCAAGCTCTATTGCGTAGTCTGTGGAGCGTGGCTGATCGGAAATACCCCTTTTTGGGACCGGGACAGGTTTTCTGGCCGCTGGGGAATCGGAGACTGCAACAGTTTTCCTTGCCGTTGGTGGAGGCTCAAGGAGCAGGTTGGAACCAAGGTCCGGCGCTGGGGACATTGACGACCTCGTATTGACAATCGATAGCTGGTTCAATAGAGGCGTTTCAATTTGCATCTTGTCATTCAGATAGGAGTTGGTTGACACCTGTGAATCAACTGGATTGACTGGAGGTGTCGCGATTTCGTAACCAGCGTCTATGTCCATCGAACCAGGTGTATCACCGGTAAGATCCACAGATTCGACATTCTCATTGTCAAAAATGGCAGGGCGGACCAAGGGCTCCCGTCGTTTTAGAGACGACCTGGTAGGCTTACTATCTCCACTGGAGGAAGACGATGACGAAGAGGCCAGGGATCGAGGAGCAGCAAGTGAAGTCGCAGACAAGCTCCTCTGTGATAGAACCAAAGGCTCATCACTCTCACTCACGTAAACTTCAGCATCATCAGAGTCTTCAACGATAAAGTCGCTGACGGGCTGCTCTGACGAGGACTCTGCGGACTCTGAGCTCAATGTTTCCTCTTCTTCGGACGTTGACTTGGGTTTCTTCGCTCCTGGGGTCCGTGGAGCTCGGGGCACATCAGGCGGGCATTCCTTTTGATCCAAGACTGACAGAGTGTAGTTGTGTCGGCAGATATCCGAGATGGTGTTCTCCAAACTCCCGCATGCCTTTTTCAACCCATCCACCGAGTGATGATCGACTTCGCCAATCGTCTTTCGGAGCGTTTGCAGGCGTCTCTCGAGGAGAGCCAGTTGACGATCTTCGGATTTTTTCTCCAAGTCCACAGAGTCATGGTTTCGCGATTTGATCCACCGACGGCGCGCTTTCCGTGTCTCCTTTGGCAACTGGTTTTGCCGCCACCATTCTTCGTGCTGGGATATGAACTCCGAAACAACAGAATCATATTGTGCGTCTGGAAGACGAGCGGGCTTGCTTGCGAATTCCGGATGCTCATGCAGGATCTCTTCCCAAGTATCCTCATCGTACTGCCCTTCTGAACCGGAGTCACCATATGCCGGGAGAGCATTCTCATCATCCCTCCCCGGGGGGTACTTCTCAAGCAGGTACTCTTCAAGAAAACGGAAATCAACTTTCTTCTTTTGGAGTAATGGGATATTTTGCTTCTGGGAATCATCATCCGAGAATTGGCCTTGATCGGGACTGGGTTGATTGTGTGACAAGCCGGCCCCTTTATAGGGCACCAAGCTGAGTGAATCCAGTTCCTGATCTGGCTGGCTGATTTCCGCTATCTTCTGAGGCGCGATCCTTCGAGGTGCTTGTTGAGGACAGGCAGGCGCGGGCGTGGTATCGTGAGTGGGAAGGCTCGGGGAATCGAAGGAGGTGCTCGGCAGCGGAGATTTGACGTTTGCCCCATGTAGGCCTGGCGCAGAAGCCGGGGGACGAGGAGGGGGGCTGCGAGAGAATTTAGGTATCGCATGTTCCCCAACGGGCCGGCGCAAATCATCCGTGATCCTCTTAGAGACTTGATATTTGGGTGATCGCTGCTGAAGGTAGTCAATAGCAGTCAGAAGATTGCTACGATGCCCCAGCGGCTTCAAGCCCAGATCGACTCGCAGAGCTTCGTTGTTGACATGGTTGAGCAGCACACTTCCAGTCACAAGGTTATCACGGAGTGCAGTTTCGAGCGTGGCGGGGTCTGGTCGGGGCGCGTTGGTGGCCTGCGACCACACAGCCGTGCCCCGACAGAGAAAGTTGACGACTTCATCGACTCCCCAGTCAGCTGGATCAGGGTCCGGGACCTCAGAGGTCATTTCTCCAGGATATGTATCTGTAATATGTCAGGAAACCGTTCCTCTTCAAATTTCTAAGCCTCAGACTACCCACCATGGAGCTGGCACCCAGACCAATGAAGATCCGCGGCCGTCAAGAAAGTAGTTCCATGAGCTGTCAGTCAGACTGCAGGCAGGAAGAGAAGGGGTGTGGTGTGTGAAAAGAAGTCAGCACGCACGAATAAACGCTTTTGTCGTGCCGGGCAAGAAGAGCTGTAAAAAGCCGAGAAGTAGAGGTCGTTTGTTGACTACTTCGGCCTAGCCACTTTTTTTTAATTCCGGCAAAATGGGACTCACCGCCCGCCCTGAGCCAGAAACTGATTAATAATAGATGCGGGATGCTGAGACACCCGGTGGGCAGACTGACTCTACCTTATTCTACAAACTTCTCTTTGCTGTAAGAGACTGAATACAGCCATGGAGTCAATCTATTCGAGTTATCCTCCAGAGCTGTCGCCTGAGCAGCAGAAATATTTGGTGAAAACAGCCAAGGATTGGGCTATCCAGAATGGCCTCACTGTTCGGCCATCTCCAACTATTCTTCCCGCGGGTGCAGATCCCAACGGGGTGCTGGCGACCAATGCGCCAGTGACCCTTTTCCCGAGTCCTTTTCCTAAGGGTTGCTTTGAGGAGGCAAATGCGCTGCAGGCTGTGTATAATGAGCTGTATGCTGCAATTACGTGCAACGAGGCTTGGTTGGGCAAGATTATTGAAGAGTAAGAGTGCTGCCGTCCTTCCAGATACCTCAAACTAAATCGTCTGCAGCCTGATTGATGTGGATGACTTCGTGTTGAATCTCTGGAAAGTGCATCTGGCAGTTCAGAAGGAGGGTTATGTCCAGAATCTCTCCCTAGGCCTGTTCCGATCCGACTACATGGCCCACGTCTCAGCCAATGCTGCTCCTTCTTTGAAGCAGGTCGAATTCAACACCATCTCGTCCTCCTTTGGAGGACTGTCATCGCTTGTCCGATCGATGCATACCGAGCTCCTTACCTCTCCTCCAAGCTATCCGCCTCATCCTCTGCTGCAGTCCGGAGTACCACCGGAAAACTCTGCTGTAGAAACCCTTGCGGCAGGCCTGGCGGCAGCACACCAGGCCTACGGGCCGTCAAAATCCACTCCTAGTCTACCACTGGGTATTGCATTCGTAGTTCAGGACGGCGAACGCAATATCTTCGACCAGCTGGCGGTGTCGAAACGTCTGACCACGCACCACAAAATTCCTGTTTTCCGTGTGGCCAGCTCAGAGATCCTCAACCAAACATCTATCTCCAATTCGAATCCTGCTCGTCCTTTGGTGTATCGACCTCCTCATGCCCCAGAGTCGGCTTTTGAAGTGACAACCGTTTATCTTCGAGCCTACTATGCGCCAGATGAATACAAATCCGCCCAGGACTGGGAGGCTCGAACGCACCTGGAGCGGTCAGCAGCTATCAAGTGTCCCACTGTGCTGAACCAGCTGTCTGGATGCAAGAAGGTGCAACAAGTCCTGGCGGAACCCACTGGACCCGACCATCTGTCTGCTTTCCTGAAAGGCACCGATCCCGGCATTATTGCAAGACTGCGGGAGACTTTTGCTCCACAATATGACTTGTCGTCTCACGGACAAGGTAGAGAGCTCGCCCTCAACCTCGAGACGGCCATGAACCATGTGCTCAAACCTCAGCGAGAAGGCGGAGGCAATAACATCTACAAGTCTGACATCCCCGAGTTCCTGCGGTCTATTCCTGAATCGGATTGGAAGGGGTGGGTTCTCATGGAGCTGATCAACCCCGCTGCCCATGCCAAGAATGTCGCCCTACGAAATGATGGCGAAGTTCTCCGTGGCAACGTTATCTCCGAGCTGGGTGTATACGGTACCATTCTGTGGGACAACACAGGGAAAATTCTTCATAACGAGCAAGGTGGATGGTTACTAAGGACGAAAGGAAAGGAGGTGAACGAGGGAGGTGTGGCCGCTGGATTCTCTAGCTTGGATAGCATTCTCCTGTTTTAATTTCTAGATTAAGTAGACATTTACAATGAAGCAATGAAACACATTTAGAAGTCGAGTCGACAAGTGGTATCAGGCTGTCGTTCAAGGTGCGCAGCCGATCTCAAGAAGATCATTTCTGGATGGCTTGCATGTTAGCGATAAGATGTAGCCGCTGTCGGTCCCTGAAACCTGGGCAAGCTAGTCACGGGCGCAGATGGTGCTACTTGCCCATACAATGGCTTCCGCAGCCAGTTAAGTAGGATCTAGAGTAGAAGAGAGGTGCAAACAATCATGTTTTCTAATGAAAAGGAAACCACATTTATTAGTGAGTCTTGGAATGCACGTGCACGTTGGCAATAAAGCAAAACTAGAGTTGCAGATCAAAGGGCAAATCATGCGTGTGGAAGGAGGATCCCATATGTTGGAGTTCCGACCAGGACGCACGCCAAATACCGGCTGACAAGGTTCTGCCGTGAGGGGTTAAGCGGTACATTTTCATGGACGAGAATGCAACTTGCCCTTTTCTCTACCATGATGGAGCGATTGAGATGACGCAGACATCTGATGTCACGGAGAGACTTGATCATGGAGAGGCTCGCTCGATCGGTTATAGGTGCTGTTTTTGAAGCTTAAATGCCATGGGGGGTTTAGGTTTAAACCTTACATTCTTTCATAGTAGCCCGGAGGATGTCTTGACTAAGAAATTAGTAAAGATCAACATTTCGACTCCCGAAGCTAAGGGAAAAGAGGGGCTCCTGTCTTTGCTCTGTTACTATTCCCACAAGCAACCATTTTCTCACCATGTGGGACAACTTAGTGCCTTTCTCCAAGTCCTATAAGCATGTCAATTCGCCCCCCAACACTCCTCCGCCTGGTCCAATCCACAGTCAAATCCCAACACGCCTCTCGTGATAGCTACAATCTCCACATAACCTGCTCTGTGAAACCAAATGCCTCTGCCCAGCGACTGGGGATCAGAGCTGTCGATGCAGACAAGATTGAGGTCTCAGTCGCAGAACCTCCGCGCGACGGGGCGGCCAATCTTGCTGTCTCGAAGGTATTCGCTGAGGTACGCTTGTTATTCTATTGCTTGTTTCTATGTGCTTTTATTGCAAAGGGGCAAACCGCTCGAGTTACTGATGTCATTGCGAGAAAATACATAGATCTTCAACGTCCCCAAATCTAGTGTTGAAGTGGTTCGTGGGCTCAAGGCCCGAGAGAAAACGGTTTGCGTACGCGACATGGATGTTGCTACCGATCGGAAAGAAGAATTCTTACAGAGGGTGAGGGATAAATTGAAACAAGAAGAAGAAAAGAATAAAGGGCGATAGACGGTGCGAAAATGGTTCGTCCTCCATGTTGGCAGAACCGATAAACTATGCATAACCCAGGTTAAGTGTCGTGGAAATTCAAGAATATTAATCCAAATATTAATTTATCAGAGTCAAAGAATGATAATTGAACAATCCAGGCTCATATAATAGCATGTCTTTTCCTACCTATTGACATAGATCTGGCGGTCGGCATCCCGTGACCGAGGTTCCACTCTTGAACTTGGAGTTTCTTTCAACTTCACTTTCCAACAACCCAATCTCCGCCGAGACCATGGCAGACAGTGAGCGCGAAAAAATGGCAATTGCTAATTCTCCTGCCGCCAAAACACCAAAGCGCAAAGCATCCGACGCGTCCAAGCCAAAAGTCACCCACTTCACTTCCCGCAATCCGCCCTGGACTTATCTCAAACTCCGACTGTACGCAGGAGCGATACCCCTGTCTTCATTTACGTGAAATAATCTCAGCTAACACCATTAATACTAGAATTCCACAACCCGGCTCCTCTCCTCAACCCCTTGACGCTCTCTCGGCCCGCACATACCTCTCTGCCGCGCTATCCCAATTCCTCGGTCTCACGGGAACTGCCATTCCAATTGATATCTTAAAAATAGAAGATGAATTGCCGGATGCGGATGCACAGTCTACATGTACGGCACAATCAAATAACGTGAAGAAGTGCGATACTGTCTGGATCCGCGTGCCGCGCGGGGACGCCGCTGCTGTGGTAGCCGCGCTCAGCTCGTGGGTTGGCGGGAGCAGCGGCGGTTCGTCTGCTGTCAGTGTAGCATGGAGAATTTGTGCCAAGGGAAATTTTCTGGGTGCGCTAGTTGCCGGGTCTGGACATGACTTGTTCGTTCCTTGAGCAGTGCGTGCGGCTCGGTCTTCTTCTCTGCATTCACACTTTGCCCAAGTCGGAGGGCATACCTTATATAGGTCCTTGAGATCCGATCTGTCTAGTGGGGACAGACTCCAGCGGAGGTTCTGCCTGGCTCATTCGAAGCCCGATATGGGAAACCTCTTTCCACCCCTTCACAGTGCTATCATGTTCGTGCTGGCTGGTCCACCGGTTGATATTCCTCTTCTGGAAGATATTTCCTAATTTGAATTGGGCATATAGACTAAATGGTCTTGTTTCCCAATTTTTAGACCATATATGCTGCCTCTTAAGAGAGTAGGGGACTTTTGTCCGTCAAAATCGATCACGCGCAACTTCTAATGCGGAGAATCAAAACCATTTGCATGAACGTTTAAATTTGGGTCATATAGTGTCTCTCGCGAAGTTGTTGGAGCTCCAAACGTGAACACCAAGATTGGAATGTGCGGTATATACAGAGACCTCATCCAGTTTAAGATACGGTACCTTTCCTTGAAGTGAGCAAAGTCATGGGTTTGGGGATCGATATTATCGAGTACTATAGTACTCATGATACTGGGTTGGAATCTGTGAGCGGATCTGTTCTACAATATGACCCTGACAAACTAGATGAGCGGGGTTGCGACAAGACCTGTGGGACGGGACATCTAAGATGCGCTTGAGGGGCAAGAAGACTTATAGTGGAGTTTTTAGTGTGGCACAAAGAGAATTGTGTGTGTATTGTAAAAAAATACTAGTTAGCATAACTAGCCGGCTCGAGCCTTGAGATAATAACAATCTGCGCTCTTGCATCCCACA